ACAATAATTTCAGTGTAGGTCAGAAAGTCATCCTTCAGTTCTTTAGAAATAAAATTATTTGATGCAGCAAATATACAGTTAAACATTAAAATAATTATCATTTGATGTATCATATTTAAAATAAAACTACGTTCATTTTATAATTATTAAACATCTAATGTAAATTGTTTGATGAGAGCATCATTTTTATAGCAAAAAATAAATCTGATAAAATATTTAAATTCAAGTACTACCTTGGGAAAATGTAGATAGTGAGATAAAAAAAATGGATTACCACAGAAAAATGATGATTTCAAAAAGAAAGGTTAGAATTCACTACTCTAGTAGTTATGGAATACAGTTTAAATTAATTATTAACAGTTACAAGTAAATATATTTATCTAAAAATCGTTAAATATAAGAATAATAAATGTTTTTTGTTGATGACCTTCAGATATTTTTATTTATAATGAAAAAAGTCCGAGTTTTTGAAAAGAAAAGTTAAGAATTCAAGAAAGAATTCGACTAATTTCATTGATTTAGTAGATTAAATGTTTTTGAGAATAATAAAAGAAACGAATGATTGATGGAATTCATTGAAATTTTTTATCTTTTTAAATAGATGTTTCTTGAGGAAAGACGAGTAGAAATAATCATGAAACGAGAGATTCTTGAGGTTAACTAAATTGCCGGTTCTCTCTTGAAATAGTACGTCGTAACGACGTCGCCACGTAACTGCTCGTAAAACGACAACCTTCTGCCAAGAAAAAGAACCTACACTTTGTGCAAGTACAATTTCCTATCACATCCAATTGGAGTGGTTGACAGTAGCCCGAATGAAAAATCACATTACTTATTTATCTTTTGCCGCAGTCAATTGGTATTTCATGATTTTAATTTACTCTATTTTGTAGTATTTTTATTCATTTATCTTAATTAGACAATAAAAAGTCTTTACTGCTCTAATTTGTCAATTGTTATTCAGATATCAAATTACTGATTTCTACTTCTTTACAAAAAAAATTTCATTACCAATTATATCATTTACTCAATGACAATGATAAATGGAAAAGAAATAATTACTTATAATGATTATTTTAATACTTGAAATGGAAATATCCAGAAATATAATGTGATAATTGATAGTGGCTTAGAGATCTGTTTTTGGAAAATTAAGGTATTTATACATAAAACATTGCAATTTTTATGCTTATATTTTAAAAGAAAAATAATTGAAAAAATTATCAAATTTTTTTGGCAATTATTGATTGTTTTTTTCTAAAATAAAAAATATTTTTTTCAGGATTTATGATTGGTGGACATAAGAAATGTTTATGTGATTGCTACTATTGAATATATAATTAATCTGGAAAGTGAATTGTGTCAGTTTATGATAATTGAGATTTAGAAGTAACTTATCACGTCACAATAATTACAATCAATGATTAGTTTCAAATTCAAATCAATTATTCACCTTTGGAACCTGTTTGTGAGCTTTTGGATGAGTATAATTAGTAATGCGAATTTCCGACCAACCCTAATTGGAACTGACTGTCACGCAAAATTTATGTGGTAAGTACACGCATATGCATTAGTCTATCAAAATCTGCAACAGGCCTTTGAACTCTAGCAAAAGTTATTCAAAATAATTCAATGTTTTTTGTTATAATATTCATTTTTTCTTACATCAGTTCCAATTGACTAAACAAAAACTCTTTTCAGTAAACTGTACCTTTTTGTTAGGATAATGTAATTTTATTTGTGTCGTCCGGGTGCAATGTAAACGCAAAGAGATCAAGTATACGAAATAGAAAAGAGAAGCTTGAGTTATTTGCATTTAAAGCAGCATACCGTCTCTGAGGACATTGATATATATATATATATTTCTATCTGTATTGCTTAAAATCCGGTCTTTATTTACAACTTAGTAACCACAAATGGAAAACTTTTTTTTAAAAAGTTTAAGCTGACCTGAAAAAATAGTCAATAAACAAAAATTATTCAACAATAAAAATACTGACAAAAAAATAGAAGTAAGGGTTAAACATAATGGAAGTGAAGAAAAAAGAAGGATGTTGCTAAACGAGTTTCGAAAACTTTTAAAACGAGAAGAACTTTATTTATTTAAATTACAAATATTCTTGCATTTTAATAATGTCTATTTGAGAACTCATTTAAGATTCTTTATTATTCACAGTGAATCCAAGGAAACCCAAGGAAATTCGTCGTTCGTGTGGGCACGTGATGAGATAATCGGTTTATAAGCCATTGAATTGGTCGCCAACTTTAGGGGAAAATGTTTGCATCGTTCCAAAGAAGTTTAGAACTCAACGAATGACATTTGCGAGTTTCGTGTGGCCTACAAATCGTGATTAGAAACGTGATTGCTGAGACTCACCGAATAATCTAACAGATTTTTACTTTGGCATAAAAACATTTATTTCATTTGTTTACTGACCAAGAAGTTAATTTTACAGTCGTTAAAACGTTCATTAAAACATCTCTTATGGAAACGTACATATGTAAGTAGAACAAGTTTAAATAGCCAGACAGTAGAAACAGTCAACATTGGATGAAACTGATTATTTTTATTTGTTAAATAAATTATAAAAACGTGAGTTAAAACGTTTTTATGAGGATAAAATATTAATTAATTAATGAATTGTTGGAGAACTCATAACAATAGATAAAACCATGATTTATTAAACTAAAAATTAAATTTTCAAGATGAGAAAAATTAATATATCAGCATGAAATTGAAAATTAAATTTGTCATTCTGTCTTACAATTAGCTGATAAACATGCTGGTGAAATTTAACATTTTTGTTTAACTGCTTGTTTTATACATGAAAAAACATGAAACCAAGAGATTTCCGTAAATTAGACGGTTACTTTCAGGTTGGAGACAATTTTTCGTTTGGCCGAGTTAAATAAAAACAAGATTTAATCATTTAGTGGAACAAAATTTTCCAGTGCTCGCCAATAAATGGGAATATTCAGTTGGCTGAGAATAAAAATCCCAGGGTATAAATGACCACAACGACGGTATAATGTGGCCACGACGTTATTTATTACTGCGTTACATATCGTCCTACGGTGCAAGCGCAAGGTTATTTATAGAGCCTGCGTGTCCTCCCCAACGAGTGCGTAATTTTTTTGATTTGCAAGCAAATATACGAGAAAATATACACCTGCGGCTATTAAAAATAATTACATTTATTTGTTCTTCTGTTTTTGACTAAACACAACAAAAAAATCGCTCATTTTCCCTTCTTTTTTACTCATATCTTCATATATCATCTTTTTCAACGTTTATAAATATAACGTAATCAGTAATCTCTGAATAAAAATCGCACATATAATATTGAAAATTCTTACATTAAATCTTAATATTAATACAAAGTTCAATTTGAATAGAGGTAATTTTTGCGGAATCACACAAAAAACTCATTTACTCAAAATATATCAAGTAATTTTATGCAAAGACATTCCTAATTAAAAAAAAAAAGGAAAAGATTTTATTTTTAATTATGAAAGTGCACGAAAGTAATTCATAAAGTCTGAATACTCAATCTTTTATGTTTTTTTTTCTTTTTGATAAACATTTGAAGGCTCATATGTCTTCATTCTAGTGTGTAATAAAACCATAATTTCTTGTTCGTTTATACGAGAGTAGAATGTCTAAACCCCAAATTCACTTCTACATTATCTATACTTGAAAGTATTTCACCAGGAACTTAACTCGTTACAACAGTCTGAATCTACTCGAGAAGTTTCATGGGTTCAAGTCTTGAGAGGCTTTACACCTGGACGATTCGAAGCAGTGTTATATAAAACATATATATATATATATATTTATATAAAATTAGTACTTTAAAGAAAACTTTTATACATTCTTCATATATTTAGGGGACATGGTGCTAACAATAAATAACCAATTTTTTTCTTTTGATTGTACATCAGTAGATAATCAGGGCAAGCTAAAATTCTAAAGAATAAAGGCAGCAACAAAAAAAGTCACTGAAAAATATTTGAAATCAATAGAGTGAACATGGCACAGTGTCTAGATTGTGGTCGGAAATTTAGAGAAGACTCTTGATTGGCCCCGTCCTTCCTGCAGTGAATTCGATGCTTGACGAGACCACGGCAATTTCCGGTGGACGAGAGAAATCTTCTCGCTTTGAGCGTTCGCTTATGTCAGGATTTCTACGCTTTATCACGCTTGCGACCGCCTGCTGACTTGAATTCAAACTCCGGACATCCTGTTCTTTCTTTTGATTCAATTACTCTTATGCATACATCAATAGTCACTAGATTTCCTTACACTAGTTTATATGCTTATTTTAGAAAAATAAATGTTTTATATCGATTTTTCTATTTCAATCTACGTGCAATGATGATTTTTTTAAAACAAATATTCGTTTTTCAAATAGCATTCAAAAGTAATTCGATTATTTTAGTATTGATACAAATATAAAACTCACTTTTTTATTCAAAAGTAACCAAATAACTTTTCTATCGAGTTTGCATTTTAATCTCGGCACTATCATTTGACCATTGGTTAACTATCATGTAGTTCACTGTCTTATATTTATTGGTTTTACAACTTTTTTAATTGAATATTTTTTACAGAAACAATACATATTTACTAAAGATAATTTAAATTTAATTGATATTAAGTTATTAATATGAGAATAAATATGGATGGATTTTTGAATTGAAACTTTCTACTTCAAAATCCATCAATTATTTTCTTTCTAATTGTGATTATCCTCAATCTTTATAAAGTTATTGTCAAGAAAAGTATCTCTTCAGAATCTTTCTTTATCTTCGTAAACTTTTAAAAAGAAAAGAATGAAATTGTAAAAAAGAAACTTGAAAACTTGTAGTGTAACAAGTTATTATTTCTTTCTAACAAATTAATTTTATTATAAATAAGTTTGTTTACATTAAATAAATCAGTCTTGAATTGAAACATATAAATGGTTATTAAACTAATTGTATTGTTATAGATGGAATATTTATTTCAAAAGATGACTAAAATATAATTTAGCTTGTAGGTTTTTTAAAATAAACTTCTGAACAAGACTTGCATCGTACAATTGCCAAGGATCAGTCATTGCTTGATGAACTGCAGCTTCTCGCTTGGTTAGAAGAATAGAATTCCATGGAGACCACTCAACATCCAAACGAAAACGTAAAAGACGTAATTGGAATAAGTCATCAAACTCAGATATCCCAGATTTTCCATGCCAGATGTAGTTAACGAGATGATGGAGAATACGAGGGCCAATGTGAAAAGCTAGACCATTGAATGATCCCAATTGGGCTTCAGACTTATGCAAGTCTTTCAGCATTTGCTCGTAAGGTTCGTAAAGGATAGTAGGATTTGGACTTGGTTTCAGTGATGAACAGTAGTTGCAAGTCCGCAAGCCGTGCTTATCCTCTTCAGAGAAGTAAGTCAGAGGTAATAATCTGCTACATCTAGAAAAAAAAACTTATTAATAATTTATTTTTTATAAATAGATAAAATTTAATTAAAAGAATCTTCCAATTTCTACTTCTAGAATAACTATACTACCTTTTGCAATACGCTTTATAATTTTCAATTTCAGAATAATGTCTACTAGAAGCAGCTTGACAGTAAAGAGAGGAAAATCTAAGAAACTCTATTTTAACTCGATTCTTTAATTGATTGGTTATCCGAGGGTTCAAGTTCTTCAAGGTAAAGTCTAACTCTTGATCTAGAACATACTCTAAATCTCTAGCAGCTTTACAAGTGTGGTTTTGAATGTATTCCTTGATACTTTTCAGCGTGTCAATTCTCCCTACATTTTCCTGCGTCAGTGCATAGTACAAGGATCTGCACTCACGAGCTCTTGCAACTCTCTGCGTCTCCACCTCCATCACTTTTCCGTCTCGAGTCCTCCAAGGATGAAATTTATGAAGAATAACTAGTATGTATATAATATATCTATGCCATACGTTTGTATGTAAATTTCATTTATTTATTTTACCTCCAGTACTCAGACATGGCTAGTTTATCCAAAATATTCAGCTTCTCTTTTTCTATTCTTTCTTGTTTGACCCGAGATTTAGCCAGCTCAATAGAACGCAGTAATTCAATCTCTTTCAAGAGGATCATAGATTGTGCGGCCTTCTTGGAAGTTCCAAAAAGCATACAATCCATTTGTTCACTTTCTAAGATTCTCCAACGATCCAACATATTCTTCAGCATTTCAAAATCAGAACGACTTTTAGGAGCCTGGCTTTCTACTATCTTAAAACGTTTGTCTTCATTCAATCTTATTAACTTCTCTGTAATGGGTGGCTGCGTTCGAGTTAACACAGCAAAACGTGCTAAAGATGATATTTCTGTTCGCGTACGACAGGCTCTGAAAAAATGATGGTGTAAGTACGTTGACAATAATTCTAAAAGCTATCCAAGTCATCAATTGAGAACAAATTTGAACATTCCTAGTCCATCATTACGTTTTTTACGCTGTTGGTTGGATTTTAATCCATGAAATTTTTTTAATAAATTTTTATGATGTTTTAGAATTATTCATTTGAATTTAATTATAAATTCAATTTGAATTTGTTCTCAATTTTTTCAAACTTTTACCTGAAGAATTTTTGTATTTTCCTTGCACTCTCCTCTTCTAATCTGTAAAAAATGTTTATAAATTTATATCACTCTTTTTTTCATTTTTAGAAAGATTACTAAACATAAATTGTGAAAAATTAGGAATCCAATTGGGACGTTGCTGTAATGGATCCTATTTTTTGGATCATAAATTCCGACATATCTTCACGTTTTAAGGTTCTTAGAATCATAATTTGTCGTTTTTAGAGAGAAGATGACTGTGTGTACATTTGAGAATCTTTTTTCAATTTTATTGCCGGATAACTATGTAAAAATTACCTGATAAATTTTTTAACAAGTTCCAATTGGCAGATTTTTTAAATTAAAAAGAATATATAAACAAAACAGATTTCTCAAATGTCTCAGAAATAAAAAGTTATATCAACTCTGGACCAACTATACTCGACAGATAATTATATAAAGATGACCGGATTAGGTTTGCAAAAGTAGTTCACTCTCTAGCTTTCAAGGACACCAAATGAGAAGTTGATAGTGTGGGCAATCCAATTTACGCCCAGATCTCTTTTTAAATGTTCATTTATTGCTCATTTGGTTTATATTTTTCTGGACATCATTTTACAGCTAGTCACATACTCAGTGGATTGATTTTTGTAAATAAAAAATAAGGTAAATATTTAAACATTTTATAATAAATATTCTAATATTAATATTTCATTAAGAACAAATTTTTATAGAATACCTTGAATATTTTCGAGTGGAAAACAACTCCTGAGCTTTACCTCGCAGAATTTGACTTGATAACCAGTTTCTTGTCGCTGATGAAGGTGTTACTAACTTATCTTTCAAGTCTGGTAAATTTGAAGTCTGTGTTACTTTTTCACAAAATGTTGTAGTATATTTATTAACTACCAGAGAATCATTTGATGTTTGTGTAGTTTGATTTTTAGTGAGCACACTTCTGCCACGACTTTCACGATGCTTTGTATATGCTTGAGTTGAAGCATCATAGTACTCGATACCTGTTTCGACATTCTTCCATGTTCTTAATAACAAGTGTTCATCGTAATTATTATATAATGTTGCGATGAAAATCATCTGAAAAAAAGTGACTAATCGTATGAATAACAGTATGAATAAGTATAAAAAAAAATTTCCTTCACAACATGGCTCATTAGCTCAGTAGGTTAGAGCGTCGTGCTAATAACGCGAAGGTCGCGGGTTCGATCCCCTCATGAGCCATTTATTTTTGTTCCATAAACAAAAATTTTATTACTATCAATTATTAAAAAATTAAAATTAAACACTTAAATTATTGTAAATTTCTTAGTTTCTTCAATATTTAACTCTGAAATCTCTTTAAAGAAGTAGTACAAGTATTAACTGGGTCAGACATTCTTTGATGATTCAGTTTTTATTAACTAATGTATTTAAATGAATGAAAGAAATATTTAATAATTGCTAATTATTCGTTGAAAACACATTATCATACTTTCGAATAAAATACAATAAAAATCCAATGTAAATTAGAAATTCAATTGTAATTATTCTACTCAAGAAACTTAAAAGTTTATGATATTTCAAGTTAAACTTAATGACTAATTGTTCTGCTAAACAATAATAATATGTTCATATTTAGTTCGGAAACATGATAAAATTTTATGTTTTATCGAATAAGTAACATGATTACTATGCGATTGTGGTAGGTGATATGGTATACACATTTCGTGTAACTAAAATATTGATTTATTGATGCAATTGAATATCATGATTTCGGTTAGTAGAATTCTGATGAAAGAAATATATTAGTAATTACGTGGATAAGCTATCGTACCTAGCTTTTAGCCAGAGGGTTTGTAATAACAACGTAAACCGTATAACACAAAGTTGATGTAAATAAGTAAACACAAAACAAGTCGAAACAAATAGATGTAGTGAATAAAGTTGGATGATATTAATCAGACTAATTTGCTATTTTTTGATTCTCAGTATGAAAATAAGAGTAGATGAGATGTTGATGAATGAAAATATAAAAATTTCTATAGAGTTTTTTAGATATTAATTTTTTTAGAACCATTTTTACTCCATGAAAAAGTTGAACTTATAAGCCAGTATAATCTCATGAAATTTTGATTTATAACAGTACGCTTGAGAAACACATCTGCAGTAGTGGAATGTAGAAAACGCCTGTGTATAATTATGATACTGGTTTATTTCAAAACTTGGCATAAACATTAGGAGAATATGAGAGAGACTTGAATGTACTGAATATTCTCTTCAACTTTACAATTTCAGTCTTACCTAAAGTTACGAAAGTTTTGTAACATTATTAAAATAAAACAAATCTGTTAAATAGTTTCAACATAATATAAAATTAATAATTGATTCTTCTGTAAATTGTTATGTGCTTAATAATTATAAGTTTATAATAAGTAACGTTTTCACTTACTTGTTCTGAATGTAATGTAGAAATCAATTTGAAACAAATTTAAAATAAAACTATTCAATATTTAATTTCATTGTAAAAAAAATTTGTCATTGTAAAAAAATAAATATGTCAGCGTTTATATTCAGATTGTAATTAAAACAGTTAATGAATTTATAAATTTCAATTTTTAAACACATTAGATGACAAAACTTGACCAAAGTTGAATCTTTGATAATGCCATAGTGAAAATAGGTCACATGAATTACCTCTGAGTAATGCAATCTTGGGGTCTCACTGGTGCAAGAGTAATTGCTACAAGCGAAACAACGGGCAAGATAAGCAGCTCGCAAATTTAGTCGGAAAACTGATTGAAGTTTGACACTCAATGCGCTTAGGAAATTCCGTTACAGTTCTTGAGGAATTCCAGAAAAGGCATTTAAATATATAGATAGTAATAGAGAGAAAGGGTAATAGACTTAGTAGTCAATAGAAACCAGTTTGGTCGATTGTTTATGCACGAACGAATCGTCGGAAAGATTGAAAGATTGAAACAGATCCACCATGAATTGAACCTTCAATCAATTTCTCATATACCTCTATTTCTTCTATAAGATTTCCCGTTTTCTAGGAAAATTTCAATCTCCTTTATACAATGACGAAAAATTCTCTCTTTTTATTTTTCATAGATCAGTGGCAAAGCTTTTTTTCAATATTTATTACATTCTCAACAATGCATATTTCACACTCAAATCTACTGTAATACAATTTAGAACTCATTATTGGTATTGAAATTAATCGATTAAAGTTTATTTGAAATTTAAATGAATGAAAAACTATTTAAAAAAGTTTTTTTTAAAACTCAATCAATCAAATAACTTAATAATATATTTACCATATTAAAGTTGTTATAAATTTTGTCCACTTTCTTCTATCATAGTACGGTAATGAGATGAGTTATAAAATTTTTTCTCAAATTGAACTAAATCTCTAAATACCAATAAATTACATTGAGTCATAAAAGTGGATCATCTAATAAATATTGAATTACATAGAAAAAATTCATACCTAAAATAGCTTTTTGCAACAAGATGAATCAATTTAATTTTTTGAAGTAATACTTTAGAGTACATAGCTTCAAGATCGTTGTTGAAGAAATGTGCTTTACTCTCTTCTTCAGTAAGCAATATACAATTCCATGGTGCCCATGGCGTACCAACGTGAAACCTGACAAGCCTCAAGCGAGAAATGTCATCGACCTGACTCACTATTGACCGTCCATGCCAGATATTGTTAACCAAGTGATAGATTTCGGGCTCTTGAATAACATACAGAAGGGTAGAAAAGCACTTTCTTTCCAATTCTTCAGCTCGGATTTCATTGAGTAAATATGTATAAGGTTCATAGTCAATCTTTTTTACATTGCGTTGACTTAGTCTAAAGCAGTAAAGACACGTAGACAACTTTTTCATCTTCACATGAGCAGCAAAGTGCTTTCGAGGTAATAATTTCATACAACTTCTGCATAGTAATTTATCTGATTCAATTGGTTCTTTTAATTCTATTATTTGATCATTATTAAAACAACAATCATGACAATAACGAACAAAATATAAAAAAGCATCTGAAAAATATTGAATAATTAAAACAATTTTTTTTTAATTTTCCAAATATTTTTCAATAAATAAAAAGGTCTAAGTTGTTAATTATATATGTAAATTAAAAGTAATAAAAATGTTGTTTTTTTTTTCATTAATTACTTGATATTCGCTGACGTAAATAATTTAATGACGTTCCTGTAACTATAAAAGTCGAAAGCATTATTTCTTGATCTATCAAGTTTATAAGATCCATAGCAAAATAGCAATTGTGTAAGTTTAGAGATCTCTTAAGGATAATTAACAATTCTAGTCTTTCCTCACTGGTACAATCGTTTCTGTTGAGATTGTCATAAAGGCTCTTAACTTCACGAGCTTTCTGGACTCGTAGTGTGATCATTTCAATAAATTTTCTTTTATATCCAACCCACCGCACTGGCTTACAGTTAGAGATTAAAAATTTTTCAAGTTGTTTACTTTTGTTCTTTTTAATAATAAATTGTTGGTGCTTCTCCAATGTATCTATATTGTTTTCTAGTATTCGATAATTTTCTGCTATCACAGCTGCGGGAAAAAATCTTTTTCGCACTTCATTCAGACGAGATTGCCGTTGGAATTCAATCAAGGCATATATTTTATCCAAATCAGCCCAAGTTTGAGGAAAAGTTTGTCGAATAATGGAACGTTCGTTCCTTTTCTTCAACAATTCAGCTCGCTCTTCTTCAAACTTTTTACAATCGTCCGACATTTTTTTATAAGCTGTTGCACATTGAGACATAGTTTTTATTATTCTCCAAGATCGATAACATTTCTGAATAATCTTTGCCTTTTCATTCAATCTTTTTTCTCTCATTTCATGGGTTTCATACGGCTTAGGTGTCATATATTTATCATTCTCACTTGAAATATAACAATCTTTCCTAAAAATTTTACATTGAGAATAATATTGTAGATAAATAATATTAATGATAACAATTATAAGCCTTTAGTCATTCAAAGAAGAGATTAAGTTTCACCTCCACATTTGTGTAGCTCTATTGATGCTTGGCTGACAAGAATTATCCTTAATATTGATATACTGCGTCTCTCGGCTACAGACATTTTCAACATTGTTTACTATTAATGGCCCTGTTTGAGACTCTGCATTATGATAAATTGTACCTGTGAATATATTTTTCCATCCTCCAAGGAAAGGTTTTCTTATTTTAGCATCAGTTACTTTTACACACAAAACCATTATGTATGGATAATATTTAAAAATTTTTAACTAAAGAATTGTTTTTTAAGCCTCTAAAAATGTATAAACCTTCATTTATAGTTGTAGTTATAAATAAACAACTTTTCTTTATTACTTATTCTAATTTATTGTTTTTTGTTTTTTTTCAAAGAAATTGGCAACAGTCTTTTTGCAGTTTCAGTACAATTTTATTGATTTTTCAATTACTCTTTATTTAAAAATTAATTGTGAGAATTTATTCAAAGAACTAACAAATCAAATTAACAATCAATCCTGACGAGAAAAATTGTACAACGGATATTTTTTTACGTTTAAATATATATATACATGTATATGATTATGTATATATATACAGGAATATTCAGATGTATAATCACACACAGACACATTTGTTTAATTTTGATTTAATACATGAGCGCGTTCAACGCATATTTCAGTTAATGTACTCCACTTTATATTTACTATCTATCTTGAAGGTAGAAATAATTGGAATAAAAATATCAAATGAAGTTAAGATAATTTGAACAAATAAATCAATAAAAATGTACAGAAATTAAATAAAATAATTCAAATTTTATTGGATAATTTTTTCCTCATTAATTATTTTTCTTAAAATGAAATAATCTGTTAAAAATATATATATACTAGATTCGATTTAATACCTATAAAAAAAGCTATGAAGAAAAAAAAAAGATGATTTTATACGAGTTTTATAATGGGAAAATGTTGATGGCAGGAAAAGTCGAAGACAGGTGGTTCTTTGGAGTCTTTTTTATGTCCATCAGCTAATAATTTTACTACTATGAAGTTTGTTTTAGTTACCTTTAATAAATCATTTATCTGAAAGAAATGAAATCATCTTTAGTAGAATTATCTTGATAAGTAATTAATTAGTAGATTAAGAGGATAAAAATGAAAATTATTATGTATGTATTAAAGCAGTAAAAAATACCTCATTAGCATTAGAAGAATTTCTATCCTGGCACAAAGACAAAGCATAATCCAACATATTTTTAGCTTCATGGAAGTGTCGACATGCTGCTGAGTATTGCATTTCACTCGTAATTCCATCCTAACAAAAAAAAATGCACAGTAATTAAATCTCTCACTATATTATAAAATTCACAGTTTCCAAAGATTTTTTTTTATCAAAAGCTTCATTTAAACTTTATATGATATTTTTTTTATTTTTTATAATAGAAAAATAAATATATCTAATTGATTGACAAAACTTAATGAAGAATTAAGTAAAATGAAATAATCCATCCTTTAAAATTAAATTTACGATGATTTATAAATCCAAATCCTTACTCACATTTTTTTTATTTAAATGAGAATTTGTGAGATCCAAAAATTTATCATAGTCAGCAGCTGGTGGTAATAACAATGAAGAAAATGGCGATAAAAGTCTATGTTCATATCTAACACGTTCTGAATCAAATTCTTTTTCTGGAAGTGGAATTTTGCCATCCATCCGAAGGCCTACAAGGGCTTCAAAATATCCTCCGCATATATTTTGTAATATTCTGTACATGTGAATTTCGGAGCTATAAGGTCTAGGTGTCATTTTCTTCTTTTTATTTTTTGCACTTTTCTTTCCCCCTCGTCCTTTGTGCATTTCACTGTGAAAATCCTGTTCCATTAGGAAAGAGCCAGCGCGCGTAAGAGCTGATAATAACCAGCCATACAAAAAGTGATGCAGATACCAGAAAATGTAATGATACTCATGGACTGAATAAAGTTCTAGCTCGAAGCCACTTAAAAGATACATAACCATAACTCTTACCATATGGTAAAGTAACCAAGTAGCAAAACAAGCTAAATGTGATCGGGATGTATCATTTTTCAACGACAAAGTATTAAGATGACGATCAACACGTTCAGCTTCATCATGCAGCGTAGCAAAATCTTCAAGCATATGAGCCAGTTTATCTCTTTGCCTTGCTCTATTATGTCCACTGAGTTGTAGAAGACTATTAAATAATGTCGTGCAATGATAGAAAAATGTTTCAACACATTCTCTTGCTTGATGATTTTGGAGAAGAGTACTTTTTGGCAATAATGCGGGCGGAGCAGTGAAGCTTCTAGCAGCATCTTTTAAAATATCTGTAAAATTATGCATTCCAAATACTCGATTACCTCCAGGAAGATAAATAATCTGCAGCATCGATCGTGAAAGAATACAAGGACTCTGGCGAGAAAATTCAAGGAAGAAATCTAAAGCACTATGAAATCCAATGCAATTAGTTACTTTTGTTACAGTTTTCAATCGATTTATTAACTCTCCTATGTATTCCAACGCTTCAATCCTTGGTTTTATTTTGGTATATCGTGGAAATGTTGGTGGTAGTAGTCTTTGATTAACCATCGGATCAAATCCCATGATTGTGGGGTGATTAGATACTTCATCAGCTCTCTCTCCTCTATTTACTGTTTTAATCATCACTTGAATCATGTCAGTGCAATTCGAAAGTAATCGCTGAATATCTCCAAGATTCTGTAAGACATTATCTTTCTTGCCCATAGTGGATAACGCTAAATAAAACATTTTTGTAAATCTTATTCTTGCATAAAGTGCCAATCCATCATTGTATTCTTTTTCAGTCTCTTCATTGACTGGTTTAATACGACTTTTCCGATGTAGTTCTTCTTCAACTTCTTTTAACATCGATAGTGTCTTGGCTTCAGTAATGTCTGGTTGAAGTTTATAACCATATGTAACACTCTGGAAATCTTCTTCTTCAAAAACCATAGCTCGGTTGATGGAATTCTTAATTACATCAATTATTTGGTAGACAGCATAACAGAATGTTTTTAATGGTTTATCTACGATCTGTCCAGGTTGATGCAGGTACAAATTAGTAAAAACTGTTTGAGCTAAACTGTGTCCTTCAAGCCAAGAGACAATACAAGCATATGTTGAATCAATAATTCCTATCACTTCAGCCGGTGTAAGATTTTCTAATCTTATTGCTCCACTTTCTACAGCTTGCTCGAAGGTATATGGTTTATTATTTCCTCTATTGCACAACATTCCAGCATCCATTTTAGGATCCATCATCTCAATAGCAGACATAGCTTCAAATAAACCAAATAATTCATCATGTAAAAGTTCTCCGAGCTCTAGACCTGAACAAAGATTGATTACACGTTATTTTCGTTTATTAAAGTATAAAAATAAATACTAACAATTTATTAGATACTTACATTTGATAGATTCGAAAAAATTTTCTGTTATATCCACCCAATTATGAACAGTCGGCTCATACCTATAAATGAACATTAACAAATGTAATAAAAAATAATATACATTTTGTTATTGACAACCTTGAAGAGGTTACTTTTGAATCCATAAATGGGTAATTACTTAACAATGATTTATAATGTTAAAGTTCGATTAAATAAAGTCAAATAATATTAAAACTTCTGAAATTAAAATGTAATTATTAACTTACAACAAATGTTCTTTTACGTCTGGCATTTCTACTGAAATTTGTTCCTCCACTGGAGTCGCCATTATTTAGACTAGACTAAATGATAGATGAACAAAATTAGAAATAACATAGCCTAAAAATCCAACATGACATTTATTTTAAATTATGTATTTAACTGAAGTTTTGACAATCAATTAATTAAATAAAAATATCTCATAAATACATTAATGATTATCTAACTAATTAATCAAGGTACGATTGTGTTGAAAATGAAAATTGGAGCTAAAAAATTATTTATTTCGTGGTCATCAAGCACATCAGCGCTCCCAAACAATCTCTTCGGAACTAAATAGAGCGCAAAATTTGAAATTTATCTTAAGAAATTATCGTGTAACTTGATCTTTTAAAACTAAAATTATTTATTTCACTTATTTTCTGTTCTTACAAATATTACTCCAAAAATAATGTATTCCCTATTAATGATCACATTTTCCAAAAATATATTTAAAGAAAAAAATTTATATTGTTTTTCATCAAAGAAAATTGTATCTCACAAAAGGTTATTTTTAAATCAGCGCCACATGTGATTCATTTATGAAACAATTGTTGTTTCGCTGAACCTACACATCTATACGTCCACCTGATTTATCTGTCGTCAAACGGGGTTTGCACTTCTTTCTTTTAGACTCCATATGCCAACTCATCTCATTATTTTGTTAGACTGTCATCAACGTAAACAGTATTGTAAAAAAAATATAGAATATAAATAAGTCATGAAGTAACATCTTTTTGATATAAATTAAACAGAACTTTGGTAATTATCTAATGAAGAAAACTATTTGTTATCAATTGTTAATGATCAGTGTGTATTAATAACAATTACAGATACAATGACGAGTATTACAACCGGGTACAATCCCGAGAATAATGCTAAATTTTTAGAAAGCCTACAGGCCAATTTAAAGACTCTCAGTTCTGAAACTAAAAAGAAATATCCTCAAATAAAAGAAGTAAGTGTACTTTTTTTACTATTACTATCATATTGATAGTATTGTAAATTTTATCTGACAATGAATCATCATGACAAAACTAAAAATTATCTTCATAATTATTGCAGTCATGTGAGGAAGGAATAGTTAAACTCAGAGCTGCTGCTAATAATCCATCGGCATCTATTTATTATGTTGTCAATCAAATTCTTTTCCCTTTAGTACAAGGATGTGAGAGTAAAGATGTTAGAATAATCAAGGTATAAAATTTCAGTATTTCTCTAATGAATTTAACTTGTTTTTTAATATCTTTAAAATGAGGAGCTAATAAAAAGAATGTCAAATAATATAAACAAATAATCTGTTTAATTTATTGCAGCTTTGTTTAGAAATAATGCAAAGACTGATAACACAACAAGCTATTGATCAAAAAGGTGCTCGATATATTACTGATACTTTATGGATGTTAATGGAACTTGGTATAGAAGAAGTTAAAGTTCTTCAAACTGTTACGCTTCTTCTTGCAACTAACACAATTGTTCATGGAGAAATTTTGTCTAGAAATTTAGTATTGTGTTTTAGACTTCATTTCACAAAAGATTCTACAACAATTAATACAGCTAGTGCAACAGTAAGACAATTAGTATCTTTAGTTTTCGAAAGAGTTATCGCTGAAGATGAACAAAATGTAAATGAATCAGAGCCTGAAAAAACTGTCCTTGAAGAGTTAAAAACATGTACTGGACAGCCACCAAAAGGTCTCGCTCCTTGTGCTGCAGATGCTTTTTTAATGTTTCAAGATTTAGTACAATTAGTTAATGCAGATCAACCTTATTGGCTGATAGGAATTACTGAAATGACAAGAACATTTGGTTTAGAACTTTTGGAGTCAGTTTTAACCAATTTTTCATCAGTCTTTTTTAAACATCCTGAATTTAGTTTTTTACTAAAAGAAAGAGTATGTGCTTTGGTGATTAAATTATTTTCACCAAACATTAAATACCGAAACTCCGTACCTGCATCAGTTCAGCAAGCAACACCTCTCGATAAACCATACTTTCCAATTAGTATGCGACTTTTAAGAGTTGTTTCTATATTGGTACAAAAATATCATTCACTTTTGGTACGTCATTTATTATGTCAACTCAAAAAAAAAAATTATATTAATGATGTAACTGAAGGTTAAATTGATTTTCTAGGTGACTGAATGCGAAATATTTCTATCTTTAATTGTCAAGTTTCTCGATCCCGACAAGCCTGCTTGGCAAAGAGCCTTAGCTTTGGAAGTTTTACATAAAATGACCGTTCATACTGATCTTCTTACTAGTTTTTGTGAATGTTATGATTTAAAACAACACACAACAAATATTTTTCAAGATATTGTCAATAGTTTAGGTGCTTATGTACACAATCTTTTTATCAATTCTCCTGCAGTAAGTCAAGCGGCTGGAGGTAATTATAAATATAAATTATTAAACTAATTAATTTATTTTCATAAATCTAATTAAATAATGATGTTTCAGCTGCTGTTGCAACCGCTCAAGGTGCAGCACCAACTTTATTAGCTGGAATGCCAGTAGGTCCAGGTGTAACACCTCAACCTGGATTTTACTCACGAGGAGTTTGGCTTCCGGTTGTTGCTACGTTTTCAAGTGGTCAGGCTAAACCAGTTTACTTAGAAATGCTTGATAAAATAGAACCGCCACAAATTCCCGATGGTTATGGCATAAGTATTGCATATGCATGTTTACTAGATATAATTGGTTCAATTTCTCTTGCAATTCTTGGCCCTAAAGAACAAGGCAATCAAAATCCATATAATCCATCAGAAGTAGAAAGGAAACTACACATTCAGCTAATTAATTCGAGCTGGTGTGGCTTGCTTGCAGCTTTAAGTCCTTTGGTAGACGCAAGTACAGATGAAACAGCAACAGAAAACGTACTGAAGTCAATCCAAACGTTTGCATCACTTTGTGGTTTATTAGATTTGCAAACTCCTCGTGATGCATTTATAACTGCTATTTGTAAAGCATCACTTCCACCACATTATGCACTCACTGTCTTGAACAGTGCACCTCAGGGAATTCCAACAGCTCGACCTCAAGAGCCAAGTCAATACAATCCTTCAACAATGGGAGAACAAGACTATCGACAACAAGTGGTTGCTGTTGGTACTCCATTGCCGACAGCTTCTCTACCAATAGGTGCACAACAAGGGCCTGTCATGTTAACGGCAAAGAATCTACAGTGTATGAGAGCGCTATTGATGCTCGCTCACTGTCATGGGAGCATTTTAGGCAGTGCTTGGCACTTAGTACTGACAACTCTTCAACATTTAGTTTGGATTCTTGGTCTCAAACCTTCAACAGGCGGATCTCTTAAGGCTGGTAGAACTGCTACTGATTCAAACGCTGTTCTTACTACTGCTGTGATGGCTGATTTACCAGTGTTAAGTGCTATGCTGAGTAGACTGTTTGAAAGCAGTCAATATCTAGATGATGTGGCCCTTCACCATTTAATTGATGCTTTGTGTAAATTAAGTCAAGAAGCTATGGAGCTTGCATATTCTAATCGAGAACCTTCGTTATTTGCAGTTGCTAAATTATTAGAAACGGGACTGGTGAATTTACCACGTGTTGAAGTTTTATGGAGACCATTAACAAATCATCTGTTAGAAGTTTGTCAACATCCACACATAAGAATGCGTGAATGGGGAGTAGAAGCAATTACATATTTAGTTCGAGCTGCTTTACAACATAAGTATCCTCAACCTCTTCGAGATAATCAAAAATTACAGACTTTATTGCTTGGTCCTCTCGCAGAATTATCATCTGTACGGCATGCAAATGTACGATGTCGACAACTTGAATGTGTTTTACAAATTCTCCAAGGTGGAGGAGAAACTTTATTTCATGGGTGGCCTTTGGTATTAGGTATCATTGGTGCAGTGTCTGATCATCATGGTGAAAGTTCAGTTCGAATAGCTTTTCAATGTCTTCAATTAGTAGTGACAGATTTTTTACCAGTAATGACCTGGAGATGTCTGCCATTATGTGTAGATACAGCTGCTAAATTTGGTTCTCAAACTCAAGAATTAAATATTTCTTTAACAGCGGTTGGATTGATGTGGAATTTAAGTGACTATTTCTTTCAAAATCAGGAAAAATTGTGTAATTCCTTAAAAGGAGATACCGGCTCAATATTCCCAGACTTTCCTGGAACGACAAATATGCCAGCTTTTGATAAATTATGGATGTGCCTTTATGCAAGACTGGGTGATTTATGTGTTGATCCACGACCGGCTGTACGAAAATCAGCAAGTCAAACTTTATTTTCAACTATATCAGCTCATGGTGGTCTTCTTCATCAACCAACATGGCAAGCTGTTCTTTGGCAAGTTCTCTTTCCACTTTTAGATAAGGTGCGGAATTTATCCAGCTCAGCAAGCAACGAAAAAGTTGATACCAGTGGTATTCTTATACATCACAGCAGAAATACAGCACAAAAACAATGGGCAGAGACACAAGTTTTAACTCTACGGGGTGTAGCAAGAGTTTTTAATACAAAACGGCAATTACTTGAAATGTTGGGAGATTTTCCAAGAGCTTGGTCTTTGTTACTCGAGTTTATTGAACATTCAGCATTGAGTAAAAACAACGAAGTTTCTTTAGCAGCATTAAAATCTTTTCAAGAGATTTTATATCTTCACAAGAATGGAGAAAATGAAGACAATATTCCATCTGGAGAACCTGAAGCATTGTGGTTTGTCGCGTGGAGAGTGTGGCTAAATATTGGTATGGAGAGTGCTTCACCACCTCAAGAGGATGATGATAAACCTTATGTTCCTTCCCAAGCATTTTTAACAGCATTAGTTGAAATATTTCCTCCACTTTTTCAACACATAAGAGTTAAATTTACGAGTGCAGATTTAAAGAAATTGTGTACCGTATTAAAAAATGTTGTAGAGGTTCCAGTGCATGGAGAATCAACATCATATATTTTACCTACAGTTTCTGATATTGTGCTAACGGAATTACAAGATGGTGTACTTCATTCCATGGAGCTTTTACAAAAGGAAGCTCTTAATGGTGTTGATAATTTACGAATTATGATAGGTTCAATATTTTTACAATTACTATCATTTTCCAGATTAGCATGTCACGCTCCTACATACGGAAAACTGACAACGAAGAAATTTATCTCAGGTACGAGGGACCTCAGCTGATTGGGTAACGATGAATTATGTACCTTTTGGAGAAAAAGCTTTAACCATGGTAGTAAATTTATATCAAAAAACTGCATCAGAACAAGTTGTGATTGATGAAGAAATTTTAAAACACGTAATAGAAGCATTACGAGTACCATTATCTATGAAATATGCATGTCCATCACCATCAACATGGAAATTAGCAGTTACGAGTCTTCTAGCCGTGTTACATACCGGATTGCCTTTAGCACGAATGTATCCCGATAAATTTCAAACAATGTGGCCTGCACTAGCAGATACAATGGACGAGTTTTTATTCCCTAAAAGTGTTATTAAAGTAGAAAGAAACATCGAGGAAATTCAAGCTGATGAAGCAGTTGATTGTCAAGTTATGGAACTGTTACGTGATGAAGTACTTCCATACTCTCAACATATACCACATCAATTCATTTTACGAGTTGTCATGCTTTTAAATAAAGGCTCTATACATTCTGCTACGTCTTCAAACATAGAAATGAACGGAGAAACAAAGCTTAGAGAAGAATTTGCTAAAACATGTTTCGAAACACTTTTACAATTCTCCTTATTAGATGGATTAAACAATGTTCCTGATATAACTATTGATCACAATAATAAAGAGAGCAATGAGGGTGGAGTTGCCGGTCGATTAGCAGTCACTGCTTTGCTTCATAGATTTCAAGAAGTTTTATGTCGTTATATTGAAGATGAACGGCGAAGTGGGAAATGTCCATTACCGAGATATAGGCTATCAGAAATTTCATTTGTTCTTAAAGCTGTTGCTACTTTAATAGTGTCTCTGAAGAAAGCTCCAGCAAATAAAGTGGAACGATCTGTATGGATGCAATTGATTGAACTTTATCCTTGTTTAGTTGAGTGTAATTTAGCGACAGCATCCTCACAAGTTACTAGATCACTTAGAGAAGCTTTAATGCAGTATCATGATCTCCTGAGACCACCTGTCGACAGTGTAGCATCAAATGGTGTCTGACCACGGCATACAATTTATTTACATTAAACAAACTCATTAAATAGCACAGTATCAGATAACGTAACCAAATAGTTCAATTTTCCCTTTAATTAATCTTATAACATTCTTTGAATAAAATAATTCGTAGTTTTCCATTTTTTTATTCTGGGTTTTTCAAAGAACCAAAAATTTTTTATTCATTTTAAATACTCACAACTAATGAGCAAAATATTAAAAACAAAAAAATTAATATTTAAAATATTAAAAATTTTTTCGAAAAATATAATTTTTTATAATATTAGAAAGAAAATAAAAGAAAAGTTTTCAATTTAAATCGAATAAATTTTTATCAACATATTTACTTGAATAAAATCGTTCTATTTTTATTAACTTTAAGGAATAAATAAAAAATCAGAAATATTTGTTCATAAGTTTAGAGCATTTAAAATTGTAAAACTCAAATGGTCGGATAAATTTAAAATCATCTACGATTTCTGTACCAAATATACAATATTCATACTCAAACGTAGATCTTGACTGAATATTTATGGCTGCATAGAGTAGAATATATTTCATTTTACAGAAAATTGCGAAAATGCTTTTTAATTACACTAATGATAAATAATTGTAATAATATTATTGAAACAATTGTTTTTGTAAAAAGTTTTACGATTGCTGTGATTATAAACTATCGGAAAATTTGCTTGATATCATAGAATGTCATTAATTTAAACAATTAACACGACGTTGAAATTGAAGAGGCCTTAGTCGATTTATTACATTCATGTTCAAAATAAATAATACCAGAGGTATTAACGATAATTGTGCATACGAATGGAATATTTTATAATTATTGTATTTAATTATATATATATATATATAAAAATATATATGAATGTATATTTTAGTTTATCTTTAATGGTTTATTTTGAAAAAAAGAGAAATAAAAATAAAATTGTATAGTATTTATCATAAATTCAGTGAATTTCAATTTATTCAAGAGGTTCATTGACTTAACTTTTTTTTAGATACTTTTGAAAATTAATTAAGTTATGAATGTAACAAAATAACAACAAAAGATTATAAACAGTAAAACCACTTAACTATTAGTTGTCGTATATTAGTCGATGTTTGATATTTGATAGTTGAACTATTCTTTCGTAATTTATTATTATTATTCATAAATATAATTTATAACTAAAAAAAAATAGACTAGAATTATAATAAAGAATCTTATAAATTTTGTGCAATATCAAATAACTGGTAATTAGACTGACGACACAGCAATTGATGTGATTTCTAGGGTGAATCTGATCTTTTGACTTTCAACATTTATGATCATCTACCGAGTGTTTATTAGGAACAATTTCATAATTCACCAAAACTATCGAATGCTGTTATTATTATTAAAAAAAATTTGTAAAACGTTTAGACGTTAAAATTAATTAGTGTAACATCATCGATACAAATGTCTTATAGTAATAATAAAGGTTACTTTCTCATTAATTAGAATTTCAAATAAAATTGTTTTTGTAAATATTATATCCTTATCTCTCAAATTGATATCAAAACAAAGAAGAATTCATGCGTCATTTGAAACTGCATTCTTTGTTTTTATTCAATTAACATTTTCTTAATAATTAAAAAAAATTTTTTTAATTTATGCATGATGAATGTTTTATTTATTTGTCAAACTCCTAAATAAAATGGAGTATTTTATCTATTATTATTCTTTTTTTTCTTTTATTCAACACGTGTTTTTTCATTGTTGCCAACTCCACAGCCTCCAATGTTGTAAAGATGGGATACACAACACCGCTGAAGCAATTAAACCGCGTGACGTTTTCAAGGAAACACACTGTAGGATATCTCCCTACCACACGGGGTCCATTTGAATTTTGAACGTTAACCGTTGGGGGTTTCTCTCTTGGGATCGTTTACCGATTGGTTAGTAAGTTGTAGCAGGTCAAAAAAATATAAAATAGCTGGTCTTGAGATTGGTCCATAAGTGTCGCCTGTTTATCTCACAGCATTTTTATGCTGTACTACAATTGTTAGAGTATGCATAACTGCCGTAGAGTAAAAACCGAATACCGTGTTTAGAGTGAATACAGATATATGTGATTTGCAACCTGTTGCATACTTGTAGAAGCTGTGATTATTACAAATAAGTGGAAACTAAGGACTTTAGTGATTCCTTACATTGGAATTTGCTTACATTTTCATTTTATAAAAACATTCCACAAGGTAAACGGACGCTTTATTTTAATTTTTTTTTCTTCTATTTATTGGAATCAATGAAGATAATGATAAATATTCAATAAAATTACTCCAATTCATTTATAAATCAATAATTGAGTATTAATCTTATTAATTAAAATTTTTTATTATTTATTCTTTCAGTTAAAGTGTTGGAATTGAGTACAGTTTAGATGCAACTGTAAAATTTTTATATTTATCAAAATTATATAATAATATATATAGAAAATGAGTGATATTAGTGAAAACGCGAAATACAAGTGGACTCCAGATAGTACATCATTATTGGTATCAGTATGGTCCGACAAACTCGTACAAAAACAATTCGAGTATGCATCGAAGCCTCAATTAATTTGGGAAAGTGTATCACGTTACATGCGCAAAAAAGGATATGAAGTTACTGCTCGTCAATGCAAATCAAGAATGAAACAAGTTTTAGTATGTTATAAAGAATCTAAGAAATCTGGAACAAACGCTGGCATTGAGCGTTATTATGAATCTATTGAAAGAGTAATTGAAAGTAAAAAATTAGGTAAAAATATACTTAAAGATGATGGTATCGATACTGTTGGTAGGTTTGTTTTTAATATTTTCATATCACAGGAGAATCTCTCAAAGATCTAACAATTTGAAGACTCTCAGATCTTCGAGAGTGCAGTAAAATTGATAGTAAAATTCATCAAAGAACTTAAGATAATAATGTACCTGAACACTTTTGGGTAAGGATTAAAACGAGATAATCCCTTAAAATTTGTTGACACGGACCTTTGAGAGATTTTACTGTATTTTTTTAAATATTCAAATATTTATGAACAAAAAATCAATAAAAATGGAATGTTTTTTTTTAAAACTAGATTCAGTAAAGGTTTTACAATCTCCTCCGAAAGACATGAAAACAAATGTAAATCTTAAAGTGCAAAATAAATTTGGAAATCCAGCAAGATCTTTAATGAAACATATTGAAGGTCCTACAAGCAATTGGCAAAGTGGTAATATAATATTTATTAATGTATATTAAACTGATTATAAAAAAATCTATTTTTAACAATTTAAAAAATTTGATGATTTTAGATCATGAAGAGTATGGTGACTCTTCAGAATCCAATGAAACAGTTGTTGTTCGTTTTCCTCGCTCTCTATCACCAATGAAGAATGTTGCAACTAATACTATTTCTGATTCTATGCCGTTAAATGGAAGAGCTACTCGACGATCTTTGCCTGTTATTGGTGAAAGGATGAAATACGAAAATTTAGAATTAAATGATAGATTTTCAGAAATACCATTAAAAAATAGTGTGCAAAATGTTCAAAATCAGATAATTCAGGAAAATATGATGCTCCGAAATCAATTGGCTCATGAGAATATAATGATGCATCAACCGGATTGTCAAGTGAATATAAATCCAAATTTGCATGCTAATTATATTCCTGACACAATGTCTTATCATCCTAATCGCATTACAACAAATATGGCTCGAATTCAAAGCCAATTACAACAATATTCTATCAATCCAAATCCAGCGATGCCTCAAGAACCACGAAAATTCAGAAATCCTCACGAAAATATTGAATTTAATCCTAGTTATAGACCTTTGATTCGTAATTATTCTGATCAATACGCTGCAGATATTGCACCTAATTTGAATGATGCTTTTTGTCAAACTGTAAAAAATACTAAAGTGCATAATCTGAATGAAACTTACGATCAACCATTATTCATAGAACATGAAATTCAAAATAATAATGATGCTACTACTATTACAAATAATGCAACCTTTAATGATGATACAATATCCATTGAATTCATCCAAGATTCTCCAAGTCCTACAGAAAATGAAGCCAATGGATTGAAAAATAATTCATTTGATAACAGTCTTTCAGCTCCTAATGCTCCAGCAAGGTTAAAAAAAATACAAAAGCTTGAACAGTTGATGCTAAATGCAATGACATCACAAACTGAAGTAGTAAATAAAATACTAGCAGCTCAAGATGTTATAGTTTCGAAAATTTTAGATTTTGATAAAGAACGTCAGCATCGATTAGAAGATCGTTTAGATCAATTGATGAATGTTGTGCAACAAACAGTGACAAATAAAAAAGTTGATGATAATAATCAAAATACCGATACAGATGGTGTAGCACCATTAGTATCACCAATAAAATATCCAGTGTGTTTTTCTCCACCTCCCAAGCCTGGGACAGTTCCTCCAAAACTTGATTTAGTGCCGCCTAAACCTTGCAGAGTTCCTTGTACCAATCCATCGGTAACCGTAGATCTTATAAATCAAAATCCTATTCAAACTCGTCCAGGAATTATTGCTCCTCCTAAACCAGGTAGAATTTGGGAGAAACTTGGTCCTGTATCTCAATCTCCTTTTGTCAAAGCTCAACAACAAATTTCAGCTGTGACTAAAGCTGCAGAACATTGGCGAACAATATCATCAGCGGAACGAAGAATTGCTCGTAGTCTTGATTCAAGCCCAGATACAAAAATTATAATTGAAGAAACAAAAAAATTTTTGCAATCAGAAAAACTTATGGAGGAACGAATTGGAAATGCTAAAAATATGTTAATAGCAGATAAAGATACTTCGGCTCGACGAAAATTATTTGAAGTACCTATTGAAGAACAGAAAGAACAAAAAGACGGTGAAAAAAAAGAAAAGGAACCTTCAGCAGTTGTTGTATTGACTAAGACTTTTCTAGAAATAGAACGACAAGCGGAAGAAAAATCTCGTACTATAATGCAACAATATGAAAATGATACTAATGACAGTGATGATCTATTAACTGGACAAGGAGCGAGTTATGAACGATTGCGGCGCTTAAGTTTTAAAGCGAAACCTGTAAACCCTATGAAGATGGTCTATAATGAAAAATTGGATACTTCAACTCCAGCAAAATGTAGTAATAATTACAATAATTATCAAGAACAGATAAACGATAATTATAATGAACCCAGACAAACTATTCAACAATTAGCTGAGTTAGTAATGAATAGTGCCCGTTGGCGTAATGCAGCAACTGCTCCAAACAATCCATTAAAACCATTAGTTAATTTTGTGGAATCAAACAAAATAGAGCCAGTCCGACCTCCTCGTGAGATTGAAGCACAACGTCAGAGTGTCAATAAAGCTCGAGATTGGTTACAAGACCAATATATTTATGAAGTTAGTAAACAATTACCTAATGAGGCATTTACAGCAAATAATTATCCAATTGGGTTTTCGAGTGCTAATTTAAATATCCAAGATCAAAATGTAGTGAAACGTACGTTTGATCGTCAGGTTGGATTCTCTCAAGATGCCATGATACCAAAATATGGTAATGTCAATAATCGAGAAATGTTGGAAAATGAAAGAAAAAATATAGAACACATTCGTCAAACTGAGCAGGAAAATAATCGAATTAATAAAGCTGATGATGATGATGATGAAGAATTCCTTGATACTACAACGACTTTACAGCCATATCGAAAACCATCTCTAACTTCTACTGGGATGGGTAGTGGTAAATCTGGTTGCATAATATCATAGACATAATTGTCAATCAGTTTTTCTATAATATCAATATTTATAGTTATATCAAATTATTTAGCTTAAACATGCAATACTTGGTGCAATCGCAAAAATCATATTGAAAACTAGTATTTGAAGTTTGAAGTTTTTTCAAAATTTGTTTGTATTTTTTCATAATCGAAAAAATTCTTGATTACAGCTCTTTTGACTTCTTAATATAGGAAGGTTTTAATTTTATATTTGGGTTATAAATTGATACAAATTTAAAATAAACTACCGGATAGTTTGATAGTTAAATAATTTTTTCTATATTTGAAATATAAAATAATGATGATAATGATCGTTACTAGTATAAAAATTCTAATAAAATATTAAGAGTTTACTTAATCTAGATATAATAAATATTCATTATGAAGTTCATTTTTACACTTATTTTTTCTTGTTACTTTCTTTAAATTTGAATCTCATACTGTGTATCGTCCATTGAAAATAATGGTATTAATATTTGTAATAAGCATTATAAAAGGCTTGTCAACTATAAAATTAACTGTTTGTTTTATTGAATCTTCATCGCCTACTCTGTTTTGGAGATCAGACACTAAAACAAAAAAATGTCAGTTTTCGAAGCAGTAAATAAATTAAATAATTAAAATATTTCATTATTTTTTAACAAATATTAGAACGTGTAAATTTAGGTTCAAAATGTTATTACAATAACAAATGAAAACATTTAAAGCACAATGCATACAACACACAAATGGAAATAAGAATTTTGTCATTTTATTCGAGTGTTACCTTGACTCAACATCGGTGCAACGTCCATGAAAAAGAACAACTCCATTGTTCGGACCATCTTGCTTTATAATAGAGTAGTAGAAAGGATGGTCGATACGGAGTTCAAATGGAATTTGTATGGAGAACGTTGTAAATTGTAAGCCTGAATAGCAATAAAAGTAAGAGAGGAAATTCAATGACCGAGGATTTTATAATTTTAAAAAAGGATAGAATGGAATTCCTACTACCAACTTTTTAGCATAAGTTTTATAATTTTTGTTGCTAATATTTTTCGATGATTATATATAATGTTTTTCTTAGACAAAAAAGCACATACATTAAGCAAAATCATATAGCAAAAAAGTTAAAAAGAAGCCAGCAATTGATAAAAAAGATTAAAAAACAAATCTACTACATAGTTCAAATAACAATTACTACAATCTTTATAAAAATAAATGTATTTACCAGTAGCAACCGTAGCTTCACTTCCCTCTTCGTTAACTTCAATAAATGCTTTTTGAATAACTTTTCCAACTTTTAATGGAGGAGAATCAACAATGCCAGTGAAATCAGCTGTATCACGGAATATTTCTATTAATCCCATAGCTTCAAGAGGATCTTTTAGATCCATTGAACTCTCAATTTTAAATTTAGGCATGAATAGATCTACTTCGTGAAACTCTCCAGATAAATATTGATATAGATTGAATTTATGAAGACTAGCTTCAACTTTAGGAAGTCCATCAATATTGTTTGGTAAAATAATAACCATTTTTAATAAGTCACTGTCATCAGAAGACTGAAAAAGATAACAATTAAAAATACATCATACGTAAATTAATACAAATATTTTTTTTAAATAATTATATTTTATAATGTTTTTTAATTGAATAAAAATAAATGTGTAACCTCATATGGCAATTCAATAAATCTTGCATCAACTTCAGGAAGAAAGCCATAACGATAACTGCCCAATCTATGCATCATTGGTACTTTTTTTACAGTTTGACTGTCGACATAAAAGTTTCTCAATTGAGTTTCATTTTTATTGAATTTATTCAACCAATTGCCTTTAAAATAGACTGCATTTACAAGGACAAGTGCAGTGGCGGCATCAAAATCATCTGTATATTTTTGACATAAATCCAATTACATAATGCCAAATAATTTTATAATTTGAAAATTGATCATATTACAATTACCTGGTTTAACAATATCTTTTATGTGTGAATGAGTTTGCCTTTCGCACCAATTATTAATTGAATTACTTGCAGCTAAAGAATTTGTGAAGTCAACTGTCTCGGTCACTGAATGAAATATTGTTTCTGTAATCCTTAAATATTCAGGGTTTACTTTCAATCCTTTAGCCAAGAAAACTTTGTTCGCTAAAGTCAAATTAACATTTTTTACGTCCTACAAATAGACAATATTTATTATACAAATATTAAATGTTTGATGAGAAAAAAACTAGTTATACACACATTAAGCTCTGTTATAAGATTCTGAACTCCACGTTTTTGACTCTCATCATCTATATTGAAATGTAATATTGATGATAATTCATTGCTAGTTTTACCTCGAGCACCATAAGCAACCATTCTTAAAACCATAGCTGCACTCAATGGAGATGTAATAATATTTTTAGATTCATCCTTTGACAGAGCCTATATTTATAAGTAATTAATATGATTGAATAAAAATTTTTACCATTGTTACACTATAAAATTAAGAACTCGGTACTTGATAAATATCATTATGAATGAATAAGCTTTTCACTGATAAACTTTGTTCTTTAAAAGTATGTGTTTACTTTTAATCAATTCTCACCTCATAAAACTTGTTTGAAAATTGATTAATACTCCTGGAAACGTCCATCAATGATTTGAAATCTTCTAATATTTGTGAATCAAGACTAGCTGCATTTATAATGCTTACAACCGCAAAAATCACGCAAATTCGATATAAAATTTCTGAAAAAAATCACTAAGTTAATAATAATACAAAATTTAATGTGTATCATTGATTATTAATTAAAAAATCCAACATTAAAATTCTTCAAAGTTAATGACAGCATGGTTATTTTAATAATAATATGTTAATAATCAAATTATTTTTCAAATTTTGTTATATCATTTTGTGCAAATTTATTAAAATGACTTACGTTCATTCATGATGGCAACGACCTCAAATAACTCGAATCCAGAAAACTTCTTAAGTTCCGTTAATTATGATCAGAGAAATCAACCGAACGGTAATCCTAGCAGTAATGCTCACAGACAGTCAAGGCGTCAGCTATTTGAATTGAAATCGCCTAAAGCATCCCCACCTGTTTCTGAAATCATCCGTGTATATTATATAATATTATTTAAAGGAGTGATGCTAATAAAATCATTCACTTATTTCTTTGAACAATTATGAAATTTTTTGAAAAATTAATTAACCATATAATTTTTGTATCATTATTCGTCTGTAATTTAATCGATTTCAAATCAACTCATGACATTAATGTTCAACAATAAAGAACAATGGATTTGGATAAATATTAACTTTGATTATTGATACAATAATATAATATATTCAGTATGTATTATCGTAATATTTCTATGTCTTATTCGTCGTCTTTAGACTTCGTGAGTTTACTTCCAAATATTCTAATTCATGCCAATAATCCTTTCAAGATAAATTGAAGGTCAAGGTCAAGGTCAAGATCTTGACAAGTTTGAAATACAAAATCACAACTTGTGTTCCGTAGTATAATCACAATGAAAATTTGATAGAGTATCAAAATAAATATATCGTAAATATATTTATATAAACATCAGGAGATGGAGTTGCTTTAGTTTTATTAAACTCTGTTTAATCCATGATGTTCACATGCGTCACAACACTCATGGTCTTTTTTATATTTTTCTTCCGGATGACATTCACATATTGATTGACGCTGACCTTGTGGAACACCATCACATGGCGAATCTTCTTCTGCTCTACATATTGTACAGCAACATATTTCACATGGATCCTTTAAATGTTTTATTTTAATTTAATTCTATTATATAATTAATTAATAATATTCATGAATAGCAAATTAGTTTTTTGTAACGATAAAATATTTTCAGGTTCATAATAAAAAAATCGCTTACATCTATTTCTAGAATAAACTAACGTATTTATATACCTGCATTTTTATGTTACAATAAGTCGTTCCACACAAAGCTTCAATATCAGCTACAACATTTGTTTTCTCAGGGGGTTTGTAAATTTCATCAGGTATTTTATGTTCTTCTTTAATTTGATTAATTTCTTTTTTATTTACATTTTTTCTATTCAAATTACTCCAAAATGTATTCCAGCTCAATTTTTCACGTGGAGGGCAAGCAGCAATGTATTGTGAAGTTCCATCAATTACTATTAAATAATTTAAATAAAATTAACCATAAATACTCAGTACAACAATTATATAAAAATAATAACCATCAGTCTAGATATCATTTTATGTAAATTATTTTAGTTGCAATTGTCATACAAACACCTAGATTGACCAAGTTATGTTATAAAATTGAACCTGAATTAAAAATTCGAAAAATCGTTCTATCACGAAAATCATCCATCGTAGATTTATTAATTATAAATTGACGATTAAACAATTGTATCACGCTTTTCGATTGATTAACTTATGATTTTGATTTCTTTTTTCTTAAATTTAAAAGTAAATATTACATGTAATAAATGGGACATTAATTTATTGAATAAAACAACTGAGAAACATGTTGCAACTTTGAATATTTTTATATGGAGCAGCGCGAATTAAACTGCTCCATCTGGCGTTTTTGAAATTGATTATTTTTTTTAGACGCACTTGACATTCCAATTTTCATTATAAAAAAGGATTGAAAGAAGAGAGAAAAATAATCGTCACCAAAATAATATTTATGATGCTACGAAGATTAAGATAAAACTTAAGTTTTTTAAAGAAAGACTTTTAATTATATAGTCATTGCCGTCGAGTGTTATAGGTGTAATACAAGACGATAGAAAGTGTTTATCTGTTTTTTTTTGTTTGCCACGTAATTTCATAATAGTATAACATACGGATGAACATATAAACTTTTAAATAATTATAATTCTATGACTAGATTTTTTTAAATTAATTAAAAATGCCCAGTAAAAAGAAAAAATATAATGCAAGATTTCCTGCAGTAAGTTTCAGATTTTTTATTTCAACCGTTTTATAATTTTAAACATGAAAAAAAATATTTTATCATTTTTTTTTATTTTCCAATAATATTCTTAAAATTTCATGCTTAATTTTTATTCAACTTTCTACACTTTATGACTTTTTTTAAATACTCCAAAGCAATATTTAAAACAATGCGAAATATAACCTCACTTATTTTTATAGGGGCGCATTAAAAAAATTATGCAAACCGATGAGGATGTTGGAAAAGTTGCTCAAGCTGTGCCGATCATAATTTATATCCTTTACAACAATTTATATACTTGAACTATATTTGTTTTTAGAGTTATTGATTAATAATTTGAATTTTTTAAATATTTATAACCTTAACTGCTGTATATACCTCGTACTTTAGAGCTCTTTGTTCACTCACTTTTGACAAAAACGATGCAAATCACCAGTGCAAAGAGAGCTAGAACATTGAGTCCCTTTCATATGTAAGACAGTTGACAATTATTCTATATCTATTATGTAAAATAACCATGATAAATGACCCTTTTATTTTCTTTGTCTAGGAAGCAATGTATCTTATCAGAAAGCCGATTCGATTTTCTTAAAGATCTCGTGAAAGGAATTCCTGATGTTTCTGGAGTATATGATGAAGTCCCGACACCGCCGTTGACTCCAGCACCTACAGGAAACAATCTAGCTAATAACACGTTAATAACAGTAGCTCAAACACAATCTGATTCACGGTATGTTTTTTTGGAGTACTCATTTGTTTGATTAATTAAGTATTTATTTCTTTTTTGTAAATACATATTTTTTAGGACTGCTGAAGATCTCTCAATAGCACAGAAATCCATGGAAATTAATAGCCCTTCAAAAGACTGTGTAGAAACTATTAATACAGATAATAGTATCGTACAAGAAATAGCATCACCATCATATGGGCAAGTTCCTAATTTTCAAATCTCTATGCCGTCATCGTTTAACATTGGAAAGCCAAATTTTTATACAGAAGTAAATCCAATAAATCTTTCGTGTAATCAAATAGAAAAGCAAGCAACTTCATCTTTCAGTAATAGTACAAATATTGATGAAGATTATGATACATAAAAGAATTGATTAATCATACGGTTAGCTAATTAAATAATTGTAAGCATAATGTGAGTAAAAAGCTGATGGAATTATTGATGATGTATTTAAATACTGATTAGGAGTGTTTAGAAAATAACATAGTAGTTGTTGTGTCAATACTAATAGTAATAAGGTTTAAATTTTACAGTAAGCTATATATGCGAATAGTGATTTTCACTTTTTTTATGGTAAAAATTGTTTAAATAACTTAATTTTTTTTAATAATGTCTAATTCTTTTTTATTAAAAATGTATAAAACATCGACTGAATTCATCAAAGACAATTATTTATGTAACTCATAAAACGACGAACGTGTAACTGTAATTAAGTATTTAATTAATTTTTATTTACCAGAATTTGTAAAACGTATTTCTTTCCATTTCACACATTTACTATCAACTTATCATGATTATAATTATCTTTAATACTATTAGCATTATTATTGTTAATTACAATATCAATATTATTAATTATAACTTTAATTTTTATTTTCCTAAATATTTATTTTATGTGTACATAATAAATAGTACAATTTTTTTTTATTACAAGTACGTTTAAATGACAATCATTATGTCAGTTAAATCGATTTTTCTTATGATTTGAAATTAAAAAAATTCCTATGATGATAGATATTTCGGATAATCGTGAGCAAAAAATACTCATAATTTTAATATAATATTATTGGTTAATGTAAAAAAATTATTTCACATAATTCGACATTTATTTATATTTCATTTCTTATTTTAATTTATCTACAATTAAGTTTCATATTTATTATCGATATATTTTCATCGATTGAATATTATTGCAAATGATGATAAATTGAAATAATTTGAAATTAATGTAGTATCATTTTATTCATTAATCTTATAATTTCATTACTTATTCCGCTATCGCTAATACCGTCAGTTTTATTTTTTTTTTACTGTACATAATCTATTCTAATCGAAAGTAAAATTAATTACAGTCATACAAATCTATTGCCGCATAAATAAAATTTCATTTCATTAGTACGTTAATTACAATATTATTTTCGTAAAAAAATAATGAAGCAATATACATTATGCAGTTGGTATTGTTCATCATTTTTGTATATTAACATATTAAAATTAATCATTGCTTTAATAAGAATTTTATAAAATTATAAAATAGCGAAAATTCAAAGATATAAAAATATTATAAACATTTACGTTTATGATACGAAGACATTAATCCAAAAATTTTCATTCATATAACTTCGCTATACAAAAGTAAACACATATTTTGGAGAAAGTGTTGTATAATAAAAATTTTAAAATCATTTTAGTTGATATTTAACATTGTTTAATAACCTGATGATAATTACAAGAAATTTAATGTTACTTCACAGATAAATATGAATACAGCGAATATGATTAATTAAAAATTTGAAAAAATTAAATGTAATACTGTAATAAGTTCAGTTGTCTACATTGCCTTCATAGAAAGACTCACATTTTTCTAGTAAACGTAATACAGGATTGATATTATAAGGAAATAAAGCTTTAGACACAAGTCTGTCTATAGCCAATCTGAGTCTTATGAGTACTGTCATGGTATCGTCTAATTCTCTACCACAACATGATACAAATTCAGGCCAATTACGCCTAACATATTTGAGAAACCTAAGTAAATAAAGTAAAAAGCAAGTTTCGTTGCTTACAAGCAGGTCTAATAAAACATCAGGATCATGAGATACTGCTCTAACAAATTGAACAAAAGTTAAACTTGGACTAAGCATATGTGCCAATTCATTTTGTGGAGGACCTCTGTAGAAAAGTCCTACAGCAACATCTAAACAACAGACCATTCCTTCGATAAGGAAGTCGTCTTGATCATGGAACATTTGTACAACCCATTGAGATAATGGCATTTCTGGATGAAAAGGCATAAGACCTTTTACACACTGGTCAAGTTGTCTTAAAACTTCTCTGATACTGCGTTCAATAACAGCCATATCAGCATCAAGATCTTCAGCCTCAGAACCTAATGATGAATCACTAGTATCACTTCGTGTTTCTTTTACTGTAACTGCGACGCTTTTGAGCACTAATAGTACGAGTTTTTGAAGAAGCGGCCGATCACCATCTCCAGATCCACCTCCAAATCGTCCAGATCCATGTCGATAAGGTAATCCATCTAACAGTCGCCAATCTTTGACAGCACGAACAATCAAATGCGCAAGTGAACAAGGTTCATCAGGTAAAACATCTTGAAGAGCAAGTGTACTTCCATAACATAACACTTCATTAAATAAACCTAATAGATGCCTCCAAATAATTCCCGGCACATTGCTATTGAGCAACAATACTAGATTATCGAGTTGAGAATAAAATAATTTCGTATCGATAACTGATAGGTTAGCTTTTACAGAAATTATTGATTCCCACAAATCCAAAAATGTTATTACAGCAGATTCATGTTGTGGTGTATAAGATCCAAGAATTGCATCAAATTTTGCCACTAAAACAGTCCATTTAGATTCTAGAGCTTTCACACACATCGCTTTTACTACAGTACTGTCCAAACTTTCAGGATCAGACACAACAAGAGTATTACAGTTTGGTGGTGGAAATGAGGTGTCTTCTTCTAAAGGATGAATTCCACAGTCTTTATGTTCTACTACTCTCTTTACCACATCTAACGTAAAGAGCATTTGACTTGGTGAATGTGTATTCACTAGTGACTGCGTCAGTCTTTCTAACCAGGCTTCATCTGTATTCTCTTTTGTTATTATAAAAAATGAAGCAAGAGCTTTACTTGCTGTATATGATATGAATTTATTTGGAGTACAGGATAAATCGATTAATTGATCTATTATACCATGCTCATTTCTTGTCAATGCTTCACAAATATCCGAAACACGACTACACATAAGACCCCGAGTATTTTGCTTTATAGCAAGATCGAAAAGAAGTTGAAGACCACTAATATATTCTAAAGTTCTTTCGGGTTCCCACTCAGAAATAACACCAATATTACGTCTATCAACTCCATTATTACTACTGGATCTTGTAGTTGCTGTGCCTATGAATGGCTTTCGCAAACTACTTTCAGGAATGCCACATAAACATTGACTTAACAGACTTTTTTGAAACCTTTCCATCTCTGAAATGAACTCATCTTCACTTTCTTCATCCTCCTCACTTACAACCCGCTGTTTTTTCTTCGCTGGGCCTTCCATAGTAATCAACTATTCACAATAATTACAGCACAACCACTTTTTCTTTATATTCAGGTTATTTTTGAAATATACATGACGGTGTTTGCTTGCTCGGACGAAGTAGTAGACACACGACGACCGAGAAACATTGATTTATCATCGGATGACAATTATATTCCTAAATGAAAAATATTTCAATTAATTATACATATTCAATTCTACAAATTAATCGTAATATTTCATAAAGTAAGTTATTTAATTTGTAAAATTATAATTGAAAATATCAACTACATACTTGGTTGTAGTTAGAATATAGCGTCCTCGAGTATTCATAGCTTCTGTTTTTGACTTTGCCGCTACAATAAACTGTTGCTTCGAATACAATAAAGCATGCGCAAGTTAACCCTTTAAAAAATATTCTCGATATTTTTTTAAATTATATTTTCAGTTTTTTGCCCTTTTAATTCATTCAATGTAAACCAATGATACAAAAAACCAATGGATACTCCAATAAGATGTAGTGTATAATTAGATTTCAGATGTAAGAAAAATTGATAAAACTTGAATGCTTTTGTTTGTTAAATTTTGTATAAATAACCAATTTTGTTCAGCCTTTATTTAGTAGATAATATATAAATGATAGGAATATACGATAAACTTCACTTCTAATATTTATTTTAACGAAAGTAATGAACAAAATTAATTTGTTTATAATCAAGGAATTTCTTATGACTAGGAAGAGGCGTACTGTAAGCACCAAACGGGAAGAGGTTTGCTACGTTGCCAAATGTACATATTCTAATGTATAAAAATGTTAAACTTTATTGATATAAACAATGATTAATAATGCTTACACGAATCATTCATATACAACATGAGAGAAATCAATAATCACAATCAGACAATAATATGATTTTAGGTAGGATAAAATATAAAATATCTGGATGGCATCACACGGAGCTGCGTAACACAGTAGCTATCACTTGCACATTCCACTTATTACTAATCCAAAATATAATAACGGCTTTATAAATTGAATTTTCATTATAACTACTATTTATTATAATCAATAAAACCATCAAAATAACATCTTTTCATATTAACTATCCCCTAAATCATAAATTTGTATAATAAATATACAAATGATTTGGCAACGTCGCAATCACAGTAGCGCATATTTGTTGTTTTCCGGTTTTTCTACATTCAGGAAGAAACGTATGTGAGCGAAAAAAAGATAGATATGGAAGAAATAAAGAAGCATTTTCATGATTTTCGCAAAAATTTGATACATGAGTGCTATTTAACGACCGTTCTAACAATGAAATTTGTTGGTTCGTTTTTATTGCTAAAAGTTAATCTGGATATTTAAGAAAGCCAATCATTTTAAACTTTTTAACGAATTAAATAATAAAGGAATAAGAGATAATGTTACTTATAAAATTTCCATTACGTTTAAGAAACGTGAAGTAATTCAGATTTATTCTATTTATTTTTTTTCACATCATTTAAATCCCGGAAATCATATCATATAGCAAATAAGGTTGCGTTGAAAACCCTAGCCTATTTTCGCACACGACCAATTTTAGTTCAACTTGCTTTTTGACAGTTGTAGACGTCGCAACTATCGCAATCTGGCAATTTTCTATGATTTCACGTGGTTCAATTTATAACCTTAAATTTTTATAAATTGTAATTTTTATTAGAAAATAAAATATTATATTAGATAATTTTTCTATAAAAACCAACGATGGTGAAAGGTGTTTATATAATTTAATATAAATTTGATTTACATTATATTTTTTATTGAGATTTTGTATTTCTTATCAAATCGTGTAATTTTGTTTTAGATACTAGAAGAGATCGAAATAAATTGTCATGGGTTTATAGACATAAAAAGAAACAAGGAACGATTAAAAAACCGAATAATAAAATATGTGATGATCAAAAAACTAGGATCATTGTCAAAAATCTTTCATTTCAGGTAGAGTGTTATTATTTATTTATTTTTCTACGTACATGTTATCAATCAAACCTTTTTTTAATAAAATTTAACTTATAGGCAACAGAAGAAGATGTAAGGCAATTATATGAACCTTTTGGAAAAATAGAAAAGATAGATATACCAAAAAGAGCTGATGGAAAAATAGTAGGGTGTGCTTTCATTCAATTTGAAAAATTTGAAGATGCATCCAAAGCTATTTTCAAAACTAATAAGCAGGAATTTTTAGGTTCGTAGAGTGAGAAATATTGTTGAGATTTCAAGATAAAAAAATATACTGAATTTGAATGTTTTTTTTCTTTTAGGAAGACCTATCACCAGTGCATGGGCTATTTCTAAATTAAAATATACACAAAAACTTCAAGATACTAAAGATAGCCTTAATAACAATAACGAATCTAAAGACATAGACAGTCAGAATGGAGAAAACAATTCAGTCATAGATGATAATACTCACATTGAAGACGATCAGTCGTCTGAAAAACTAAAAAAGTTGAAAACAAAATTAAATCCTGAAGAAAAGAAAGCTTTGAAGCTTAAGAAAAAATTTAAACGAGCGCGAATCGTTGTTAGAAATCTATCGTTCCAGGTAAATATCAAATATATAACTTGAATTTCTTTATTGTAAATATAAATATATATTTTTTCTTTTTATAAGGCTACAGAACAGAACATCAGAGATCATTTTAGTCAGTATGGTAATATAGCAGAAATAAAAATGTTAAAAAAAGATGGAAAACTTACAGGATGTGCATTTATACAATTTGATGATGTGCAAAGTGCAGCTAAAGCTATTCATCATTCTAACATGAAAGTCATTTGTAATAGGCCAATTGTCGTTGATCCGGCAGTGCCAAAAAACAAATTTATACAAAATACCGAGTCGATCGAAATAAAAAAAGAACCTGAAGACCCTACAGAAATTACAATAAAAGAAGAAAAAGAAGATGAGATTGATGAGGGTTTTAACAATGAAGAAGTTGGAGAAAATGGTTGTGTAAGTGATGTAGCTAATGACAGCAGTGAGGATGATAAAGAAAATAGCAGTGACAGTGACGAAGAAAATAGCAGTGATAATGATGGGGAGAATGATAGTGATAATGATTCTGAAAATAAAGATGATGTGAAGGACATCAAATTAATTAAACACGAAAATAATCAAGAGATCAAGGAAGAAAAACGACCTCGAGTAATTTCCCATGATGTACGAGAAGGAAAAACCATTTTTTTGAAGAACGTTCCATTCTCAGCGAAAAATGATGATATTAAAGTATGCATGGAGCAATTCGGACCTGTACATTATGCTTTAGTTTGTATGGATCCACTTACAGAACATTCAAAAGGTACAGCATTTGTTAAATTCAGAAATATTGAAGATGCAGAAAAGTGTTTAACTGCTGAATCAAGTTTACTTCGTTTACAAGATCAAATCCTAGAGCCTCATCGGGCTTTAGATAAAAATGAAGTTTCCAATAAAAACCAATCATCCAACAATAGAATCAAAGACTCGAGAAATTTATATCTTGTCAAAGAAGGTGTGATTGTTGCTGGAACACCAGCTGCTGTTGGTGTATCTGCAACTGATATGAAAAAACGATTACAATTAGAACAATGGAAATCACAAATGTTGAAAAATTTAAACATGTTTGTTTCAAGAATTCGATTAGTTGTTCATAATTTACCGGAAAATGTTGATGATGCAATGTTGAGAAAAATTTTTAAAAAATATTCTGGTCCGAAAGCAATTATTCAAGAGGCACGAGTAATGAGGGATATGAAAAGAATTGATTCTAGAGGATTTGGAGTGTCGAAAGGACATGGGTTTGTTAGTTTTACTACTCATGAAGATGCTTTAAAAGCTCTAAGAAATATTAATAATAATCCTAAAATATTTTCTAAAGCTATGGTAAATTTACGAAGTTTTTATTTTCATTTGATATTAATTTTAAATAATATTCTATCTATTTAACATGAATTATTCTTACTTTTAGAGACCCATTGTTGCATTTTCAATTGAGAATAAGGTGATAGTTAATGTTAAAAAGAGAAGAATTGAAAAAAGTCGAGAAAGAAATCCTTTATGGAGAAAAAAATATGGTCTAGATGACATGAATGATTCAAAAAAATCTATAGAATCAGCACCAAAGCGTATGAAAAATAATCCAGATAACACTAATAAAGATGATACTCAAATTCCTCAGTTCTCTGGGCTAACAAGTAAACCTGGAAAATCTGGAAAATTACGATCGACATACAAATTAAAAACGCAAGCCGTTTTACATAACAAAATACGCAAGAACGAAAGGCGGGTAGAGAAAAATATGAAAATAAATAAAGCAGAAAAGAAAAATCGGAGTAATTCTGAAAAAGTGATAAAGGTAATAATAAAAATTTATTTTTATTCTGCTCTGTAGTTTACATGATGATTAATTTGATATTTTTTTCAGCCCAAACGAAAAAATAATAAAATTAACAAAGATGATGTCAACTTTAACAATCTAGTTGATAAGTATAAAAATAAACTGAAAGTAACACCCAGTAAATCAAAGTGGTATGAAACTTAATAAAAAAAATTAGAACCCCATTTTAATAATAATTTGTAATATATATTCGAATAATAAATTATATCATGTTGCATAAACTGATAAAGTATAAAAATTCTTTTCAAGTTTTTGTATTTAAATCGAAACATTTTGTCTCATTATTACAATATTTTTTGTCTTTTTTTTCTCTTCTTTATCATCTGCGTCCGCATGTGAGGTTGCGTCAATTCTGAGTTTCCCGCCGTTTATGTTGAACACCAACCGTCAAGTACAAGTGCCTTTGTTTATTCGATTTAAAGAGTTTTGTTTTTTTACCTAGTTGCTTTGAATTAAATTATAAAATAAACAACCATGAAGAAACAATCATTTTCTTCGTCTCAACCACCTGCAAAGAAAGGAAAATTCTCGTAAATATCGTCGAAATAACAAATATATAAATTTAACCTCAATTTCAAATTGTCACAATTAACTGCGTACTTGATTTCATTTTTTAATTAATTTTTTTTAGAAAAAATGATGATGATGATGATTTTCCTGGCTCGTTTGAAGCCGAACTAGCCACAATGGATATAGATGAAGATTTTGGTGATGTAACTCAAATAATTGATGAAGAGGTGGCTAAATTTTTTAAGGACTCTAATTTGTCTCAATATTTTTTATTCATTTGTCGTTTAATGTTTTTATAATAGATAAAATTATTTAAATAGAATATTTAGTAATTTTAAAAATGTATCTATCTAGGGTCCAGAACAACAAAATACATCAGCTAAATGGTGCCGGCCACCACCTCCAGATTTCGATCCAGAAAAAGATAAATTGGTATTTCAACAAATAGACGTTGATCATTACATAGGTAAACAGTTACCAGGAATGCCTGGAAGTACGGATGGATCTGTACCAATAATCCGTATGTTCGGTGTAACAATGGAGGGAAATTCAGTCTGTTGTCATGTTCATGGTTTTTGTCCGTATCTTTACGTTTCTGCACCACCAAATTTTCCTGAAAATAAATGTGCAGCTTTCAGAGAAGCTTTAGATACATGTGTACGAAAAGACATGCGTTCTAATTCAGAGAAAATAAGTGTAGCTGTACTTGCCGTTGAATTAGTTTATAAAATAAACATGTACGGATATTCTGGTGAAAACACATCACCATTTCTAAAAATAACAGTTGCCTTACCTCGTCTGGTTGCTGCTTGCAAGAGACTTTTGGAAAGAGAAGTTGTTTTTCCAGAATTTCATCATCAATACAAAGCTTTTGAAAGTAATATTGATTTCGACATAAGATTTATGGTTGATACTGGAGTTGTTGGTTGTTCTTGGATTGAATTACCAGCAGGAACTTGGAAATTACGAGGTAAAGGTGATGACAATATATCTCCCATAAGTCGATGTCAATTAGAGGTTGATATTGCTTGGGATACTTTTATATCTCATGCACCGGAAGGTGAATGGTCTAAAGTAGCACCGTTTCGAATTTTAAGTTTTGATATTGAATGCGCTGGAAGGAAAGGAATATTTCCAGAACCTGAGCATGATCCAGTTATTCAAATTGCTAACATGGTAATCAGACAAGGAGAAGCTGAACCATTTTTGAGAAATATTTTTACTTTGGATATTTGTGCACCAATTGTTGGTTGTCAAGTATTAAGTTTTGCTCGTGAAGATTTAATGTTACAAAATTGGGCTGAATTTATTCGTCAGAGTGATCCAGATATCTTGACAGGTTACAACATCAATAATTTTGATTTTCCGTATTTAATTAATAGAGCTAATTTTCTAAAAGTCAAAAATTTTTGTTTTCTGGGAAGAATTAAAAATATCAAAAGTGTTATTAAAGATCAAATATTGCAAAGCAAACAAATGGGCAGAAGAGAAAATAGATATGTGAATTTTGAAGGTCGTGTGCCATTTGATTTATTGCTAGTGCTTGTAAGAGATTATAAATTACGTTCATATACTCTTAACGCAGTAAGTTATCACTTTCTTCAAGAACAAAAGGAAGATGTTCATCATAGTATCATTACTGATTTACAAAATGGAGATGCACAAACTCGTCGACGTCTTGCAGTATATTGTTTAAAAGATGCTTATCTACCAATTCGACTTTTAGATAAACTTATGTGTATTATTATTTACATGGAAATGGCAAGAGTAACAGGAGTAACATTGACTAGTTTATTAACTCGTGGTCAACAAATAAAAGTAGTTTCTCAATTACTTCGTAAAATAAGGGAAAAGAATTATTTAATGCCGGTTCATCAGGGTCAAGGTACAGACGAACAATTTGATGGTGCCACTGTTTTAGAACCTAAAAGAGGTTATTACAATGATCCAATAGCAACTTTAGATTTCAGTTCCCTGTATCCAAGTATTATAATGGCTCATAATATTTGTTATACTACTCTGTTGTCAATAGGAGAAAAAAATAAATTGAATATTAATGATGAAAGTATCACCAAGACTCCATCGAATTCCATGTTTGTAAAAAGTGATGTAAGAAAAGGAATTTTACCAGAAATTTTGGAAAATCTTTTATCTGCAAGAAAGAAAGCTAAATTAGAACTTAAAAATGAAACAGATCCATTAAAACAAAAAGTTTTAGATGGTCGTCAATATGCTTTAAAAGTTTCAGCTAATTCAGTTTATGGATTTACTGGAGCTCAAATGGGAAAATTACCTTGTTTAGAAATATCATCTTCTGTTACGTCCTATGGTAGAGTAATGATAGAAAAGACCAAGCAAGAAGTGGAAGACCATTATCGTATAGCCAATGGTTATGAAAATGATGCTGTAGTAATTTATGGTGATACAGATTCAGTGATGGTAAAATTTGGTACGAAAAAAATTGAAGAAGCAATGAGATTAGGTAAAGAAGCTGCTGAATATATATCTTCTAAATTTATCAAACCAATTAAACTTGAATTTGAGAAAGTTTATTTTCCTTACTTATTGATAAATAAAAAAAGATATGCAGGCTTGTATTTTACAAAGCCAGATAAATATGACAAAATGGACTGTAAAGGATTAGAAACCGTAAGAAGAGATAATTGTCCTCTTGTTGCAAATATGATCAACACATGTCTCCAAAAATTATTAATTGAGAGGTAATTTTTTTTTTGTTTTTAATATCAATCATTCTGTTACATTGTTATGTTTTTTTTTAGGAATCCTGAAGAGGCAATAGATTATGCCAAACAAATAATAAGTGATCTTCTCTGTAATCGTATTGACATTTCTCAGTTAGTAGTTACAAAAGAGTTAACAAAAACTGATTATGCTGCACGTCAAGCACACGTAGAATTAGCAGCTAAAATGAAAAAACGTGATCCTGGAACAGCACCCAAACTTGGTGATCGTGTTCCCTACGTAATTACTTGTGCATCTAAGGGAACTCCTGCTTATCAGCGTGCTGAAGATCCAATTTACGTCTTAGACAATAACATTCCTATTGACACAAATTATTATTTAGAAAATCAACTATCAAAACCACTTATTCGTATTTTTGAACCTATTTTGGGAGATAAAGCTGAATCAATGCTTTTAAAAGGTGAACACACAAGAACAAGATCCGTTGTTACTTCCAAAGTTGGAGCTTTAGCTGCTTTTACTAAAAAAAAGGAAGTTTGTATTGGTTGTAAATCAGTTTTACCAGCGGATCGAGAAAAAATGGCTTTGTGTGCTTATTGTGAAAATAAAGAAATTGAAATATATCAAAATGAGCTTTATGCTGCAAGGCGGCTTGAAGAAAAATTTTGTCGATTGTGGACTGAGTGTCAACGATGTCAAGGCAGTTTACATCAAGAAGTTTTATGTTCTAGGTAAGCTAATTTTAAATTTCTGAAAGAATTTATTATAGAAAAGTTATTTTATTTGTTTTACAGTCGAGACTGTCCAATTTTTTATATGAGAAAAAAAGTTCAAAAGGATCTAGATGTACAAATGAAACGTATTGATCGATTTGGAATTCCTGATTGGTAAAAAAGACTTTTTTTTAAAATATTTTTTTTAATTCATATGTTTGATAAACTTTTGTATCAATTAAATAAGAGTTTGAACAATGAAAAATATTTCATGTTCTAATCAATAGCATTAATAATTTATATAAAAAGTCTACATGTTTACAACTAATAAAAAATTTCATAATACAATTAATTCACTTTTTCACCACCATTAAATATGTTATTATTAATTTAATTTCGTAAATTATATTCTAATTGTGATTATTATAATCATGAATATTTAATCAAATTTATATATTATTGATTTTAAATAAATCAAAAAACAAAATTAACTATAATCGAACAAGTATTAATATCTATTGAATCAATGTATACTTAAAATAAAAGAAAAAATCATTCGCATATACAGTTCATCGCTTAGTTTGTAATTAAAATTCAAGTTTTGTAACAGTCACAAAAATTTACACTTGATTTTTAGTTGACACATCACACTCATACTTACTCAGTCAGACACTGTTTTAAGTAAAAATTAATTTATCATCATTCCTCACAAACATAAAATACAAAAATTTGGTCTTGATAAAATTAATTATGCAAATTATTTTCTACTCTGCAAAGCATTTACAAGCCAGTCCATTGCTTGGTCAAGACCTTCGCCTTTTTTGGCTGAAGTTTTGAAAATTTGGAATGTCCGATTTTTTAAAGCGTCAAGCCCAAGTGCTTGATGTACTTCTGCAACACTCAAACAACCTGGCATGTCTTGTTTATTTGCTAAAACTACTAGAATTGCTCCCTGAAGTTCATCTTCCTATAAATTAATAAATTTATCATACACCGGTTTTAAATTTAGGTCAATATCATTCAAGTAAAAGAATCATACCCTTAACATGTATAAAAGCTCATCCTTTGATATTCCTATTCTATCACGGTCTGCTGAATCGACTACATAAATGACTGCATCTGTATTTGAATAATAACATCTCCAGTAAGGTCTAAGAAACAAGAAAGTTCAACATTATTCAATAAATTACTTCATTAATTTTGTTGATTTAATTAATAAATACAATTATTCAATAACTTGCTATTCAATAATTTCTCCAATAACAATACCTTATACTCGTTTGTCCTCCTAAATCCCATACTTGAAATTTTAAATTTTTATATGTTACTTGTTCAACGTTAAATCCAATGGTAGGTATCGTCGTGACTACTTCGCCAACTTGAAGTCTAAATTGTAAAATTAATAGGTAATCATAAAATGTTATCAACTCAGAGATAGAGTTAAAAGAAAATAGAAAGTTTTACCTGTATAAAATAGTAGTCTTGCCGGCACCATCAAGACCTAAAATTAAAATTCGCATCTCACGACTCCCAATCAAATTTCTAAAATAACTGAATAGACCACCTGAAAAATATAAAAATTTTCGAAGTATAACCTAATAACAATTAAAATTTCTCATCGTAAAAAATGAGTAATGTGTCAATTATGATAAAATCAACGTTAAAAATTCGAGTTACTCCAATTACATATAAATAGAAATTGAAAGAATCATTGAAAGAAAATATATAAGAAAATACTTACCCATTTTATGGGAATTATTTATCCTTTTGATGTATAAAAAATCATGCGATTTATTAATTAAATAATTGGTAAATTATCCCGATATTAATACTTCAAATATACAATTGCAAAACCTATATCGATTGATTTACATAGAATAATAAGAGTTCTTTGCTAAATTTACTAAATGTCAGTAACAAAAAATTAGAAGGCAAAACTGCTAAATAGAAGGGTGTCAAAGAGCCGTCTTTGCCATGCTGGCCTACACAATTTTTTTACACGAAAAACGCCATCTAGCCCTATAATTTTGTTGGTAATATAGAAATCTAACATGACTTAATTTTGATTAATGATTTTTCAAAATTAATTTATTCAATAAATAACTTCCAAGATTTTTGATAACCAATTTTGAATAATGTGATAGTATTTAATTTAAAAAATGACACACAATTAGATACATATGTTTAGCTATGATAAACTATGTATATAAGAGTAAATACAATACAATTTTAATAAAACATTCTAATACAAATTAATTTTGTATTTTATACAATTCAAAATGTTATCAAATCACCAAAAATCAATAACATTTATGCTGATGAAGTTGTTGTTCTGTTTGGTGGTTTATCAATTAATTAAATAATATTTTATATTTGTTGATATTTTATTATTATCGAACTGATTAAAAAATTTTATTCCATTTTATTGGGGCTTAAATACAGCATCATATTTATCATGAAGGAATTATTTATGATTAAAGTGATAACAAGCAGTTCTTTAATTTTTACATTTGGGAAATGAAATGAATATTTACTTTGGAATTTTGGAAAAATTAAAAAATTTTCATTATAATAAAAAAAACATGATGATAACTGTAGCAGTGAAAAACAGAAATTAGAATGACAACTTTTTCATAAATATTAACTATAAATAGAGGCTAAATTTTCGGGATTTTTATTTATTTTTCTGATTTTTCATATTTTCCAGTTAACAAGAAATTAATTTAAGGGTAGTAAATGACCTTGACCATAAAGATTTCGAGTAAAAAATAAAAACTCCAAAAGATCAAATGACAAAAGGTCTAGGTGCCCTTGAATGACCTCTAACCCAGTGGTTCTCGGTTTTCTATTTTCAATACATCTTGACGGAAGGATTTCATCAGTGTGATTTTATTTCACAGGATGTTTCATCAGATTAGATAATCAAGATGAGTAATTAATGATGTAATAATCATCATCTAATTTATTTATTTTAAGAATCTAATTTCAGTTAATTCTAAAAAATTCTTTATTTATCAATTTAAATTTGAACAAAAAACAATATCTAGTTAATTTTAAATGAATATTAAAATTAATGTTTTACGAACTGAAAAATAAATAAATTATGTGATAAGTAATTATATCTATTGTTTTTACAATCTGTTTATCTTAAAATTTTGAAATTTTGTTCAAACAAATAACAAATAAGCTTTCGATAAATAATTTGTAGTTGAGAACTCTTGATATGTATTATCGCGCCGGCGCAACGTAGTAGGAGAGGTTGGAATACTCACGGACATTCAGATCAGTCGTCAAATTGCTCACTCACGAGTTGGGTGTATATCTTGTTTGCTTGTTGATTAATTGTTAATCGTTATTTCCAATGTAAGTATTTATTCATATCAGTCATTCATAAAAAATTAAATCATAAATTATCGATAAACATTTTGTGCAAAATAATAGCAAATATAATTTTGGAGTTATCATTTTGATAATAATAGCGAAGATTTGATTTCACCTCTAAATCGTGACCTTGACTGATAAACGAAGGATAAATATTTTAAAATTAATCAAATAACTTTATGAATATTTATAATTTATAATTGTTCATTATGTCGTAAAAAATGAACTTAGTTGATAAAAATAGAATAGCATATAATTTTTTTGCTACTGAAAGTAAAAGTTGTGTAATTTAACTCTTATTAATTGTTATGAAGTATATAAAAATGTTTGGATATTAGCCAAAAGTTGATTAATTATCACGCAATTGTCAAGAGCAAAATGACCCTAATGTAAAAGATTTAAATAATATTTTGAGATATATTTGTAACATTGCAATAGTTCACACGTGATGGAATGTTAAAGGTTACGTATATGCTTATTGGTCGATTAAAAAAAAATTCAGTTATTGCGTCATAAGCATTTTAACTTATTTTTCGTATTTCTTTGACAAACATTGATTTCAATATATTTATGTAATCTTTTTATAATCAATATAAATATTAATTCTAAATGCTCTAATTATTATATATTGATTTATTGATTTTTTTCATAACCAACGAAAAATTATAAAATCTGTTGCATCATGTCACATGAAATTGTCATTTCGATGCTGATATTAATAATATTCGCACTTCAGTCGAATTTTAGGAACCAAAAAATAAATGAAATTTTTTCTTTCTCAGCAAAATGTCAGCTGAAAAGTACGATAGAGCAACTCCAGAACTTAAAGCTGAGTTGAAAAGTATTGCTGAAAAAATTGTTGCTCCAGGAAAAGGTATTTTAGCTGCTGATGAATCTACAACAACAATTGGAAAACGTCTTCAAGACATCAACGTAGAAAATAATGAAGATAATCGTCGTGCATACAGACAGCTCCTTTTCACGTCAGCTAAGGTAAATTTTTTAAAATATTAAGTAAATTTTACTTGAGAAATTTAAAATTATGTAGGTAGTTAAAAAATTAATTTTATTAATCAATTTTTATTTTTATCTAGGATGTAATTGGTAACCACATCTCTGGTGTTATTCTTTTCCACGAAACTTTATATCAAAAAGCAGATGATGGAACACCCTTCGTGAAGCTTATGGAAGAACGTGGAATTATTCCCGGAATTAAAGTAGATAAAGGTGTTGTCCCATTGTTCGGAACTGATGATGAATGCACCACTCAAGGATTAGATGATCTTCAGGCTCGCTGTATTCAATATAAGAAAGACGGCTGTCACTTCGCTAAATGGCGATGTGTTTTAAAAATAAAAGGAAACACATGCCCAAGCAAGCTTGCAATTTTGGAAAATGCTAATGTTTTAGCTCGTTACGCTTCAATCTGTCAAAGTGCTAGAATTGTTCCAATTGTTGAACCTGAAATTCTTCCTGATGGTGACCATGATCTTGCTCGGTGCCAACAAGTTACCGAAGAGGTTCTTGCTGCTGTATACAAAGCTCTAAATGATCATCATGTTTACTTAGAAGGAACATTATTAAAACCGAACATGGTAACACCAGGACAAAGTTGTCCAAAACGCGCAACACCCCAAGAAATTGCATCAGCAACTGTTATTGCTCTCCAACGTACTGTTCCTCCAGCAGTTCCCGGAATTACATTCCTTAGTGGTGGACAGTCTGAAGAAGAAGCATCTGTCAATCTTGACGCAATCAATAAATATCCTGGTAAAAAACCATGGGCACTCACTTTCAGTTACGGACGTGCTCTCCAAGCATCTGTGCTCCGTGCTTGGGGTGGTAAGAAAGAGCAAGTCAATGCTGGACAAGATGAACTTATCAAAAGAGCTAAGGTAATTAATCAAAAACTTTTTTCTTTTATGTTTTTTTTCCTTCTAAAGTATCTTTTTATTTTCTTAAATAGTATGAACTACTTTAATTGTAACTTTTTTTTTATTTGCTACATTTTTTTAAGTTATTTTTCTTTTTTCGCATGTTTGAAGTTTTTTTTTTCTTTAGGCCAATTCTTTAGCTTGTCAAGGCAAATACACAGCTGGCAGTATTGTCAGCAAAGCTGCCAATCTTACTCTCCATGTGAAATCTCATACTTATTAACCTACTTGTTTGTTTTATTCACATTTTTATGTTCTATTTTTCTTTTACTTCTATTTTATGTTTTGTGAGTAATATTTTTGGTTTTTATTTTTTTAATAATTATTATAAATAAGTTTCAAATACTAACAACTCTTTGTTTTATGTTTTTATTTATGTGTATTTATTAAGTTATCAAATATTTAATTATTTCAATAATGTCAATGATTTATTGTCTATAGGCTAACAGCGAAGCTGCTCTGGGAAAATATGCTGGTGGTGTAAGTGGAGCCGCTGGAGATGCTAAATTATTTGTCGCAAATCACGCATATTAAATTATTAAAAGAGGACAATTATGCATTCGTTTCAAAGGATTCAAAATTATAATCAATATAACTATTTATAAATAAATGACAAATATTGCCAGGACAGTATGAAAGGATAATGCAAAATTGTATCTTTTATTTTATTTGCGTTTTGTACTATTTATTTAAGATAATAACGTCGAAGCTGGACACTCACAAAAGTTTTATTAGTTATTTTTGTGTATGTTATTTTATCTAATAATGAACAACACAAGAATAAAAGTTTTAGCTATTAATTGCCATCATAGTAATATATTAATTATAAATAAAAATATAACTGAGCAGTACATGAAATTATATTGAATGAAACGGCTTGAAAAAAAATATGCATTATTTATTAGTGATGATGTTACAATTATATTAATTATTAATTTGTTGAATCTAAATGTTTACTATGTACATCGATTTGAAATGAGATTGTGATTATAACTGCATTCATCAGTACATATATATTCATGTATATGTGTATATGATTAATAAAAATCTGAGTAATATATAAATCTTTTGTTGTACTTTAAAAATTTTCTGAATTCCAATACATTTTCTAAGTGTTTACTTATAAATAGAATGAATATATTTAACCTTTTGTGAAGAAGGGTTGAATTTATGTCGTGGATTATTTAATAATAATAATAATAATCTTCAATGGCGTTAGAAACAGATTATTCGAATTTTCGCGGTCTTTCAGCAATCGCTTTGAATGCACCAAACGTCAGAAAAAGGAACTATCAAAAAATATTGCTCCAAGATGGCATTAAAGGTATCTGTCAACAGTTTATAAAATAATTAAACAATATCGAATATGTTTTGTATACGGTGCTATGTAAATATTTTATAAACAAAAAATTCTATTTGGATTTATAAAGAACGTACTCATTAGTGCTCATGTGTATATAAAATAATCAATATATTTTAATTGAATAACCCTATCAGAGGAAATTTGATGTTATAATTGATGGAAGCACGCCTTAAAGCTTCACTTTGTCTTCATTTTTGGCTCGAGAATTGTGTAAAAAGTGTGTGTTAATAAATTTATTCGAAAAAAGTATTAAAAAATAATTAAGTACAATTTTTTACTCTATATAATAATGGATTGAATTATTGATAAATATATATAAAGTTTTATTGGTGTATGTCGGTGTTGCCTTGGGTACCCCAGGCAACGAACAATCTGCATATCACGTAAACAAACTTGCAATTATCTATTCTTACACTACGTGTATCGTACCTAATATTTAATCAATTATTAAAAAGGATTCTTCTCGTATCTTAATTATTACTGCTGGTTAAAATTTATAAAAATGACATCCTTAGATTTACGGCAGCAAAAATTAGAGCAACAAGTGAGTATGTACTTAATTCTAATTAATTCAATAAAATATATATGTAATGTAAGGTAAGATATACAGGTATATTTATACATCTTGAAATACTAAAAATATTACAATAAGATTTCTATTTTATCGTTGAGTGTTGTAGTGAGTAATAGTTGATGTAATTCTAGATAATTGATTTGTTTATTGTTAAGAGCCAATGGACGAAAGTCCTCATATTAAATACTTAGAATTCGTTAAACGAAAGATTTATATTTATATTCATTTTCATCTCTTATTAACTTAATATTTCACATTTTAGAGACAATTAATTGCTCAAAAAATGAAACAAAAAAGACAAACTGGAGCTGGAGGGATGGTTCAAGCTTCTGGTATCCAAGGAACTCAACTGAGAAGTCAATCAGCTAAATGGGTGACTCCAATAAAAGAAATAGGATGTAAGAAAATGTTAAAATTCAATTACATTTAGCTGATAAATATTTTTATGTAAAGTTTGTTTAACTTTTTTGAATATTTTGTGTAGCTTTTGAAGGTCCAGTGGCATTTGTCGAAAAAGGAAATCTTAACTCTAGCAGTGAATTAAAACTCCCTCAATCAGGGTTAGCTGCTGAAAGCATGTATAATCAAGACATAGAAGCTGACCAAGATTGTGCTGATGAAGAATCATCACCGTTAGATATTCGACTGCCTATAGAACCTGTTTCTGTTCGATCACCTCAACGTGTTGCTCCATCCGATGGTTCCGAATCCAGAGTGATTATTAATCGTGAAAATAATTCTAATGTAACTAACTCAAACTGATTACGATTTATTTTTATATACGAATTAATTTTAAATTAATATTTAATTTGTTTTATAACTTTCAGAGCCCTGAATTAGAAGGAAATGTAGAAGGAAATATTGAACAGTTTGTTCTGCAGCCAGCAAACAAAAAAATGCATTACAAATGCAGGATAACAAGAGACAGGAAAGGAATGGATCGTGGACTTTATCCAACTTACTTCTTACATCTAGAACGAGATTATGGTAAAAAGGTAATATAAAATAAAAGTAAAGTGTATTAATTAAATAGCTCTTAAATCATTGATATTTTTATTCTTATTTTTGTTTCAGGTATTTTTATTAGCTGGTAGAAAGCGAAAAAAGAGTACAACCAGTAATTATTTAATTTCAACTGACCCAACGGATTTATCTCGAGGAGCAGACTCTTATGTTGGGAAGTTACGATCAAATTTACTTGGAACACAGTTCACGGTTTATGATAATGGATATTCATTAATGAAAGATGATAAACATGAAGATCGGTCGAATCCACGTCAAGAATTAGCGGCTGTTGTCTATGATACTAATGTTTTAGGATTCAAAGGACCTAGAAAAATGACTGTAATTATTCCGGGAATGACAGCTGATCAAAAAAGAATTTCTATTTGTCCTCGAGATGAGTCAGAGACTCTTTTAGGTATATAATTAATCAGCAATACTGATCAGTTTTTTTTTCGCCTGGAAGTAATTAACTTATGAAAAAATTAATTCTTTTTAGAATGTTGGAAAATGAAAAATATGGATAATTTAATAGAATTACATAATAAAACTCCTGTTTGGAATGATGATACCCAGTCTTATGTACTTAATTTTCATGGAAGAGTCACTCAAGCTTCTGTAAAGAATTTTCAAGTTGTACATGATAGTGATAGTAAGTGTAATTCATTTCTAGATCAGTTTAGTCACGGCTAATAAATATTTATTTCATTGTTTTTATTTATTTTTCAGCCGATTATGTTGTGATGCAGTTTGGTCGTGTAGCAGAAGACGTTTTCACGATGGACTACAGATTTCCGTTGTGTGCTCTACAAGCCTTTGCCATTGCTTTAAGTAGTTTTGATAGTAAACTTGCTTGTGAATGAAATTACTTTAATTTATACAATGATCTTTATGCTAATGAAGTTGATAAATAACTCAGCGTAAAAATATTTACCAAAATTTTTAATTTAAAACGTAACAACAAATTTTATTACAGTAGGTATTTGTGTAAATTTTTATTTAAACAATGTTATAAAATGACAAATAATTTTCGTGATATATTAATGAAATTGCGAGACTTTTAATATTTGTGTTCAACACGGAAAAATGATCTAAATATAACGATAAAATATTAACTAACAATCATAAATACTTTTATCAGGAAATTTGGAGGAATAGTCACTTAATTTGCCATTAGTATTGCAAAATTGATTGATCATACTATGAACAAAATACTAGTATTAATCATGAAAACTTTCAAAATTAATTTGAGTCGTGGAAGTTGCAAAATACTGTAGTCAATAACTAGAAAATATATAAATGTAATTTTTATGTTAGATATCGGTCTATTAAATGTAATTAATTTGCATATCTTTTTGCATCATTAGCTTACTATTAGGTATTTTTTAATTATTTAACTTTGTCATACTTTTTTAATTAAATTATAATAGAAAATTTATTGATCTCAATGTGTGCCTGTAAGTAAAATTGATTTTAAAATATTTCACTTAATGTGAAAAAAGTGCTAACATGATTTTTTTAACACACAAAATTAAACCTATATTCACACATTTTCTGTTATTATTGACAATGATTTTAATTGATAAAACTATTGATTAATAAGAAGAAAATAGGAATAATAAACATAAATAATGTGTTCAAAGTACACACGTACAGTATTACATTAAACTTTGACATAAAAAATAAGAATAATTCCATTAACCGAATTCATAAGTAACAAACAAAAAGTAGAAATTCATATTTGTAAATGTACTGTAGGTATATAAAATATGTTAAAAAATCTATCCATATTATGTTATTATTGATAATATTGTTGTTGAACAACATTTTATATAAAATAAAGAATATATGCACTCTGATCTATTGTTGCTTTTTTTTTTAATTTTAAATTTATATTTGACCTTTTTTAGTCTTGTTTAAAAATATATTATAATCAAATACATTAATAAATAAAAAATAACAATAGACAATACATCAATTCAAAATAATAATTTATTATAAATTTAATATAAAAAACCACTGAATATTAGAACTATTTTATTGTTACAAACATTCTGCAAATATAAAAAAGACTTTCTCTCTCAATTCAATTAGTTTCTTACTATATTTTTTTGTGTTTATCCAATTGCTTATAAAATTTGATTGTTCATATGTTTTTAGAGCATTAGAAAGGCACTTAAGTTATGTAAGCTTCCACAACCTTTTATATCAGATTATAACAATTGTTGAATTATTTTTTAAGTATTTCCTATTATATTTACATTAATTTTCAATTCTCATTAATTTATTACTGCAGGGAATTTCAAACTATAATCATATTTAATAATTATATCTACACTTAATGTTATTTTGTATTAACCATTGTATACTTTTTTTTAATAATTATAACTGTTTTATTTCAATAAGATATGCCGATAGGAAATCACTGTTTTTGAATTATCAATTATACAAATGATTAAAAAATAATTGCTCACGAAGCAATGGTTATAATAAAATATATATTCATTTTTATAACATTTGTGTTCTTTTTTTAAATTAACAAATTATCTTTGAATCCTCCCGTGGCAGTGATATTTTGGCGTTAATTATTCTTTTTTTAGTACCTTAATTGATGTCTTTTCGACAGTATTATATTAATTTATAAAATTTTTAATTTTTTTTAAATCACTTATGATAAATTATAATTGTTATTACTATCAACTTGTATAAAATTCAAATTTTATTCGAACTTGGTCTCGAAAATCTAGGTGCTGGGATCCTCGATGCTGGTCGTGGGATTCCACTAAGGCCTCTCGCACTCGGTGGTCGAATTCCTGATTTTATTTCTCTGTTTTTCAGTTTTTCTGCAATCTTAATGACAAACAATAGTAATAAATAAATAAATCATTAATTAATTAAATTCATTCGTCGTAAGAGAAAAGTTTTAATTTATTATACTAACTATATTTTTATCTGGAAGACTTTCTGGCTGACTTTTAACCGTCTTTATTTCAGGATTAATAGCTACTAATAAAAGAATAGATATTTAATATTTGCAAATATTCATTGATTTAAATTAATATTGATGAATAAATTTACCTGTAGTATTTATTGATTGTAAAGATTCAGCAGGACTAAGAATGGGTGAACTAGTTTTAACAGTTGAATCAGCACTTCTTGGAGAACTACCTCGACTTCCGTAATACTCTCCATCCTTAAGAATTGGTGATGGAAGATCATTTTCATTAGAATACCAACTTTTATCAGACGATTTTCTTATTTCAGTTCTATTTTTTAAATTTCCTGAGTCCATTTGAATAGAGTTATGAACTCTTTCTACATTTAATCCTGATTTACAGGAATTACTTCCATCTGAACAAACGGATAATCTATCGTCTAAATCAGGAGCACTGGCTGCAGATTGAGTGCTTTCAATACTTTCAGTTGATCCACCAGATTTTGAAAAAGCCAACTCGACTTTTGGAGCTGTTAATCGTTGATCTGATCCATTTTTTAACTTAGCTAATGAATATACTTTTCTTGTGAGTGATGGCTCATTATTTTTAACTTGTTTTGGCCTAACGAAGCCAAAATGTGACATTCTATTTGAATTAACAGTTTTCAAAGAGTTTGAAATGAGATTTGGATTAGACTTTTGTAAATGCTGTGGTAATCGAGATAAATTTCTGTTCGATTCTAACGTTTTAGAAATTTGTGATGTTTTCCTTATGTCTAAAAGATTTTCACATGATTTCACTTGTTTTTCTGCATTAGAATTATCTTCAAAATCTTTGGAGATTGTTGTAAAACGAGTAGGATTTTTCACTTGATTAGTAGCATTACTTTTACGATATGTTTGAAAACGGTTTGCCATTGATATAACAGGTTCACTCTTCTTTTCGAGATCTTGCGGCTCAATTTTAAACGTTTTTCGGCGATTAATTTGAACATCCGAAGTAAATGTTGAATTTAAACATTTATTTTCTATGTCATCAATATCATGAGTAATTTCAAGATTAGATTTTGTATTATCTTTAAGATATTTTGAATCATTCTTAGATATATTTATAGTAGAATTGAGACTATTTGCTGAATTTTCATCTTTATTTGAAATATAAGTAGTATCCAATTTCATTTCCTCACATTTATCACTGAAAAATTGCTCCGAATTGAAAGTAGAATTTAAATTCTCTTTTTTATTCTCTTTAATTTGTGTTATATTTTGATCATTTTTACCATCGATATCACTCGTAATAATATAACTTAAATGATTAATTTCAGCTGAATTAGTATCAAAAGTATCATTATTAATGACAAATGAATGTGAATCCAGAGCTTGGTTAAGTTCTTCAGTAGTAAATGTCGCATCAATGAATTTTAGCGGTGAATTACTTTGTGATCTGCTTTTAATAACAGTATCGTTTAAAGGTTTAGCATAATTCGGATTTTCTATAATAGAAGAGTTAGAAAGATCTCGAGCAAAAGCATCATTGATATTCATATCTGATACATCACTAAACATACTAGTCTGCATCATTGACTCAGTCAAAATTTGTGAATCAGCCATTCCAACACTTTGATTCATTATTTGAGAATCTTCATTAATTGAAAAATTATTACTACAGAAAGATTTAGAATTACCAACTAGAGTTTCATTGAACTCTGGAGCTTCCATATTAATGAATGAATCAATTCCTTTAGTTTGTGACATATTTAAAAAAGCTTCTAAACTTTCTTGACCACTTGTTAAAGTGGATGAACAAGGACCTAATGTAGCAGGCCTCAAAATTGGTGGTATAGATGATGTTTTTTCATTTAAATTAATTTCTATACGTGACGTTTCGTTATTAAAATATGGAATTTCACTATTTATTGAAGAATTTGATGAATTACCTTCAATTATCGATTCAAAACTTAATCTACTGAATTTTTTCTTTGGTCTTGTCCAAGTTCGTGTATCAATATATTTTTTACTATCATGTATCGAGTCATGATACATTTTCTCTGTATCCAAAGATGTTGTTAACCATATATGGAGGTTATCCATACCTTTCAATTCTGAGTCAACATCTAATAACCTAAAAAAGTTGGAAAGTTTTTTTATTGAAGTACTTTCAACTATATTAATAAATAATTTTTACTGAATTATACCATGTTTCCTGATTATCAAAATCCATGTGAGAAACATCAATAAAATCATCCAAAATTTCTTTAAACGATGAAATGGATGCTCCATCTTCTTCGTGTTCATTTGACATGTTTTCGTTGTTTTAGTACTAAGGTTATGAATTAAAAAATCTGGAAGCAAAAGGTACTGTAAATACTAAAAAATTTATGACTACTTCGTTCAATCGAATGTTGTAAAAGTAAAATAAAATATTCTTTGATGTATATATAAGAACACTTAAACTTGTCTTATTTTACGATGATCACAAACAAAAATAACAATGAAACATATTAAATTATTACAGTAGAAATATCATTTTCGATGCATTTTAACAATGTTAATGATCACCATAAAAACTGAACATAAACTTTACAACAATTGCTCATTGTGGAGAATAATACACACATACACAAGTTGCAGCCGTTAGTAGTGTAAACCGTTGGAATCGTTCAGCAACAGATGTATTTTTAGATGCGTTTAGATGTACTGTATAGTTCTTTAATTATGATCTTGCCAGCTGGAAGGACTACAAAAAAGTTCAAAGAAAAATACAGTACTTGAATGACTAAATGACAATCTAACTTATCAATAATCAAATCAATTGTAATTAAATTTATCATTAATCGGTAGGTAAGCTTTTATCTTTACCGATCTTTATTAACTTAGTTTTTTTCATAATCAATACATCCATTGATCTCAAATATCAAGTGGTCTAATTGAAAAAATTAATATTTAAACCATTATTAAGCAATTAAAAATCAATTTTTGTATTGTATTAAAATAAAAATAAATATTAAAGACAAGAAATTCATCATTTCACCTCTGACAACCAGAGGACACACAACTAATTTATTTAATTAAGCAAAGAGCAAGATACAAATGATAATTTTTAAATTTGACAATTTTTTTATTTATTTTATAATTTTATATTTTCTCTGTATTAATATATTTATTATTAGTAAATATATAATAATATGAATAATAGTATTTATATATTTTAAAACATTTTAAGAGAAATAGAATTGTTTTCATAATAGAATTGCGATATTTTTTAAACAACAATACAATAATTTAATTATATTTAAACATTAAGTTTTTGTTAATTTCAATAGATATGCCAAAAAATTTGACATCTCCGAAAGACACTGGGAACTTTTCCATAGTAATAATAAGTATACATATTTACAATTAATTTATCGATTACGTTTTTATAATACGTGCTCGATAATCGAGTGGCACTTTTTCTTTAAGATTGAATAAGAAGAAAAGAATAATAGAAGAACTCTAGAGGAAACTGATAAATTTGAGTTTATCGTCTTTCTTAAAGAGACTTTTGTTATGCACATTCATGCGATTATTTATAAAATCATTAATTGTTTTTTAAATTTCCAAGAATCTTGTGAGCTTTTTAAAAAAACTAAAGTGTTATTATGAAATTGACGATCTCATAATACAGTATCTAAAGTATCAAGACTCTTTAATAACTGCTCATCTTTTGAACACCATTGAACCAGTTCTTCTATTGTTACCACACCATCCTTGTTAGCATCCATCAACTGAAAACAAACAATTAATATAGATTTTTATTATCATTCTATTGAAATTGATTCCAATGTTCAATTATTTAATACAGACATGAAAAATACGTTCAACATGTTCTTTTGCTGCTGTTTGTGGTTCCAGTATTTGTGGTTGAGTGTAACGTCCTAGCATTTCGTAAATTGACTCAACCACATCCAGCATTTCTTCTTTACTTATCAATCCATCACCATCTAAATCGTACAAACCAAATACCCATTGTAATTTCTCCTCAACAGACCCTCGAGAAACTTTAGAAAGAATTGTCAGAAATTCCTAAAAAAAAAGAGTTTATTTCAATTTCCTGATCGATTTTATGTTTGTTTTAAAGAGATTAAATCTTCTTGCCTCAAAACTGATTTTTCCAGACGGTTTTCTCTTCATCGTATTAAAAACATAATGTGCATACTGACTAGCATCTAGAATCAATAGTAAGTTTAGAAAATATGTTTCAACAATTGAAGGAAAAAAAGATATTTAAAGTCTATTATTAAAAAACGGCATTGACAAAAATTTGAAGCAGAAAAAAAATGAAATGTTCCATATGTTCAGTCAGTAGCAGTTGAAAATATTCCACCCAAAATAATTTAGTTTCAAAATGCTTCATTGTAGCTTTGAAAATATTTTGTTTTTAGAATATTTTAAAGACTGTTTGGTCTATTTAAACAGAATAAATAAACTTACCTCCTTGTGGAAAAAATTGAGAAAAAATCTGCTTAAAACCTTCTTCATCAACCAAGCCAGTAGGACATTCTTGCTTAAATCCCCGGTAAATTAATTGAATCTCTTTCCTGGTAAATCTGGTAGTCGCAGCCAAGGTCGCCAATTCCTCAGGTCTGTGCCTTGAACCTAGAGCAATACTCGGAGCTGCAGAAGTTCCTAAAACGCTCCCGACTTCCTCAAGCTCGTCCTCTGCAAGAGTCGAACGAGAACCACAACTGCCAACACTGTATTATCTCGTCTCGAGACTACGATTCTATAATTCTTTTTTTTAAAACTTTTCTTATCATGAACATCTACTTACAAGAATCGTGCGAGAAGAATTTCTAATGTGCCACGTCGAAGTGAAATATTTTTTTTCTTCAAGTTTACTGGATTCACGTGCTGGAGAGTGCACAATTACCAGGCAAAGAGAAATAGTTGAGGAATAGAAAAAATTAATACAGAAAATGTTTAATAGTTTAGTTGAAAATGATGTTAAAAATACAGGTCGTATTTACTTTATGCAACTACCTTCTAATTTATTTCAACAATTTCATTTGACAAATCAACACTTTGAGGTCATTTTCTCATGTACCTTGCAATCTTGTAAGCTATCAGTTTGTCTAGTCATACCATGATAGAAATCACAGAAGTGAGATAAAGAATAATAAACATTCTTATTAAATTATTTACAGTATAACACATAGATAAATTAGATCATTTATTTAGAGTTCTTATATTAATTAATAGAAAATTATTTACAATAACAATGGTAGGAGCTTATTATGTCTTTCATGAAAATGATATTTAATCATGAAAAATGATCATTTCTCAAACTCAATTGATAGAAGCATTCCCAAGAATGTCAAGTTTGGAATATTGTCCAGGAAAATGTACTTAATCTCAGCTCACTTGAAATAATTGATGGTGAAAATTCAATTATCTAATAATCACGTTAAAGTGACGCATTAAAACGACATAATTAGGAAGCAAGAGCTCAAGTTCCCGGGCATCCGGGTCGTCATAGCGACCAGTGACAGTCGCTGGAGATTCACTAAAGTTTCTAGACGGTCACTTCATCATCCTGTTCTATCTCCATCAATATTTTCTACCCTTATGAATAATCCAACCTTTCTACTAAGTTAAAAAATGACGTTTCTCAACTGTTCAAGGTCTACATCTTTTCCAATAAATTTTTATATAATCACTTCATTAATCACTTATAAATAAATGCTTTGAGATAAATCGTTTTCTTATTTTCCCCCCTTAAAACTTTTATAATTAATATGAAAATTTACTTGACTGGCACACAGCAATTGATAGAATAAAATGGGAAAGAAATCTCGAGCGAGCACTACAGTTGTGTTGGTAGGTGGAAAAAGAATCTACTTCTATTTTTTGCAAAAGAAAAATATTTGTAAATAAAACTTACTTTTTTCTCGACCCCTTCTTACAGCTTTCATTTTTTTTTTTACTTTAAATAATCAAAAATAATAATAAACAATTAAATAATCGTACAATTTAATTTTAAGTTGATTATTTTTTCTCCTAAATCACGAAAATCAGTCGTGTTTTGTATTTGATTATAGCAACGATAATCCAAATGTGCGAATATAGAATGTAAATATTTAAGAAACAAAATATATTCAAACGTATCAAAGTAGACTGAAGCTGCGGGAAGCTGGAGAACACACTGATCAAGTGCTACGCAAAAGCTCTAAGGTTAAGACTCATGCGCATATGGACTTGAATATCTCTTTTTTTCATGTCGATTCTGATGATATAAGGGAGAAGGGATAACAATATTTTTATGTGATCAATAGAAGGGATAAATTTTTTATAAAAAAAAAAATAAAAGTGATGAAAATCAATATTTTTTTTTTATAAAAAATTTTTATCATTCATTAATTCGAGTTTATAAAATATCCAATCGAAGCCATTGAAGTATACTCTTCATCATACCAATACATGATAGCCTTAATTTTTTTCTTAAATCGAATCAAAATACTTATCTTAATTAAATTGAACCATTTTTAATTACATATTTGTGAGGTTATAAAAATACAAGTAGAATGCTAAACACTATTTGCATTCTGGTTCATTTAAATTCCAATGAAGATAATAAACTGAAATGAATATTCATGATGTTTAATTTAGCATTGTTTGATCAATTCATTTTATACACGAATTCAATCAATTTAATTAAAAATCATTATTAATAAATGTAACTATTATTATTATCGATAATTTGAATTATTGATTAGAATAAAATAAATTTAATTTTCTACGAAATTTCCCGGTTAATTATAAATTCATATCCCGGAAGGTGTCGCGGATCGATTATTCCACTTGACAGAACCGATCAGGATCCTGGGAATATTTTTTTCTTCTGCAAAATGTCGATTTTCAGTAACCGTCGCGTTTCCTTGTAAAGTCTGAATTTTTTGTTTCTTCATAAATCATTGTAGTAATTTTAATTTATAAGTAAAAATAATAAAACTATTAAGTTTACTTGAAAAACAAACAAAATATTTTGATACTTAATACATTATTAGTTTAAAAAAAATCGGCTCAATGAAACAATTAAAGATGAACAAGAGTGAATTTGCTGGGCTTTCATATAAAGAGCTACAGGCTATTGCTTCAGAATATCATGTTCCGGGAAATATTAAGGCAAAATTTTCGAAATTTTTATCAATATTCATTTATAATTATTTATTTGTATTTAATTATTTTAAAAAAATTAATTTTATTTATTACAGAAGAAAATATTAATCAAAGTTTTAGATGCTATTAAAGCTGGTAATGATTTAGAAGTAGCTAAGTTACTAAGTGATGTACAAAATACACGTAAAAAACGAACTAAAAAGTTAAAACCTAATAAAAGTATGGAAAAACCAATCGCTTCATCATCCCATTTTTCGAATTATCCAGCAGAAAATTATTTATTACAGGTGCCATGTCAATGGGTATTTTTTTTTTTTAATAATAAAGAACAAATATATTTTATCTTCATTTTTTCGTCACGATTATATAATTATATAATATTTTGGTTAATTTTCTATTATAGCCTCAAAACATTCCAACATCTTCAGAAGAACGCGTAACCAAAGATGACAAATTATTTGTACCTAATTATGCAGATTTTCGACAATTTTTTATGCGTTCAGGTTATCAGAATGATATTAAATTGAATGAACGATCATACATGAATCCATCAGTCGTAGATTTACGAGTTGCGGAAGCTTCATTAGTTCAAGCAATACCTCTTGATCTTCATCGTGGGAAGAATCTCTTTATGGCTCCTGAACAGGATATTTCCAATGTTAATTATCAAATAATTGATACAGACAATAATTTTCAAACTCCTCTTATACTGAAGAAAATGCTTCAAGCACCGATGGGTGTGAATTTAAAAGAAATTGCTAGTTCTGATGGAATGTGTAAAATCATTTCGAAAGAAGAAAATGTATCAAATAATTTTATGGATGATTCAGATACTTTAACCGCTGAATCAGAAACCAATGAAAATGATGACGTTGATAATAATGATAATTATTTTTGCATTATCAATAATGAAAAGAATTCATTTAATCTACATTCAAATGTAGGTCTACAAGATGGTATAAACGAGGTTAACAGTAATGGTAATTTTATGGGCGATAATGAAAATCAGTATCGAGTAATTTATCAATCAGAAAATCAGTATCAAAAGTGGCCAGATAGTAATTCCTTGCATCAACATCAACTATTTCCAAATACTGAAATGTATCAAAATTTCTATTTTGATAATCTTCAGGCTAATAAAAATAATACTCAAAATCCATATGATTTCATTAATAATCAAGTGCCTTATGATATCAACCAAATAGTCTCTAATCCATCTGATACTTATTACAATGAAAATTCTTTTCCTCAATTAAATAATCATATTTATCATAATAACTACAATCAAAAAGATAACGATATTGATCATGGTTATTATCCACAATGTCTTCAAGATAATAAAGATTTTCTACCTGGATTTAATTCAACACAATCGAATAGTTTCGGAAATCTTATGGAAAATGAAGGGAGTAATCGCTCTGGAGGATACTATTTAGGATATGAAAACGCTACAGAATTCGCAGGAAATAATCATCTTATTAATACGAATCTCGTAAACAATACTAATACCAATGGTAATCATTGCAACAATGTTGATAAGTTTATGTTAAATCAATCCAAAGGTAAAAATAACTATCTTCTTTTTAATTATTTATTTGAAATTTTATATTATTAATAAATAATTAATAATTTCATATTTTAGATTGTTTAGGTGAGTATTGGCCACATTGGACTCAATCAAATACTGAACTATCAGCATTTAGAGAAACTAATCAGCATTTAGAGAATGTATTGAATCTTCATGATCCTACAAAAGTCGATACAACGAAAATTCAACAAACATCGAGTGTTTACTGTTATGCGGCCCCAGTTGTTTCACCAAAACCATTAACTGATTTGGCTAAAGTTTGTTCACAACAGAAACGTTTTATCGCAGAAGCTCGTCGAAATTATTTTTCTAAGTATCAGATGTACAATGACAGTTCTACTGGACGTAATATGGCTAATTCTCATGCTTCAAATGATATAAATCAAAAACAGGATAATCATGACAATCAATCTGTTCAAGATGCCAATAAAAATATAATTAGTGCAGAAATTGATTTCGCTATTTAATTGCAATATAACATAATTGCAATAATTTCAATTATCTACATAATCACGCATATTATCATAATTGAAATCAAATAATATCTATGTTTTTTAGTACATAAAAAAAAAGTACAAAATATAATTACATACAAATATATTGTAAATACGTGATCAATACGTATTTAATTTTTGATAAGTTTTTTGTTGAATAAATAATTGAAACAATGTATAATTTATAATGATAGTAACTAAAAATTACCTTATTGCATTTAAAAGATTATGTCTTTGATTGAGATTTGATATAACGAGTTGAAACTTTTTTGTTAGCAAAAGTAAAATTTGAATAAAACATAGATAATAAAAGAACACGTATGAGTGCATAGATTTGTTTATTATTTATTTACGTACCAGATTCACTATGTTTATCTTCCAAGTGAAATTTAGCACGAAAATAATTTAGAAGTCTTAATGGAATAGATTCATTTCGACCAATATTAAAAAGAACTTCGCTATCTTGACAGTTGGAAGGTCTTCGAGCGGATGACTTTCTTCGAGTTGACGTGGTAACGTGAACAGTATACATTTTTATATCTCACACGTATTTTATTTTTTAAAAAATAATTATATGAAAAATGAATAAAATTATTCTGAAAGAAATTTGAAAGTCACCGTTTCGAATGCTGTCTGAATGCGAACTAAACGAAAATATCTCATTTTTTTCTTTTTTCCGCGCCTGAAAATGTAAAGTAAAAGTACAAAAAGTGAAAAAAAACGACGAAGGTAAAATAGTCAAGAAAAAAAAAAAAGATAGAGTACATGTGTTTGTACAGAAGTAGATGTAGGGATTTGAGAATTAAAGTATGATGGAGAGATGCCTACTTCACTTTAATGAGATCCTTCAAAAGCCGGTCTAATTATTCTAGTGGTTGACGCGAGTGTCGACACATCTACTTTCGTGGTTTTATTAATAAAAGGAAAAAATTTTTCTTTTCATATGATAAAAACTGTTTTTTTTTTTAGCTTCGAAATAATTAAGTAAATGATTATTTATAAATACATTAATTAAAATAAACGATCATTAATGTTTAACATATTAAAAATCTAATATCGCGGATTTTAATATTATTTGTACTTATTATCGCAATCAATAAATGTAATAGTTATATAACATTTCAATTAGATTGATAAATATCTTAGAAAAATTTATAAAAACTTTTATGTGATTAAATAACATAATATTTAACATTTTATTGTAAAAATAAGAAATACATTAATGTAAAATTTATCTCAGCAAAAAATTACATAAATAATTATTTTATAATAAAATAATTTACGCAAATATGGCGAGAAACAGATAAAAGGATTATTTAAAATATGGATATTGGTTAAAATCTATTGTGATCGGGTGATGATAAATTGTATTGTAAGCCTAAAAGCTCTTTGGTACTCGATGTTTATATAATTAAAAACTTATTGAACACTTATCGGCTATTAATTATTTTCTTGCAGGTTTATATTATCTGAATCAGTAGACTTTAAAGAAAAAAAAAAAATTTGTATCTACATACATAATGTGCCATAAACTAATATCATTTAATTATATTATTATTTATAATAATTATTTATTAATTTATTTATTTTTTAATTTCAAACCTGAAGAAGTCGTAGAAAAATCTTTTTTTTTATTTTAATCTTTCTCTTTTCTATTAATATTAACATATTTACATCAGTCAAATAAATACATTGAAAATTTATTGGCTTTAGCAATCGTTCTTTGTTATATAAATAAAATTTTTAGTAATCGCTGCTAAACATTAGTTTTGTCTATAGAATGATTCAAATTTGTATTCTAATAAATGATATTTATCACAGAGTTTTGGGTTTTATTATCATTGTCGTCAAAATTTTTGCTCGTCTTTTATTCCGAAATGTCATTAAGTTTCTATATTATTCAAGCATTAAGAATTACTAATAAAAAAAAACAAAGAGCGAATAAATGAAGAGTGAAAGCTAAAGCGTAAATACAGATAGTATATACAAAGTTTTATCATTAAATCATATTCATCAGTCAATTTTTATATTATTCATTTGTCCAGAGACTAGATACTCTATCTTACTTACTCACATCTGCATCATTTTTATTAGTAATTGTTTTCTTCACAGAAGAAACATTCTTCACTGCATTAACTGAGTTAACTGGTTTATTTTGTTCAAATTTTTGTTGTAACGAAGCAACGTTTATTTTACTTCCAGCAGCTTTTTTGATTGGATTTTTAATGTCACTTCTAATGTCACTTTTTGTTACTGATAAATTTTTCACTGATGTCGGTGATTTCTTTTTTTCTGTAAACGTCGCAGCTTTAGCAACAATACTACCTGGTCGTGGAGGGATAGAAGTAGTTTTTTTTTGAGTTTGAACTGAGAACTTTTGTATATTTTTAAATTTTGAATTAATCCCAACTACATCAGGAGATTCTGAATGGTTAGAGGACGATGTAGAACAACTGGAGACAACATCTGGACTATTTTTACTATTTACAGAAGAACTACTGATCCCATCTTTTTTTTCTTTACTACTAACACTTTTAGTGGACTTTAAACTGGTATCTGAACTTTGCCGAATTGTTTTTGCAGGAAAACTTTTTGATTTATCCGGACTTGTTTGATTATTTACATTAATTTCCGAATTTTGTTTTTCAATTTTTCCCTCTTCATTCATTATATTATCTTTATTATTAGTAAGGGAATTCTTCATATTGCTTAAAGGTATCTTGACTGATTTTATGTGGTTTTTTTTAACTTTCATATCATCAGATACTACAGAATTAGTTTCCCCACATTCTGTCTTTGATCCTGATGTATTCGTCTGTACTTTATCATTTTTTTTATTATTAGGTAATAAATTATGACTTTCATCATCTTTCTTGGGAACATTGACAGCAGAAGGTAATAAATATCCAGAAGATGTTTCAGAAATGGCTGAATTAAATTTAGCTGATGCTGAATTGGAATAAACACTGCCAGGGGATTTGTAATGACTTGAATTAACGTAAGTACCTAGTGAACTATTAGAACCAGATATTTCTAAACATTTATTCTGTTTATTTTCATTATTCTTTTTTTTCAAAGTTCCTGTCGAATAAATTGAGTCAAAATTTCGATTAGAAATTTCAGACACAATCTCTGAAAGTAATCCCATTGTTTCTGGTGTTTCATGAGAGTCAATAGGCTTTGGATTTTTATATTCACTCACTTCTTTAACATTCTTTACAGCTTTATCAATAGGATCTTCAATTACTGCATAAATGTTATCATTGCCATTTAATTCTTCGTTGATTTTATTTAATGTAGGATCAGCAATATTAAGACAATCATCATAAGTATCTTCTACTACGGTATTACTAGTTTTAACATTAGGAGTTTGATATCCAGGCAATCCAGGTATTTTTAAATCATCGTTAGGTTTTTCTGGTCCTGGAGGCACTGGCGGAGGTGGAGATGTAGGTCTTGTACTTGCTGGAATACTTGTTGGTCGTTTATATGAATTTCCTTGTCTCATTGATCCAAATGAATGAATAGCTGGCCTCGATAATCCTTTTGAATCTCTCATTGATTGTGCACGCATTACTACCGTTTTTTTATCATTCTCAACAGAACCTAGAGTTATTGCTGCCATTGGAATTTCAATTTCTTTTTGTGGGATTGGATTTGATATTTCTAAATTCCTTAAAATATCTTTATCCATTATTTTCGTTACTTTCTGATGTGGATTTTTATTTATGCTGTTTTTATCTTCTTTATATCCAGGTCTAAGTATTGAAGCGATTCTGTTTAATGTACTGGATTTTTCTTTATTTTCCAATGTAATTTTTTCTTTTCGTTCTGCATCAGCTAATGTTGATGAAATACCATCGGGTTTATCGATTCCTGAACTTTTCTGAAGAACTGATGCAGTGGAGGAATCTTTTAATGTTTCTAGTGGACGTGAAGGAACTTCTGGAGCCGGACGAGTAGGTATTTTAGCTGGTACAAAATCCATTGATGTACAAGTTGTCATTGATAATACTGGAGAACTTATTAATGGACGTGCTGTGCTGCCTGGATTTAATGGCGGTAATGCTGGCGCCTTTGATTCTATTTCATTAATCTTATTATTGTTGTTATTATTATTGTTATTCAACAAAGGTGTTATAAAACCACATCTGCGAGAATTATTTCGTTGTGATGAATTCAAATTAGTTTTAATTGCAACCACTGGAACTTCAGGTGCTGGTTTAGTTGGTTCTAGCAATTTATGAGTTGGGGGAACACTCACTGAAGATAATGGAGCCAATGTAAATCCCTTGAATTGTCCAAATAAATTATTATTAAATCGTTCATCATCTTCTGACTTTGGTAATAAACTTGCACAGGCCGGATCTTGTGCTAAAGTTGAATCTATTGTTTCAATTCTATTCGACGGTTGATGATGGTGGTGATGATGGATGTTTCTGGGATGATCAATTGTTTTTATCATGAATCCACGGTCGTGTCTGAAATTTTATAAAGGTGGAAAATTTCAATAAGCTTAAGGATTCTGGTTGCAAGCAATTGTTTATTAAATAAATAATGTTTTTTTAATTTTTTAAAAAATACATGCTTCAATGCAATGATTTTACAAGCAAGGAAAATTAGTTTGATTAAAAATTAATTGCCAATAAAGATAGAAAAAATCAGAAAAAGAATTAAATTATAAAAAGAAAAACTAATATTTTATTTGTGAAGAATTTTATTGTTTTGAAAAATAATTTTTGGTATTGTTGATGATATTACATTAATGAGTAAATTATTAAACATAAAGATAACTCACATGCTGAGATTCGAATTTTAGACTTTTTTATGACAAAAATTTACCAAAATATAAACAAAAAAAATTTCTTATTCCTTAATAATAAATTTCATGCATCAAAAAACGTGCGCTCATGGTTTTACATTGATTGTCAATTATAAAATTATCACATTAAAGAAAAATTGATGGTTGGAGTCGTGTTATATTAACAAACATCATGCATTCAAATCATGCACTCGCCACTGCTTATTGAATTTAATCTTATAGTCTAGCAAATTAAAAATATCATAACTTAAAAGTTATTGAGTATTTTTTCTAATTCGGTCTTTGAAGATTCATTATATAAAAGTCAAATGAGATTCGAGTATTGTCGATTCCCATAATACATTTAAATTTTTGGTTTCATACTTTGAGGTGGTGCAGGAGGTGGTGGAGGCTTTTTATTATAAAATAATATTGGATCTTTAACCTGTTCAATGCTTTTTAAATTTGCAACATTTGAACTGCTACAAGGATTTTCATTTGAATATTGAAATTCATTATAAGGGTTTAATTTCAATTCATGGACATTGTTAAAAATTTTATCATTTTTGCATTCACTTGTTTGAGCTGGTTCTCGTAATTTATCCGAAAGATTTTTTTTTGATACGTTCATGTAAATGGGATTTTCATTATTTGACGTTACTGTGTTTTGAGAATTTAAATTTTCAAAAAGTGAAACATGTTTCGACACTATTTGATTACTACAATTAATCACTTCTGGATTAGTTGTACTAACAAGATTCTTTTTAGTTATTTCAATTTTTTTACGAGGTAATGTATCACTGATAGTAAAAATTTGATTTTGATTTGGTCTCGTATGTTTCGAAAATGAAAATAAAATATTTAGTCTTTCTACAAATTTATTTTTTTTCCGAGCTTTTGATTTTTTTGGTGTTCTACCAGGAGAATTGATAGGTTTTTTAGATTTTGACACTAATTTTTCCAAATTAAATACGTACGTTGGAATTATTTGCTTTTTCCATCCAATTGTACCAGGGGAATTATTATTTCTGCACCACACTGCGAGGGAAACTAAACCAGCCACTGGTAGTATTCCAAGGAATATAACATAGAGTGCAGTAATAAAATCGTTGCGAGCTGAAAAAAAAATTTTTAAATAACATATCAATAAATACTTTGCAGAACTCTACGAGGAAAATTATTTTCGAAATATTTACCATTAGGATCTTCGGCAGGACCACTATCATCAGATCCTCCAAATCCTGGATGAACACAATCAGGTGGACGAAATCCTCGATTACAGTGGCAGTGACCTAAGCTATTGCATACTCCGTTACCTCCACAATTATTTGGACAAGAATCTTTCCCAATAGTTGATGCTCTTAAATCTGCTATTGGCATACATTTTTGGTTTACACACATCTAAAAGAATCCAATCATATTTTATATAATTTAAGTTTAACTAAAAATTTTATGTTAAAAAAATCATAACATATTTGAAAATTAAATCATCAAAAATACCTTTCCTGGAGCACATTTAGCTCCATCAGGTGCAAGCCCAGGATCAACTTGATTAAGACCTAAATCTACAATTGCTGATCTGCAAGCTATAATTTTTCCTCCGTTATTAATAAACGAATGACTCAAAATTGCTACAGATTCCATCCCAAACTCTAGTCTTTCATTTAAGTGTTTACAATGTAACATTCCACATAAAATGTGTCTATAAAAAAAATTATTTTCGTTTGGTACACTTTATATTTTTAAAAAGGTTAAAAAAAGAACCAACAGTCATGATACTTACTCGTCATTGCATTTAATATAACTTGATTCTAATCTGTTGTATCCACAATTTCCTAATTTTGTTCCTTTGCTATTCATATGATAACATTGAGCATCTGAAGAAAATCCACTAGGTCCCCAAAGAAGTTTACATTGATCATTGTGAGTTCTACAAGATCCTTGATAGCAAAAGGCCTTTCCCACGTTGCAACTTTCACCATCAATTTTAAAAACATCTTGAGGACAGTATTCACTTTGGCCTGTACAATATTCTGGTAAATCGCACTCATGTTCTGCAGATCTGCATTCAGTTCCAGCATTTTTTGGCTTACAGGTCGTCAAGTCACAACATTTACCCGTAGCACAGCTAGCATTTGAATGTAGCATACAAGTCGTAGCATTACAGCAAGGATTGTCGCAATTTTCCTTTAATCCACAATCACATTGCTCTCCAGATTCAACAAATCCATTGCCACAAATTGGACTATCAAACAATTTAGTAGGCTTATTACGAAGGCAATAATCCATTCCATGCTCAAAAGCGAGTGCTAGATATTCTAAAGAACAAGATGACCAATGAACTGGTCCAGTTGAACCACTAGATGCAGCCATAATACATCTGAAATATTTTCATTAAAAAATTTGATTAATTTGTGTCATTAATTTTCGAAGTAAACGAGGCTATTTATTCTATTAATGATTTTATCTTACCGCTCTTCTGGGCAGGAACAGTTAGCTGAGTCATGCTCCATTCCAAAATTATGACCCATTTCATGGGCTACAGTCGCTGCCACTATACCAATTACGCTTGAGTGATCGATAGATACTCCACCAGAAAACTCAAATGTACAAATAGGTCCTTTGAGAGCCTTCCCAACAACTCCCTCTTCAAATTTAGCTTTCCTTTATCAAACATAATACATACATTCATATATAGAATAATATATTATTTTAATAGATGCAGCATCATGTTTTTTTTTTCTTTTACTTACGTCAACAACTGAGCATTATCATTAGGAATTTCTTTGACAAGCATTTCCCTTCGATATCGCAGAAAATTCGCAAGCGTTGCATCACCTTTAGGTGATAACGTAATTTCATCAGAATCTGTCCAGACTTCAACACCAACCAGCGCGACAAAAATGTTCAAGGGAGTGAACAGCTGTTAGTAACAAGTAATCAATATATTTTTAAATTACGTATTTAATTAGAAAGATATCAACTAATTGTTTAGCTGATATAGAATTATTTTTTATAAAGATAAATAATATACTTACAGCATTTATTATATTAGCAATATCTTTACAATGATGGTATACTTTATCTAGATTTTCGCCCAAGGCCATGTATTCTTTTTTATCAATAACAAGAACTAGTTCCACATAGCGTGATTGTCTATTGGAATTATAAGGACCACGAACTACTTCAGCAGCTCTTTTTCTCTAAAACAATACATGGGCTTTTGAATAAAGGTCACAAATTAAAAAATAATTGAAGAATTTGTATTATATTGCTACTTACTCTAAAATTTTTATGAGATATTATAGATGGTATAGAAGCCTCATGATGGCCTTTGTATCCTGCAAAGGGAAAAAATTCTTATATACTAGTTTCTAATAAGGTAAGACAAGACAAGTATCTTTTTTTTTGTTGTCTACTCAATCTTACAATTTTCTTTTATTTCAAAGAATTCCACAGAATTTTTTCCAAGAATAAAAGTTAATAATTCAGATTATTGTTTTGATAAATAATAATGTTTTTATTCTTACCGCATGTATTATTGCCTATAAAATGCTTGTGGTCATATAAATAATGTATTGCATCAAGTGATTCCGTTTCAGGATGGATATAATGAGTATTTTCTCCATCAAAGACTACTCCTTTTAACCCTCTACAAGTTGATAATGCTACCCAAGAGCCCGGAATGCCTCGTACACTTCCTTGATAATGACAAAGCTCCTGACATAACAACAAAAAAAAAAATTTGTTTATTTTACAAATGAAAATAAAGTTTCATATATGTGAGTAATGATAAAGAAAGTGTTGTTACTTGGTGTTATACATGAAAGGAATTTCACTCATATCAGCTACTTAATTGGCCAGAGTATGGAAAAGGAGAGAGGGAAGTAGAATTAATTAATTCAATTATGTAAAACAGACGATGTAACGCACCATTATTGGATACATGAAAGATACAGTAGGTTGAACGATATCTCGATAAAATTATCATATCTTACGTTAAAAGTCTTAAAAATAATCTTTTTTTGAAGAGAAAAAAGTTTTTTTTAATATTTATAAAATATTTAAACTTAAACTTACAACTTTATCAGGAATATCTGTTTTATATCCACCATTATGTTGTCTTCTTTGTTTATATCCTACAGGAATGAGATCTGTGTTGAGTCTTAAATCAAGGGTTCTTTTTACACCATCTATATCATATGCAATTGTCAACACTTCAGTATGCTCATGTTCCTGAAAAAAAAAATAAAAACTTTCTCCTTTAAAAACAGCACTTTTTATTTATATAAAATATCAAAAGTATAATTTTATAGTAAATGTTAGCTTGAGTAGAAAATTTATATAAAATAAATAAATATAATAAAATATAAATTCGTGTCCAAGGTTAACTTAACACGATCAACGTCTATATTCTCTTTGTTTTGCTAATTTCGTTTCGCAAGAAGTTTCATTACGATATTATAGTCACAATGATTTCTTTATTCTTTCAGTGCTATGTCACTTATCATTATCTAAGTATAAAGGATTAGAGTTCTTATATCACACTGAGTATGATTAAAAAAAAAAAAATTATATTTCATATCAATTTTAAAAGTACTTTCTTTGAAATTATTTAAATACGATTAAAATTAATATTATAATTGTATTAAATATTATATGAATCTTTTTAAAGGACTTACATTTTCCCTGGTATCAAAAATTTCTCGTTTATGTCGTCCATGAAAGACTCTTGGTTTTATCACTTTAAAACTACTAAAGTCTGGTGAATGACCTGAAAAAAAAGAAAAAAAAAGATTAATCACAGGAAAAAGAAATAAATAATATATTCTTTAGAATAAAAATGCAGTTGAATATATTGCACTAGTTTCTTTTTTTCTCTAACTTATTTAACTATTCAATGCATTATACATTTCATTTTATTATTTTGTATTAAATTTGAAATAATTGCATTCAAATCCTTGTCTACTACTAGACTATCTAAAAAAAAAGAAAAAGGAAATTCTCAAAGTAAATTTATTTTAAGTGATGAAAAAAAGCACGTGTTCACTTGCGGATCTTTATTTACGTTCCCATGCACATCCTGAATTACCATGTGTGATAAAATTAAGAGCGAAAGGAAAATAAGAGCGAATAAAACCGGATAAGTATAAAAAAATAAATTCCTAAATTTATGTGCTAAAATATTCATCTGGTTCTATTGTTAAAATAGAAAATCTGCAAATAATAAATGATAATTGAAAAATTTTAATCATTACCATTTACTGTATAAATCGAATACATAAAAACTAAAAAGAATCATCATTTGTATTTATTCTTCATGAGTTGTTATTTAATTAATTACAGCAATTAAGTAAATGACCGAATTTGCATTAACATTATCCGAGTAAACCAACGATATTTAACTGTGTTGAAAAATATTCATCAAATTTGTTACTGTGCCATTTGTTCTGAATATAAACCTCAATAAATATTCAGAAAAAAAAATAGTTCATCCTCTGACATTGTTTTGTGCAGTCAATATTTCATTTTCTTTCTTTTCAACTATTTTTCCATTCGATTCGGTGATTTAACCCTGTATTTTATAAGTTAGACACTATATGATCGTGGCATGTATTGTATCGTCATATCATGGGTCGATGAGCATCGAAAAACGGGTCGATGAGGGAACAAAATCCCCTTGTAATATGTGTATACGTAAAATAAGTATTGAAGCTTACATACACATAGGTATCTACACTGTCTATGTCTCACTGCTTTTCATTCTTTATTTGTATTTGCTCCGCTACTTAAATTCATCAAATTAACAATAAAAGAATTCTTTGACTGAGCAACGTTGGAATTGCATTCAAGTATTTTTGTTTACTCCAACACCATCTGCCAGTAATTCCATATGTTTTGGAAAAAAATATTTTCAACTGATTGTGAATAACCAATTATATATGAAGCATTAAAGTCTAATCCAATTTCTAAAATTGAATTATTATTTAAATTTCACTTGTTATTGAAATATCAATTTAAATGATTTATTAATATTTTAAAAAGAAATTTTGGAGTAAAAAATAACATTTGCCCAATACCTGCTATAGAATTATTATTATTATTTATTTAGTTGAACAAATAAAAAACAATAAAGCAAACAAAAAAAAAACTAATAATAACAAATAATTCCAAGTAATATTTAATGAGCAAGATTTAGCAGTGGATACTGGTACAGCTAAGGATGATAGTCCTTTGAAGAGGTATCCAAGGCATGTTCTTAGTATTATGTATTTCGTAGCTCAGCATTTGGACGTGCTGTCGTAGGTGGAAGATGAATCACCGAGGTGAAAGAAAAACAATGAATTATTCATAAGAAAAACGATAAAAAAATGAAGTTCTTTTTAAAACCGGAAGTGTATGTAGAGATATCAAACTGTAATACTACTTTTAAATGATCTTATAATGTTCTAAAATAATTAGAAATAATTTAAATGTTACTATTTTTGGAATACGTATTCGAATTAAAAAACATCCAAGGAATAAAAGAACTAGAAAATCGTTAAAAGTTTCCAGTGGTCGGACGAGACTGTAGGGTATTGTTAGAGCCGAAAATAGATTTGAATCTGCTGCTCCCTCGCCGATTCTCAACTTCTTCCAGTCTTTCAATAAGCCCTTATATTCACCTACTTACCTTTTTCACTTTTGAAAACAAAAATCATATTATTTATATTTCCAAAGAAAAAAAAAATCGACATCAACTTCTCGAACTATGAATGCAAAAAATTCCAAAGACCTACTTCCTAGATGTTAAATAAAACGTTTTAAAAATAATTTCTGAGTTAAATTCGACTTCAGAGAACTCAAGTGTACATGATTATACTGTTTAGATATTAATAAAGGAATATATCATTATTTTAGACTCAATTTTCAATGAAAATGATAATTAGAATGTATTTCCTGATGACTAGAAATGGTTCTAATTTCTAGAAACTCTTATAACTCATTATCAGTTAGATAAAAAAAAAATTAGCAATGATAAATTCATTCAAGTATGTGCTAAAACTGCATTTAACCCTGTTTTGTCTTGAATGAACCGCTAGTGTGATGTCGTAACCACAAAATCTCTACTACTGGTTTGCTCATGTATAAAATATTATCTTTATAATTCAATAATTATCTTAATTCTGAATATTATCGACTTTCTCTTCAATTAATCTTTCATTAACGTACATCATTTTATAACAATAATAACTTCATTAACTATTATGGATCTATTTACTGTCATAACAAGTAAAGCTTCTGTAGCTTAATTGAGATTTCCTTTTGATTTAATTCAACCGATTGCAGTCAAGAATCCTTGTCCTCATTCTTTTCATCTTATCATAAATATGAATTTTATTTTATAAATATTGAAATAATATTAAAGTATAACATTAATATAAAAAGAATAGATCAACTATCAGAGCAAAAAAATCTTATCTAACATCCTCATACATATTTTCATTTTCATAACGAAAGATCTGTTGCACACAGTAATATTTTTAAATAATTATTCTTTTTTACTTCTACTTTAATGTGGATATTAAATTTATATTTATTAATAATAACAACAATTTTCTATCAAAAAATATCTTTTTCTTTATCCCAAATTCAATATCTTTGTCCTTCGAAACATCCGTCATGGGAAAGAAACCGGAAATTACTTATTGCGATAGGAAATCGAACGTGACTTTAAGTGAATAATTAATTAATTATTATTATTATTAGAACATAAATATAATAATTATATTCCAGATGAATCACAATTTTTTTTTCGCTCGTATCCTATACTGGAGCATAAAAATTGCATGGACTCTCATTGATTCTACGATGATTCATACAATGTATTACAGAGAGAAAACTTACTAATTCGTGAGTCAATTTCGTCACAAATGAGTGAATAAGTCATATACAATCTCATATTTAAGAATAACATAAAAAAAATATTTTTCAATATAACATAATCGAGTAAATTATTTACCATTTTGATAAGAATCAGATGCACTGCTGGAGCAAAAAATTGATAAAAGGCTCAGTAAAATAATAATAAACCTCCATAACACGAGTTCACTGCACCAATGTTGAACAATTGACGTCCTAGAAGCGTCGGAGCTTCGCCAAATGTCGCCAGCCATACTTATACCTAAGTAAGCTTTAAGTCTTCACAATTGGCTTTAATTCCTGATAGATTTCTCCTTTCTTCTTTATTCTATGCATTGCATTATTTTTTTGTAACAACACTTGTTAAACGTAACAATACGTTCATATTTAAAACACGATATTGCTCGCTTTAAATACAATATTTCCAAATGTTTGTAAATAAAACGTAAGGAGAAGAATGATCAACTCGAGTAAACTCACAATTGCTTTCGACGTTCTATAACGGACTGGTTTACTGGGGTGTGTGTGTATACTCGCGGTGTAATAAAAGAACGAATCAGAAGGGAGTTGAGTCGAACTTACTCGAACTCATCCGACTCTAAACGACGTCTGGTCAAATTATCTTCGGAATATTTCGGAACAATTCGTGGAATAAAGCTATATGTATACATCCAGCCTTTAAATCTCATCTAGGAAAGGTATAAACACACTAGAATTGTTTTACAAATTATTTAATAAAAATATGATTTGATAATTATATTTAATGTTTCAATTAATTTGTTATTTTTAGTAATATTATTTTTGTACAGAAATGTTGAGACGTTGAAGGATCAGTGTTGCTAAGGATTTAATTGATCAAACATTTTGCCAATTTAATTGAAGTTTAGAAGATAAAATGAATAATTGTCAAAAAAAAATTATTATCCAAACAATTGTTGAAGAATGTAGTAATCAAAATCAAACTGTTTCTAAGGATTTAGCATCATTTATTGTAAGTTAACATGAAACTTTTGACATTGGTAAAAATAGTCAGAGATTTTTTTATTTAAGGTCAATTTATATCAGCTAAATTCTGAATGGAAGATTCAAGATGATGATGATTATGATAAACTAATTTCTGTAATTGTCACGAAATTATTAGAAAAAGGTCCTAGTATAAAGACAATTGAGATGCAACTTTTTTTTACAAAAAATTATCTACACAAAAGTAAGTATTATTTTATTGTTACTGTTGAAAAATATTAAAAGTAGTGTACGTTATTTTTTATTTTTAATGCAGATGAAATTATAAAGAAATTTCGACATGGATTAGAGAGAAAAACCGTATCCTTAATGAATGAAATTTGTGAAACCACTAGAGTAAATACTGATAGAGATATAGACAAACTTTATCAAAAGATTTTGACATTTATTATATATATGAGTGGTTTAGGAAATCCGGCGAATTCAGGAGTACTCAAGTATGATTCATAGTAAGAAAACATATATGATTTAATAGATAGTTACTATAAATTTCATTCATTTTTATATAGAGAAGCTACAATGTGTCTTCAGAGTGTTTATCTACCTTCAGAAGTCACACATTTTGTTAATTTATCAAGGAAAGCAAAAGATAAACAGCTAAAGGAACTTATGAGTATTGTTGGTGGAATTCGAATATTTAATAAAGATTGCCAGCGTGGCGGTCACAGCATTGATGACTGTAATAAAATCAATAATTATCTAATTAATAATCTTAAATATCAATAGAAGTATATTTCACAGTAATTATTCTTAATGGATTTTATATGACTGTTAATTGTTTTAGTACCTTCTTTATTGCAAGATAATTTTGAAAAATTGAAATTATCAATCTTCCAACTGTTAGAGAAACTAATGAGGAATGTTAATCGTTTAACAACAGCAGTTGAAAATTTTCTTGATTTCAATTTTATCTTATCTGATGAAGAGAAAAATAATTTTACATGTATTATTGAAACACTTACTGCTTATAGACAACAAGAAATCTACGTTAGGTATTGATTGCATATAATTAAATAATATTGATGCATTTTAAAAAATAATCAATTTGTTTTTATTTAGAAAACTGTTATCTGATATCGAAACTTCTGAAAATGAATACAAAAGTCTTATCAAATATTTGCAAGCTCGTTTAACTAATCTACATGAAACTGTTAAATTTAGAACAGCTATACCAATTGTTCAAGTTTATGTGAGCTAAAAAAATACTATTTTTATATATTATTACATTGATATCATTCAATATTTAATTGTTGAATATAATTATTAGCCACAGTTTAGTGATCTAATGAATATATGGATGCATCTACAAGATGAAAGGGCAGTTTTGGACAGTTTAAACTCATTTTTATTTCAATTGAAGAATATAAACATTGAGGTACCTTCAACTAAGTTCGAAAAATAAAATAATTTAGTTAAACTAATTGATTAATTTTTGCAGGATGTGGAAATTCATGATGAAGGAATATTAGAAAGATTGTTGAAAGATTCTGAAATTCTTTCAGATGCTGATCGACTTGAAAAGTCAATGGGTAAATCAATAAGCGAATGTGAGAATTGTCATATTATTTTTCCAAATACCATGAGTGATCTCGCAAAAAATCCAGCTAGAATTTGTAGGATTCTGTGCATGGACATTTGTCGTATGCCCTGGTGCTTTAATTCCAGGAAATCCTAACATTGGTATAATCAAATGGCGTATGAGATATTTCGTATTTAGTTCCGATGAAGCTGCTAGAAAATTTGGCCAAGATCCAAATAAATTTTTCTATGATGCCTTGAATTTTGTTCGTCAACATCCAGAGTATATCAATCTTTTTCAACTACATGAAGAAATTGAAGCGATAAATAATCAAGAAAAGTAGGTTTTTTTCACTAATATTTTCAATTACATGAGTTTCTTTTCTCACAAATGTTATTATAGGTCTTCTGAAGAATATAATTTGAAATTCCATCAGGATCAAGCAATCCAAACGGATGTTCACTTTCATGAAACGTATATTGATCCGGATTATAGTCATAGTATTTGGGATTATCGACAAAAAGCTATGAAATTGGTATATTTATTTTATTTTTTAATCTAAATATCATACAAAATAACTTGAATATTTTTTCCAGGTCCATATATCTCGGTGTCGCACAAAAAGTACTCAAACGAGATTATCTCATTACAGAAAATCAAGTAATGTTCAAGTATCATTATCCAAAGACATGGGAGTTCAAACACGAAAAGATAATTATTGTAACACAATTCTAAATAGGAGTTTTATGTGGGGACTCCGGGGAATAAGAAATTTTGAACCTCAAATTGTTACATACACTAATGATTTTTAATTTTTTATCTTGAACTTTTTATATACTTCTAGCGTATATACTCAAGTAAACTAAGTCTGATAATGAGATATAGTGTTTTAGATATTTTATGTGCGATTAAATTTTTCTAAATTAAAATTATTAATACAGAAAATCAAAATTAATGTTAATAAACTTGGCAAGTGAGTATGTCAGAGTCTATCAGACACATTGTTTTTTACAAATATTACTTGGAATATTTTTTTTTCGACTCTACTTAAAGAATACAAATGATTAACTAAAGAATGAAGTAAATTATAAAATACAAGATATTTAATAAAAAATAAATAACACATGGCTACAATACAATTTTTTTTCTTTCTTTTTATCCAAATACAATCACTTTCAGTATTGTAACTTTAAACCTTAAATATTAATTTTTACACCGAAAAAAATTAATACGTTATATGATAATTATTCATTAATTACACTGCAATACAATGAAATCTTTTCAGACATTTTTTCATCAAATATTTTTTTTTTTTGAGTTTAACTTTACTATTTATACAGAAAAGGTACATATGATTAAAAGATATCTCCTGTTTATAAATGTGTGTATTTAAATTTTATTACCTTTTTTTTTTATTTATTCTTCATTCGTACTTACTTCCTCACAATTCATTATTATTATAATTATTAATTTTTTTATTCTTACACGCACAGAGTCTTCCTCAAAACATTCTCACATTATCACTCGTCTGTCTCATGAAGCCCAACATACAAAATGGAAATCCGAAGAGAGTAATATTTTTTTATCATTATTTTCTAGTCAACTTTTAATTAAAATCAAACTTATAAGAAAAGTAAAAGAGAAGAGATTTATAGATTCGTACAGTCACTGAAGTAATATTATAATAAAGCAAATTAACACATGATTTGATAATTGATTAATGCCCACAACTAAACAATGTAATTTTATGAATAATTTTTTTTTAACAAAATGGGCTTTTCGGTATATTTATTGATTTGAATGTCATTATGATTACCGATATCTTTACTTAATTTATTGTGGTATTATATAGAATAATTTTTTAGAGTCTAGAACCCTAATCAGATTGATAAAATTAATTTAATCGAGTTGTCAATAATAAATTGTCGGAGTTTACGGATCTGTTGTAGAGAACTTTGTTGTAAAATGAATGAAAGATTTTCCAACTGTTTTTCTTCCATTTCGATTTCTCCTTTAGTTGTTGTTCCATGGTTAATAAATTTTCGTCTTAATCTAAAAAATGATTTTTGAGGTATTTCATCATACCAAAAGTCCTGAAGCGTTTTACTCCAAAAACTTTGAGAAGTTCATCATCGCAGATTGCAAATTGCTTATTTTTTGGATCCTAAAATATGTTCAAAGGTTTTATTTAATATTTTATAATTTTTGATAAAGATTTGTGTGATAAAAATACGATTCATGATTAATACATACATAAAGATTCCTTTCTTTGATAATATGCCACACTTTTTTAACAACTTCATGACGGGCCATTTTTTCAGCATCAACAAGTGTTGCAAGCTCTGGAGAAAGAGTTATTGCCCTCGTGTATCCTCCTTTACCTTTGCCACCACCTTTTTTTGCACCTCCTGTACTTTTTTTGGTTTGTTCCCAATCTGCATCGCTGTCACTGTCACTTCCCTTCTTTTTCATCTTTTTTCCTGGCTTTCCTGTTTTTAAAAGTGAATTTAATTAATATTTATTTTTCAACTCATTGATTTTATTTTCACTATATTTTTATGGATATGTCATTTACCTTTTTTCGGCGATGTTTTAGCTACTTTTTTGGGGTTGTATTCTTCATCGCTAGCATCATCATCAGATCCACTTTCATCATCATCTGATGATCCCTTACTACGTTTTGTAGCACTTTTCTTTGGAGGACCTCGTTTAGCCGGTTTCTTTTCCTCTTCTTCTTCTTCCTCTTCTTCTTCAGATGCTTCATCCTCATCTTCTTCTCCATCTTCAGATTCTTCACTTTTCACATCATTTTTTGAATCCTTCTTCTTTTTTTTACCGCCATCCTGTTTGTCTTGAAGATGTTCCATTACAAGATCATCAATTTCCTTTTTTCTATAATTATAAAAATGTATTTTAGAAATATTTTGTTCAATTAATTTTAATCATCTTGATAAAAAAATCAAGTGATTTTAAATATAGATATTAATTGTTCAAGGGTGAACGAAGTGAATGCTTATATTTCTTTCAGCATCACACAGAGTACCTTCATTTGTTCTTGGACATAAAAATAATTGAATATTATTCTTATTTATATTTTCAATGAATTTTGAAAATACTCAGATATGTCCACAGATGTCGTAAATTTGAAAAAAATTAAATAAAATATTTCATATTACCTTTCAGTTAAATCGATATCTAATTTCTCTTCAATTTGTTGTCTAATTTTCTTGGCAGACGTCGTCTCCAAGTCAGCATCTTTTAAAATGGCTGGAAAATAATTCAAAACATAGACATTTTTAGCGATGAAAAAATTAATCATTTAATAAGAGATAAGATAAGAGGAAATTAAATCAAAGCTATATTTCCCGCGGTAGAATGTTTCAAACATTTAGCAGATACTGCGAGGTCGCGACGTGCGATCTCGAGAGCGCGCTCTTACTCTAATCGACCAGCTGCGTTTTGTTATCGAAATAATGTCTGAAAGCCTATCGGAAATCTTGTCCTTCTTCTAGTTAATCCTTTTAGTCAACTACTCACTATTAAAACTATCACTGTATTATTTTATAATTTTTTCACCATTTTTTATTATTTTGATTCTTAAATCATCCCCACTCTTTTTAACTACCCAATAATACTCCTTCATAAAGCGGGAATTTTTTTCTTTTTCAAATTATTATGAAAATTTTTTTTTTTACATGTTTTTGTTAATATTATTGATTACACATCAGAAAATAGTTTGATAATTATGCTAAAAATGGAGTTTGTCCAAAAAATAGAAAAGACACAAAACAATAAAATAACGTTTTAATACAAAAATAATAGAAAAAAAATTTTTTATCAAAAAAAATAGAAAAAAATTCATTTTCTACTTCTATATTGAATAATGCAGCAGTAGACAATCTCGCGCCATGATACGTACGCCCGTTTTTCTTTTAAAAAAAAATTTTTATTTCACAAAAATGTCAAGATTATCGAAAATTTGTATAAACAAAAAAAAATTAATAAAAAATTTGTGAATTTTTGGACGAATTATTTATCACGGATAATTGTTCAATAAAGCTGTGAATACTAGCTCAGTATTGCTCAAGCTACACTCCAAGTTAGATATCTCATGTACAATGGCCGACGTGGGGCACGCCAGCAACGCATACTCCAATGTTGAATTCTTAGGCAGCTCCAATCGAGCAAGAATAAAGTTGCTGTTTTTCACTTAATTCCCGATAAAAATTTATCAATAAAATAATAGATTTTATAATAACAAATTAAGATACGATAAAATTATAATGTGAAATACTGTAAATAAAGAGTAATAATGACTTACCGGTGATTTCTTTGCGTAGCTCGTCTTTAGATATGTCGGCCATGGTAATTGCTGTTTCTCTCTGTGCGTTCTGCTGCCAACTGAGCCAAGCATAGTCGAAACTTGTGGTAGGTAGCCACACTTCGTGTAGCGTCCGTTAGTACAGTCCAATTAGAAAGCGATGATTTGCAAACTCAACAAACGTAATCTTCAAACTTCAATAATTCATTTATTTGTTCATAAAAAAAGATAACGTTTAGACAAAATTGTGACAACTTTTTATTATCTAAAATTTTGTTCAGATGCCCCATACGTTTTTTTCAATATTTTCAATGGTCTTCGGAATCAATATTATCAAGGGCTTGTAAACATTTTCAATATGATTGTACTAAGAGCTTCCTCGACTCTGGCGATCATATGTACAGTACCAGCTAACAATTTTGGTTTGTGACATTTAATTAACATATATTTTTTTACAAATATTTTGTAAAATATATTATTTACAAAGTTTTGATGATGACAAAATCAATGTAATTTTTTTTTCTCTACCTATTTTGTTAGATGCCCCATACAAAATATTCAGTATTTAAGAGTCAGTTTACGAATTTTCTTTGTGTAGTAAGATGAAATTTTCTGAGTAAATTATACTATAAACTGTATATGAAGTATGACTCACCGCGCGATTTCGTTTTACTCAAAACAAACGTGTAATTATATCCAAAACAATATTTAAAACATATATTTTGCAGTATAATGTTAAATAGTCATTTGTTTGATAAATAATAAATGTTTTTTTATTTCATAAATGAAAAAAATAAAAAAAGATATTACTATTTAGAATTAGAATAAACACCTAAAGAGCGAAAAATAAGTTTAAGACATTTACATTATCAACAGCTGATAAATATGTTATTATCTTATCAATGAGTGATGAAGAACAAGTGATTTTGGAGGTAAATGTGTACATCAATAACTGAAATTAATTATTCAAAATTTTTGTTCATTATACAATTGAGTGTACAAATGGATACATTAAAAAAAAACATTAAAAAATTACAGCTAAAATTGATATGAAATAATCTTAAACGAAGTGTTAATGATGTAATGAATAAATAAATAATATTAAACTTAATCCAATTGTTGTTGGAGATGATATAAAACATGTACCTAGAAAAATTAAAACTAATATAACAATTATCACTTGAATGAAACTCTTGCAAAGTAAATTGAAAAGAACAAAAATAATATCATCTAAAGTAATAATAATGATTGAGTTTAATTAACCTTCATCGGGAACATTTTTCTCTTCAGGAAGAAAAGCACATTCTCCATTAATACAGTAAAGTGGCTTAGATTCTTTTCCATCATAGCATTCATAGTTATGTTGACAAGAATGATAAAGACCTGTAGAGACAAAAGAGTTAATAGACAATGATTGATCGTTATTAATTTATTAATAATTGATTAATTACCTTTGGATAAAATGCATTTTCCAGTTTCGTTAACAAATCTGTGACTTCCGTAACATTTACATTTGTTATTAATACAAATTGCTGATCCAATTGTTTCTACACAATGTTGAGTTTCTTGACAAAAGTCATTATCACGTGTTGGTTCTTGAAAACATTAGATAACGTAAGTAAAATAAAGTGTCCTGAGTAAAGACAAAAAAAGAAATGTCCAGGAATGATTTTTCATTTGATTACATATACTTACTCATGAAACAGTTAGATGAATTTTTATTATCGAGTATATAATCTTTCTTGCATGTACATTTTTTTTCAGAACCACATTCTCCGTTGGCCATCGTATTACAATCATCATTAGATTCACAAAGAAGCCCAGCGGCTAAGAGACAATTTAAAAAGCTGATTAATTTGATAAATAATACGTACATACTTTCACATGATAATAAAGTGATTTAAATGTACTAATGAGTCATTATTGTGAATCATTGAATATTCGAAAAGGTAATTATTCACAGTTACATTAAAATAAAATAGCTTATCAATAATTGCATGATGAATACATACATAGTCAATGATCACAATATATATTTTTGTACAATATAAATTTTACCTGCATGACAGCTAGAAAGATCTGCAGTATGAAAATAATAGTCTTCACAGTGACACATATCTCTGCTATCACAAAATGCATTCTCATCAAGACATTCTCTGTCTCTTTGACACTTTTCGTTGATTTTCTTTCGTACCTCTAAAAATAAATACTTATTATTACCAGATTTAATTTAAGCAATAATCGATTAATTATATTTTTATTTTCAATAGAAATTATAATTATTCGTATAGAACCTACGAGGTATTCGAGCAGCTTGGACGGTTAATTCAATAAGCAAATAACAAAGCATTGCTTTAAATAGAATAAATTTCTTGATATTTTTCATGTTGAAACGAAAAACTTGAGGTGTGTAACGAATGAAAAATGAACTCAAACTGTTGTAGCATAACATCAAGTTTTCTGTTTCTGACAAAGATAATTCTTATCGGATATTATTTTTTAAATAGTGGGGGGAAACTTTAGTTAGCTTATCTTCATAGAAAATCAGAGTGAATGAATCCCCTATAATAGCCACACACATGTTCCCTATCAAAAAAATCGAAATTTAGAAACTGTTAAATCATTATTAATTTCAATTATCTCACTATTAACAGTTACTCATACCTAAGATTATATATAGAGTTGAGTAATTATTCAAATAAAACATTTCAAATTTATAGTATTTGTCGTAAAATAAAAAATAGCATTAAAATAAAAAATACTTAGAAAATTGATAGGATCATAGCTAACTTTTAAAATTGTTTTTATACCGTTTAATATGATCTTATTGCTTCTTTCATAAAAAATGACTAACATATATACACTATGACTATTGTATATAAAGTATTTTTAAATGGTTCAATTACATAAGGTAAAACGACTTGAATAAGTTTAAAATATCTTCTGTAGGTGCCGAAAAATCTATCAATTGACCTCTGATCATGAACTCTGATCTTTACCTAAATTTATCAAGAAATCCACATATGTGCTATAATAAATAAACGAAAATAACTCATGCAATTAATAGCTATTAAAATTAAATATATTGTCAAAAGTATTGTGGTAATAACATTGATTGAACATTTTCTTTTTTTCAGATATCAGTTTAATATGGCTTAGTTCAAAAAGCGAAAAGTGAAATTACCACGATGCTATGCGAATCTGTGCAATCTGCAAACCGCAAGAGTGGGGAATCCACTCTGTAGAAATGAAGTTCACTGAGAGGGAGAAAATTGACGTGTATGTGAGTTAGTCGTAGCTTCCAAGCGTCAGTTCTCAGTTTGATCATCAATTAATAGGATCATTGGTACAAATAATACATGTTTCGTTGATCTTTTCTACCAATTTCTATTTAACAACAAACAATTTTAATTAATTATACTATTCAATTAATCTAATCAGTGTTTTTAGTATTGTTTTTTCTTTAAATTTAATCGATACTAAAATGAGGTTTATTATTGCTATTTCCTTATTGTTCTTCTTAGCTTACTTCGTAAACTGTAAAGATTTTGGTAAGTTTTTAAAAATATTGTTCAATTTAACATATACATAAACTTTTGTTAGAATTATCATTTTTGCACATTCAGAAGTTATCTTGTTCATGAAGTAACAGTTGTTTTCGCGTAATGTCAAAGGAATTTATCATATTTATATTCTTATTTCTCAATAAGAATTTATTGATCATATCAGTATCAAAATAAATTCAGAATATCTAATGCTTTCTAATGAATTAAAGTGAAAAATAAATGAAACCAAATTTTTTTATCATATTTCATTGAAGGTATTTACATGATTTGTAAAATTTTTTGTTATATTTAAAAAATAATAGGAGAAATCGCAACAATATTGCCAAGTGAGAAAATATGGAATATAAAAACAAGCATTAAAGTCTCCAACTCAGCGTTAGTTTTTTTAATTTATTTTCAGTGTTTATATTTTTTAATTACTCATTGTTAGGAAGAAAGACTGACATTCGATTTTGAAATAAATCATTGAAAGTAATATATTTTTAGAGGGTTGTGATAAATAGTAGTTTTCATTTTATTAAAATGAACGTCATTCCTATGATAACATCAACGGATGTTTTTATCATGTTCCTTATAGTGTTAACATTCGTACATTAATATGATTATACTTTTTAAAATATTTATTATTTTATTCACAGAAATGGACTACCCTTGTACAAATATTGATGATTGCAAAAAAAAATTTTCACCAAACTCAATTTGTCGAGATGGTAAATGTTTATGTGGTGATTCACGTGAAAATTTGAAATCGTGTCAACTACCTCGTACATCTTTGAGAGAATCAAAGAATTTAGGTTTGTAATATTCATAAATTTCAGTACTTATATTTACATACTTAGCTATTAATCATTTAATTGGTATTGATGGTGTTTCTTAGGCGGTGTTGTTGGCAGAGTTTGTAAATATGATAAAGAGTGTTATTCAGACAATATTTGGTGCAATACAACTACTTCTCAGTGTCAATGTAAACCTAATTATGTTGGAGACTCTTCTAATAGTCGCTGTCTTCCAAGTAATATAATAATAAAACAATTATAAATTTTTAAAAATATAAATATATTTTAACAGAAAAATTTTTACAGTTGTCAATCATATTGGAGGAAACTGCCAAGACAATAAACAATGTTTAGTGAACATGCCTAATACTACATGTGTAAACGATCAGTGTGTTTGTATCACTGGTTTTCACCATATTAATGGAAAATGTTGGAAGAGTGTTGGTGAGTAAATTTTATAAATTAAATTAAAATGAAAAAAATAAAAATTTCAACATTAAGTCAGTATTAATATATTAATAATTTAAAGTATTAAATTGAATCAATTTTTGGTAGGTTTTGGTGAATATTGTACAGTCAATCAAGAATGTTCACATGTAGAATATGCACAATGCAATGAAACAAATCAATGTGAGTGTTCTAAAATTTCTGTATTAACTAAAGATGGAAAAGGGTGCCTTCCAAAAGCTCAAGCAATTATGGGAGAATGCAAGGAATCAGAACAATGTTCTAAAGCTTTTGACGAAGCTGATTGTATTGATAATAGATGTCAGTGTTGGAATAAAAGTCACTTTGTTCTTAGTATTGGTAAATGTATATCAAATAAAGGTAAGAATAATTTATTTACTATTTACTATTTGAAAATTATTTAAACGTACTTATATCATCATGTCACTAGAACTTGGTGAGGCATGTACTGAAGATTACGAATGCTATCAAGGGATATTATCCGAAGACGTAAAGAATTTAAAATGTATTGATAGGATTTGTGCGTGTGCTGAAAACTTTACTAATGTTGAAGGGAAATGTGTAGCAACTGGTAAGTAAACATCACAATTGAACAAATATGATTAGATAGATAAAATATTTATTCATTTTGAATTTTAATTGACATAATTTCAGATGGGGCAACTACTGGAAAAATATCGTTAGCATTAATGACAATTATGTTATTATTACTTAATAAGTTTTGAATAAGTACTTAGTTAAAGGCATCAAATATATATGCTGAGTACAAATGATAGCTTTATTGTTGAAAAATTAGGTATTAATGGTAACGAGATAGTATTATAGGGTAAAGAATATTTTATTTATTTATAAATGATAAGGTATTTATATAAAATTTTTTTTTTGAAAAAAGAGGAAAAGAGATGAGGAAATTTGAAAAACAGTATAAATTTATTTTAGAGAATTTATCAACTTAAATTCAATTACTTAAAAATACAAAATTATGCATAATTTCTATAGATTATGAAATTATTCATTTATTATTCTTTTAGCTGTGTCCTACTTCCTTACCCGCTTCTTCCTCTACACAAGTGTTAAGAAATATCCACTTTTTTTTACAGAGATTAGATAACAATATGCGAATCAGCATTACCTGGTTGTAAGTTTAGTTCGTTAAGACATAGTGACTATAAATTTTGACAAAAATGGAATTTCTTTTTTTAGGTTTAAATAAGCAGATAATCAAAACCGACGAAAAAAAATGTTAAATAGGACAAATAACAAAAACTCCAAATTCGACGAAAAAAAAAGTAGGAGAAAGAGAAAATAAAAAGATACTGACAAGAGTGAGAGGACAAAGAGAAAGGGAAGACTAGTGTGTAGTATATGTATAGTAGTGGGTGGAAAGTCAAAGGAATCACGGTGAATCTTGAACTCAACTCAAAATGACTGTATATACAGCAATGACACGAAATATTCATAACTTATATATGTTTCTTATAATAATTACAATGATTTCATCTTCAAATTTATCAAATCAAGTGACTCATATTCTTCTTCGGATGAGACGTAAGTAATCATGTCTGATATAATAAAAAATCAATAAATTATCATTATCATTAACAATAACAACGTTAACATTAATAAGTGTTTCTATTAATTACGATCGTTAAGAAATAATAAGTTTAATAAGAACCGGAGGAAGTTCATTCCCCACGGCCCTTTGCTTAGTACCTATACAACGTTCGATCCACTTTTATACTCTGCAGCCGGTTCAGTCGTTCGCGAGCACGCGTTTGTACGTCCTCGCTCTCAATTTCTTTCTCAATTTTACTCAAATAACGTGCGGTTAACCAACTGAAATATCGATCGATAAATTAAAATTTAGACTTGGACGAAAATTCATTGAAGCACTTAGCATAAATGTCGAAATAATAATTTTATCTCGATAATATTCCGTTTTTACCTATCATTGCTTAATAATAAAATTGTTTAAAGTAACATACAATGTTAATAGCACAATGTAGCATCTGTCAAGGATGAATACACGTGTGTTTGACAGCTGAGCATAATAGACAAACCCGAATTGCGTAATGCAATATAGTATAAAGAGAAAGAAAACATGAAAGAGAGATGAAAATAGTTGCGACGTAATAAATGTTTTTTTTTCATCTTTCATTACCAGTCGTTATATGATTGCTGTCTGGTTGAGTTTGATTAAAGTTTGGAATTGTTTACACTAAAATTACTCCAAAGCATGGCAATAATAAACATACGATATTATTGTCATATTAAGTGAAAATGGCAATAATAATAGTTGATAAAAAAGTAAGGATAAAATTTAATCCTAGTTGTCAAATGACAGTGAGACGAAAAGTGTAATGAGTGAAATAAAAATTCAAGATTCATGAAGAATCACAGTGTTCTCGTGTTTCTTGTGCTTTGCCTCGTCACGGCTTCATGCTCGACGATTTCCGTTGCATTTAGACATCATGTATATCCTTGTCTTAATCGCAGGCTTCACACACGTATGTCTCTTCTTTATTTACATTGTTTACACCACTACAACAAATATAATTAACATCAAATAAATTTTTTAATAAAAAAAAAAATTTGCTCTTATAAATAGCTTGTTGAGGAAGTATGTTGATTATTACTCAACTTGAATATAAAAACATCTATTAAAACATATTATCCAAATGAATTAATAATTAAATAACAAAAAAAAAAAAACAAGTCTATTACCTAGTTAATAATTGAGCTAAATGTTCTAATTGTAGAGACAATGAAATCATGCACCTACGATGTTGATTGCATTGAAAACGCATACTGCTTTAATCAAGAAACTTGCATGTGTATGGACGGATATGTTGTTAATAAAAATAGGACTCATATGCAATGCCTAAAAAGTAAGTACAAATTTAATACAAAAAAGTATTGTAATAAACAAGAGTACCATCCTTTCTATGTACCTCTGTATTTCTTCAACAATAGCAGATAAAGTAGTGGGAATGAATAGAATGGGAGTGAGAAAGTACTGAGGGATTTGGATCCCACGGAGTCCTTCCTCGTTCTCCCCCACGTAAAGACATTATTTGAAGCGTAGCAGACGACCAACAAACGGTGTCTTGAGCCTGATGTACACGATATTAGATCTATTTAGTGATTATGTTTCTTTTAAAACCATAATCATATCAGTGATTGAAAACTTATCTCTATTCTATTGAAATTGACTTTCTGATCAATAGTTTAATGATCATTTTGATGATATTTTAATGATAGGTACATGTATTTCGCAATTATAGAAACGTTTCGTGTGCATCAGACTGCATGATTATCATTTCCTTTATATTATTATCTACTTGATCAATTCACTTGTACCTCATTCACATTACTCCTCAATAGTATGTTAATAAATTCATATTTTTAGTTGTTACAAACTTGGGAGACCCTTGTGATGAGAACATCCAATGTGAAATGACCTTCACCAGTCAAGCAGAATGTAGAGGTAATATTTGTGTTTGTTCCGATGGATCACACTATGAAGCAGAACAAAGAAGATGTTACGAATCTGTGGGTTGGTCATTATTTTTCAATTTGTAATGCATTTATTTATTTATGTTTTTTCTTTATTGCAATGATTAATATATTTATTGTATGACATTGTACATTTAGGCCTCGGAAAAATCTGTCAAACGAATTACAACTGTTACGTTGAAGGATCTAAGTCATTTTGTTCTGATGGTTTTTGCAGTTGTCCGCTTTTACATCATTCCAATGCTGATGGTACAAAATGCCTTCAAAGTGCAAGTAACTATTTCTTTTATTATCACATTTACCATAATAAAATGTTTATTTTTAAATTTATTAGTTCATTTTTTGAATTATTTTTATTTTAAAGATCTTGGACAAAATTGTACAAATGATGAGGAATGCATAACATTAAATTCACGTTGTTCTGGAGTATGTAGTTGTAAAATAGATTATGCTCTATCAAATGATAAAAAAAGATGTCTTAAAGCTGCAATGAAGTTAGGAGACTTTTGTGAAGAAGATTCACAATGTTCCTTATTTTTAAAAAATACAAAATGTGGTGAAGAAAACAAGTGTATATGTGTTTTAGATTTGAAACCACGAGAAACAGAATGTGTGAGAAAATTAAGTAAGTTTTGAAATATTAAATATAAATTTAATATTGTATTATACATAAAAATGATATTTTCAGATCCAGAAATGATTGGAAAACCATGTTATAGTCGATCTCAATGTGTCTTACCTACATCAGATACAGAATTAAAACCTCATGAAGTAGCTAATATTGATTGTATAAATAATATTTGTTCCTGTGCACAAGATTATATTCTAACAGAGAATAAACTAGACTGTATTAGGTTTAGTGAAAATAGTACGTTTTATTTTTATCACTACTAAAAATATTATAACATTAATCTTATCAGAGAATGTGTTTTAAATTCTTTTTTTATACCTTTTTTTAATTGATCATTACATAGAAATAAATGATTCTATTTATAATTTTTTAATGATATCTAAATTGAAAGAATAAAAACGCATTCTTTGGTTACAGTAATCATACAGATATCATTAATAGTACTATTAATTATAGAAAAAATAATTATAACATTTATGTTTCAGGTTCAGGCAAATTGATAATAACATCATTACTGCCTTACTTGATAATTATAAAAATATTTTAGTTTACAACATAACGATAATTGAGTATGGATTATTTTTTTATAGTCTAAAAATTGACTTATTTATTTGAGCTTCATAAAAGCTATAAAGTACCTGGTATATTAAAAGAAGATATAATTTATTATAATATACACAAGTATATACCAAAGTAAAACGATCGATTTGTTCTTGCGTGACTAGTTCGAGGTATTCGGTAGCAAGCAACCAATCATTTATCTACCCTCGTAAAATAGTTTCTAATTTTCTCTTATGTGCCTTTCCAACTTTTTTTTCTCCTTTTTTTTTTATTATTTCTAATATCTATTTTTCCCTTAACCATTCATCCTTAATTAAGTCACTGGCCTTTTCACCAATCATATAAGCTGGCGCATTCGTATGACCAGCAATCAAAGAAGGAATTATACTAGCATCAACTATTCTTAATCTTTCGATTCCGTATACCTTAAGATTATGATCAACAACACCGTTAGCTTCTCTTGGTGCCATTTTACATGTACCAACGAAGTGTCCAAGCGTTGTCGATATTTGTCGACACACACAAGCCCAATATTCATCAGAATTGAATTCCAAGTGTTTACATCCGGGAAATTTTACGGGTAAAAGTGTTGCATTATACATTTTAAATGATTGTGTTGATGCTATTTTTATTGCCTGAAAATATAATTTATTGTAGAATATAGAGATTGTAAAAATAGTTAATAAATATATATTATATTAAATGATGACATACCTTTTTAATTCCTCCCACCAGCGTCTTCAAGTCTTCTTCATCATCAAAATAATTAGCTTCAAGAATTGGCGGATCAAATGGATTTGAACTTCGAAGACTTACACGACCTCGGCTTTTAGGATGCAGCAAAACAGGAACAATACTAAAAGCATCTCGACCAATGTAATTACCAAAAACTTCATAAAACCATTTATTTGGTAAATTAAATATATTTCGTAATGTTCCTGATAAATCTCCAGCCATTGAACCGATACCAAATACAAGTTCAATATCTGGATCATCATTTTCAGGTGAGTCATTTGTTTGATATTTTGAATAATCTTTTTTAGTGTTGATAAAAGCCAGAGCTTCGGCTCCAGATGGCACAGTAAGGGGACCCATACCATAAGCTAAATAGTCAAAGGCACTTTTAAAATCAGTAGCAATTCTATTTTCTACGATAGTAACACTATCATTTACTAGAAATGTCAAGGCTGCCATACTAATATGGTCCTGGAGATTAAACCCTACAGGCAAATCTTGAACAACATTAATTCCATGTGTTTCCAAGTGTTTTTTAGGGCCAACACCTGATAACATTAATAATTGGGGTGAATTGATACTACCAGCACTTAATATTATTTCTTTATTAGCTTTTATATAAAATGACTTTCCATTCCTTACAAATTTGACTCCAGTTGCTACTTTAGTTATGGGATCAATCACAATTTGGGTAGCAATTGACTCTTTGAGCAAATGAAAATTTTTTCGCTTTATTATTGGTCTTAAATATGATTTGTAAGCACTTACACGTCTACCATGACGTAAATTAACTTGAGCAGGGCAAAATCCAATGGGATTAGCTTCATTACAGTCTTTAATGTTATATCCTAATTCTTCGCCGGCATCTAAAAATTTATCTCGTAATTTAGAAGTCCAAGGAGCAAAAGTGACATCCAAATAACCATTTTTTCCATGAATATTCCTGTTTATTCCTTTAATTTCATTATTCATATTTATATTTAATTTTTCCATTTTTAAAAAATACGGATAAACATCTCTATAACTCCATCCCTTATTTCCATTAGCTTCCCACTGATTGAAATCTTTTTCTGATCCTCTCGAATGAATCATAAAATTTATCACAGATGTTCCACCAACTGCTTTTCCTCTTGGCCAATTACAACAACCATTGATCATTGATAGACAATATCCCTTGTTTTTATTATGTTTTGATGAACTTGGTTCTGTTTTGTATCCCCCAATTATAGCTTGTCACTTCCATCGCTGCTGCCAAAAGAGGCCAATCAGTGAGGAAAATTTCTTCTTTTCCAGCTTCTAAAAGCAAAACTTTCCAATCTCCAATCTCTGTTAAGCGATTCGCTACCACTGATCCTCCAGAACCCGCTCCAATAATTATAAAATCGTAAGATGATAATATTGGAGGTTCCTGATTAGAATATAATTTAGGGAACGGTGGATATTGCCTAAAATAGTTTAAAATGTTCTTCAGATAATCGAAGGGTGGCATTGACATTCCAAAGTGCAGAATCGCAAGAGAAAATATAATCACCATGTAAGCAGCCATTTATTTAAATATCTAAAAACAACACTGAACCCACAATAATCAAAATTATTGTATTATTAGTACTTGATATTGAAAAATATAAAAAACTTACATCTTAATCAAAAAATACTTGTCAAATTCACCATCAAAGTTAGGATGAGTTGAGTTGAATCTTGATTTAGATGTTCTCCATCTACTTGACAGGTATTTTAGAAATATAACAAAAAATGATTTAAAAAATATTATGTGAACCACTTAGAATCTTATATCATATAGCTATTGTAACTGCCAAACAACTTGATAATACGCTTAATGAAATTATCACTTTTACGATAAAGAATATGATCAGAAGAGTTTTCAGATCAATGTCACGCACTAACGAAGCTCTCGAAGAAATTGAAAGGTAAATTTCAAAGCTGATGGATCTAACGTCATTTGGGCTTTAGGCTCGTAAGTAAAAGTGTGAAATATAATTTGATTAATCCATTGTCATTAATTTCTTTCCTTTCATTTAAAATTAGGCAACCACTTTTTTTGTTAATTATTACCAAACAATACAAAATATTAGAAGATAGTAGTAATATATTGTATTATCAAACACCAAGAACAAATTATAACACCAAACATTTAATCAATATTATTAAATATTAAATTACTTAGTTATTTATTATTATATAATTATTAAATTCTTTCAAGTTCTTTCAAATATAACGTTAAATCTTTTTTATTGAAAAATTTTATAAAATGATAAAATTCGACAATATTTCGGATCAATGCTAATATGATTTTGATCTGATACTCTCGACCGTTACTGACCTACTGGACCAGACACTGTTTCAAGATATGCTGGTAATAATCATCAACAAGAGTTACTCATACTCCAGAATGAGAGAAAAATCCTGGCAAGGTCACCCAGTGACAAAGTGAATATAACATATGATCATGAGATAGTTCCTCGATTAAATACGCATTTCATTAAAATAAATTTCGCAATGATGATTGTGGATGAAGGATTAATGAAGTCGAAGAAGTAGGTTGAGAAGATATAGCATTATTGTGCATCAATGCATGCAAGAAATAATGCCTTTTTTTTGTTTAAAAGTTTGTAGAAAAAATTTAACTATTCATTGAATAGTTAAGACATTTGAAGGATTTACCTGGAAAGAATTATAAACATTAGTGTTTTTTTTAATACCTCTATTATCGCATTGTTGAATAAAAAAAATCTTTTATTCATTTATCATGTTCCCGCTTGAGTTTATCAGTGATCATTTGTATTGACATAAATAAATTCCTTTTCTGCATAAGTATTATTAATATTACAATTATTGTTGCAAAATGCAAAATAAAATTTATGTTTACCAGTTTATGAATAAATAAATCCAGTTGCGAAATAAAACTTACTTAAGATGAGTTTTAATTCGATTTTGGAGTAAAATGAATTCATTTTTAAATCTTAGTATGAGCGTTTGTTATTTATTGATATTGTTTTTTAATACAAAGTTGTTAATTTCAATTTTAAATTTTTCTGTAAGAAATGTAAATAAAGAAGAAATATAAAATAAAGACAATTATATATCAGAAAGAGAGGAAGAATATGGTGTGGAGTTCTACTAGTTCGATTGAGTAGTGTCAATCTTTAGTTTAATGGAATAAATAACGTAAAATAAACGTATAAATCATAGAAAAATAGCATTTAATAATGGATTTTGAAAGTCCAGATGTAGAGAAAGAATTTCCTGGACTCTATGCATCAGAATCTGCAAGAAAAAGTAATGAAAGTGATTGTAAGTAGACAGAATTCATTTCATAACCTCTAATGTGAATAGTTTAATATTTTTATTTATGTAAGTATTAATGAAGAATTTCGAGGTTAATGTGATTGTTTCTAGTCAGCGACGAAGGAGTTCATGATAAACATTCGAAAAAAGAATTATTAGGTGGAAAAAAGAAAGATAAAAAGGATAGAAAAGATCGAGGTTATGCTACTCTAGAAGGCGAGAGTTCACCCGATGAAGATCAAGAGACTAAGTAATTTATTTTTCTTCCTGTCTCTAAATACATTAACTCGACACCTCTAATCTAATTAGAAGATATATTTTTTTAAATATAGTTTGTATTTATTCTCAAAAAGCTCAGGATGAAAGACCGTCTAACTTCAACCTTTTGTGATTTTTTGGTTCTTATCTTTCTTATTAGTTTCGTTATTCTTAATTTTTATGTATTTATTCGAGCATTTATAACTTATACAAGTTAATATATTTTTATTTTTGATTCACTTATTCAACAAATAAATAATCAATGATTCTCAGAAGCCCTTCGAAGAGTAAAAAAACAAAAACTTTCAAGTTTCCATCAAAGAAACGAGAAAAATCTAGAGAAAAAGATGGAAAAGACAAAGAAACTGATAAAGACAAAGAGAAAAAGAAACGTGATAAAGATGAAAAACATAAAGATGATAAAGAAGATAAAGATAAACGAAAAGAAAAAGACCGGGATAAAGATAAGGATAAAATTAAGATTAAATTGAAAGAAAAAAAGAAAGGTAAACATGTGGAAGAGGGCATTGATATTGGAGGTAATATTTATTTTTGAAAATATTATAGAATATCTAAATTTACACAAGTTAAACACTAATGTCAACTTTTTACTGAACATTTTATTCGTAGAAGCTCAACCAATTTTTGGAGTCAGCCTTCATCTTGCTGTTGAGAGAAGTCGATGTCATGATGGAGTAGAGCTACCTTTAGTTGTTCGTAACTGTATCGATTATTTAGAGGAATTTGGTATGACTACCGAAGGTTTATATAAAGTTCCAGGTGTTAAATCGAAAGTTCAACATCTGAAAAAGCTTTACAATCAACGAGAAACAGTGAATATTTTTGAGTTTGATCCAACTATTGCTACAAGTCTTTTAGTTTTATTTTTCAAGTAATTACTTGTGTACTAAACATAAACAATGATCTTTAAATTGAATTTCAATGATTCGAAATTGTTTTAGAGAATTACCAGAGCCAGTACTGGATAGTAGTGAGATGGTATCAAAATTTGAACAAGCAGCATCAACAAAAGATGTAGCACAAAGAGAATATCAGCTATCTCAGTTAGTTCTTCAACTTCCAGAGTGCAATCAAACACTTTTAGCGTGGGTTACATTGCATTTAGATCACGTAACGAGTAGAGAAAAAACAACCAAGATGAATGCGCAAGCAATTGCGATGACATTGAGTCCAGTTTTGCAAATGAGTCATAGACTGCTTTTGGCGCTTTTATGCCACTGTAAAGCTCTGTTTCCAGAACTTAAATTAACAAAATATATTCCTCCATTACCTTCAGGTAGTACCAACTTGCCTGATGATGTTGATAGCATTGCTAGAGAGTTAGCCAAACAAGAATCACTCTTATCTCAAATTCATATGCAAATGAATGATGGATTTGTTACTAAAGCAAGAGAAGAACAATTATGGGAAGTGCAGAGACTTATTACTCAGTTAAAACGAAAATATAAGACTGTACAAAAACTTGAAGGACAAGCGCAAAAAAGTTTAGATGAAGAAGTTAAAGGTAACGACGAAAATCAAGTAATTGATCAATCAAGACGTCTATCAGGTTCAATCGCCAAATCAGATAATGTAAAAAATATTGAAGAAATGAAAGTAAAACCAGAAAAGCATGATTTACATATTGATGGAAGTGATAAAAAATCATTCACAACTGGCAAAGATAATGTTGATGGATTAGATATTAGTTCTGAAATAAAAGCTGAAGAATCTGAAAATAAACCACTAGAAAAAGAAGATTCAATGGAAAGATTAAGAGAAAGTTTAATTTATGAAGAATTAATTAATATGGAAGCATTACTAAGAACGCGAATTATGCAAGAAAAAAATGAAATAAAACGATTGAATGACTTAATTTTTGAAAAAGGATCTGAAACATTGAGGCCAAAAGAAACACGAATTTATTCACCAAATGAAGCAGAAATTACAGCAATGATTCAATTAGCTAAAGAAAATCAACTACTTGAGGTAAACTAAATCATTTGATACTGATTTAATTGATGTTTTTTAAGTAAAGATAATTTAATGTTTTTATTTTTTTTTTTATTCAGAAAAAAATGATGACACTCATAAAAAGTATTATAGAAGAAAAAGATGCTTGTGTAGAGTTAAGAGTTCAACTAGCTATTCATCAACTAATGGCGCAAAAAAATGTTTAAAGAGTTCATTCAAATATTTGCATTTTCGTGTGTATATTATGAATGCTAATCAATGTTAATAATAGACTAATTATTTAAATTGCAATAAACCTAATTTTTGTATAAAAGACTAACTACAATGGTAATTAATATTTTTTTTCAATCTTTTTATTAAAAGCCGATTTTATCGACATAAGTCAGTGATTGTAGTTGTGATAGAAAGTATAGTTGTGTGTGGTGACGATGTATATGGTGAGCGTTGAAGTCGTTACTACGTGGATCACTTGAGAGTTCTTTCAGTTAAAATCTGGAATCTGTCAAAGAACATATGTTTACTTTGTATGATCTGTTCTCAAAAATTTTGTAATTAATTATAATATTGCTATTCGACAAAATGAGTACCATAGAAGAGTTAAAACAACGAATAAAAACATTAGAATTACAATTGGAAATTGAAAAATCAAAAAATGCATCACATGTTCGTGAAAAGATTGAACAATTGTCAAGTGAAGTGGTGGATACAAATCCATACAGTCGATTGATGGCATTAAAACGAATGGGAATTGTTGAAAACTATGAGAAAATTCGTGAATTAACAGTTGCTATTGTAGGAGTTGGTGGAGTTGGCAGTGTTACTGCTGAAATGTTTACCAGATGTGGTATTGGAAAATTAGTCTTATTCGACTATGACAAGGTAGAATTGGCTAATATGAATCGTTTATTTTTTCAACCTCATCAAGTTGGATTAAGCAAGGTTGATGCAGCAGCAAAAACATTAGAATCTATAAATCCTGACGTTCAAATTGAAACTCATAATTATAATATTACTACTGTAGATCATTTTGATGATTTTATGAAAGCTATCAACACTTCAAGTCTCACGAATGGTCCAGTTGACTTGGTATTAAGTTGTGTTGATAATTTTGAAGCAAGAATGACCATTAATATGGCATGTAATGAATTAAATATTAAATGGTTTGAAAGTGGAGTATCAGAAAATGCTGTGAGTGGGCATATTCAATTTATAATTCCTGGAGAAACTGCTTGTTTTGCCTGTGCTCCTCCTTTGGTTGTAGCATCAAATATTGATGAGAAAACTCTGAAACGAGAAGGTGTTTGTGCTGCATCATTACCTACAACAATGGGTATCGTTGCTGGTTTTTTGGCCCAGAATGCATTAAAATATTTACTCAATTTTGGAAATACTTCTTACTACCTGGGATACAATGCAATGCAGGATTTCTTCCCTTCCATGACACTTAGACCTAATCCTAATTGTGATGATACATTTTGTAGACAACGACAGAAGGACTATCAAGCTATCCCGAAAGAAGAATTAGCAGTTGAAGCAACTGAAGATGCTACTCCACTTCATGAAGATAATGAATGGGGTATTTCATTGATTGATGAAACTCCTGAAGTACTGGAAGAAAATCCTGTATCTACGCAACTATGTCAAGGAGTACGACAAGCATATACCATTCCTCAAGATTGTACTGGTACTGAAGAAGTCACTGATGACAACGCACTTAAATTAAATGAATTAATGGCTGAAATAAAATCAGTTTATAATAGTTAATAATATTCGAAGATTGTATACATATACTCTGGAAAGATTATTTTTATTGTTATTATTATTGTCAAGTTTATTCTCAATTTCATAATAAAATTAATATTCATATGCGAAAATATATTTCAATTTTATATTTTTAAATTATTTATCAATTAACCAATCATTTTAACCAAGTTATTATAAATACCTTGCTAGCAATGAGTTCATAGTTTAAATTGAAAAAAAATTTTAAACGCCCAATCAAAAAGTTCATATCAACTCTGATTTTCATGAATTACATGAGCGCGACATGTAGTTTTATAAACGTCCGGTTTTCACTACACCCCACGCGACAAGTTGCTGTTGCCGGTACAAAAACAATTTTTTCGACATTTATTTTTAACGAATGTTTTAAAATGATTGGAAAAGCAAGATTTATGACACGTAGTTTAGGAATTATTCGGGTAAGAATATATGCTTGTATCATAATAACATACGTTCTAAACGAATGTTCTTTTTAAAGTTTGTATAACCTAACAAAATTGTATAAAATGATGAAACTTTAAACGTAATTTACAGAATTCTGTAGCTCATCCAGATGTTTTCCCATCATCTTCATCATTCATTCCGTTATATCCTCTTCAAGTGCGACAAAGGTCTACTACGCCATTAAATACAATAATAATGTTTGTGCCACAGCAAGAGGTTTGATTCTAAAAACTTCTATCTCTTTTCGTTGAATATATCAATTATATTAAAAGATACCTGGTTATTTTTTTATAAAAAACAATGTTTTAGGCTTGGATTGTAGAAAGAATGGGAAAATTTCATAGAATTCTAGAGCCTGGTTTTAATATGTTAGTTCCCATTATTGATAAAATAAAATATGTCCAGAGCTTGAAAGAAATTGCTATCGATGTACCGAAGCAGAGTGCAATTACAGCAGATAATGTTACTCTGGATATTGATGGTGTTTTATATCTTAGAATAAATGATCCTTATTTGACATCTTATGGAGTTGAAGATCCTGAATTTGCTATAATACAGCTCGCGCAAACTACAATGAGATCTGAATTAGGAAAAATTTCTTTAGATAACGTCTTTAGAGAAAGAGAAGGTCTTAATGTTAACATTGTTGCCAGTATAAATAAAGCTAGTGAGGTTTGGGGGATTACTTGTCTTCGATATGAAATTCGTATGTTATTTAAAAATATTAAAATAAAAAATACATTTAAAAATTTATATTATTTTAAAAGTCTAATAATGAAATTTAATTTCAGGTGATATAAGATTACCAACGAGAGTTCAAGAAGCAATGCAAATGCAAGTGGAAGCTGAACGTCGAAAGCGAGCAGCAATTTTAGAATCTGAAGGTATTAGAACTGCAGATATCAATGTTGCTGAGGGTAAAAGACAGTCTAGAATTCTTGCATCAGAGGCTGAGAAACAGGAGCAAATAAATAAAGCAAGTGGAGAAGCTGCTGCACTTTTGGCAGTTGCCGAAGCTCGTGCTAAGAGTCTTCAAATGGTTGCAAATGCTTTAAGTTTACAAGATGGTAAAGATGCAGCTTCATTGAGTATTGCTGAACAATATGTTCGAGCATTCAATAAATTAGCAAAAACAAGTAATACATTAATAATTCCAAGTAATGTATCTGATATCTCCGGTGTTGTGACTCAAGCAATGTCAATATATAAACATATTCTTCCTTCACGAAAAAATCAATCCCAATTACACAATCAAACTAAATTTGATGAAAATAATGAAACTGATGAAGTATATGAATATTACAGCGATAAAGAAGAAGCTGAAAAACATAAAGAAATAAAATCACAATCTTCAAAATTACTTTAGAGCAGTAATATGATTAATAAATTTTAATTTAAATCATTAATATGAATCTTTATTTTAGAAATTAAAAAATTATTTTTAATAAAAAATTATTGTAGAACAAATTATTTATATTATCGATTGTTTCATTTTCGTTTTTTTACATGTAAAGTTGTAGTTGCTGTCGGTGTGGCATAATGTTCTTGAGAAATTTTATTTACATAATAAAGAGCAACTATTGAAAATAAAAAACACGTTGTTGTAGATACCCGATGCACCAATCCTGAAGCGATCATTGAAAAAATCAGCGAAATAAACACTGAAAAAAGTTAAAATAGAAAAATAAAAGATCTGTCGGTATAAATGATCATGAAAAATAAGTTGAGAAACTATTATCAAACCTTCAGGAAAGAACTTTAGCTGAAATGATCTCCCAAATATTGTAGATTCCAAATTTCCTAATGCAGTTAAAATAAATACAAATAATAATGAACCGATGTAACCACCCAAAATTGTATGTAGCTGAGAAGATGTTAGCCAGCTTCTATACATTTGCATTCCAGAGAACACAATTACTGTGATGATGGATGAAAGTATAAATGAAACTCCGCTTGTAACTGCTGTAAATAAAACAAGAATAAGTATTCTTATTGTTATCAACAAAGAAAATATGCCGACATTTGACAGGTTATGACACGTGTGTTATCCTAAATGATTCTTTCAAAGAACTATTATTCAAATATAACTGTAAAGTTAATGTAATAATGTTAGTTGTTTTATCAACGTTACCCATTATTCGAATGTTCAAGTAATTTATTTGTATATTAATGTCATCAAAACTTCTCCTAATTATAAATTTGTAAGTGATTCGATGGGTTTGACAAATATAACCTGCCGGTACAAGCACAGAAGCCGAAATATTCCGATGACTCCAAAAGTGATTAGTACAAAAACCGAACATGCGAAGCGCTACCGTGCATCTCATCCATGAGTATCATGAGCTTCCCAAAATAATGATCCTTTCAAGATATAAAAAGCGTTGATTATAAAATAAAACGATAAAATTTTTAAAAAGTAAACTTATTTTTTTAAGATCATATAATAGTGTCATTCTACTACAAACCATTTTTTACATACTGTCCAAGTACGTGTAATATTCAGGTTATATTTTTCATGGATTGAAGAAAAAAAGATTTTTATTACAGAAACATAATTTATTTTTTAAAGTACACCATGTTACGTTTTTATTTACGCATCATTATCATATCCTGAATAAATGAACTTCATCAGAAGAAAATAATTGATCTTTACAATTATATATAGTAAATTTGAAATGAAAATTTTTTATATGTTAGGGATGTTATTTTAATCGAATTATTTAATTATGTCTCATAGACACTGTCATTTTAATGAGTTGACGAAACATCTTCAATTGTTTGTTATCACTAATTATAGTATTTAGTGCATACAACATAAGTATTTTTTTTTATTCATTAATGAATCATAATAATTAAAATTCGCAATTTTGTTTCCATAATTATATAATGCAAGATGTGCTGGAAAATATAGTACAATCTTACATTTGGTAGCACTTATTCTACTATAATCATATGAGAACTGTTTAATTTTATGGTGATATTAATGCATACCTAAGTATAATAACTATTTAATTTTTGATTCTGTTATTTTGGTTGATTTAATTGATGATAATTTCATAAACTGTACATTATTTAATAGTTGATTCTTTCCATTATTTAGAGAAGTTGGTCCACTCAAGAGAGTTGTTGAATTCTCGATATGCTCTAATACAATAAGAATAATAATATTAATAATATTGACTTTGATTATCATCTTCCTTTGATTATTTATCTAGTGTAGTGTTCAAAACTATGTAAGTACTAATCTACGATTACCCGCATCGGAGATTTTAATATGCTACCTAATGTAGTTTAATTTTTTTTCTAAATTAATTTATTCCTCATAGAATCCATCATTCCGAGACATACTGCTATACCTGCAGATATCATCAGATAAATAAATAGGAATAAATAATTGGACCCAAGTTAACGTCGAAACAAGTCACATCTCTCCTGTTGAAATATTATTTATTAAGGTAAAATATTTATTGCATAATGAAGTAAATAATTTTGAATGAATGTTAACAAATGAATTGTTAAATGAATTTATTAAAAAATTTTGTTAATACTTGACAGAATAAGTTATGACTTGTCTCATAAATATAAAATAAGATCTCTATCACACTGGCACACTGTGCCTCCCAATTGCTTTATGATCGATTGCGATTCAATTATAATATGAACTTATTTCTTCTTCATTATTATCATTATGTCCTTTTTGTTATCGCACTTTTAAGTTTTTATATTCGCTATATTATTCTACATCACTACTTTGAGTTTTTGAATAGTCGTCGGTACGTCCATTGGGCCACAGAGAATTCATTTTCCCTGATAAAGAAAAGCTCTCGTGCATGATTTATATGACTCCTTTCTTTTTAAATACATATTTTATCAGTCGTACTTTCGTCGACAATTCTGTCACTTTTCAGGCGCTGACTAAAACTCTGGCAGTCATACACTATACTTTTCAAATATTTTTCTTTCTCTACTTAATAAATATTTTTAACAATTCTTTCAAGAAATATATAGATCTTTTTATCTATCCATCTATCCACATTAAAATTTTTCTTATTTAAAACTAATTAATGAGATAAAATTCTTCAATAAAATATCTACATATATATATGCGTATAATACATATAAATGTATACATATTTTATCAACAAGACTTGACTTCTAAATATCTACAATGTTTTGTCTCTTTTATAATATATTTCGTCCTGATGGGTGAAAATGGTACCTTCACAGGCTTACACATAGTTAGGCCTTGAGGTACAACAGAGAAAATTAAAGCTGCCACCAAAATAATTCGGATTTCCACTTCTATTGTCCCACCTGTTGCCCTTCCGGGCCCCATTAGTACGAATTGTACCAGCACATCCGTCTTGCAATGCAATTGATTTCTCTGAAAATATTCCAATAATAGGATTAACAATTATTTTCTTTTTTCTTAAGGGAAAAAAAAATAATACCAAAGTTTAAAATTTAAATATATAATTTTCATCTTTATGCTTCTGTAAAAGCTAGTATTTAATCCTATTAAAAATAAACGATTTAAAAAATTAAATGCAATTTGTATTATTATAATAATTATAGCGCTAATTTCAATTATTAAAAAAGGTGAAAAACTAGGGCAAAAGAAAGAAAGAACGAGAGAAGAAAAAGTGAGTAATAACTAGTCCATTTACCTTACAACATTTGAAAATATTTTATTGAAGTAATAAAAGTGAAATATGTTATTTCTCACCTATATCAGCTTCTGATTGAGGCATAAATTCTTGAAGTTCAGCTACAAGTGCGCTTATTTCTGATGAATCTTTACGTATACTACAGAGTTCTTCTTCGTTAAAATTCGGTGTTATTGGTTTACATAGTAAAATTGATGATATCACATTACCAATGTTTGATGGTCCAGATTTACTTGCTAGAAATTCCAAAATTTACTCATTAAATAAATTATAAAAGACTTAGATTAAAAATTCGAGGTAAAAGGTCAAATCATTTGTGTGATGTAACTTTAATGAGAACATTTAATTTTTAAAATATACAAAATATTATATAAGAAGTTTTCGAAAGTATGATAATCAAAGACAAATTTATAAAAATGGAATAAATAATTAAGTAACCCACGATAATTAGACCTTTTACGTTACAGGTGGAATGGATAATTACCGTAATAATCAGACATATCCATGGGTACAATACGTACAAGATTCTTACACTTGTGAAGCTCTCTCAGAAACAACTGGGCTACAAAGAAAAGAAGAACCAAATTCGGACTGTCTGCTGGTATGCCAAGGTCGATTGCACTGACGTCCAATTAAGATGCAAAATGGAAAGAAAATTTGTTAGATGTCGTGTTTAAGAGTTGATGATCTCTGTAAACAGCCAGAGGCTTTCAGTCTACTACATAAATGGTAGCTCGACACATTCATAATTTTTTTTAAATTTCTATATTAAAACTCATGATCTTTTTTTTTTGCTTTTGACTTGAATATAAGTGAGAGGACCAATTTTAATTTTGTTAAGATTCTTGCTCCATTTTTAAAAAGTATATCATACCGTACGTAGCTAAATTAACTTTGAATATACCCTAGACTCTCAACTTTTATGTCAACTGGTGCTATATATAAATTTTTCTAGCCGTCGGTCAACGATAATTATTTTTTTAATTATTTCCGACTACTATTTTCTTACTCTGGTGACATAATTACGCGTATTTCACTTTTTTAGTTCATTCTAAAGTGACATTACTAGTGGCAGTGGTATATATGAGAGTCTCTGAATACAGTTGGAGTGTGAATTTATGATCGATCACATTTTTGCGTGCATATATTCACATTTCAGATATCTTTTACATATGAGAGAAATTATAATACAAATTCATGAGCTCCAATCTTTAACATTTTTTTTTCTCTCTTTTATTTTAGCTTCGAGAGTAATGCCATCATTGATGGCAGACTCAAGCTGGAGTTTTTCACTGCACACAGCTGATGAAAGCATTGCGAAGCTTTGCAACCCCCAGAGAATTTCAACGGGATATATACTCTTTATATATTTTTTCGTCTTTATCTGTAAATCCTGGAAGCCTGTTTTATTTTTAATACACGGATATTCTTCAGTGAAAGAAAGGAAATGAGGACATAGAGTAGGAAGTTGGAATTATCACAGACAAATCGATTATTCCTTTGCAATGGATTGAGAAAAAAAACCTTATCATTACACATAAAGAATACGGATATTTGTGAAATATTTTGAAATGGTGAATATCTAAATATTAAATATAAAGATACTATTTTTTTCTTTATTTGTTGTGTGCCATTGAATTAATAAGATAATAAAGTTTTCAGATAAACAGAGTTGAGGAATTGAATAAATAAGTTTTTTCATTATCAAAGAAAAGTTTATAACTGAATTAAAATTTTTTTTGTTAATTTAAAAAGAAAAACTTTTGGATTATTATTAAAAATTCATCATTGTTACTTGGAAGAATCTCCAATGATTTATTCTATAATTAAGATATCACAAAGAAGAATTATTTATTTTCTAATTGCAAGATTCTTCTTAAATATTTACTCTTAAATCTCTAGATCAAATATGTGCTTTTCTATTCAGCATTTACTGCTTTAATGATATTTATCTATTAATTGGTTGAGTTACCTAAGGTAACAAGTGTGATATGTAAATATATACTGAAAATATTAAACTTATTCATTTTTTTTTCTTTTGATAATAAAGTATCATTCGAGATATCATGAATATTACCGTATTATGTTCGAATAATGAATAAAATTTAAAGCATGCGTGCACAATATGGTTGAAGAAATAAAACGATATAAAATTATGATAAGACACGCAGGACTAAAATAAAATCATGGAAACGATAAAAAAAAAGTAAGTTAAGAGGGGAAAAAAGGTAAAACGAGCAAGCATGATATTTAATCCAGTGGAGATTTGAGATGGGTCAAAACACTCTATCACTACCTGAGTATATCTTTATGATGTCTTAACGAAACGATTAAGTGGTAGCATTAAACATTAAAATTTTCATTAAAGCAAGTGGATGACCGGAAAGATCTTTAAGCTCACGAATTTTTTTTCTTTTTATAGCAGCTAATCATTCAGGAGGAAAAATGTGTCTCCAAATCTATTCACTGATATCTTACCTACGCATCTGTGGCAATACCAACTGGGAAGTATGTTTGCAAGCCTCTACACAGTTCCGACGTAGCTTACGAACACGTTCCCGTAATTCAGGTCCATCCCGAGGCTGTCCGATGTTAATCAGCAGATCCCGGAACTGTGCCACCTGACAGTTGATATCCTGTATTTGCTGCAACATTCAATACAATCTATTCACTAACTGAATGCCAAGGACAACTATACATGAGATACTTCTCACCAAACACTAATTGGACAATATTATACAAACAAATTAATTGCTGAGACTCTATGGAATAAGGTATGTCCCTGTAGTTTACTTAACAATAGAAAAATATATATACATATTAATTGAATTTCTTTTTAATAATTAAAGTGAAAATATTTATATTATTATTTTTCGATTGATTTTTATTTATTTTTTTTCATAATAAAATTTCTTTTACAGCTGACAATAAAAATAAATTTATATTTTGTATGCTATAAAAAACCAACAAACATTAAAATTATGACTATTTTGTGAACACTAAATATCTTTATATGGCAGTAGTTTCTGACACAAAGTTATAAAATGTTGAAGCTTGAGTAATTAATTAATCAAATGGCGTATATGTAGAATGATGTAGAAGTAATACAGTATGAAAATATCAAAAACTATATAAATAATCATGTAATTCATTAATTACAATAATTTTAAGGATTAAAATATTTTTCATCCTCTTTTTTACATACCAGTCTTTTGGAGGACTTTTTTAATTAAGATTTTTTTTCTTTAATTATTTTATCAATCAATAATCAATATATTATTAGACATTTTTTTATCATTCTTTATTAAAATAGAATGAATTATTACAAAAAGCCTTACGTGTGTATAAAAAAAAAAAATGTAAATGATATTTAGATTTAGAAAAAAAAAGTTCTTATCTAAATCAAACATCAATTTTCGTGTGACTGAAAAAATTGATTTCATCGACCAATATTATTATACTATTTGTATAACATATAAAATCATTAGAATAATAACTATAATAATATATTTATGATAATAACTAGTTGATTTTCAATAATGAGTCATTTACCAACGCAATAGATTTATCATCGTGTAATTTGCTGGTCGATGGAGTTGGGGACTGCGTCATTATCTATGCTGAGTGTATGCCCTCCGCTTTCGGATGACAGATTAAATAACAACTGCAGCAGCATTGCTTTGGTGTATTTTCAAGTTTTAACATCATTCCATGGCTGTGGTAAGTAACATATAATCAGATTCCTTTTTTAACTGGACTGTTATTCTCTAGAGTACAATCAACTGTCAAAAGAATGAATTCCGGTCGCTTCATCTGTCAAGTTATCTACTACAGCTCGTATTATTTCAAGCAGACAGCACGTTATTAAAGCATCGTTTGATTAATACGTTAATGGTGGAATGATTCAGAAGCATTTAACAACTGTACAGATGTCAAGTCATACAGAAGTTAAGACTTTGATGAAGATTTGCATAAAATATGACTTATCATAAGAATTTATTCTCATGAGAGAAAACATCTGTGCTTTAAATAACACAACAACTCTTAACTCATTCACTAAACTTTATAACAAATTTCATTTACAGATATAACAGTAAGTTTAAATCCATTTTGAACAATCACTTTATACTGTAAAATAACTGATAATTATATTCAGCTTTTTATGTCTTTATGTATTTAGAGAGTTGTTAACTTTCTCCAGCTAACTTTCAGACGATTATCCGCAGCGCGATAGTTGAGCAGACTGAATGCCAGAAGCGCGCGCGAAAGAGTAGTTATGAGTTGAGAGATACGTGCGCATGTCTGACGCGTGTAGTGCTTATACTACTGGCAAGCGTGCGATTTTTGTCTCAACAAAGGAGTACAAGGAGGTCTGTATGAGGACGAAAAGAAAAAGAAAAAGCCACTTTTACGACTCTGAGCAAACTTAACCAGGTGGAATAAAAAGAGAAGGGATTTTCTAGCTCCAGCTGCAAATACTCTTATTTCTGCAAGCCCATTTTTCTTTCTATTATATGTTCTTTGATTTTTTCTTTCCTCATTTTTTCCTCTTTATATTACTACTTTGATTGCCATACGTTTTATCACGATAGACAAATTATTCTTTACCCTTATTTGTAGAACTTCATCTTGAATTGTTTTTGTTAATATATAAAGTCATTTGTTTGACTGTTATGTTATTACTTGAGTGTACAAGCCATTTATTAAGGTGTAAAAGGCTTAAAGCTCTTTAAAAAATTCTCTGAAACATATCAATTAGTTTCCAAGGATACGATTATAATTGAATGGAGTTTTTGAAATTATACACAAGAAAAATAGTTACAACGGATTTCAAAACTTCGTCCTCTTCAACGTTATCTATACATTAAATTCTCGAGGAAATACGTTTGTAAACTTTAACAAGAGAAATTGGATCGATTCTCTATTACTGGCTCATGAATAATGACTATTATGTTATCTCAAAAACTCCAAGTATTATCAAACTTGATGACGTATTCTGAAAGAATGAAAAATATATGAAGAATACAATTATTATCACTTTACTATTTCAAAAAAGAACTTCAATATAATCAGTATGATGTAATTCATTCGAAAAGGATATAAGGAATTTTAAAATTCAAACTGTGAGTAAATTTTTTCTCTTGTAGCTGTAGATATACATAGAAAATATATTTATCGATAATCAATTAACTCGTAAACTTTCAATAGAGTACAGCAGTAATTACACATCGCTGTGGGATCTCCATTGACAGAGGAATAAAAGTCGAGAGGCAGTAGCATATAGAGTTAGAGAGTGCTAACGACTAGAGTCGACCAGCTGTGTTTCCGTCGTGGCTTTACTGATAACATCAATTTGCATAGCTGTCAACCTTGTATAATGTCATTTAGCACAGCTCCATCAGAGATTTTAAAAAATAAACAACGTGATATAACCACGAAATGCAATTTTTTTTTCGTTGTACTTTTATTAATTCGAATTTTCTTCAACTTAGTGTTGTCAGAATGTCATGAAAATATAACACGAAAAATAAACTGATGTTAAAAGTTTTAATAATTTCATTTAATAATGGAAAAAAATTCGATAACTAAATAAACAAAGAATATATCAATGGAAATAATGTCATGTTATATGTGATTATCAAACTTATTTATTACTCATTACCCCACCACTTACATTCTTGATGAATCTTCAGTTCAGTCTAGTAATATCGAGCACGTTACTTCGGAAATTATGGCAGACAATTGAAGTTAGTGATCGTTGAGAGGGGAAAAAAAATTGTGAGAATACAACCGGATATTATTTCTTTTATCGAGTAGTTGAAGCAATTTTTTTTATTTCCGAAGGTCACTCAATCATTTCTATAAAATTAAATGGTGTAAAAAAATGAATTTCTTGTTTTTTATTTTTGTAGTCTTTTTATAGTCAATATCTTTACTCGTAAAAAAGAAATGTTTTCCATCAAATGATAATATTTAAAAAATGCTAGCTATTTCAAGAAAATTAAAAGGAATATGAAAAATTTGTATTTTTTATGAGACAATAAAATATTTAAATCACTTGTAAAAAATTTAAAATAATTTCTTTGGTGGGGAGTCATAAAAAATACAAAAGAGTTACATTGGACAATTGAAAGAAATGGAGCTACTTTTACTTCAGAAAGTTTTAGTAAAAATTAAAGGTGACTCTTTAAAGTGAAGAAAGATAATAGAATAGTTTTTGTTGAATTTCCATGATCTATCAAATAATATCTAATCCGTTATTTTATGGAGTAAGTTGAACATTTCAAAATAGAGGTGAATTTATTTCACCAACTCATGACATTGTCATATTACATACCTATTCATGAATTCAAAGATACTCCATTTATTATAACTTTTATGGTGCTACTCCATTTCTCATACAAGTATGCTTGTTTGTTATAGATATATGTAATGCACATATGAAGGAAAAAAAAAATTTACAAGAGTAACATCATATCTCATACTAAATTATCTTAAGATTCAGAGTTCAATATAATGAACAGACAAGAAACTTTGGTCCAGAGACATTGATTGATCATCAATTCGAAAAATGGGAGAATATAGAGAGAGAGATAAAAGTAGGAATATCTTTTTTTCTTTTCAAGAGTTTGTTTTTATCATTAAGAAATATTATATATAAAGAAGATTAAGATTAACAGAATATGCGGTGCTTATGGCACAAAAAAAAGGTCAGGACTATTTTCGTCATTATTTTATCAAGTTTGTTTTTATCGTGGTCTTCTTGTTAGATTTTTTGTGGTAAAACGCAACTTTTCTACTCGTTATCGCAAGTTCAACTAAAAGAATCAATATAGTTGTGAAGGGAAGAAGAGAGGAGAAAAATGATTGTATACTATGTATCTTTATATATGTACGTATAATAAAAGAATTCCACAATGTAATAAAAAAAAAAATAATAATAACTGATAGAAATCTTTGAAAAATATTTACAGTAATATCCATAAAATTATTCTGTTTTGTATTTTAATTTTTTATTTCTATGCTTCAATAGTCTCTTTTACTACTTTAATGCAACATTCTCTCTGAAGCTTATTATCAATATTTGACTGGATTTATTTTTATTGAAAATTATTTGCTTTTCGCTTCGTTAATTGCATACTTAATTAAATATGAATATGATATTTTTTTAGTAATTTTTGTTTGGACATAATTATAATTTATATATTATTTTATGGTAAACCCTAAGGAAAATGATGTTATCCTAGCATTTTAGCATACAAATGTTCATTAAATGTTTGAAGTAAATTAGGTAAGTGTTCCAATATTGAGATAACTTTTTGTTGTTTCTCAATAATCAAAAAATTCCTCCTTATGACGCATTTATTTAATCAAGGGTCGTGATAATAAAACCAAAAAAATAGAGCAGAAGCTGTAATTACTAGATATTGCTATTCTCCCTTACTCTCCCCCAATATTATATTGAAAATTATCCAGGGAAGTAGGAGAAAAAATTGAACAAACGATAGAACTCATTTGCTGTTGATATTTAAAAAACGTTTTTTCTTGACAACTTAAAACGATTTAATTGCCAGTAAGTCAAGTTGAGTTTAGAGAGAAAAAGAAAATGAGTGAAAGAAGCAACGATGTAGTTTGAAATGTTTCACGATCAAATGTTCTGTTAAGTTTGCTGTTCAATGATGTTGGTTTACACAGTTTTTGGACCATATGACATCGGGTCAGGGTCATACGGTGATATAGAACACGACACACGTTGAATCTGGAGACTGTAATAGCCCAAATAGATGCTGCGACTGATCATCATACGTGTCATGTTCAGGTTGTCGATATACATGTAAACTACTGAGGGTACATTAATTCATGTCCTCATATTTCTGCAACCAAGAGAATATTCTGTTGTAACAGAAGGGATGTCTGTGCTTGCAACAGTCTTCATTTTTATAATTTTTATAGGAAAAATTTGCACATTCGAAAAATTTTAAGAAAAATCTCTCTAATATTGTGAGAGAACTGGAGACAAAACACAGGTGTGATAGAAATGATTGAAATAAAAAAGGTTTTGATCTGTGTCAATGTCAAAGAGTTTAATCAGATAAGAGGAATTTTTTAATTGGAATAAATGTAAAAATAATAAAGAATAAAAATTGAAATGTTTAATTTAAAATCAAAATGATATTAAAACATTGAGAAGTTGAAAGATATTTCTCTTTTCAATTCTTTTTTTTTATGTCGAATCATTTTATAGTTTAGTTTATAAATAATACATTTACTCAACTGATTAAAATCAGTATTTTGTAATTAAAAATTATCATTTTCCATTAATCAATTAATAGGTCTTTTAAATACAATTGGTCGCACGTAGTCATATGACTTCTAGAGGTCATGACCTTATTTAATTAAAATTCTCTTATCGATCAAAAAGTTAAACCCTTTTTTAATTTATTCTCATATTGAAGTATTTATTGATGAAATTTTAAAAGCAATCTAGTTGTTATTAAAGTAGTATTAGTTTTAAATCATCAGAATTGGAGTTATCATTAGACTTGTTTTATATTGTGATAAAAAAGATAAAAAAATGTTATGCCAAAATTCTTGGCAAAAAATGGATTTTGTTACTGTTCCAAAATAGTCTTATCTTGAATATAGAACTTGTTCTGTTATAGCAAGAAAACAATGTCCTGCTGCAGACACATTTTCTTCCAACAGATAAAAAATCTCTTATGGTCATAGGATATTTGTTTCCATATGCTACATTCTTGTATGTAAGACTTGGCATGTATTTCCAATATAAAAAGAAACCAGTGTTAAAGTTTTTAAAGAAATTTTTCAACCTCTTACAAACTACTGCGTATTCATATACAGTCTGACCTAAGCATAATTTACTACTTGTGAAGATCAAGTATGCTAACGTTTAGCCTGGTAATTATTAAACAGAGCTATGTGCTCGTGGCTGTTTAAACTTTCTTCATGAGTTGTATTTTGTGGCTAACCGACATACCTTCTATAGTTGAATATAAAAATTCAATGAAGTTGTATGAAAAAAAAAAGAAGAAAAATATACGGACTTATTTAAAAATCACATCAAAGGTCTAGTTAAAGTTGAAAAATAGGATTAACTTCAAGACAGAGGAATTTAATTTACTGTTGAAATAGGGAGACTATAAACACTGAAACATTTCACGCTACTACATTTCCATCCCTATAGGCAACGACGTTGAAAAATGTATTTTATTTCTTTCAACAAAAAAGTCCTAAGGCGTCAATCGTTTTCATCACACGGAAGATATATGATTTTCAGTATTTCACCTTAAAAGAAAACACTTAGATAAATAGACGTATTTTACACTGAATTTTTGATATTAATAAATATCAATTTTATTTGAGAAAGAAAAGAGATAAATTTTATGTATTTTAAACATCATTTTTTATATTTCAGTCTTGAAACCCACGCGTTTTACATCGACCGCTCGTTTACATGACTGATCTTTTAGCTAGAAACTTTCAAAAGTTTCTTGATATGACAAAAAAAAAAATTCAACTCTTGAAATCCTCATAAATATCTGAGTTATTGTTCTATTATTTATTTTCTTGACCAGTTTTTGGAGTGTTAGAGGATATAAAGGTCATTTACATTTTGACATTTCCAAGAGCTCTCTATCATGCTTGAAATTGGATTGTATAAAAAGGGGTTCTCATACTCACAAGGGTTGGATCAGTAGATTTTGAAGAGAGAACAGAAGTACGACGATGATGATGAAATTTACAAATACTACTGCTTCTTCGTGAAATCGGTGTCTTCATCGCCTCCATCACCATCACCCACCGGCATCTTTTATTTCAAAAATGTCAACCTTCGTATCACGTTCCTGTCCTCTCTCTTCTATCCATAATACCTATTACCTCGTCTATCACACCTTCAGTAAAATAGTCTATTCACGTATCTTGTAGATATTCACTCTTATTGCTTCCAGTTCTTGTTATATAGTTGGCACTTCACACAGCTTAAACCTGCACAAACATTAAACCCTTGAGTAACTTTTGATAACGAGATAAAACTTTTTAAGAGTTTTCTATTTGTCTTGACAAACAAAGTCAAAGAAGACTCAAACAATTTTTATGGGTACATATATTCTAGGGATTTCACCTATATTTTAGAATTTCTCTTTAATCTTCATCATTTTTCATATGACACTACATGATTAATTGAAATATTCGAAGACAGTTAGAATGAGTACCGTACAAACAACACTTTTAAAATTTTGCTTTTTACCAAGACTTGAATCTCTGACCTTTTCTTGCGAAGAGCCCGCTTAATTTGAATGCTACTATTTTTTTTTTCATCTATTTTGAGTTTCCTAAAGGTAATATTTACTAAAATTTCTCTTCAATGTTTGTGAAGAGTGAAGTTTCTCGTCCTTTATTTTTTTTCCCCTTCATTATATGGTATCTATAAATATTTAAATATATTTATGATAAAATATTATTAACACCAAAGGTTGTTGCATTTAAAAATGGAGTATGGATATTTTAGTTGTTAATGATAAAAAATCTTGCCTTAGCTTTAGATAATGGAGTACTTATTTTTCTTAATTAATTTTAAAAAAATGTCCTTTTTACATAAAATAGAGAGTGTTATCAAGAAGCTTTTGAGACTTTATTCATTAAAATCTATTCATAATGATTAAAGAGATTAATTTTAGAATAAATACATTTTAAAGAGGCTAAAAAATATGATAATTATTTCTAAAATGTTGAAATGTTCTTCTACATTTGTTAATTTTAAATTAAAAGAAAAAAGTTCAATTTTTTTATTTATTTCTATAGAAATTTCTCATAATCATTATAGTGCGTGCAAGTACTAAAGTTTAATGCCACATATAATTGACTTGACCAACAGTCGTTTGATCATTTACAAAATAAAATATACATGAAATATATAAATCACTCAGACATATCAGGCAAGTGCTGTTGATCACGCAAAGAGATCGGAATAATTTATAAAAACATTATCAACTTTTAGTTTTATTTCTATCATAACTAAACTAATTCTTACAATCAACTATCAAACACACAGAGATAAATAGTCTTGTTAAATTTCTCTATATCCAATATTTCGCTAATTAAATATTAACAAAGAATAAAACAACTTACTAATTAATTAAATACTCATGAAAATTTAATTTCAACGATAAAAGTGGATTTTAATAAGATATAAATACTAAACGTGCATTTTTTTATTTATAATATGAAGGTCATAATGTTACTCAAATAAATATGTACTGAATAATTCGCAGTTGGAGTGGATAAAAAGTAATGATAAATAGTCAAAAAGTTAAATAGTTTACTCACCTTGAAATTCAAAACATATTTAATGTAATAATAGTAACCCAATACTCTAGACAACGCCCACAATAAAAATGTGAATTTAGTGGCTGTACAGCACGCGGTTGCTTGCAATGTGATGTAGGCTAGAAGAAGTAAAGCCAAAAAGGAGGGTCAAGAATGTAAAAGAAAGAAGAATAAGTGGGTGGGAATACAGGATTGAAACTATGTAGTGACTGTAGTATGAGGACAAGTGCGTGGCTGACGATATGTCATGATGGGTAGTAAGTCAGAGGGGATGTTGTAAAAATAAGCTACTGTATATGAAGAAGTAGAAGGGGAAGCGTGAGCCGTTAAGAGAAGAAAGAAAATATAGACGAGAGAGGCAACGTTGCTTCCGTCTAACGTGTATCGACTGACTGGGGGCGAAGCGAATAAGGGTGACTCGTCAGCTGGTGCAGTTCCATCTCTAGTGTTCTCCTTTTCCCTCTTCACTCTTTCACGTCGCTCTTTTCTCTTGGCTCTCCCGCTACTATCACCACCCCTCAGTTCAGAGAGTACCGCGGGCGGTTTCACAAACCGCCCCACTTTTCTCAACTCCAAGCTCATCTCTTTTCTCTTCCATTTCCCCAATGGGTCCACGACACTCTACTACTACCATCACCACTTTCTGTCGCCCTTATACAGTAGGACATTAGAAATTATATCTATATATAATACTCTTATTGTATATCCAGTATCACACCCGTACTTGAACTAACTGCCCGCGGGAAAACTGGATAAAATGGGTGAGAGTGAGCGACACTGACGAAGGCTGCAGCTTCAAACAAAGAGCAAAACGTGCCACCTCGCGCACTCTACACCAAAGAGAACAGTCAGAAATGTTCTATATTTACGTACATGTTAAACAGTATTAGTGTATTCTGTTCCCAAACATTTCTATCTATGAGCGTTTGCATTAGTATTCAATTTGATTCATAAGCACGAACCAAGGTAATACTTCACCACCAACCATTTGCCGTTAGCTCTTCCTTTTTCTTCAGTCTTTATCTAACTCATCGTTTATTTTCAACAGACTGAATTTTTTTTCGTCCTATTTGTCCAATCACGTACCACTGGCCGTCTCATCCAAGTAGCTGATTCAATGGATTTTCAATTCTGGTTAAATTGATGCTCAAACATATATATATATTTACTTACTGACTTACATGTAGATATAGATGTATGTATGTAACAAGTACACATAGATCCCAAGTATTTTCTTCAATAATGTTAACCTGCATTTGACACTCTAATGTATTAATTGTGTGGTAATGTACCGTACATTTCCGGTCAGTATGCTAGTAGACCTCCTCACAATTGATATCAAATAAATATTTTTTTTCTAAAAAAGAAATTGCAGAATATCCTTGATAAAGCTGAGGAAGAAAATAAATAGTTGGTATAAAAAAGGATAAAATTCAAGTATATATAAAAGAGGTAGATATTTAAAAAAAGGCAGATACTTATTTCTGTTTGCTCTTGCGTGCAAACTAGTCTATCTTGGTGTATTGTAAAATATCCACATTTTCCTTTTTACCTCCAAATAGAATGAATTTTCTGTGGCGATACTTGTGCATTACGCCTCGTCGCATTTTCTCTTACAATCTGACGGCCTTACCCTCTGCTACCATACTAAATCTTCTGTTTCGGTTCTCTTGTTGATTTTCTTCTCTTGGCCCACTGTTTCTATCAGTAAATCACCCAACTTTGTGCACTCTGAACCTTGTAAGCCAATCTTCAGTAAAGTGAGCATTTATCACATGAAAAAATTAGATTTTCTTTTTTTTTTACCTTGCATGCAGATTGAAGAAAATGATGAAAATAATTCCATGAAATGAATAGACTTTGATGGAATATTTGTTATCATCAAAGTGATAAATTCATAGAGATATTACTATTTCACCAAATATAGGCTAAGTCAATGTTATCAGCTGATGATGGTAATGATAAATAAATAGCTTGTTAAAATAATGGATATTGTAATATAGCTTAGAAACAGTTGAATTAAGTTTAACATGCATATCTCTCAATTTCCTAGTAGAAGCTACAAAGTTGAGACAATTCAGTTTCAAAGCCTAGCATAAGAAGATTAAATTTGCATTGACGGTTGTTTCTCAAATAAGCATTTCAGAATGACTCAAAGCTATATCGATCCGTTTGAATGTACGACTTGAGATCATACTCGACATAATGTCATTGGAAATTCCAATTGAATAAATGTTTGTTTACCAAAAAATTTCTAATATAATTATCTAGTAGAATAAGCAAATTTCTCGTTAACCACAGCTATGCACCTCAGGTAGAAGCTTCCAATGACTTTGTCCAACTTCCAAATCACTGCATAGCACAGACCACAATTTATCTCGTTCACATAATTTCACCATTATAGGAAGCACACATTTCTACTTGTAACACACTTTCCACCAAAATTATTCATGTATGTATCATGATCAAGTAATGTCATGTGGTAGATCTTGATAGTAGCAATTAATCTTTTCATATTCTACATTAAGATATAGGTTAGCAAAGTATAATATAATTATAATGAAAGCCTTTACTATTGATACTTATGACCTCAAGTTGAAACTCATGAAGGTGACATCTGTCAAGAAATATTTGTTGAAAATTTTCAATTTGTGGTTATTGGAAATTTTTGGAGTTATTTTAAAGAAATAATACTGACATGACCTTCGTGGTTAATTCCACTTCCTACTAAGTCGATGAAAAAGACGCTCAACTTTAATTAATCTTTATTAATTCAGCTCATGGTTTTTGTTCCTCTCTTTGTCGGTTAATTAATATTTGTATTTCGTGGTAGAAATAAATTATTCGTCTATTTTTCTATAGACTTTAAGATATTTTTCTTTTTCTATTCAGCTTATATTTTTAATAAAAAATAAACTTTCTGAGTATTCGTCTTTTTGATAATTTTTTGCTTTAATATTCTCAAGATATCTAATAGGATTACTCGGGCTAAAGTATTAAAGGAAGTGTAAGAATAGGAGACTTCATTGTAAAAGATCTCATTACAAAAGACCATCATAAGTGACTTTTCTGATGAATTCATTGTATGATACTTTTGCTGATTAAATAATCTGGATTATTATATTCCTTTGTGAATAGAAAAAAAAATATCATTTTATCAACAACATTTATAATAACATTCAATTAATGCTCATATATAGGTTAAGTTATCAGAATTGAATGCATGACAGATCATTTTGATGAAAAATATATTATGGATAATTTTAATGAAGAAATATAGTGAATAATGAAAAATTTTTTCATTTTGGAGTAAAAAGTGAATATGGAATGTCATATTATTCATATAAATTGAAAAATTACACTGAAAATGTAAACTTATGAATGCTTTTGTTATGTTTAATAAAATTTGAGTTTCTAGAGTTTATCTGCAACTCAAAAAAATATCTATTCTATTATTCTTGAATATTTCTACGACGCAGTAGAGGGTGATAGATAAATGAATGGGAAAATTCCAAAACTAGAAAGCACTATAGTGTGTTCTTTTTTTCATTCATCAAAATCCAATCATTTTTCACGAAAATACAGCTATACAAATATTACTGGAATGTTTGAATACAAGAAAAGCATTGACATGATGCGTATGCCTGAAATAATTCTCAATTCAAAGCTTTTACTAGAGAAAATTTCTGACAATATTTTATTGATTGCACAATAGATTATTTAATAAAGAGAATATTAAATGTAAATAGCTTGGTTTAAATGGTGATGATTATAGTTAATTATGGAATAAATGTGCATATAGAATTAGAGAAATAATCATTGTTTATACAAGTATTTAAATATGAAGCCCTGAAGACAGGTTATGATGTATTTAAAAAATCAATCGATTGATGCAACTTTCAACTATGACGCGGAAATAAATTGAGTCTGAAACCAGTGAACCGATTTGTGAAGAATATATTTAGCTGGTAGCCATTCTATAGAATATACCAGTTCACCAGGTAACTTGGGTACAATGTTCACACAATGGATACAATGAACACAAAATGTAACTCATGTTTCTTGTATTGTCTGTCTACATTTATTTTTGTTGTCGCAGGTGTATGTATAGTGCATATATGAACGGCATTCAAAGCATGTCAATGTCCGGAGGTAATTTAGTCATCATCAGTAATACTTCTCAGATTATTTTCAATTGAAATATATCCAATAAATGAAAAAAATATTAATCCTAAATGGCATCGAATAAAATGATGATAACTATACTTTAATGTATCAATCAATGAAGAACTCGTTTATTTAATAATCATGAAATTGAATTAAAACATGAATTAGTTTTAGAAAATGATAAAGTTCATTTTAGTGAAAAGGATTCTTGATAAAATGATAAAAATTTTAATAAATTCTCATCAACTTTTTTTTCATCAGAATTGTAATCAGTGAAAAGCTGGATATAACAGTAATAGAAGAAAATTGAAGACCATCATCACTCTGAGAATAGTACTCGTGCAGTGGCATCTAAGATTAAATTAACAGCTGAATGGATAACTCGATGAATGACTCTATGGGAGATTCGTGACGCTGTGTAAATTGAACAAATTATAAAAGAATGCTGTCGATGTTGGTGGCAAATCCTCTATATAGCTCTTTATATATCCAACTTCTACATGGATACTGATTCAAAAACTCCAAAGACTTTTATATCTTATACAGAATCCTTTTCAGTTTCATCTTATGACTCATAATGACTGAAAATATTCATCATCAATTAACAAAACCAGCACATTTCAGTGTGTAATTAAGTGAATTATTTGAAGGTCCAAAAAATAATTGTGGTGATGAAGAGAGCATGTGAATACTGCAGTGAGATCCACTGGATCGTGAGCAGTGGACAACTGGACGTAATTACATATCCCAGATGAATGTAGCTGTGAGTATTAGAAAGTAAGAAGCACCCAAGGGAACAGAAGTCGACAGGCCGTCACATCCGCATCAGTTTGTCTTGAAAACGCGCACGCTTCGCGCGTACTGCCCTTGAACTTTTCACCCTGGATACCTGAAAAGCATTTATATATTAAAAGCCAGTTTATTTCACTGTATAATTATTATTGTATATTATATTAGTGATATTTACTACATTATTGACATTGATAAATGTAATGTATTCTCAGTGGACTACTTGTATCATCGTTATCGGTAAAAAGTGATATTGAATCTATTTTAAAAGAAAAGTAAAGGGGGCTTATTTTCTACTGAGAATTGCTTCTAATGGATTTTTTTTTTAATTTTCATTAATGAAGTTTGAAGAGTGCGTGCTAATAATTTTGCTATCATAATCTTATTGCTTTCTTTACACGCAATCCATTTATATAAATATATATTTATGTATGAATAAATATGAAACCATTAAGTGATGACTATTGATTATAACTAGAAAAAAGAATTCAATAACGATAATATAGATGTTATTTTGAATAATTATTTACGTTTAAGTGGTTGTAATTTATTGCTGATTCATGCATTTCTCCATAATTTAATATAAGCTCTAGGGAAATCTATTTTATATGTTTGTTACAGCTTCTAGCATTTTGTGCTTACACACTCATAAAATTCACATAAATTTTATGAAAAATTATTTATTAAATATTAATAAAAGCAAAAAAATTGTATTGTTAATCGATGTTGAAATCTTTACCCTTTTGATGTAGAACGATTGTTTGGTATGAAAAAAAAATTTCATTGTTTGATTGTAGAATACCAATTAAAATTGATTTAAAACTATATTCGTGAATTAGAATTTTTAATTGCTGCGGTTAAAACTGTATAACAAAAACAACAAATTTTTTTGCTTTGAGTAAATTTGTCTACCAGTTTATGTGTTCATAGCACAACGTGTATTGATTAAATTTTCAAGGCAAATATTTTGATTTTAAAACTAACGAGTTTTAAAACCAGTCACGTAAATTAAATAAAAAAGAAGGAATTAAAAAATGCATTAAACCACATAACAAAACAATTTTAGCTCTAAAATGGGCTAAATATTTTTATACATTTTTTTAATACAAAAAGAAATACTTGAAAAAATTAAACCGATTTTAGTACTTTTATTCGCTAATACTCTATAATTGCAATACTTAATACTGAGTGAAGGCTTTAGTCTCCTTTAAAAAGGTCTTACTTGGCTAGATTTATTGCCGGCTTGGGATTGCTAGAAGTGAAGGAAAAAAAAAATAGAAGTAAAAACAGATCCACAATGATAGGGTATTTCTCGACTATTCTGTTATTCAGATGGATACAAAATTTTTTTTATTGTTCATAGGTATTTGGATCCCATCATGCAAAAGCTTCAACGGTGCCCAGACGACAGTGAAGACGTATCAAAATAACACAGTGGTTTTACCATGCCACGTAGACAGTCTTGGTAAATGTAGAAGCAATTTCTATTCGACCTCTGCAATTTCTTTCGTGGATTCACACCAGCTTTCCCCACGGGAAATAAAAACTTTTTCGGAAGGTCCAATATCCTCCAACTTCTTTGTCATACACCAAATCCATCTGCATTTTATTCCTAATTCAAGAGAATCGATTTTTCAAGAAAGAAAAAAGACATAAGAATTCTGTTTAAAAGATGCTTCACCAAGCTTCAATTTTATCTCCAGCACTACACAAACCAATGCCTAAGATGAACTATACATTTTTTGGTTCAATGGTTGAATGATACTTCATAATTTGAAGCTACATTAATATTCCTGATTTCAGTATCTTATATGCCAATCGTATCAATTTTTGATCACTTCTTGAGATTCCAAGACTGAATAGGATTCCTGGTTTCACTAAAAACAAATATCAATTTTTCGTGATTGATTATTTTTATAGATATTAATATTACCAGATGATCTTGGGTTCAATAAAAAGCTCATATCCTTTTCTATGATCTAACAAATGGTTGAATTTGTCAAACTGGATTTTAAAACATTTATCACTAAATCTAACGAATAGTGATTTGCGGTTAAATTTCAAATTAATTTTCTTATTAGCATACAATTATCAGATAACTCTTATCGTTGTTTACAACCTTGGCGAAAGGTATAAGTTTTCAAATGAACCCCAGATCATCTATGAAGAAAAATGGATACTTTGCAAAGATTAATTTTATTTTGATAATAAAATTCATATTTTCAGATGTTCCTATTATAATTCGATGGTGGCGTGAGGATGTTTTATTAGCTGACAGTAGTGATCCCAATTGGATGCCCCCACCACGTATAAAAATGTTGGACAACATGAGTTTAGAAGTATCTCAAATTCAACCTAAAGATTCTGGAAAATACTTTTGTCAAGCATTAAGACCAGCGCCTTGGGGTCATGTTACTCAAGTACATGCAATTGAAGTCTTGTGTAAGTACGACTATATACAATGTATATATACGCATGAGTGAGAAAGCTATACTTGATAAAATTCCCACGTGAATGGAATAGTAAATCCAAGATAAGCTTCTTTATGTACTAATTGTCAAGATTATAATTTCCCTAAGAAAAAGAAATATTTTAGTTACTTTACTTTTAAGCTTTTAATACCAATTATTGAAGTTTTTTATTTGAATATTTATTTTTAGATCCACCGAGTGTTCACTCAGTTCCAGAAGCTGGTGAACTTGAGGTAAACTTTGGTGATGAAGTGGAAATGGCTTGTATAGCTAAAGGAGTTCCTTTTCCAAGTATATCATGGAGAATGAAGGTATACGTCAAATATTCAAACTATTACTGTTTGAGTCGAATATTGAATAAGTACATTGTTAAGTATAGGATGAAGAGATGAAGTTGTTGGACGAAAGATCAAAATTGCGCTTTCGAGCAGACAATCGCAGTCTTACTGGTCGATATACATGTGTAGCTGACAATGGTATTGGCGAAGCTGCAACAGCATCAATCGATCTTCGAATACGCTGTAAATAACTTAAAAATAGCTCTTATTTTATTAAATAAACACAACAAATAATTGCTTAACATGAATCATACACTAAATTAAGTGCATGAGCGATGACATTCTATCACAGAGAGTAAATACGTAGATTGTTGATTTGAACTGACAAGCAGTTATGAGTTAATCTACGAGTAATCATGTCGACATATGTTGACTGATAATAACCAGTCAACAAGTCATTACGTTAAATACAGTTAAGGTTTGATGAAAAGTATTCACGATACTAATGAACAAGAAATGAAACTTCCGTCAGTATAGAATTTCATTTTGAAACACTTTAATATCATTTCCTAGTTCACAGCGTGAATATAAGTTATGATATTGAGTGATAATTATTACAGATAAACCAGAAATTGAAGTAAAGAAATCATGGATCCATGCTTCTCCGGGAATTAGAGTGCAACTGGACTGCAAGATTATCGCTTATCCGGAGGCAACTGTAGAGTGGTTGTTTGAAAATGAAAGCCTAGCTTACTCTTCAAGAATAGTTAAACACACTTCTGGTCAGACTCATAGTTTGGTTATTAGAAATGTAAGACCATCGGATTATGGTTGCTATATTTGTCGAGCATCAAATGATCTTGGAACTACTGAAGGCACTATTGAATTATCAGGAATAGCTAATGCTGCCGTCTTTAAAGGATTTAACGTAATTGGACCAAATGCATATAATTTTATTTGGGAAGTTGACAGTTATAAACCAATAATTGAATATCAATTTTGGTTTCGTAGATATTCGGTAAATATTTTTTCTAGTCTATAAAAAATTTTTAATGGCTATTTTTTATTCAGTAAACGCATTTTTATAGCCATCGGAGCGTGGACGAGATTGGCACAAATTATTTATCCCCAGTGGAAGTGATGCTATTGGTCCTCTCCATTCAAAGTCATTCAATCTCACAGGTTTATCACCTGCAACACACTATGAAGCACTTGTTCTCTCTAGAAATCGATATGGATGGAGTAAGCCATCAAAAGTCCTCAGATTTGCTACTGAGAGTACATGTAAGTTAACAGTTTATACGCAAGAAATAAATATTATATTAACTATGTATATAAAAAATAAAATATTTTCAGCAACTCGAAAAGAGCATTATAAAGTTGAAAACGAATTAGAAGAATCTTCACTCGGTAAGAATAATGAATTTCTAATTATAATTGCAAAATAAAAATTAAATATAACTGAATTAATGAATGTTTTCAAAATATTTCAGTAACGGTGAACAATGTTTTAGCTGTACAAGATTTCGATTCAACTCTGAGTAACAATGGTTCAGTCACTTCTAATAAGATTCATTTGATAACTTTAATGTTGAATATTGTTTTATTTTTGATGCAGTCTTTGAATAGATTTTAAATTATGCCATATGCTATTAATAATTTTTTCCCAAATTATTACTCGTTTACAACAGCGTAACAGTTTATTTACTTGTACACCATTTTATCAAAGACATTAATACTAATTGTAGCATTGTAAAATAATGTTAAATACCTAAAAAATAAAAATATTGTAAATAGTATAAAAAATTGTAATATAAAAATATATATTACTTCACAATAAAATATTTTTTACAACATAAGGAGTTTAAATTATAAGAAAAGTATATTTACCACTTCGATCAGCATTCATTAACAGCGCTGAAAGTCGACAGAATTTATTTATCATACTTTAGTAGCTATTATAGCATAATTTGAAATATGAATCACAACACAATTGACTTTTAAACTGAGAATATGATCATCGTGGCGTTTTTATTAAATCTTTGGAACATTTGTAAAATAACAAAAAAATCAAACATAATTTTAAATTTTGTTTCTCTTTTTATTATTATTATTATCATTATCATTAATAATTAATTAATTATTATTATTATTAATATTATTAATATTATTAATATTATGTGAAAAATGTGTAAAAAGATGAACCTCCGATGCGATGTAAAACGGAGCGTTTGCTCGGGAGAAATGAAAACGTATCCGCTCGATTTCACGTTTTTCGTTTACGTTTTTATATTTTTTTTCTTTTTTTTTTTTGTAAAATTATCGCTTCTTGGAGATATTCTTGGAATTCATTTTTAATTCCTGTCTGTAGCACGCAGCTTTTCTTCGACAGCTTCTTCCGATGCTTCCGAAAGATCTGTTGCCTGAATATACTTCTGGACGCCAACAAGAGATTTCTTTAAGGCATCGAACGAACTTGAGTACAACATCTTCTTCTTTACTTTAGCTGTGTCAGGACACCACGACATCAAAAATAATTTTTGTTTCTTGGAAGCCTATAAAAAATCATTTTACCATTAAATTTTTTCCTTAATTAGGTTGTTTTTAAATATAAATGAAGAATAGAAATTGAAAAATACCTCAGAGGTTCCCTGGCATTGATGAGTATACTCGAAATCAAAAAGACCATAACGACATTCTCCACTACCACCTTTCTGCAAATCTTCAAGGAAATTGTCGTAAGCTGCATCTCGAGCTCCAACGACTTCTACATCAATTTGCTTCTCATCTTTAATGTAAAAAATTACATATCGATGTTTTTTGTCTTTTTTAATTTCTTCATATGTTGTCTTACAGACATCAGCTACAGTTACTCCAGATGCCTGAAAGATAGAAATATTTTTTAATATCAATGATAAATTTTTTCGGCCAATGGAATTTTTTAATAATAAATAATATGAGAAATACTGCACGTGCCATTAATACAAGTGCAGTAGATGAATTTAGAATTAGACCAAATAGTTTTATTTCAGCATTATATTCATGCGTGGGAAGAATTTATTTTTGTGCATCTTCAAGTTTTACGACCCAAACAAATTACTGAAATAACTATGCTTCTTCTTTACATTTGTAACGCGCAAGAAAAGAAAATTCTATTGACATACTACTGATATTTATAAATTATGTAGAAACTTGAAGAATTTATTTTTAATTTCAATAAAAAACTTAAAATTCAAAAAAAATTCAAGTTGGTTAACTAGTTATAATAACGATCGTGACAATTATATTATCAGGCATTCATCCAAATCACATTCGAGTGGCAACGCTTTTCTCATAAATTTTATTGAAATTTTTGGCAGCATCAGACCCTTGCATTAAGAATAAATTATCATTTGTGTATATGTACACGAAATATGGAGAGAAAAGTGGGATGCGACCCTCGTCGATCGATATTACTTGGTCGTCAATGGGGATGCCGGCTAGTGGGTAGCTCCCTCTGGAGCTGCCTAACGAGAACGCCCAAGGTCAGGCAAAAGATGAGTCATTCGCAATGATGAAATAAATATTGACAATTTTTTTAGCAAAAAAAAATCAGCCAAATACTAATTGATTAAAAGTTTACAACAGCAATAAAAATTCTAAAATAATAAGATAATAAATTCATGTTGACACATGCTGATACACGATGAAGGTAATCCTGTACGGTGTCCAAAAATTGAATATCTAAAATATTCATTTGAACAATGTCCAGATTTGGATACATATAATACTGTTATAATAGTTGTATCTGTTATATTAATTCATTTAAAATGTAAATATACGTTACAGAAAAAAAGCAGTTTCTCGCACATACAACGAGTAGAGAAATAAAAGAAGGGAGAAAGAGAGAGTATATAAATATTCGTCGAGTATCGGATCGTCTCCGAAAAGAGCTAGGGAGAAAAGTCGACCAGCAAGATAGATGAGAATATGTATTTTATATACATATGAAGAAGAAAAATTGAAATTCACTAGACTAAGCCACGTAGTGTTGTTTTTTGTATGATATATTCTCGCAAAAATGCAGCGATGCGTTGATAAGATAGGTCCAGCGGAACGTCTGTTGAATGGATTATCACATTAAATTAAATGCAATGCACTAATTTGATGAAATAAATTTGCGATTTCACTCTAGAGTAAAACCACGAATAATAGTTGCAATTGTTTAATACAATATCTGTCAGTTACTACTATTTCACAGGAAAAATGAATCACTTGCTTCCTAGAAAGAAAAAAAGAACAGACACTCCCTCCCTTGACGACCAACTTGATAATGAATACTGATGAATCCAGTGCTCGAACTTGGGATTTTCATAGAGAAATAATGAATTGTAGACCAAGTATACATTTAATCATGTAGAAGAGAATAAAACAATTCACCGATTAACATTATTATGATAAAATGTGTTCATGGCGCAATGCCGGGACAGAAATGGCGACCGGCACAGCGTCCGATTCACTTCCTCGTCATAACCACAAATTTTATTAATAACGACTGATCTAAAATAAATTTTTTATTTTTCGTTTAATCGCGTCAAACATAATTCTTCCACTAATTTGACATTGATGCAGAAACACATAATAAAATATTTACCATTTTAAGAAGCCAGTAGCAGCAGAAAAGGAGTAAACAAGCACTACCAACACTTTTACAAGATCTCGACTGTGGTAGAACTGGATATCTTAAATGTGTCCAGTTGGGGGTCGCACACACCAGCGACGAGGAAGGGAGGTTCCACTCTCTTACGGCAAGATAGCCTTGTAGCGCAGCAACTCTGTCTCCATCGAAATTTGATTGTATTCCTACGCGTGCGTGCGCATCGCGATATGCGCTGTGGCGTAATTTAATGGTCCTATTCCTTTATTCCACCAGTTATCAATTTTGGAAAAATTATTTTTTATTATTATTCGCCTAATTTATATAAGATAAAGTTAAGAAAAAAAAATAAATTTGACAGTAAGTTATTATTTTAAAATTATATTCTATCATATTTTAATGAACTTGACATAATATTTATGTATAATTAGTAGAAGCCGGTAGGACTGTTTTATGCGCAGACAATTGTACGGTACGCGGTCTTTACTAGTGCGGTTTATATAAATTGCTATTTTTAAATGATCTAAGCTTTCTTAGACTGATTGTCGACAAATATATACGGCAAGAACAAGCAGCTAGTAATATAGTCGATAGAAATTTACTTGTCTAAGTATTAAATATATTTACTAGGATGACTTGGCATGTAAAATATCGCGAATTAACGAAATTAGTCATTGGAATGACGTGCCAAAAGCATTGACCAATCGTTGATGAAGACGTGGGGAAATTACCTTATATGGGCAGCGTACAGCGAGTAGACTCATGTAGACGCTTGAGGGAAATACTCTTTCAAAGAACAATTTGTTGTTTCTTTACATTCGTATGCGCGCGTATTATATATACTACTTTATATGTTAAACGCTTGGAAATATGATTAAAATTAAAGGAAAATATTCTTTATTTATTCTTAATTATTATACTTTATTTACATAAATATATATACTTATATATAACTATATATACATTTTAATTATTTATTAAATTGGATAATTACAATAGTCATCAAATTACAAATTTCATTGCTTAAAAATTATTCAACCTATATTAGCATGTAACTTTTGTAATAACATGCGGAACTTAGTTTATAATACATGCCTAATTAATTTTATTTTGATGTAAAATTATTAAAACATATTACAATTCTATCTGTAATACTGTTTTTGAAGTTAAAACAGATAATACACTTTGATTGATCACTTTTTTACATTATAAAATAAAATTACGTATTTCGTAAGTTTAAAAGTTAATAAAAAAAATTAATTTGATGAAACTTATAATATAAAATTGCGTTTCAAAATTAAATTGAGACAAATTTATTTTGTATCATAGAAAATAAAAGTTACTGACATTCACAATTATGATTACAAAATAAAACATACAAAATAATAAGACAATTTCAGCTCCAATTTTCTACTATCGCAGTAGACTTTAAGGTAAAATTTTTTGGATACTTTTTCAATTGTATTAAACATTTCTTATCCTGCAGTCTCATAACATTATCAAGTTATGTATGAAGATCAACTATTATAAGTTATAGAGCAAGGTATAAGATTCTAGATGAATATTTGACAGGTAATATTTACAACATGATATTAACAAGTTAAATTTTAAATAACCAGTAAAAAATAAAAGTTTACTGGAATCAGTTGATTTTTATATGAAAAAGTTTACTAATAAAAATAATCATATATCATGGCTTACTATAAATAATTAATAATAACTTAACAAACTATATCAGTGTACAATAAAAATATGAATTGTAAGATTTAGCATTATTATAAACTACGATTTATGTTTTAAATATCGTAAATTAAATTCACCAATACTGGTATATTATAACTAAGTTAAACAATTTTAACTGCGCTTCATTAGGTAATGCTGTAAATTGAAACACAAGATGTTAGATAAGTCCACGTTTTTTTTTATAATCTTCAAGGTTCAATGACCTTCGTGGACCTGTATCTTTAATATTGCTCACTGGCTTTGGTAATACACTGACTGGATTACCTATAACATTGCAATTAGTATCATATTTAGAGCTAGTTTGTAAGATAGATTTTTTTAGCATGGAAATATACTCACTATTGATCGGCACTTCTAAATCAATTGTAATATCAAAATCATGAGCATTAAATAAATCTTCGGTACTTTGTTTCTTTTTAGATTCTGGTCCATTTTCTTTGTCATTATGTTTTGACATGTCATTCAGCAATTGAGTATTCGACGTTTCTGAGGAGACGATCACAGGTGTGGTGTCTTCTTCTTCAGGCTTATAAACCATACGTGGTTTAGTACTTCTTCTAGTGAATGGATCATCAACTTTTTTGCCTTTATTTGCTCTAAGTTCTTCCATAATTGCTTTTTCAGCTTCTTCAACGTTTTTCTTTCTATTACGATCATTGATGTACGATATACTGGAAATAGTTGAAGTACGTATTTTGTCTAATTCTGAGGCACGTTCTTCAAGTTCACTTAATTCTTGATTTACACGATTGGCAGTTTCGTCATCACCTCGACAGTTAGCTACATCTCGTTCACGTAATAATTGAGCTTTTTTCATGGCATAGTTGAAAGGTGTTTGCTTGAACCTCCCTTTTTCTTGTACCATTTTCTCAATGTCCTCTTCTTTAAACTCATAGACTAATGCATCGTTGATTTCATTGAGTTTTTGATCAATCTCCTCATAAGTCGGCATGGAAATACCTTGTTGATTGCAAGTTTCTTTCCATTTGAAAAATTCAGAGTCAGTGAATTCTTGATTCGAGACGAATTCTAATCTGAATACTCGTTCCTGAGTTCCATGTCGTAGTCTTAGACCTTTATTTGTTCGTGTCTTACCAAGTTGATAAACTTTTCCAGTCTCAACAACACCACTAATTTCTGCAACTCTATAAACTGGTCTGCCATTGTTGTTTCCAATACCAATCCTCACAAAACAGCCTCGAACAATACGATCGAAGAAAGGAAGATGAACAAAACGTTCCAATTTATATCGAGATAATCGGAGTTTATTGAGATCTTCTCGAGTACTTGCGTAAATTGGTTTCTTCGGTTTAGCTTTAGTACTCGTGACCGATTTTTTATCATCTGAATCTGAATCTCGACTATCACTTGTAGATGATCGGCGATTGGACGTTGTTTTTGGCCCGTCTTCTTCCTCACTGTCCGAAGATCCACTGTCATCTGAATAAATATCAGATGCCTTAAGTTTCGTTTTGTTACCACTTTTGTGATCATCTTCAAGATCTTCTTCTTCATCTTTAGATTGCTGTTGTTGTTGCTCTATTCTCTGTTTTTCCTTCTCTTCTCGTTCTTTCTTCTCTTCGCGTCTAGCTTTCAACAAAGACATCGCATGGAACTTTTTATCTTGCTTTTCTTCGATCGTCTTTTTACGGTCCTTACTCCTTTCTTTTGGATCAGGTGCTCGTTCATATTTTTTCTCCTCCACACTTTTTTCTTTCTTCTTAAACTCCTTCTGCTTCCGCAACTCCTGCTTTTTCGCCATTCTCAGCTTCTTTTCAATTTCGAATCGAGTTTTCATGATTTCACGTTGCTCAATTCGTTTGAAAATCTCCTGCTCCCTTTCCTTTTCCGTCATCTTTGCAAGTCGAGCTTGATCTTCTGCATCGCCCATGAGTTTGTCATCGTAGCCATCGTTAAATTCTTCTTGGCTCGACTCTGACACAGTAGCATCGGAATCTGAGACTTCACCTACAAAAAACAATTTCTATAAAATTCTATTCATTTGAAATGTTTTGGTGCTTATAGTAGTTGTTACATTCAACATAATTTTAAATTTATCTATAAAATTTTTTAATGAGACATCTAATAATTGAAAAAAAATCAAGTTCGTTTTGTTAACAGATTTTACCACTTAGTTTAGCAATAATAATTGTACAATGCTAAGTTAAACGTTAAATCCAATAGCACAAATAAATTCAGATTTTAGGAAATATTATCATTTATCTTTAAATTAAATATTGGAATAGGTTTTCTCTACTACACTATTAATCATGCAACTACCTCTGTAAATTTTATGTTTAATATTGAAAATTTAAATACCTTCTTCTGGTTCCGAAACTTTTGCAGACTCCTTTTCACTGGCACTTTCCTCAGAACTGGATTTTGTAACTTTCCGTTTGTTCCTCTTGGTTGGTACCTTCTTCTTTTTGGTTTTTCCTGATTTAGCATTCCAATCATCATCGGAATCTGAAGTATCAGAATCAGCCAACTTCGGATCCTTTTTTAAGGGATTGTCTTCAGTCGTTTGAGAGTCATTTTGGACTCTCGCTTTCTTCTTTTTGGCTAATGACAACAAATCCTAGAAAAATGTACACAACTATAAACATCAAACTTCCAATATCATTTACTTGATGAATATCAAAAAATTTTTCACTTAAAATCACAAAAATATCCAAAAGATGATAGTTTTCACTTGTTGAATGAATATAAAAAGAATAATTATAATAAAACAGATGCTTTGTCTATTATCAATTTGAGATATAGGTTAGGTTTCAGAAATATACATACATTATCCAAATCAGATCCGGTATCGGATGCACTTCCACTGCTATCCGAATCAATGAGGGCTTGATTTTTCCTTTTAGGCATTTTTAACACTTTTACACGTTAAAAACAAACTTTTTCAACAATAATCACTCAATGTCACTCACGAACTATGTCAACTATATCAGTCAAGTGTCGGAGCACGAAGGTGAAGAGTGCGGCGCGCTGCGCGCTTATATACCATACACAAGAACAACACTAGCGCCATCTACAATGACATGCACTGCCCCTTGTCGTCATCTGGATGAACTGCAGATTATTGCACTAAATTTAAATTGGTAAATAAATATTTCATAATTTTTAAAGTCAAATTATTTATCTAACGTAATAACATATTCGAATATTAAAAAAAAACTAAAATCTTTAATTTTTACATCCATCCAAAAGTAGTTATAATTGATTTCAGTTTCAGCATTAAAATTGTTTTAAGAGATCACAGAGTGAGGTTACGGGCTTACGTTTCAGTCGCAAAACACGTTGTTAGTGCGAAGTGCAAACGTTTTTGTGTTGTGTTCTTGTGCTTCATATTTAATAAATATAAATTATATTGGAAATTAATTGCTAATTTTAATATTTGGAAAAATGAAGTTGATGAGTAAACCTCATCAGTTGAGAAAAATTAATAAAAAATCCATCAAAACCACTAAGGTATGTATTAATTGACATAAAAAAATATTTATTGTGATTACCATGCCGTCAACTTAGAATTCTTTATGTTATTTAGAAGAAAATTGCGGTTAATAATGATGTGAAAATAAAAAAAGAACCTGAGCTGGACTCATTTCATGAAAAAAGTGAATCTGAAGAGAATTCAGATAGTGATAATGAATCATTTTGTGAACAATTTTCTGATGAAGAACCAAAAGCAAAAAGGAGGTTATCTCATGCTCATAATAGTGACGAGGAAATTTCAAAGAAAAAATTCAAACGAGAAAATGATTTATACAAACCACCGACGGTTGAAGAATTAAATCAATTAAGAGAGACTGAAAATTTATTTCATTCAAATTTATTTCGACTCCAAACTGAGGAAATTTTGGCTGAAGTCAAACTAGCAGATAAATATAAAAAACGATTTGATGTTTGGTATGAAAAATTCAAGCAAAATATAGAATCATTGAAAGAAACGAAGAAAAAAAAGGTAATATAGTTATAATATATTTAGTTGTTTCAGCTTTTGTATGATTTAGAAAATTATTAATGAAATTATTTATTTACAGGTATGCGATTTAACGAGTTTTAAAAAATTTAAAACAAAAATCCCAGTCTTAGATGTGCCAGAAAATGAAAAGGAATTCTTTCAATTTTTAAAACCATCAAAAATTAGTATAATTGGTTCTTATGCTCTTGATACAACAATAGGTCCTAATGTAATCATTGATATTATGGTGGAAATGCCTTCAAAGATATTCCGTGGATATGATCATCAAAACTACAGGTATTTCAAAAAACGTGCAATATATTTAACATATATCGCTATGCATCTAACAGATGAAATAGCAGAAAAAAAAATGTTTTTTGGTGAAAGCTGGATGCCAAAACTTAAATTAATTCCAAGTGGACCACTTAGTAAAAAGGTAACAATTCATGTGCATGTAGCTGCAAATTCATCGAGCTTCGAATTAAATCAATTTTCACCGGAAAAAAATAATGTACAGCCAAACTGGTACTTCAAAACTGATTCATCTGATTTATCAGAGCTTATTCCAACGCCTTTTTATAATTCTAATATTCTCCATGATCTCACAATGGCTGAAGCTAACTCACATTGTGCTAAAATGTTATCAGGATATCCTAATATAAGAGATGGAATAATATTAATTAAAATTTGGCTCCGACAACGACAATCAGAGTCAGCTTATGATGCTTTTAATGGCCATATTCTGACAATGTATGTGTTATACTTGTTAATGGAAAAAAAATTAAATACTTTCATGAGCTGCTATCAAATAATACGAAACGTATGGAATAATTTAGCTCAAACTAATTGGTGTGAACAGGGAATTTCCATGAATAAACAAGCTGAAAATATAGCCAAACTGGAAGAATATAAAAATTTTTATGACTACGTCTTTCTCGACATGACCGGAAATCATAATTTAGTCGCCAATATCCCAGTCAGTAATTATTTATGGCTTCGAAGCGAAGCCAATCTTGCAGTTAAATCTTTAGATAATCCCAGTGTGGACAGCTTTCAAGTATTGTTCATGAGAAGATTACCGTTTTACTCACTTTTCGACCATGTAATCTGTCTCCACGACACACAAGAATTAGAAAAACTCGCTAATGAACAGATTTCTCATACAAGAAAATTAGACATGGGACTAAATAAAAGGATGCATTTAATAAAAATGATTTATGACCTGCTTCGGGAAGGATTGGGTCGAAGGATTTCCCAAATCTATGTCCGTCCGGACACGTGCAAAGAATGGGCCCTCAATAAGAAAAGTCCGAACTCTTGGAGGCCAATTTTTATTGGGTTGCAACTAAATCCCGAGAGATGTTTCGAGATCATAGATAAAGGACCTGTAGCGAATCTACCTGAGGCCGACGCTTTCAGAAAATTTTGGGGTCAAAAGTCGGAATTACGCCGTTTTCAAGATGGGTCTATATGTGAAGCCGTGGTATGGTCCAAAGAAAATACCCTTGCAGAAAAAAGAATAATATGTAAAAAAATAATCATGTATCTTTTAAAAGGTAAATTAGATATTTCAAAACATCAATATCTATATGGAGCTGATCAAGCTGAAGAATTTTTGCGTTTTAAAAAAACATCAATTACTAAATTTAAATATGGAACTGGAGAAGAAGCTACTTTTCAAGTAATCAAAGTGTTTAATGAATTAGAAAAAGAATTATTATCATTGTCGGATTTACCACTTGCAATTACTGGTATTCAAGCGAGTAGCGCAGTATTTAGATACACAGATGTATTCCCACCATTAGCAACGGTGTATAAACCTGATGATAAAAATACCATGAAAGGGGAAAATTGTTTATTACTCAATGATGAATCTATAGAAGAAGCTCCAAAATATGCACCGATATCTGAAGCAATTATTCAATTATCAGCAAGTGGAAAATGGCCAGATGATCTTGAAGCTGTTCGTAAAACTAAAGCTGCTTTTCATCTTCAAATCGCAGAAAATCTACGAAAAGTATATAATTATCAAATAAGAGTTAATATGAATTACTTAGATATTTTTAAAGAAGGTTTTATTTTTCGAATAAAAGTAGCTCATCAGAAAGAAATCGCATTAATGAAACAAAAAATTGGAGCAAATGGAATTATATTATACAGAGATAATGACGAATCGATAGAACTTGAGAAACAACTGTTTCATTTGCCAAAATTAAATGGTGCATTATATGGTTTACATTCGCAACAACCTTCATTTGGTCCTACTTGCTGTCTCGCTAAACGCTGGCTTTCCGCACATCTCATTGACAGCTCACACATTCCAGATATTGTTATAGAACTTATTGTTGCTTCTATTTATTTAACTCCAGAACCGTATAAGTCAGCGCAAATGCCACAGGTTGCATTCTTCCGATTCTTAGAATTTTTTGCAAGTGATGTATGGAGGACTGAACCGATTATTGTCAATTTTAATGATGAAATGTCAAGAGAACAAATAATAACTGCTGAAAATTTATATAGATCAAATAAGGAAACTTTACCCTTATTATTCATAATTACGCCTTATGATCAATCAAAATCTATTTGGACTAAAAAAACTCCTTCAATGTTGATACTCAATCGTATAAATTCTCTAGCAAGAGAATCACTAAAATTGATTGAAAAAGAATTATTTGATAATTTTACTTTAATTTTAAAGCCAATATTTAAATCACCGTTATCGGAATACGATATTTTAATTCATTTAAAAACAGAGTTTAATCCAAAAATATATCAATATTACGACTTGGATGAAACTTTCCCTAAAAATTCTTGGCATCCATATAAATTTCATACAGAACAAAAGTTACCTGTCATTGACTTTGACCCTATTCAAATGTACTTAAACGAACTAAGATGCGGGTACAGTGAGTTTGCACTTTTTTTTCATGACACGTACGGCGGTTCTGTCGTTGGAGTACTTTTCAATCCTAAGGCGGTTGAACCAAAAGATTTCAAGGTTGCTAATATGAATTGTAGAAAGATAAATGCGAAGGGAAAACTTGTCATAAATATTGAAGCATTAGTTGAAGATTTTAATGTTATTGGCCGTAATCTTATTGACCATATTCATGTAAATCCTCGGATTACCTTGTAAATACGACGAAAATTTCTATGTTCTTAAATATTTCTTTAACTTTTGTAATATTTCATTCTGAATTTTATTTAATAATTAATGTATTTCTAGTGTTAGGTTTGATATAAACATAAATAAATATGTTATCAATTTATAAGTTATAAATTTTTCATTTAATTACATTTTTAAATAATTTCAGGATGATCTTTTATATTTATTTTTTAAGAATAATCTATTATTTGACGACTATAAGATAATTATTATATAAAAATAATCATTTTTCAATTAGTAATACTGAATTTACTACAACTTAAATTAAGAAAAAAAATAGATTTCCAACTTTAGAGTTTGGAAGTTTTATTAAAAATTTTTCAAAGAGTTGAATTAAATTAAATTCAACAGTCTACCTGTTTAAATAAAAAGCTTAATTATAATCGCTCTTGAAAATATTTTATAATCGAATCTATTAATTATATATATTCCTATAGCAATGTCTGTTATTTTTAAAATAAAAAAAAATATTATAATAAACAAGTCGTGTTTATTCAAAGCATAATCAATTAATGTCAGCAAATAATTTTTAAATCTCAATAGCTATTAAGTTAGAATATTAATATTCAAGTGGTAAAAAATGATCCAATAACTTAGAGTGTCAAATTAATTTTTTTAAGCTTCAACTAAATCAGTATTTGCCTGAAAATCATTTAATACCGATTAATTTAGTCCATTCACTGTCTCGTAAATTATTACTTTCAATTATCTGATAGCATGTCTTCAAAATTAGCTTCTTAAAATCGTGTATTACAAATCCTTGTGAATCTGAATATTTTATGTAATTGAGATTGGCAGGTGTATTGATAAAATATCGGCTAGAAAGGAATACCTATACTCTATGGCAGTACCAGTCAATTTCAATAGAACTCGTTCTTACTAATACTTTTAATTAAAATGATGAATGACAATATATACTGCATTATCAATCTCTGAACTAAGATTAGAATAATAAAAAAAAAATTTTAATCTATTTTCTTCAAATTAAGTTTGTCGTCAGCAAATATTCCAGTCTTCTATGGAATTGCTCATTGTTAAGATTATTAATTAAATGTTTATTAAGAGTTAACTGTATCTTTCATGGTTTTAGAGTAATACTCAAATATTTAAATGCTATTATTTATCTGCTGATCTATGTTTCTATAAAAAATCTGCAGACTAACAAGTACATGTTACAAAAAAGTAAATAAAATAGGCTGACAATTCGACTTAGATGTTGGAATGTTAATGAGTATCCTTGAAATATATTTTTAATCATTATTCACAGTTTAACGAATTTTATAAACAATTAATAACAATAATCATCGTAATTTAGAGTTTTCCATACTCTTCATCAAACTTATTAGTTCACAGATTTGCTCTAGAAAGATAGATTGTTAAATAAATGATTATATTTCAATACTTTAGTATTACTTTAGAGCCATAAAAAATATAGTTAATTAATTATTAATAATAATTAAATTAATCTTGAAGATATTAAATATATGTATAATAATAGGATTTTGGATTGATAAAAACAATTAAAGTATAGAAGGCAAAAACCATAACGTTTTTTTACTCGGTAAGCACGTGACACATTGTATTCATATTTACATTAAAAACATACTCGCGATCACCACAATTGCGCTAATGAAAATCTTACTTGACTGCGAAAAAATCATTATGTCAATATTAATTTTTAATTTTTATAACAAATAAAAATTTTTAAAAATGAATCACAACTTACAGTGTCTACTATTATTACATAAAAGTAAGTGCTTAATCTATTTAAATGGATAGATGCACACATCAAATGATGAAAAATGTAACACATTGAAGACTCATGTGAATTCATACTAGTTAAATAAAATTATGAAATATAATTTTTTCGCGAATAACCACTAAAATGGTCCAATTATATCAATCAACCATTTAATTTTTACATACAAATTACAGACGATTCATTCCTTCTCGTTTCCTATTTTTTTAATTAGTTATAATTAATATTTTCATCAATTCTTACATGGTTCTTTTTTTGTTCCATAAAGTCATATATTCAATAACTAATTGTTTATCTAGAATTTTTTTATATATATAATATATATATGTATAGAAGATATACGTATTAATTAATTAATTAATTAATTAATGAAAACACGTTATTTACATGAATGGATAACATTGCATTAATAACTTGAAAATGTATTACAAATAATGCTAGTAGTGAATTCCTTCAGTGCCATTTTAATAATCTGAGGTCGGCCATAAATAGTGGACGAGACGTACTTTAGTGCACAATAGCTTTTACTGTCTTCAATAACAGTCTTACTAGTTACACAAAATTCTTGCTAAGGTCAGGCTCTTAATATTCGGGTTGTGACAATTTTTCAAGATTATTCCAATTCAGAAGAATAAGAGAGGTTTATGACACACAGGTGTTCAATGCTCCAAACTGCCCGACCTTTGCGAGACATTGTTGTAATTTTAAAATACCCAGATAAAAATTACCGGACAATTTTTAGAAAGATGTCGAAATATTGTGACGCACAATTTTTTATCTAGGTATGTGTGGGCAGTAAAATGATGGTATTATTTTAATATGAAATTACATTTATTGCCGTATCTAAATGGAGCCGAGTAAATAAATAAAACAAAATATTTTATGTATATATATATATGTATATATCTACTACAGTGGCTTATTAATTTTCACTTATACAACCGCAGTTTTATCTTAATCAATTGTATTCAATTATAACTTTAAACCGTTTCAATTTTCAAGATCTATTTTTCAAAATATTTGCACAGTTTCGCATCTACTACACCAGAAGCATTCATTAACCACTGAAAATAATAAAATAAAAAAAAAGGAACAACCAGGACAACTATCAGGGATGATACGTCATTAGACGATTTAATGACCTATCCACTTAATATAAACGCATATCTTTATTACATTAATAATTAATTATTAATTGTAATAGCTTATGAACTTTAAAGTAATGAATTAAAATAATAATCAGTAATAATGATAGTAATAATTAATAATAATAATAGCTCACTATTTGAAATACACATTCTCTTCGATACATATTTCCTTATTAATGATATTACTGAAATTTAAACCGTCCAAATGGAGTTTGTCTTATTATTTACAATCAACACACAAACACCTACATTTTGCACTCTCCGCAACATCACAATTATTAATAATCGGGGTATAGTGTCTCTGAACAATAATCATCAGGTTTTATTTATAAAATTGACTTGAATATATTAATTATTGATAATTATAAAGCCTAAAATATGGAATTTTTTTGTTAAAATAAGTATCAACACGATACTCTCGCATCAAGAAGTGATCATTAAGAAAAAGATGATAAAAATGTGTTATTCTTTTGGCTATAGCCAAAGTCTAAGCTCAAAATGATTCATTTTCTTACAAAATCATTGACCACTCCATGTGTTTCTATTATTATTGTTGTTGTTACCGTCATTGTCATTAAATGGTATAGAAAAATGATAGCGCATCCAACAAGGCATGTACGTGGATTTATTATTAATTATACATCATTTTTTAGTCAAATCAACCGTCCATCAATTATAAACGTTAATATTATTTTATGTTTCCACGTCGGACAATAATGATGAAGATGTTATCATTTGTTTCCAATATGCTTGGTACTGACTCAATAAATGTACAAATAACTTTATATCTTTTTTCTTTTTTTTTTTCTTTTTGGTACATAGTAATGATACTGTTTCTGAGGCACATACGACGGCCGTAGTAGATACAAAAAAAATTTTAAATTAATAAAAATGAAAATAAAAATAGTTAAACAAAATTTGTCACAACCGTACTTAGCCAGCAGTCAGTCGTGGATAATATCAAAAAAGCGTGATAATGAAATTTATACATGATTCATCTAATAAAGTTAATAAGGTGATTAGCTGCGGCCCATTTACTATACGGCAGCTATTGTAAATAAATAATTCGATTTACGGATAGAGTGAAGTTTCAGCTCAATTTTTTTTTCATACGATTTTACATTGATTTTCGTCTTAAATTATGTACGCCCCATTGGTCTATTTTTATGGGTATTATATATATAACCATAAACATAAAAATGTAATATTTATTCTACGATCAGAGATCACATAGTGGACGATTTTCATGGAAGAAGAATTAATAATATACTTTTTTTTTCAAATTGATCTTAAATGTTTATAATCATACACATTTGTATATCAATATTTTTCTTGCATTTACATACAACACTGTATAACCAACCATACGTGTTTTTTAAGCATTCATTCTTATACTTTGTCCACAAATTTAAATACACATGATTGTTTGAAAGCTATGTATATTAATGAATTGTCAATTAAATGATTTAATAATATCATTTTTTCACTAAAGGAGAATGCAGCAGCAAGAGAATTGCACAGAATTAATTTTAGTCTGTGTTGTCTTATTATTTCTTTTTTTTAATCTATGCAATTAAATACATTCAGACATACCTACGACAGATATCTTTGTATATCAAATATATAAAGGAAAGAAATTTTCTGTTTAAAAATTTAACGATGACCATATAAGTACATTAAAAGATCTGTCACAGGTTGTCTACGTGTAACGAATATAGTACTCGTAATGATAAATATTACAATTATATTATTTTTTTATTTTTTTTTTTATACAAGATAGTAGATTAGTGCTTTTTTGTTAAATATCTAAATAAAAAATGATATATATGTTTTTATGTTTACACTATAGCTTTTACTATTTACTCCTAAATCATGAAGCTGTAAAACTTTCTTCAATGTCGAACACATTTTTATTTTTTTATTTTTTTTTTTTTCAGAAACAAAGTACCTCAATTCCCCTGCTCATTAATTCTGCACTTACTCCTGATAATATACCATAGATGAAGTTTCATTAAAATCAATGCAATATATATGTATATATATTTCATTCTGACTTTATCCAATTATTATTGATTTAAATTTATAAAAAAAAAAATCCCGAAATTAAAGACTTTGATTAAAATCGTTTATAAGGTGAATTTTTCAATATTGGTCTATAGTTATTAAAAAAATTTACATGTATATTCATATGTATATAATATTATAACATAGTTATTTTGAGTAAATCAAAATTATCAAGTTACGTTGTCAGTTATGTAAATAGTTTACTTTAATTCAATTGGTTTTTTTAAAAAATATAAAATTTCATAAATTTAAAGAACATGTAAAAAACCTGTTTCTAATATATTCACCCCATATACCGATCGAAAATATGATGCTCATGATTGAAAAATATTGTCCATTATTTAGTATTATTGCTAATAATTCAAATGTGAATTGAAATTTAATTCATGGTTTTTAAAAATTGCAAAAACGTCAAAATTATTGAAGACAGTGGTGACATTTGAAATAATACCATAATTATAATTACATTAATAATAATAATAATAGTGATAATAATAGCAATAATAACTAGAATTATAATAATAATGGATAAAGAGTGATGATAATATTAATGGCTGTGACCCGAGTAGTTGTTCAATTGGATAGTGGTGGTGGCGTAGGCGTAGGTGTAGTTACTGCAGTATGCTGTAGTACGGAATCTCGTAACACTGAACGATTTATATCTCGTAATAATTTAACAGCCTCATGTTCAGGATCTCTAGAAGAATTGTCAAAATCAATACCACTGGATCGTTCTTCATGTCTAGCTGCTCCAGTTGCTGTGGTTGTTCCACCAGCATCATCATTGCCAACACTAATATTCGCGCACTGTACCGTTCCCCCAAGTCCAACAGTAACAGACAGTCATTTCTGCCTTCCACTTTTTTTCTTCTTTCGTTTAAAGAAGCAGCAACATCTGGAAATGAAGCAAACACTAATAGGACTTAGAATCGCATTTTATTATTCGTCAATTTGTTGAACACATAAAAAGACATGCATTAATAGTTGGAAGAATATTTTGATGCAGCATACCATTGTTGATAGAAAGGAACAAGTCCAAAAGAACAATAATTAGAAGATAATCAGCACAGAAAAAAGCAGATCTAGACGTTTACAGTGTTGGATGATATAAAAAAAACCAATAATTCATTCAACATTTACAAGTAAAACTTGCTGTCTAAATGTTTGTTACAACGGTCAAAAGTTGTTAGAAATTTGTGCATGATTCACGTCCATTACAAAACTCAATTGTGTAGTTTTATTTTATTCGATTATACTCTTGAATAGATTGTTTCTTGTTGATTACATAAAATTTTAAACATAAACCAGTGATGTATGCATATTCATTGTTTGAAAAATTTTGTTTTTCATTCAAAATAATAAAGGCATGATGATTTTATTTCCATAAATATAATTAATATATTTGTTATAAACAAAATTAGGACTTATTCATGAGTATAATTATTTTTTAATGATATTTAAAAAATGTTTCATTTTACATGTATTCAAACAGAGTTATTAATTTATTTGAACTTTTTTTTTATTTGATTTGACAAATTCAACAGACGTTTATAACGCGGTACAACATCTTTGGAGGATCTTGAAGATTGATTTAAAATATTTGCATTAGTTGAATAGTTTTTTAATGATGAAACACTAGTTTTTCCACATCGAGGACAAATTTTTTGGATTTTACGATTAATTTTAGAGCTGGAAATATTGATATGACGATTATTTATAAATATAAGCACACAAACATAAAATAGTTATGATTAATTTTGAAAAATATTGATCAATGAAAATATATCATGCACCATGCAAATAAACAATAAAAAAATACTAACTTGGTTTCATCGATCATTTCAACTTCCTGTGGTGCTGTAATTGGTGTATTCGAATGACCTGCAGTTGGATCGTCATTAGCCAGCTCTCCATTTGTTGAAGATACCACCTAAATTGATTGAACATAATATATTAGTATGTTATCATATTAAAAAATTATAAATGAATTTATATAAACGTATGAAATATCAGGCTATAGATTAATATTATAAAGAAATGATTATTAATGTTAAAGAAATCAATTAATTAGTATGCTGATTAAAGTTTTGAAAATTTATCATTTCTAAGTAATTGAAAGCTTCGGGGGTAAGCAATTTTCACAACTCCACTCAATGTACTAGATAAAAACCAACTTACACAAGTGTATTATTTGAGCAGAATAAAATAAAATGTGATACATATTTATAAAAAAATCCTACATAATAAATAATCACCTAATCATAAGATAATTATGTGATGATTAATGAAAATTTGATAAGATATCAAATGATATTTAAAAACATGATTCAATAATTAACAAAGTACTTATAAAAAAATCATAATCTTAATAATAATAATGTATACAACAATGCATGCATTATTAATTAACAAATAATGAAAATCAAATCCAGTGTGTAAGTATGAACTGACCATAATTCGATGATGCCGTAACTAGAAAAGAATTACAATATTAATTCTGCATTTCCAAGTGTATTAACTGAATTAGATAATTGCTATTTGGCGGTATTTTTTTTTTTATTTAAATGATAAATAAAATGTATAATGAAACCATGGTACCGTATAGAATTATGATAGATAATATTGAAGATGAAGTAAGGATTGAATAAATAGGATAATGGAATAAAAAGTAGGAGAAATGATAATTAGGAAATAGCGGGTTCACTCACCTGTACTGAACCGTGTCTGTCAGCAGGCGTCAGTGTACCACCAGCCCTTGGTAGCTTTGTAGTATCAGGCCATGAGGTTCCCACCCCTTTACCGCCCCCTCCGCCCACCCCTGCACCTATTATATCCTGAAGGAACAAGCGGGATTTTGTTGGAAATGTGTCTTGTTAGTTGACTCTGAATCGAGTTAAAAGGAAAACGCGAGATGATCCTGGCATCAGTAGAATTATCATTAAAAACAATAAATATTCAAAAAAAATTTCTTTTTTTCATCCTTCTAGGATTTATCACGAGATATTTATAGTCAGTTCCTAAGATAAGATAGAGCTTAATATCAAATCTAACAAATTACTATACTGCACTTATGCTTTATATGAAAATCTAGCATCTACAGTACTTGATTCAAATTAATTTACATATTATTGAGATATATATTTTTTTTGTCACGTTGCTGAAAAATTTTATTCAGGCTTACATATCTCCCGTATAATTCCATATGGACTTCATCCATCATCAGAACAGTATCTTCCTCACAATCATCATAATCATCCTATTGATTTCCATCCAAATTATGCAGTTAAAATGAAAAGTTTTGTATGCAACAAAAAAAACTAATGAAAGTAAATTTTTTTTTTATCTGATAATTCTCAAGTGATGTCATTTTTCTTTTTTACTCAATTCATTAGTTAAACATTCTTTTTTCTCTCTTATAAACCTTTGTCACAAATGACATTTACTTCAATTTCAATATTTTGGCTGATTTTTTAACAATTGTCAATAAAAGACATGCGGTTACTTGAAAACAGACAAAGTTTGCTGCTATACACGTCCATGCGTAAAATGTAACATGTAAGTTTTTAGCTTTACCTTAAGTGTACGATGTCGATCTCGGTTCGGTGATTCCACTATCTCATGTGCTGTTTGCATTGATCCCACAGGAGTAGACTGTAATATAAATAATTTCATTAATTAAATAAATCAAACACTTTTTTAAGTATTTATCTAAATAATGATACCAATTGATAATATTCATTACATCGTTGAATTCTCTTGAAGTCCAGAAACTCGAAAATGTATAAGCCCGAATCGTAAAAGTAATTGTAATAGGTAAAAGATGTAAGAGACGAAAACTAAGCAACATTCAGAAAGTGATGCGGAAGCATTGAGATAGAAGAGAAAGCTTACAAGTGTTGTAATAGAGAGTAGCGAAAAGTAAAGAAGACAAAGAGTTAGTCGAATAATTTTGAATGTCCCTCGAAGTATGACCAACCTTATCAGATTTAGTTTTTCCAATATGAGAAGGGGCAGCCATTCTCAGCGCCCGAAGTTGTTCAAAGTTGGGAGGCTAGAGAATACATTGAGAGCAGCATGCAAAATTAAAAAAAAAATAAATAAACTAATAATGCCTTTTCAATAAAAAAAAAAAGTTCGCAAATAATTTTGGCTTATGATTTATGTAAAGAAGAATATATGAATATATTTGGATCAGAACATTGCTAAATTTTCTTCACATGCATTGTGCATTAAAAGACATAAATATAAAATAAATCACTTGAGACCCACCATGGTCTTGCCCGTCCAGTCAAATTCAAAGCCGTCATCAACATAGCCCATTCGAAAATAAAGATCCTCAAAAAGTTTTCGTAGATATTCATAATCTGGAGTTTCAAAAAAATCTAATCTTCGCACATAACGAAGATAAGTGGCCAATTCTTCTGGATGTCCATCACAAAGCACCTCAATAGGAGTTGCTCGTTTTGTATCTCCTATTTTTTGATAACGTTCCTTCAAAGTATCTGCTTTAAGCCCTTGCCATGGTAAACTACCCCTTAAGAAGTACATAAACATATGACCGAGTGCTTCCAAGTCATCTCGCCTACTTTGCTCTGTTTAACAAAAAATATTTTTAATTAACTAATCAATTCTATTCGAAACTTTGATATAATATAAATACTAATAAATACCTTTTCCTAGATGAGTATTAATACTCATGTAACGTGCAGTACCAGTAAGACTTTTATGCTCTCGGTACGGTATGTGTTTATTAGTTTCCAAATCTATGTATTCTTTGGCCAATCCAAAATCGATGATATGAATAATTTTTTCTCTTTTAGTTGTACTCCGTCCAATAAGAAAATTCTCTGGTTTAATATCACGATAAATTAAATGTCGACTGTGTACGTACTCTATCCTACGAAGCTGTGGAATAAATAAGAGAATGATTATTGATCCTTAGTTGCTAAATTTATAAATTATTATATTAAAGGTAATTTTATAATAATTCTTACCAGTTGTATTGCTATGTTGACAACAGTTTTAAGCGTGAATTTTCTCCCGCATAAATCAAATAAGTCTTCTAGGCTGGGACCAAGTAGTTCCATCACCAGAGCATTGTACTTTCCACAGGGTCCAAAATAGTACACCTCCGGTACACCTTCTACATGTGCATTACAAATTGTATCAATTAATTGTTCTAAGAAATGTATTTATTTTATAATTAATTTCTCAACAAAGAATACATGAAATTCTCTAGCATCTTTGTGCCAACTTTGTCTCTTATGCTTATTTCAATCCTTTTGAATTTATTTTCTAGAGATAAATATATTGGAAAAAGTAAGCTGAATATATCTATATTGGTTTGACTTTGAATTTAACTGTCAGGTGAACGAGAAAAATTATATTGACGTTATATTTTATCTGAACTGACTTTAGATAAAAAATAGTTTGATAAATTCCAATAAAATTGCCAACTATTAATATGTTCATCTTTAGTAGCAAAAAAAAACTATCCAAACATACCATGAGTTCCTAGTAATTTGTAAAACCTATATTCTAAATGAAGTTGTGGTGCTTTTGACTTCATCGGCTCCTGCAATAAAATAAAAAGATATTTTAATTAGTACGATTGATAAAAATAATTTAAAAAACATAGAAATAAATCAAAAACTTACCATTTTTATTGCTACGTGTTCATTATTATAAAGATTTCTGCCTGAAACATAAGTGAGTAAAATTTGATTAATTTATTGGAAATTAGAAACATGTAGAGACTATTAATGAATTTTCACTTTATTAAAATAATTATATTCATGTTGTATGACTTAGAGATCCCAAGTTTTATTAGTATTAAAAAAAAAAAAAAATTGTAGACAGACATCTCTTTGTCTTAAAGATAGAAACATAAGTAGATAGAATGTAAAAAAGATCTGTTCTCGAGTTTTATATCTTTAATTCTCATATGAATGGCCAATGATTTATTATACATATTAAATTCATTTTTTTCCCTTTTTTTCATCTTTTATAAAGTGAAGAAAATTTCTCGATTAAGTTGTCTAGTTAATCTAAACAATGACCATGAATCATGACAATTTTATACGATTGAATATAAATATATAGAGACTTTTTATTGTGCGTATGTGCAGTTTAGTCACACTTGGACTATCTCGCGGGTCGGGCTTTCGATCGACCGCGTGCAGTCTCATGATAAACTAGGCCAGACTGAAAATACCTCACGTGCAGCTCACTAACCTGATCCAAGAAATTTTTCAAAAGTTTGTAATTATGTGATATCGATGTAAATTATATTTTTAAAAGTCGTAGAAAACTATATAAAAATTTATTGAACAATATTAAAAATAAAATACTTCAATTATTTAATAATAGTTTTTAAAGTTTTATTTATTACCATGAATACAAAAAATTCAAAACTACTGAACTACTAAAGATAATTAGACAAAAATAATCGTATTATCATTGTTTATTTTTTTTATCAGTTATTAAAATAATCTAAACTTCAACAGTCAATAATTGACACACATAACTGGGTAATAGAATTGAACTGTAAATATTGATTAACCATTAAATCGACTACTTGAATATCATCATTTTTATTAAATAGATATTAAATATGTTAATTAAAAAAAAAATAATGTAACTAATAGAAAAAAAGGTTGATAATTTTATTGATGATTCAATAGTAGACAAACAAAAGAAATAGCTATGAATAAATGTATTTTGAAAGGCTGAGAAAAATATTTAGAGGCCCTTAGTAACACATCAACAGTCATCAGCGTCAACACCTGTTGTTACTAAGTGACTATGGTCTCCCGCTCTAAAGTAACTCCAGGTGTGTTTGAGCATTAAGTCAGACGGTAGCTTTTCTGTAAAGAACTTGGTAACAAGTTACTCTAGTTAAAGTAAGTAAAAGCTGTAGTCACTAGACACGTGAGTTGTTGAATAGCAAGTCAACGAATATCGGACCAACCGGACATACAGAAGCCGCTTAACTTCCTCGACCTCGTGGTCCAAAGGTTTCACGGTCACATGCACTCCACAGTGTAATCTAATTAAAGGAATAATAAAAAATGTGCGAGAACGTGCAACCGTGTTACAGTTTTCATGCATCACGCGATTTTATGTACTATATATCCTGATGTTATTTGTATATCTATAGATTTTACTAGAAAATAGAAATGTTAAATTGAAATAGACTCTTTTCAAGCTGATAAAAATATAGTTACCCAATGATTATTTCGTACTAAATATAAAAATACATCTAGGCTACGTTTTAATAGATGAAATGTAAGAATGACACACCGTTGTGTCTTAAGAAAGAGGTCACAAATATCATCAACACAGCACAGCAGGAATAAGGTTCAAGATACCACCATGACGAAGTTGACATGATAACCAAACACGCACTTGAGTTCTCTAAACTCTCCAAGTGACTTTCAATCGTTTTAAAATATTGATTCATCATATTATTACAATTATTCTAGATACATCAATATAATTTGACATTGAAATTGAGCAATTTTTATTTTCTTCAATAAATCACTTGAACCAGAAATAGCTTTCTAATGAAACAAATGGAAATAATTGTTTTTTTTTTTTGAAATAATTTATCTATTTTTACAGTAAATTGATATCATTGCGACAGAAACGTCATTGAAGGAAAGTCGCTAGGGATTTATTTAAACCACAGAGATTGTTTCATTAGAGAGGTTTCAAAACAAAACTCTTACTAAATAATTGTTATTAAAATAAAATAAAACATAGAATTCAATTGTTACTAAGCTTCTCAAAGATTCATTATTCTCAAAGTAGGTGAATTTTTGAAGTTCCTTGCTTTATTTCCTACATAGAAATACCAGAAAGTATACAAAAGTCAATTCAACATTGCTGAAAAAGAGGAAAAAAAAAAACAAAGGAAAATGCAACTTTTTCACCCTACATACGAGCAGTATGTAGTCTTTGAAAGTCTAGCCCTCAGTTATTGCGTATACAATAAACTTGAGGGTAAAAGGGGACGCAAGAATATGTATCTAGAAGAAAAATCATAAGAGCTTTGGCAAAACTAGACATCACGTGTATCGATCGACTGAACCACCACGACTGGCCTACTCCCACCGCGACTCCTTTCTTCTTTCTTCACCCCTCATACACCGTCATGTCGCCCTTTTGCTCCCTTGGTCGTCTTTAGGCATCAGTTTCCACTTAAATGTTCTTCATTGACTTGATTGACTTTCAAGTACATCTAGATCTCTAGCTATAATCGATTTGTTGACATTCAAATAGCCACATTTGTCAGAAAAAATATATCAATATATTCTTTGTTAACAGGAAGAAATCTATTAAGAAGTAATGCAATGTCTTTTTTTTTTTTTAAATGTAGAAACACTGAAAAAAAAACCAACATGATTGATAATAATTGACTATTGCGGATCATAATGATGTGAGAGTGGACGATCTTATTGTTGGATAGCAAACAGGGTATATGTAGGTCAGGGTACCGGGATATCAGTAGACAAATACTTAGAGCCCCTCTCACTCGTCTTTGATATTGTAAAAAAACACATACACATTGATGATATAATGAATTTCTATATGTGTGGTGTGTAAAGTTCAATCTACTGCATGCTCTGATATCTTTCAAATTGCTGAATGGATTGTTTCGAAAGTGGTATGGTAGATAATGCAAAGATTTGAAGTAAAAAGTATCATGTCAACATGTAGATGATCGATTATGATCAGTTAAAGTTATCAGAATAATTAAATAAGTTAAAATAAATAAGTGTTATTTATATTTAAAGGGTATTTTTTTCTTTACTTTGAATATCAACAACTTCTCCTCAAAGTAGATAAAACGTATACTTTTTTCTATCTAATATAAATATTTCTAGGAAAGAGGAAAAAAAAAAAGAAAAAAAAATGTAAAACTTTATTAAAGTGATGCTTAGCATCATAAGATATCCCTTGGGGATAAATAAAATCTAAAAACAGCAATCACATCATAATTAGTAGCACAAGTTCTAGAGTTAAAAAGCTTTTGAACTAATTTAACCATTTACTATTTAATTTACAGAAAGCAAATAATAATATTATATTATAAATGATAAAAAATGAGTTGTGGTTTTAAGATGAAAATATACGAGACATTTCGACATAAACAATGAATTCATTAAAGAGATATAGACGCCATGACTGGATTGGAGTTCATTTCACTTTATACAATCATCGAGTAAACTCTGAGTCACCCGATCCAGTGAGACAGGTAGCAACCTGTCTGCCGGCAACGAAGGACTCCAAGAAGTGAGTTAAAAAGATTAACAAATATCTAGTAAAGATGAAGAAGAAGAAGAAGAAGCAGAAGAAATTTTCATTAGACTGCTCCAGGCTACTAAACTGACATAAATCTCTTGGTTTATTGAAGAATAAAGAATAACCTTTTTTTTATCTTGGTTTCTATCTTTCGGTGAAATTTAAATACTTCTCAAAATTACTAGCAAATTCTTTGCAGCTGGCTCATACTAGATATAAGTAACTAATTGACACACGTGGTAAATGTTCAAACAACAACAGCATAGCGTGGGAAAGAAGTAGAAAACGATAGAGGATCAATTGGATCTTGTAGTGAACTTTTTTTTTCCATATCTTCGATGCAGCCATGGCCGGAAGTAATAGTCGTCTTTTCTCTTCTACATGTAACACATGTACCTGCTTGACAAGTTTGGAATTTTGTACTTCCCTTTCCGGTCCTTGAGCAAAATAACGTTATTCTGGAGGAAACAAAACAAATGAGAAACTCAATAATTAATTTACAGTTCAAGTAATTATACCAAGCTGCTAAGAAGCAGTATGTTGGTAAAAAGATTCAACTTTTTCTCTAATAAATATTAACAAATATGAAACAACTGTGATTGACATCACTGCTATACTACTATTTCCTAGACCACTATATTCTCTCTACCACCTTTTTATATTTTATTTATTTACACTTGGTCAGTCAATACATAGCAATCTTTTATATTCTACCTTTTACTGTCTGCTAAAGTAGTATGACTAAGTGAGTATGGGTATTTTTAACATCAAGATCGCACCTGACGGTATGAAAGTCACGAGGGACCATGATACATAAAGAGCCTGGGCTTAGAACTCACCAAAACATGCAGTTGGTGGAGGAGAAAAAGCAGACCGTCAGGTGGTGATCAAGCATCAGCACTGTTATGTGTGTATATATATACCCAACATTGAACTATATTGCTTATAAGTACATCGACTAAATAAGTAATACATGAGAAAAACCAATGATAGATAGAGTTCTTGGTAATGGTATATTTGACATCATTATGAAAATATCATCTATTATTGACTGCAATAAGTTACCAACTATGAGTAAAAACTGGTTGCACTGATTTTGGAGTAACTTGTTGGGAAATTATGATAAAATTTATTATTTAGATGATGTCAAGTTACCTGATTCTCAGAAAATATCTAGAATTAACAAAGAAATAAGAGAAATAACTTGTTTCAATTCATTTCACATGGAACAAAGTTGCAAAAGATCAACTGAAGAAAGACAAGTTGAAAGCCCTGTGGCTATCTTGATTTGTTATCAACACTTCTTGAAGCCGGTAGTTTATTTGTTTATTAAATACCACTAACAATTGTAATTATTTCTGTCTTATAAATCATAACAGCATATGCATGATTATTGTTATAATTACTGCCAATTCATTTACTCATTTATTTGATAATCTTTTACTTAGACAGTACTGGGCATATCATTTATGATTAATACAAGACATAAATATTTATGTCTTACTTACAAATTATTTATGTTAGTCACATATGTGATGGTACATTGAGAGTTTTTCTTATAGGAAATATATAATCGAACATCTTGAGATGGTTTCTATCATTAATCACATTTTTTTTCATTGTCGAGGCTTTTGGGTACACAAGTCCGATAAAACATAGCTGCAAGCTGATAAGTTTCAAAGATAACAGATATACATGAACTCAACACTTTTATGATGCACTAACACTTGTTATCATTCTATTTTTCTTTTTTCGCAATAAAATTAGTTAGAAGTTCACTTTTCATCATTGATATACACACATACATATATAGATATAGAAAAAATATTTAATAAGACTATTTTTATCACTTATTTTGTTAAGAATAAACAATATACTCAGATCTCTGATAACATATTTTCGTATTTAAGAATGATTTCATTCTTTTTTTTCATGATACATTTGTTAATATATTTATTTATTAATTGTAATTTTATCAACGAAAAAACTATAAAGAGTTAGTTGTATATAAAAAAAAGTTTGCAGTCTTTCATGTAAATTCAATAGCATTAAAATTCATAGAATATCCAAAGAGACTAATTGATAATCATGTCTGTCGAGTCTTACGTTACGTTCACGGTGAAAGAAAGAATAATAAATAAAAAAAGAGAAAAAAAAATAAGAAAAACAAGGGATCTTTAAGTCTTATTTAATGTTCTATTTGATGAACATTTATTGATTAATGAAATTATTTGAAAGATTAAGTAATAACTTACCGAGTCTAAGTTCTCCAAAATTACCAGAACCAATTTTTTTCCCAACTTTAAAATTGGGTCCAACCATTAATACAATTGAGGCTGAAGTGTTACTGTGCCTAGAGGAGTGCATATTAGATCTTGTTGCATTTCCGCTACCCCTAGAAGTCCTCTTGGCAGCTTCCTGCTCCCTATCTCTTTCTCTTTCATTTCCTCGAGGCAGCTCCTTCTCGACTCGGCCCTCTTTACTGTCCCTTTTCTGCATTTTTTATCACTAGTCCACAACCTTCTGAAATTTAGGTCCACCAATAGGACCAATATATATCACTTTAATTCTCCAACTAAACCCTTTATGGGCCTGTCAATATCGGAAGTAACTGCTAAATAATTCTAGGGCATTACTCATCTCCATCTTTTCATTCATTTTTGTATAAATTTTTAAGCAGATGCCTTTTTTAAATTCACTAGCCACCCAAATAAATTGTCACTATTATACATTTAGTATATGATATAATTTAAAAAACGATTTTCTGCTATATAAACTTGGTCAATTTAACAAAAAAATTATTCTTTTTTTACTTAAAAAAAGGAAAGATGAAATAAAATTTTTATAGGTTAAATAGTTATTATATCGCGTAATATCACACGTATTCCAAAACGATGACACCGGTGTCGGAGCAGTAGCACGCACGACACTATGATGATGATGATGATGTAGGAAACACACATATGAACGTACGCTTAAACGCACCAGGAATGTCAGTGGCTAAAAACTTTATATCGCGTGTCACGAACTGAAGAAAACAGGGCGGTGCTTCCATAATAAAACATCAAGACACGGAGCTTTGGAGTAACGTACAAAATAATTGAAAACAAATATGTATGAAAAATTGAATTGAAAAAAAATAATAAATAAAAAGCTGAAAAAACTACGCTCACTAACCCGGCCGGCCGGGAAACTCAGTGAACGAGTGAACACAAACCTCAGTCACTGGGCAGCACATCCCCAGACGTGGCTTCGTCGTAGTGCAAGGAGCACCCCGAGAAGACCACCATTATGGATCATCGTCAGTCGTTACAAATCGCGGGAGTGTAACTGCAATAGGTTTTAATGATTCAATATTTCTTAATCACTTTATTTCAGCGTCTATTTTCACTAGGACCGACAGCGTCCTGCACTAACAAGTTTCGTACGTTGACCCGAAGTTTGGAAAAGCTGTATGTTTCTCGTATCTGCTTACTGTACAATCGTCCTCCCTGTATCCTCTCACACAACACTAGTATGTGCTAACGAACAGCTCCAACTTGGACAGTAACTCATCCACTCAAATGGCTAATTATAAATTCGCGTAACTCCAGTGGGCCCTTCTCGTTCGTTTTCGGGCACCACCCGGACCACCAAAATCACTCGCTTTCTCGACTATACCACTATCACTTGGCCAACTCGGATAAACGGTTGTGAACAAGCACTGAGTTCTACCTCTCGCGCTCCGACTCGACATTGGGTGAGATTTGTTACGAGGCCGGCAGGGCTACCAAGTTCATCAGTATCGTAAATTAAAAATGAGTATCATTTTCATGGAAACAAAGCCTTTATATTTTAGAAGTGCATTAAGATGGCACTAGTTGACAATTTATTTGGTGTTGGCGGGCTGTAATTTGTTTTAAATCACCGATATTTTATTATTTTGTGCAATTTTGATGTGAATTCACTGGATAATTTATTTATTATGAAAACCAAAAATTACTAGTCAAGCCAACGGTGACATTAAACAATCAAAAGTTATTCATGAAATGAGTGGACTCGTGTTTGTTTTGTATCGTTCTAATGTGAAGCTTTGACGTTTCCATGGCAGCCCAATATTTGATACTTTATTTTATACTTTACTTATTCATATAATAATAAATTTATTTGATTATTTAATTTTTGTAATGATCAACTATGGATCATTTAGTAGGACCAGAAGTTCAGGTCGTATTAAGTTTAAAAGGAGGTATGTTTAATGTAATCAATAACATAATATAACCTCGCTTTTATAGAAATGGCGGGAAAATTTTCCATTCACTTGCATCTAAATAATATATTGTAAATAATATAATATTTTTAGGCAAAGGATTCAACAAGGTAACAAATCCGACTTTTATTGCTGCAACTTTAAATGGCCTATCGTTGGAAACAGATTTTATCAATCCCGATTCATGTCCACAATACATAACAAATTTAATTTGGGAAGCGAACAAAAGCACACTTCGCAAGTATGTCAATATTGATTGTTTATTGGCAATAATATCAATTAATATAACTGAATTTTTATTTTTTAGAATGAGATCTGCACAAGAACCTTTAAAAATTGAATGTTTTGAAATCAGAGAAAATGGAACGAAAGATAAAATTGGGTACTTACTATTAAGCTTAAGAACAGCACAAGTTATTGCGAAAGATTCTGATGAGGATGTAAAAAGTAACTGGCACAAATTGTTAGGTTTGAGAAATGATGTTAAAGCTGATAAACCAGAAATTTTATTATCACTTATTATTGGAGAAAAGAATATAACAGATAATGCTAATTTAAGTGAAAAAAATTTAACCAATGATGAAATGATGGACAACGAAAATATTTCATTCCCTTATCTTATTCCTGAAGAACATTTAATACAGTTAGGACCTATAAATACATGTAGAGAAATATTTTTATTCAGTATTATGACTGAAAGTATTTCTAACGTGGAATCATTAAGAATAAAAAATTCAAAACTAGATATAAATATACCATACGTATTGTGGTATTATATTTTAGAAAATGAAGTATCGTCAAAGCCTATTCCAGTTGATTCTCAAATATTTGAACTGAATGAAAAAATTGTGATTCGTATCAGAAGCTCATTAGAAGAATTAAGAAATTATTTACTTTTCAAGCCTTATTTTCTTGTATTATTAAAACATGGGGAAAGTGTTTTAGGTCAGTCAGAAATAGATCTTAGACCTCTTATCACTGAAGAGAATACCGAAAAATATTTCAAAAGTCCAGATGATGAAAATATAATTATACATGAAAATTGTGTTTTAAATGATTTAGAAAATACAAAAGAATCACATGATAAAGAAGGAAAACCTTCCCTTAATATTAAATTGAAAATGCGATATGTAGGGTCAAAATCAATGAGCTGTCATGATCCTAATTTAAGACTGATGGTAAATTATTTTATAATATGTGTAAATTTTATAGTTTTAAAGTATATTAAGTTATTTTTTTTTTTTCATTATAGGAACAACAATTGTCAGATATTGACTGTCATTATCACAATTGTATGACTGGAATTCATAATACAAAAACTAGTACAGATAAAATAGATTATTTATCTTCTAATTTACCTCCGAAATGTACTGATAATTTACATTTATATAATCAAGTTATTAATGAATTAGAAACTTGGAAAGAAAATCAGCAAGAATTATTTAAGCTGGAATTAAAACGCAAAGAAGAACAGTATTTAAATCATTTAGGTGAAGAATGGCGAAAGCGTAGAGAGTATTTAGAATCTAAATTTGCATGCAATGTCGAGCAATGTAAAGAGTTAGCTAATAGTTTAAATTCTGCTACTGATGATTTAAGAATGAGAAAACTCCATAGTTTACAAAAGGAGGCTCGATTAATTAAAACAAATGATCAATTAAAATGGGCTTATGAAAAAAAAACACAAGAATTAAAAGATACAGTACAAAAATTACAAGATTCAATGTCGAAGCTTTCGTTAATAGAAGAGCAAAAAAAAAATTTAGAAGTGCAATTAGAGTCGGTAAAGACTGAAAATAAGAAATTGCAGGTGGCCTTAAATGAAAAAAATGAAGAATTAGAAACTCTTAAAAAAAGTCTCTCAACGCAAAATCAAACAGTCAATTACGTTCAAGAAATTGAAAATCTTGAAAGAAAGTTAGAAAGTGCTCAAAAAAAGCAAACATTTTTTAAAGAGCAATGGGGTAAAGCAGTAAGAGAAATTCATAAAATGAAAATGGAGCACCGACAAGTTGTTGAAGTACAAACTAAAACGCATAAGGATGAATTGAAAAATTTCAAGTACGTAAAATCACATTATGAAGCATACTTTTTTGCTAAACTTTTTTTACATTTTATAAATTCTTTTTCAGTTTAGAAGATATACTACAAGCAGGTTCAGCAGCATTAGCCAATGATAAAATTTCACTTGGTCAAATTCAAAAACAAATCGAAACACTAAGACCAAAATCATCCGTTGAAAGAAAAACCCGTGATTCTTTAGTTACTCCAATGTATGATTCAAAATCCCTGATGAATTTAAATAAATGTCATTGTCAATCACGTGTCGGAGAACTGGATGAACGTCTTAAAAAACTTATTGCCGAACGTGATGCATTATTAAAAACTGGTAGTTATACAGAAGATGATGGAATAATAGTCAAATTAAATACTGAAATACGGTCATTACTTATTAATAGCTGAATATATTTTGTATAAATATTAAATCAAATTAATATTTACATATTTGTTATCTTATTATGCTCGTTAAATAGTCAACGTAGTTTGATGAAATATGGCAAAATATTTAATGGTGCGGGATAATTCTCAATCCACATTGGTCCTGTGTAAGTACGATTACTATTTCCATCTTTCCACATTCCTTTAGGAAGATAAACCGGTCGTGCAACGGAGTTTTCTTCGATCACTGGTGCCACCAATATATTTGTTCCCAAAAGGTATTCTAAAATATACAAAATTATTTATTATATTATTTCGGTAAAATAAATTTCAAATTTGTGATAAATAATCATAATCACTATTACCATCATTTATTTTGTGAGCTTCTTGATTAGTTGGATCGATCCACCAAATAGGTGGATTCAATGGTGCTCCAGTTGTTGCAGAAATATTCATTAATTTCACGATATCTGAGGCATAACTGGCATGCAAGTCAGTGAATTTCTTACAAATAGTAACAGTCTGAAAAAAAAATTGTTAGTTATTCAAAAAATTAAAAATTTACTTTTTATAATATTATACGAGTATTTACTTCTTTATCAAAATCCCAAGGCGTGAATGAATATTGAAGAGAAGGCATAAAAACGTTAGCTTGAAGCCATCTGATATATAATTCTTTGGATGGTAAGTAAGTTCCATTCAAAAATCCATTTAGATATCCGTTACCACCAATCATGTCAGGAAGTACGTAAACATAACCAGCCATATTCATTTGAAGAAGTGTTGTTATTAATGTTGGTAATCCATTATTCCAGGTCCATCTAGTGTCTTTATCGATCATTCTGATAAATATTGGAAGATCCTGTGTTCCCCAACCAACTCTTGCTTCAATAATGTTATTGAAATTAGTGGCTAAAGCATTTACGTAAGCTCTTGTATAAATTCCTGGCTGTAGTTCCTTAGGACCAGTTAATATTGGTATTTGTGGAAGCCAAGACGATTCACCAGCATCAAATTTAAAGCTATCAACGCCTAATTTTTCTATTGCTTTTAATCGTGCAACCCACCAGTTAGTAGCATTTGGATTTGTAAAATCAATCACACCGGCTCCTTTTTCACCTGTAATACGATAAGGTATCTACAATTAATATAGCTTATCTATTTTATAATGATACAAAGAAATTTATGATAAAAACTAATACCCTGCCACCATGTCGTATGTACTTGTCCTTGCTGATTTTTAACGAAATATCCATTCTTCAAAGCAGTGGAATAAGCAGGTTCACATCCTTCATTAATAAATGGATGAATCCAAAGGGTAATTCTGAAGCCTTGACGTTTCAATCCTTGAGTTAATCGAGTAACATTTGGAAACTTTTTGGGATCAAAAATAGCTGATCCATAACAAGTTTCCCAATTATCATCAATTTCTAACTGACTATTATTAAATTTATTAGCAACGATTTCACTAGCAAATTTATTTACAATACTTTCAGTAATATTTGCTTTATATCGTGCCCATGTAGACCAAATAGGATGACGAACCATTCGTTCATCAGGAATTCCATTAGGTTTTCCCAAATGCCGAGATACTATCGATTCATGAGCAAGTTTTGAATCATTATGCCATGCTACTTCATAAGATAGAGCAAGACTAGTATTGTCGGAATATGGTTTTTTATTTTCGGCGATAAGGCACAAATGCTTATCTTTAAAATTATTTTGATCTAGAAACAGAGGTGCCCAGTTATATACATAAACACTGAAACCTCTGCTAGATAGCCAATATCTTTCAGCAATTGCAATATTTGTAGGATGCGTGGTAACATATGGTTCTTCTTCATAGTACATGTGTTGAACTGGCCACCGTTGATAACGATATTGAGGTCCACCAATCCATTGTGTGTCATCATGAAGAGACAGGCAATCTATTAAACGGCCTTTTGATGTTGGTAAAAAACGTGAAATTGAAACGTATTCTCTTGTTGGTATTGATTGAATTACTGTGTGTGTTATATTTCCACTTGCAATACAAACTAAATTTCTTGCACATTGGCTCATCGTCAAAGGTTTGTTTGACAATGAAGGTTCTTCGACGAAAAATTCAATGTGCATTTTTGAACCATCTAGAAGTAGATTTAGTTTATTAGAATAAAGATTTAAAGCGGAATAAAAAAAAATACTTGTTCAATCACAAGAGGATTACTTGATAAATGACCCAATTTTCTTAGAATTATTTATATTAGAATACTTTGCATTAATTACCATTCTTTGTAGAATTTAAGATTAATTTATTGTTAATTGCAACGACTTCGAATGCCGCATTTTTAGTGGATACTTTTATACGATTAGTAGTGGAATTTTGTAAAAATTCATTTTCGTTAGCTAACGAATAGTTTATTAAACCAAAAATAATACAATTTATTATGACTAATTTTTTCATGATGGTGAAAAATAAATAAATGAATTGAATAACTATAAGAAAAAAATTATCACATGTAATAAAATCTGTAGTATTTACAGAAAATCACTGGTAACAAATGAATTGTGTACTTGCTTTTATATCTGATAGTCTAAAGAAAAATAGTTATTATCGTTACGTTTTGTGATAATAAAAATTTCCTTCTTACAAGCAATAATAATTGTTATGTTCAGCTTCCTTTCGTTATCTAACATAAACTTACATTTTTTTCAAATTATTTAATCATTCCTGATCAAACTGAAAATAATTGGATAAGTACTTTTTAATTATGATAAATACATTGTGATTATTTGAAAATTTTGCGGTGTAATTTGAATTTTATGTATAGTATATTTTTTATGTATATTAAAAAAAAATTTATCCAATGATGTGTATAGTATTATCTTTTGTAGATATTTGCGATATCACCATGAGGTTATAATTTTTAAAATAAGACTGTATTGAGAAACAAATTAGAAGAAAAAATGTTGCTAAAAATATGTTATAAATGTGCTTGTTCAACTTTTAATCCACTTCGGGGATTCATTACTCAATGTAAAATTTATAATGATCAAAAAATTACATTTATTCCAAACATTCCAGTGAATGGTAGATTATTTTCAAGTATTTCTGTAAATGATGATCTTCACAATATCTTTAAATTTAAAGATACAAATATAAGTAATTGGATTGTAGAAGTAATAATTTAATAATCATTATATTTTTTTATATATCTATTATCGTATTGAAATTAATTTATTCTTTTTTCAGAATCGAATTAAAACTTTATGTTCTGCTTATAAGGCATTATCAGTAGAAAATAAACATGAATTTCTGTGGACATTAGCTTTAAAGTATGGAATTAATCATGATTACATTCGTAATTTATCAGAAAAATTATCATCTGCAAAGGTGATAATATATTTTTATGGATTATTATCTGTGTAAAAAAAAATTGAATATCTTATAATTTTAGCCTGAAAATTATCATCAACGATTAGCATGGGAGAATACGTTGAAAAAAGCACTAACACCACATTATCAATGGTTATTTATTTTGATGGGAAGACTTGAATATGGAGTTAAATTTTTAGTTGATTTAAGAACGGATGTATTGGTAATATAGATATTTATTATTTTAATTTGTTGTTTTTTTTATGTTTTTGTCTTTAATAACGTACAATAGATTTTCAGGAATTATTATCAGCTACTGATGACATTGAAAAATCTGTGACTATGCAACAATTAAATCTTACTCTTCATGATCTATTACTATTATGGTTTAGTGTAGGATTTTTACATCTGGAAAGAATTACTTGGCAAAGTCCGTGTGATATATTACAAAAGGTCTTATTTTGAATTAAAATGAAAACAATTTTTTTACTCAAATATTCAAATTTATTAATGATATTTTGAAAAATATAGATTGCAGATTATGAAGCAATACATCCAATAAGAAATTGGGTTGATCTAAAAAAACGTGTCGGTCTTTATCGTCGTTGTTTCATATTTACTCATCCTTCAATGCCACGAGAACCATTAGTTGTTTTACATACAGCTTTATGTGATGTTATTCCAGAAGCAGTAAAAGGCATTGAAGAAGCAGAAAAAAGAATTTTACAGAAAAATCCATTATCATCATTACAAGAAGATGTATCTGAAATAAAAGCTGCAGTATTTTATTCAATAGCTGCTACGCAACAAGGATTAAAAGTAAAAATATTTAAAAATTTACTAATACTTTAATTTAAATGATTTTAATGTATATTTTGGTATTCTAGGGAATTGAACTTGGGAATTATTTAATTAAAGAAGTTGTAAAAGAAGTCTCAAGAGAATTTCCAAAGATAGATCAACTCTCTAGCTTATCTCCAATTCCAAAATTTAGACTGTGGCTTTTAGAAGGAATAAAACAAGGTACTGTATAATTAAATGCTCTCATATTCATCTAAATAATCAATATATCTTTTTTTTTAGATGCAAAGAAAATTTTCACAGACGCTGAAATAATTATTTTAAAAAATTTGTTAAACACGGATGATCTTTTTTATTCCTTGAGAAAATTATTCAACACTTGCTTGTGGATGAATGATGAAAAAATAACAATGTCATTAAAAGAGCCATTGCTACGATCATGTGCTTGGTATTTGTATCGAGAAAAAAGAAGAAATTATGCAATGAATTCTGTTGGTTTGTATTCATTATATTGAATTCAATATTTAAAATTCAATTTCCCTACATAGAAAAATGAACTATTTAATCATAAATTTTTTATCCTATAAAGCCAATTTCCATCTTCGTAATGGAGCAGTTATGTGGCGTATTAATTGGTTAGCTGATCCTTCGCCTAGAGGTGCTGATCATAGCTGTGGAATAATGGTAAACTACAGATATTACATACATGAGACAGAAGAAAATAGTCGAAATTATATTGAAAATCACATTATTAAAGCCTCTGATAGTGTATTGAATTTAGTAAAACAGGTGGAAGAATTAAGTAATATTAGATAGAAATTCTTATAGCATAGTTATTTGCATAAATAAATTATTTTTATATAAATTACAATAAAATTGAAAAATTCAATAAAGAAATAGCTCTATCTTATAGTAATTAAATTGTTATAAACATTGTTTAATTTCTCAATAATACGATCATAAATTTAAAGAATAATACTATAATTTTGTCCAAATCTTATTTTTGTCTTTTCTATTATTTTTTTTAAATAGACAATTCAAATAATAATTTTAAAAAAATATATATTATTGATGAAAGAGAAGAGTTATCGTGCTAAGTAAGGAATTATTTATTATTTATTTTTCGAATTTAATATTTTTATTAAAGATTATTAAATTTGTTCATTTATACAATTGCTGGATTCGCCCAGCTCACATTTAACTCAAGTATCCACATTGTAATCTGGAAAGAGAGTGCTTGTTTAGATTTTAATTTAATTATACTTTTATTCAGTTATATGTAAATATAATGAACATACCTGCAGTCAAGGTTGGGTTTGATGAAAAGACGTTGGAGGAAGAGGTCTACTCTCCAGTTTTGCATAATCCAAATGGAATTCCTTGGCTACTTTTCTCCAGTTTTGCGCGTCAAAGTAGTAATAAGTACCACGTTCGTACGTTGTAGTTTTTTCAACTATTCCAAGTCCTGGTGCTTGTGTTATCCAGACTTTCTCTTCCATGTGATATCGCCATTCTCTATTATATCTGTTGAAATATTTTATGATTATTTGATTGAAAATTTCAACCGGTTCCTCATTATTTTTTACTACTTACAGTTCTGCCGCTGCCGCCAATTGTAATACATCACCAATATTCGTGTAAAACATATAAAACAATAGGTCATCTTTGTATCGATTGAGTTTTATAGGTGCCAACTTATCTCTAAAATTAATAATAATATTAAGTATTTTTTCTTTAATTTTATCTCTAGTAATTCAGCTAATTAATTTCGTACCTTATTGCTGCATTAATGAGATATTCTGGCGGTACATGAAAGTCAATATCTTGAGGTCGACACGGAGTTTCTGCCCAAGGGCCACCAAAATTTTGGTAAAGATTTTCAGGTGAGTTAAGATTGAGTCCTAATGCTGTTAAATCCTGTCCAAGCGCCAGAGATACTAGATTTGGATCGGTTTCTGCAGCTCTAATAAAAGTTAATAATCCTACCATACCAAATTGGTCTTTAACCATACTTGCTGGTATATTCGTAACTTTTCCTAAAAGAATAATTTTTTTCATTAAAAATCTTATCAAATTAAATAAAAATAAAAATGACATACCATCAGGTGATGTTTGAATTCCTCTTTTAGATACTTGTGATTTTTCTGATCCCGGTGCTCTATTATTTTGTAATACATCTTGACCAATATCAGGTCCAAGACCAACAGAAATATTCTTATCACCAGAAACACTTCCGCCAGGCGAAGGACCTTCTCTACTTTGCGTACCAGGTAATGCAGGGAAATCTTCTGAGCTCATGGTAAATTCACTTGCTTCAGAAGTGGGTTGTTTCACCATACCCACTTTATTATAAAAGAATAGATGTTAATTGTTGATTGAATGTGTAATAGTTTCAATTTTAAAAAACAGTAACTAACCATAAGCTTGTTTTCCAGGCATTGGACTTGGTTGAGGCATTGAATCACCTTGGCCTCTATTAGTTAAAGACGGAAACTCTGAGAGATCTAACAGTGGAGGAGTACTTGTATCTCCACCTCCACTACTTCCAAAAACAGAATGGAAATTATTAATCGCACCTTGAGATCCGTAACTCCGACTTTGAGGTATTCCAAAACTTCCCATACTACCCATTGGATTCGAATTCCTGTAAAATATATTAAATACAGTTGAATAATCAAAAAAAAAGAAAAATAATAACTCGAATAGTAAAATGAATAGTAATGAATGAAGAAGAAAAATCCCACGAACAACACTGAAATAATATGTGCATCAGTTGCTTCAACCAACACAAGACATTGATTATAAAAGTTTGATCATGCAGATGAATGAGCAATAAAATTTTAAATGAGAATGAAGATATGAAGCGAAATAGAAAATTCAGAAGAGACAAATAGAACCTATGAATCAATGTGTATTGAGTGTATAATAAAAAATAATCATAATAATAAATAAACGCTGGACGATTAGTAGATAGAGATTTGGTCGCACAACTGACCCAAGAGAAGGCATAGTACGTCTATCTGCAAAAGCCCTTTGTCCAAAAAGACCCCGAGTTCCCATCGGAGAGAGTTGTTGCTGTGGTTGATGTCCTGCTGATTGTGTTGCTGCACCCGAGGCTGCACCAGGATAAATGCTGGCTCCAACAATCGTCGAGTTAGCGGTACTCGAGGTACTTGCAGATGAGCCCGAGAACATCCCTGAGGTTGGGGTGACATGACCCACTAGAGAGGATGAGCTTAAGCCCCCTCCACCAGCCCCACGTGAGGAAAGGCTTGCGGTCGCAATACTGCGTGGTGGTTGCTCAAAGTTTAAGTTGGCCATAGCCTGTTGGCTTCTCTAAAAAAAAATACCTGCAGGGGCATATTAACACATTCTCTATTTAGATTTGAAATATTTCTGCAATCTAATACTCTTACTGATTACATCAGTAGTTGGAAACTCTTTTGTTTACTAATTCCTTATTTCTCTGATAATAACTCAGACTCAACGATTAATTAAGTTTAATCCCTAAATATAATACTTGGAATTTTATTTCCAATGAACTTTTTCCAATAATATTCAGTTATTTGATTGTTACTATATTTACTGTTAATTATCATTATTTGTATGCAAAATTAAAGATTCATTTTTAGCTTATAATTTAAAAGAAAAGTAGGTCAGTAACAACAATAATTCAAATTTTCTCAAATGTTATAAAAATAATTTTTGATAATTGAGCTTATTTAAGTCATGCAGCCAACTTGAAACAACTCAATAAACCCTTAATGTATAGCCAGTTAAAAAATATTTTTCAATTAAACAAACAAACACCAAAATTCTGTATAGTAAATCTTTCATGGTAAATTAAATGCAGCATAATTATAAGATTTATGGATAGATTAATACAAATAATTTCATAGAATGGAATAAAACCACTTTTTCTAGGATTAATTTGAATTTTACGTTTCATGACTGATTGACAATCACACAAGGAACAAAGGTTATAGGCATAACAAGCATTGTTTATTTTTTGTGTATTTATCAAAATCTTCTATTTAATAAAGATATCTTTACCTAATTCAATAGTCCCAGCTTGAATTTACAATGCTGAGAAATAAATTTTATTCATCATAAACAACGTAAATAGACTGTAAAAAAAGCACTATATGTTCTTGTTGATTTGAGATTTATAAACGTGTTGAGATATGAAACTAATTTCGGCGGGCACTGTTCGCCGCGTCAGAGTCACTTATTTGTTTTCACTATCACTTAATTACTATATTTATATTTTCAATAACTTCAACATTATTCTGTATTTATAATTATTGTATTTGTTTAAAAAATCATAAACTTTAAACAATATTAGAATACACTGTTTTCTGCCATATTAGCAGATATTACAATGCACTCAAATCAGCAACCAGAATTCCTAATTTTAGCTAAAGAATAACATCCAGCAATTATCAGTTTAAAACTGCCAATTGTTCTTTCAAATATTTGAATAATCTAAAGTTATTAATCTTCTTTGAGTTTCTTTACTTTTATAAACAAATTGATGAAAGTTTTTATTCAACACCTAGTATGGTCGGGACTCTAGACAATTGTGTCACTTTCACGATTTTACGAACATTGGTGTTTGTGAAGTGTGCTTGTGTGTGTAAGTCTGGACGAAGAGATGAGCGCCATCTTTTTATTAATTTATAAAAAAAAGAATTTTCAAATAAAGTAAAGACTCTGATTGTGAAATAAACGGTTTTTGTGGCAATTAAATAAAAACAATGATATATGTTAATTATATAGAACAGTTTATTTATTACGTACTTAAAAGATTATATCGAAAAATCAAAGATGGTTGTTTAAATTATAATCATTTCAAATAAGTTATTTTTCGTTAAAAAATGAACAGTTCAATGCCATTTTTTTATTCTATGCATTAGTAAATTATTAAAAAATTAATGCTTCTTGTGGGACCATTTTTTTCCTTCTTCATGATCACCCTTCTTTCCATATTTAGAACCATGATGGTGATGATCATCATGCTCATCACTCTTGTCATATTTCTCTTCATCATGATAATGTTCTCCTTCAGAATGCTTCTTTTCTTTACCATATTTATCTTCATGATGACCAGAATGATGGTGTCCCTTCTTTTTCTTTCCTCCATGGGCATGTTTATGTTCTTTATGGTATCCTCCGTCTTTTTCTTCTTCTTCATGAGAATGATTTTCGTCAAAGAAGTCTACATTTTTCTCATACTCATCCTAACAACAAAAAATTCCATTTTTAGACAATTTATTTAATCAATAAATAATTAAAAATCTTACCTTTTTATGAACTACGTGTTTTCCATGAGTACTATGGCCTTTTTTGAATTCTCCCTTCTCTTCGAATCCTGATCCTTTTTCACCTTTGTCTTCATGATGATATTCATCGTAGTATCCATCTTCATGCTTTTTCTTTTTTTTTCCACCTTCTTCTTCTTCATATTCTTTTTTATGGTGTTCCTTGTCATGATGTCCCTTTTTACCCTCTTCATGTTCATGCCAATTTTTGTATCCCTTTTAAGAAATATATGAATTAAATTTTTATTAATCAATTAGAAGTTTTAATACCAAAAATAAAAATGTAATTAATATTCACTTTGTCTCCTTTTTCTCCATGAGATGAATGATGATCTTCACCGTGTTCACCTTTATGTCCTTCTTCATGGCTATCTTCTTCATAATATTTTTCATCCTTTTTCGATTCAGCAGGAGTTTGATAGTAATCGTCGTAGCCATCATAATTGTTGAAGTTTTCAAAGTTATCACCACCACCACCATAATAACCATATTCACCAGATCCACCTTCATAACTTCCTATATATTGACGTTTTATTTTACTTGGTGCTTCATTCCTCCTTCTTAAATGAGTTTCCTTCTTCAATGGAATTGGTACTTTATTGTAAGGAACTTGAATAAATTGTTCAACAGCTATAGGAACAGGTTGTTGAACAACTTGTTTAACTGGTAATTGATAATTTGTATATAATGAAGGGCTAGCCTGTAAAATGTTTCCCGCTCGAGATGTAATTTGTTGGGGTTGATTTGTTACTTCTTGAATTTGACGACTTGCTGCAGGTACTGGTGTTTCTAAGACGACGATAGGATTATTAGCAAAATAAGCAGCTGCTAATGACAATTGAATCTGTGTAAATTTAACAGAAAATTTATATGAAAAGTTTATTCTATGTTTAACGGAATAAATATAAATTATTTTTATAAACAAGTAGACTCATAAATACCGTGAAAAAAATTAAGATTGATGGTGTCATGGTCCGAAATTGTAATGAATCCATGATCATGACTAAACTGAATCGATGCTGACAAAGGCGATGTTAATTATATTGTCCCCTCTTTTCACACCTCACATCGTTGATCAATTTATAAAGTAACTATTTCCTACCTTTAATATTCTATGAAATACTTATGCTTCCTCCTTTCTCTTAAATCATTGCACAAACTATTACATCTCTACCCTCCAATGATGGGGAAATTTTTCTAATTTTTTCTTAGCTTTTATCAAGGACGAAATAATAAAATAATCATTCATTGAGAAACGGTTTTACCAATCGGTTTCACTGTTGGCTAACGAATTTTTTGAAAAAATTTTCTTATTTCCAGTTAACATCGAAATAATGAATCTAATTTAACAAATTTTTCAATTTATCTTTTTACATAAATTATTGTAATTTTTCGCTTGATGTAAAAAAATTTTAAAAAACTCTTGTTACAGTTAGAACAATTATACATTTACTAGGAGTTTATGAATATTATTTCAATCAATTATCTGCTTAATGGACTAACAATGAAGAATATTTAGAGAGATCAAGTGTAACCAATTTATCGCTAGGTTTTCACTTTTGTGGGTTTACTCGAAATTACTTGGTAAGATATCGTTCCGATTGATTGAATCTATAGATTGCCGTAGGAGTTTTTCTATAGAAATTAACAGCTAGAAAATATTTTATAATACATTTATGTTATTTCAATTCTTAAAAAAAAAAATGATCCATAAGTTTAAACATGTAAATTGAATAGTAGCTAAAAATTTGTATGTAATAAAATTCTATAATTGAAATTTTATAAAACTCAATGTTTGCCATGATGAGCCCATTTCTTTCCATGGCCTCTGTGGCCTTTTTTGCCATGCTTGTGATGAGATTTATGATGATGATGATGATCTTCACCAGATTTATGATCTTCATCGTGATGATGATGGTGGTCTGCGTGATGTTTATGTTTTTTACCATGATGATCCTATGAATATTTTATCATTAAAATAAATCAAACAAATTCTATTGAATTTGAAAATATTTTAAAATAATCACAATTGAATTAAAAAAATACCTCATGATGACCGGAATCATGATGACCCTTCTTCTTATGTCCTCCTTTTTTTCCTTTATGTCCATGATGATATCCTGCATCTTCTTCATGACTACTTTCATCATGAAATTCATCATAGAAATCATGTTTCTTCTCATACTCATCTTTTTTATAAATATTATGTTCTCCTTTGGTAGAATGACCCTTTTGATGTTTTCCAGATTCATCAAATTCTCCTTTTTTTTCCTTCTCTTCTCCTTCATGATGTTCAGCATAATATTCATCGTCGTGATGCTTTTTACCTTCTTCTCCACTAGACACATGATGTTTTTCTTCGTGATCTTTTTTATGATGATGTCCTTTTTCTCCTTCATCTGACTCTCCATGTTTTTCATATCCCTAATATGAAATTTATTTTTATATAATGATCTGAATATCATCAATTATATAATATTTAATGAATAATTCATTATGTGAAGTACAAATAATGTTTACCTCATCCCCTTTTTCTCCTTTAGATTTATGATGTTCTAATTCATGTTTAGAACCATCTCCATGTTCAAAGTGCTGTTCTTCATGCTCTGTAATTTTAACATATTTTTACTTGATTATATTTATTCTAAAATTAAATATATTCACAAAAAATTATATTCTTACCTCCATAAACATTTTGATGCAGAAAAAAAATAGTAAGAAGAAGTATATAAATAAATTGATTCATATTTATATCCTTAAAGTTACTATTTCTCTAAAGTTGACAATGAAAATGAGCATCTCCGAAGATTTTGATTCTATTATATCCATCCTGATGATTCGTTTCGAATTTTTTTCAATATTTTCTCTATCGGTGAAAGACACTCTCTCGAATCAATTGATTGTTTTATAGAAAATCGTGACTGTGAAGTGAAATTACGTGTAAATAATGGATTTAAATTACTTATAATAATTTTTTTTCATAATTTACTATATTTATTTACATTATTAATAAGATTAAAATAAATACCTCATATATCCTTCATAAAAATCTATAAAAAAAATAATCGCATCCAATGATTTGGTAGTCTTACTTGTCATATCATTGACAATAAGCTGTAACAAATACGATAAATACGTTAGCTTAAATACATTAGTATAATCTATATATAAAGCTTATAAGTATGTACTACCATTCAATAAATTATATGTATTACTTTTTCAATTTACGTATTTCTAATACCTCAAAACAAATATGTAAGGTCTGGGTTAATCTTCATAATCGAATTTACATCATCCTCTATATATAATATAATTAAAGTAACTAAATTTTTGCTTCGATTTCATCCCCAACCTTCTTCCGAACCAGTTATGTATCCTATATTTTTTTTTTTTAAGTGATATAGTTTATTTTAATTCACCATAAGCTTATATTTTAAATTACTAGTTTCTTTCTTTAATTTAATTTTTAATTAATAAATGAGTGCTTGGTGATTGGTTTTTATTTAAAAAGCAAATTCACTCATAATTATTGCAAAATGGGTAATGAAAAAGAATTAAGTGCTGAACTAGAGGCACCACCAGATCAAGATGATGAACCATACATTCTGGAGCTCCCCAGACCGCTTAATATTGAAGAAAAAAAATATCTTCTTGCTGTGGAAAGAGGAGACTTAGCAAATGTTCGACGAATGCTTCAAATTGCCAATAAGCCTAACAAAGTAAGATTTTAAATTGAACAATAAAATATTCTACTCTAGGAGTATTGAAATAAAATTTTTCTAATGAATTTACAGTCTAAAATAATTGACGTTAACTGCGTCGATAGTTTAGGTCGAGGTGCATTGACATTAGCAATAGAGTCTGAGAACTTGGAAATGGTAGAACTTTTGATAATCATGGGAGTACAAACGCGAGATTCTCTATTATTTGCTATAGACCAGGAATTTGTTGAAGCTGTCGAGTTACTGCTTGAACATGAAGAGCTCATCAAAAGTCAAGAACTCTCTGGTACCAATCGTAAGTTATTGAAGGATAAAATTATTTCACTTCTGACTTCAAAGTAATGTAGTCTAAGATTTTCTCTCTCTTTGAAATTTAATAGCACCAAAGGAAATCACTCATAGTTGGCAGATGGTTAATTCAGCAGCTGCAAGATATCCTCCTGAAATGACACCATTGATTTTAGCAGCTCATAGAAATAGTTATGAAATTCTTAAGCTACTTTTAGATCGTGGTGCTACCTTACCAATGCCTCATGATGTTCGATGCGGTTGTGATGACTGTTTGCGATCTGCCACTGGAGATCCTTTAAAGTTATCATCAGCAAGGATTTCAGAATACAAAGCATTAGCAAGCCCAAGTCTGATTGCTCTTAGTTCACCAGATCCTTTGATGACAGCTTTCCAACTCAGCTGGGAATTGAGACAATTAGCAGTTTCCGAGCCTGAAAGTCGAGCGGAATATCTTAAATTGAGACGGCAAGTCGAAAAGTAAGTTCTTGCTGTCAACTGTTCTGTAATTATATTAAACTTAAATAATAGACATTTCATTGAATAAACATGAGTGTAGATTTGCAGTGGATCTTCTCCAACAAACTCGAAGTACTGGGGAGTTAAATACAATATTAAACCATAACTCTGAAGAGAATACTGGGCAGCCTCCAAGACATTTAGCGAGATTAGAAGCTGCCATTCAATATAAACAGAAACGATTTGTCGCTCATTCTCATGTTCAGCAATTTCTAGCAGCAATCTGGTAATTAATTATCGATTATAGCATTTATACAGAAATATATTATTTAAGTGAAAATTTATTTGTTTAGGTACGAAGGAATTCCAGGATTTCGACGAATGCCGGCAATCCAAAAAACAGGAATTTTGATAAAAACTGCATTACTTTTTCCTTGGTATTGCTTGGTCTACTATTTTGCTCCAAATTCAAAAACAGGCCAACTTGTTCGTCGTCCGTTTATGAAATTTTTAGTTCATGCTTCTTCTTATCTTTTCTTCCTTCGTAAGTATTATCATTCAAAATCAGTAAAATTGTTTTTGTTATAATTAAACATTGTAGAATGATTTATTAAAATTATTATGGTGTCTATAGTGATTTTGATGCTAGTTTCACAAAGAGCTGAAGTTCAAGTGGTTACGTTATTTGGATCAGAAGACATGAGAAGACAACTGGAAGAAGATTTATCAAAACAAAGAGGAGCCGGGCCAACTCCACTCGAATACGTTGTTATACTTTATGTATTAGGATTTATTTGGCAAGAAACTAAAGAAGCTTTTGGAGATGGGTTAAAAGCTTATCTTAGAAATATGTGGAATTTTATTGATTTCACTCGAAACTCTCTTTATGTAGCAACAGCATTACTCAGAGTGGCAGCGTATCTTCAACAACGTGCTGAGATTCAAAATGATCCAGCTGCTTCTTTTATACCAAGAGAAAATTGGGGTGATTTTGATCCACAATTGATTGCTGAAGGTCTCTTTGCAGCTGCTAATGTTTTTAGTGCTTTAAAGCTTGTTCATCTTTTCAGCATCAATCCACATCTTGGACCACTTCAAGTAAATTTTAAAACCAGTTATCTTTGGAATCAATAATGTAAAAATTTTAACTATAAATTTTTTTTCAGATTTCACTGGGTAGAATGGTGATCGACATCGTCAAATTCTTCTTCATTTATACTCTGGTACTTTTTGCATTTGCCTGTGGATTAAATCAATTGTTATGGTACTTTGCAGAGTTAGAAAAAAGAAAGTGTTATACAGGAATGCATGATCCTAGTTGGGATCCAACTAGTGATTCTTGTTTAAGATGGAGAAGGTATAGTTATTGTAATATTAAATTAACAAAAAAATATGTAAATAATTAATACAATAAAATTATATCAACAGCTTCAGTAGCCTCTTCGAATCCTGTCAAAGTCTTTTTTGGGCTAGCTTTGGTGGAGTTGGAATGGATGCCTTTGAATTAACTGGCATTAAATCTTACACTCGTTTTTGGGGACTTCTTATGTTCGGATCCTATTCAGTTATCAATGTAATAGTGTTGTTAAATCTTCTTATTGCTATGATGAGCAACAGTTATGCTGTAATCGAAGAACATTCAGATGTAGAATGGAAATTTGCAAGAACTAAATTATGGATGAGTTATTTTGAAGAGTCTGGAACACTTCCACCACCTTTTAATATCTTCCCTGCTCCCAAACTATTATTTAGACGTTGCGGGATGCAAAAAAAACAAACTGGATTCAGAAATAGTAAACGAGCCAAAGCTAGAGAACACAAGTATGTTTAATTGTTACACATACTAATCAAATAATAATCATTTTTAAATGTTATAATTTAATTATTTTTATAGGTATAGTGCAGTCATGCGTGCTCTAGTTTGGCGTTACGTCGTTAATACTCATAACGAAAATGAAATGTCTATGGTAACAGAGGATGATATTCATGAAGTCAAATCTGACATTTCTAGTTGGCGTTGTGAACTTTTAGATATTCTGAGAAGAAATGGAATGGATATTGCTGGTGCTAATACTAAGGATTCAAGTAAATATTTTAATAAATTTTAATATTCATTTGCAAATTTTTGAATTCAATTATAAATATTTTCTTCAATAATTCTAGTGGTTCTTGGGAAAAAAATGAAAGTTTGGGAACGTAGATTGATGAAAGATTTCCAAGTTTCTGGACCTCTAGTAGAAGATGGAGATGATGATTCTAATAATTCTGACTTACCACAATCTGCTGAAGGAGAGGACAACATAGATAGATGGAAGAGAATTGCTAGACTTGCTGTACTCAAATCAGCAGATCGAAAATGGGGACAAGTAAATAAAATATTTATCCATTTTGAAAACATGTTAAATGAAAAATGATTCTTTAATTGGCTGGAATTAAATATTGTAGGTGATAGATAGTGCTATAAAAAGTTCTCAAATTGGTCGAAGTACTAGCAGAGCTTCTCTAAAAAGTCAACAGAGTCTTAAAAAAGCTATGGATGAAGCAAAAAAATTACGAGCTAAATCTCCACTACCTGAAACGGCTCCTATCGAATTACCAGAGGATACGACAGCTAACATTCTTTATGTTTTAAAAGGAACTGATGAAAAAGATAGTTCACATTCACCATCACCTAGTAGATTTTCTCCAGAAGTACCAGTTAATAATATTGAGGTATAATAGGATTTTTTGTTTCTTGTTCAAAATAATTTAATTATCTTTAACTAAATTAAAATTTTGTAGCCAAAAACTATGTCAACAATTGTTGGATATGAGGATGAAAAAAGGAAGAAAAATTCTCAACCTTTGATTTCTATTCGAACTTCTCCTCCGAAGGTTATCAAACGAAAAGCTCCTCCTCCATCAAGTACTTCAGATGCTTTAAATAAATCTAGATCAATAAGTCCTGTAAAGCCACATACTGAAAATTTGTCTAAAACATCAAGACCTACTAGTCCACCTAAATCTGTAGGAGATTCACTTGGGAAAAATAAAAAATCTGGTTCAGCTTCAAAAACATCAGGTTCAACGTTATCAGTTTCTCCAGCAGTACTTTCAGATTCAACGAATACTAATACTAATATTATTCGTCCAAGACCACGATCTAGACAAGGACAAAGTCATTCACCAAGTCCTCGGAGAATTCCTGATGTAGCTATTACTCCTGACACTCCAGAAGCTGAAGCAAGACGTGAAGCAACAGATGGGGATCGATTGAGATTAGTTGATGTTGAGCTAAAGTCTCCAAGATTTGGAACAGCTAGAAAGGGAATGTGGCTATAAGTAAGAATAAATTCTAAAATGAACAAATTCGAATGTTAAATAATACAAATAAATTTTTTGAAACGCAATATAAAAAGAAGTTTTACCATTACTACTCGAGATTTTGAGATGTAAACTTTCTAAGACTTTTATTTCATGATTCATAAAAAGTTTTTCATGGTTTGTAATATTGTGAAAATAATTATTATTTTATAAATAAGATGAATTTTTTTGAAATTCTCTGTACCAATGTTTAAATTACTACAATTATGAGGAGAAAAAAATTATATAGGAATAAATTTTGAAAATCCAATAAATCATAAAAAAAATAAGTAAAACCAATTTTACAATTACAACTAATTAGTCTCATTTGCAAACAAGTGTCTGCGAACACTTTGCTCAATCGGTATGATGAAACTTGAACGCAACCTCATTTTTCCACCTATCACAATAATTGACGCAAGCGCAAAAACATCAAGTCGGGTTGTGTTTGACATGATGTGTTTGTGACGCGATGTATGACACGTATGCCGTTCTAAATTTTAATTGACAGAAATATTTCTCATAAAATAGTTGAAAATTGAAGAATAATTGATAAAAAAGCTTTAAGCTTATATTTAAGGTAAGCAACATTATGATAACTAATAATTATTCATTTTTTTTTACAAATACATGAGTATAATTGTAACAAATGGTACATTGTAATATCAACATAACCTTTTATAAATTCGATATTTCACATTAAAATTGTTATTTGTCATTCTTTGAATTTCTTTGACTTTGAAAGTTACGATAATTAATTAAACTAACATAACATTCGTTATTTTTAGAACCACAAGGTTTTTCTTCTACAATAAGACACAGGAATTCTTCCAACAATGAGTACCGTAATCGAGCAACCATGTTATACATTGATAAATATTCCAACCGAGTCGGAGCCGATAAACGAGCTCCAAATGAAGCAAGATTTGGAGAAAGGAGACATTCCAGTAAAAATCGAAGCATTGAAGAAAACTATTCATATGATTCTCAGTGGAGAACGTCTTCCAGGACTTCTGATGACAATTATTAGATTTGTTTTACCGCTTCAAGACCATACGATTAAAAAACTCTTGCTTATATTTTGGGAAATTGTACCAAAAACATCACCTGATGGCAAACTTCTTCAAGAAATGATTTTAGTTTGCGATGCATACAGAAAAGATCTTCAACATCCTAATGAATTTGTCAGAGGATCCACACTAAGATTTTTGTGTAAATTGAAAGAACCGGAGCTTCTTGAACCTTTGATGCCAGCTATTATAGCTTGTTTAGAGCATAGACATTCTTACGTCCGACGTAATGCAGTTCTGGCTATATTTACTATCTATAGAAATTTTGAATTTTTAATACCAGATGCTCCAGAACTTATTGCAAAATATTTGGAAGGTGAACAAGATATGTCATGCCGTAGAAATGCATTTTTAATGCTTCTTCATGCGGATCAGAGTCGAGCACTTGCATACTTGGCAGCTTGTTTAGATCTTGTTCCAACATTTGGAGATATTCTTCAACTAGTTATCGTAGAGTTGATTTATAAAGTATGTCTTGCTAATCCATCTGAAAGAGCAAGATTTATTCGATGTATTTACAGTTTATTAAATTCTCCAAGTGCTGCAGTTCGATATGAAGCTGCCGGAACTTTGGTAACTCTCTCAAGTGCTCCAACAGCTATTAAAGCAGCTGCTTCTTGTTACATTGAACTTATTGTCAAAGAGAGTGATAATAATGTTAAATTAATTGTTTTGGATCGTTTGATTGCTATGAAAGAAAGCCCATCTCATGAACGAGTTCTTCAAGATTTAGTAATGGATGTATTAAGAGTTCTTGGATCACCAGCTCTAGAAGTCAGAACAAAAACACTCGCATTAGCTATTGATTTAGTTACTGTAAGGACTATCGAAGAGATGGTACAGCTATTGAAGAAAGAAGTCATACGAACAGCTGGAGAGCACGAAGATGCAGGAAAATATCGACAACTATTAGTTAGAACTCTTCATACATGTTCTATCAAATTTCCTGATGTAGCTGTGACTGTAATTCCAGTTTTAGTTGATTTCTTATCTGAAAATAATGAAGCTGCTGCAACCGATGTTTTGGTATTTGTTCGTGAAGCAATTCAGAAATTTGAAAATCTCCGAACATTAATAATTGAAAAACTTCTTGAAGTTTTTCTGGATATTCGATCAGTACGTGTTCATAGAGGAGCTTTATGGATTCTTGGTGAATATGCAACATCTCAAGACGACATTGAAAGTCTTCTCAAGAGTATCCGATCTGCATTGGGAGAACTGCCACTTGTGGAGGCTGAAAATAAACGTCAAGCTGGTGAAAAACCTGCAGATGACAATACTCAAACTCAGCCAGCTCAATTGGTCACGTCCGATGGTACTTATGCAACACAAAGTGCATTCAGTACTACAGCAATGGGAAAAAAAGAAGAAAAACGACCACCACTTGTTCAGTATATGATGGAAGGAGATTTCTTTATTGGAGCTTCCCTAGCGACAACTCTATCTAAACTGGCTCTTCGTTACAAATCTCTCAATATCGATGCCGTCAAATGCAATAGAATGCAAGCTGAATGTATGCTCATAATGTCTAGTATTCTTCAGCTTGGCAAATCTAGTCTCCCTTCCAAACCAATGACTCATGACGATGCAGAAAGAATTTCTCTTTGCTTAAGGTCATTAGCTTGTCCAATTCCATTGGTACAGACTGTCTTTACTCAAGGGTGTCGTGATGCTCTTGGACGTATGCTTTTAGCTAAAGCTGAAGAAGATTCTCAAACTCAGAAAGCTAAAGAGAAACCTGGTACAGTTGTACAGGTTGATGATGCAATTCAATTCTTACAATTAAATCGCGGTAATGATCTTACTGGGCATGGTGATGTTTTTGAACAAAGTTTAAGTGCTGCAGTAGCTGGTAGACCTGGTACTGCTTCTGATACACCTTCACCTAGTGCGCTATCGAAAGTTACACAATTAACTGGATTTTCTGATCCAGTTTATGCTGAAGCTCTTGTTCATGTCAATCAATATGATATTGTTCTTGATGTATTAATTGTCAATCAAACTGAAGATACGCTTCAAAATTGTACTTTGGAACTTGCAACTATGGGAGATCTAAAACTTGTCGAAAGACCACAACCTATTGTGCTTGCGCCTAGAGATTTCGCCAGTATTAAAGCTAATGTCAAAGTAGCATCAACAGAAAATGGTATTATTTTTGGAAATATTGTCTATGACATTTCTGGGGCTGGATCTGATCGAAGTGTTGTAGTTTTAAATGACATTCATATTGATATCATGGATTACATTGTTCCTGCTACTTGTACTGATGCTGAATTCAGGCAAATGTGGGCTGAATTTGAATGGGAAAATAAAGTTTCTGTCAATACAACACTTTCTGATTTAAGAGAATATCTTGCTCATTTATTAAAATCTACTAACATGAGATGTTTGACTCCAGAAAAGGTAATATTTTCAATATCTAAATTAACTTATAAAAGCTATAGGTTTTTCATATATAATTTTATTAACATTTTAATTTTTTATAAAATTACAGGCTCTATCTGGACAGTGTGGATTCATGGCGGCTAATATGTATGCAAAATCAATATTTGGGGAGGATGCATTAGCAAATTTGTCAATTGAAAAGCCATTAAATAAACCAGATGCTCCAGTTGTTGGTCATATAAGAATACGTGCAAAAAGTCAAGGAATGGCTTTGTCTCTTGGGGATAAAATTAATTCTGCGCAGAAGATCGTACAGACGAAAGTTGTTCAAGCTGCTTAAGTAAACTTCTTTCATAAAAAATTCATTACTGGATACGTGATCATTTTAAGACTAGGAATATGATGATTTAATGATTCATTTTATCATTTCAAATGGCAAAATATGAATTATTACTGTTATTATTATAAACTTGTAATCAATATCATAATATAATTAGGTATGGAAAAAGTGAAGTTTTTACTTTATTCTAATCCATTAAATTGTAACATATTGCCATTATGTTTTTTATAATTTATTAGACTGTAGAAAAATTATTTCTATTTAATCTTTTTTCATTTATATTGGTCTAATGTTTAAAAAATTTTTTTTTCAAGTAATTTGATAAATAAAAATATTTAAATAAGAAAGGATGGAAATATATTTTACCACCGGTTGAAAAAAAAGTAAAATTCTAGTTTGATTCGTATTACTTTTATATATATTTTAATTAAAAATTACTATTTTTATCTTACATTGTATGATATAATTCATTAAAAAATTTTATATACGCATTATATCTTACGTCTTAACAATTAGCTTATTTCATTTCGATTTATATCAAATAGTATTTTATATTTTTCTGATTGAACAATATATGTAAGAAAAAGTAAGTTATCGTTATAACAAATAATTTCCTTAATGACGAATATTAAACTTGAAAAACATGTAAATAAAAAATAAATATACGTACGAAAACTAGAAAAACGTATTATATGAAAACATAATGTAGAAAAAAAATTTAATAATTTATCTAATCAACAATTAACGAAAAAACTTATAATTATCTTAAATAACTTGATAAAAAAGTTATTTATTTTCGAATTTATAATTCAAAAATATTTTTTCATTCTTCTTGTCTCTTCTCTGAACTTCCTTGAATGAAATTCCCTCTACTATTAGTAGAAGTCTATATTAAAACAAAAAATCGTAATTAAAATTTTATACTGAGAAAAGAAGTAATCACCTTATATATTCAATACTTACTTCCATCTTATCACCATTATTAGTTGAATATTTGCCAGTTGATGTTGTGGGCCTTGGCTTACTTTGAGAACTACCAACATTATTTCCGAATTGCTGAGCATACTGCATTTGTTTTTGTTGTTGATTAAATTTGTTATGAGCTCTATTATACTCTTGTTGCGCTAACATATTTGCTACTGTCATACTTGGATTACTTGAATTCATATTTGGTATACTTGGAACGTTCATTGTTGGTAAGTAATTATGATTGGCAGCTGAAAACTGATTTTCGACATAGGAGTACATATTATTCAGTGCTTTATACGCCAGTTCGCGTTGTGCAGTTTCAGAAAGATTTGGATAATCTTTTTTAATCATTTCTAATAATTTATGATGTTCCCCTTGATTCATAAGACTATTGATATTTGTGGTATCCATCATTTGATTATTATATAACATGATTTTGGGATTGAAATTAGGTGATATTTGTGGCATTTGTCTTCGACCTGCTTTTTCTTCTTCATATTCTTGCCATGCTTGTTTTCTTTCTTCATCATTCAATTCTTCTTCAGCTATATTTTCTAGTAAAGAATCATGTTCATGATAAGCTTCAACGATGTCTTTGTGTCGCAAAAAAATTTCAGCAAGAAGACGATCTTTAGGTAATCCCAAAGTATTTGATTTCGGCGGTTCTAACCGATAAAGTTCTGCTAAATCATGATTACTATAATGTCGTTCAATTTGATATTCATCAACAACTCTACATGATAATGAAAGTTTCGTTACTTGACGATTATAAATTTTTTCTTCCATTGTTCCACCAGCGAGAAGTCTATAAACATAACAAGGTTTCTTTTGTCCAAACCGATAAATTCTAAAAATACTCTGTACATCGTGTGATGGATTCCAACTAGCATCAAAGATGACTACTCTGTTAGCTGCTGTTAGATTTATTCCTAAACCTCCAGCACGAGTTGATATTAGAAATAATCTGGCACGAGTATTATTAGGTTTATTAAAATTTCTAACCCAAATAGATCTGTTTTCTGCTGAAGTTTGTCCATCAAGTCTAAAATAATCTAAACCTAGGGACCAACTTCCAGTGTGCTTATCAAGACTTGGTAATTCATTTGAATTTTGTGTTTCATCGTCAATCATTTCCAAAAATTTCTCTATTAAAGTAAGAGAATATAGAGATTGAGAAAATACTAAAACTTTATCACCAATTTGTTCAGCTTCTTTAAGAATATCTAAGAGAATTAGCAATTTAGCTGAAACTCTGACATCAGTATAATGTTCAGGTTTAACAAATTGAGACCACCATTCTCTCTGTTCAATAGGCTCATCTTCAGGAAGAGGAGGAGGAGTATTTTCTTTAACTGGATTGGCTCGCGTTGAACGTTTTATTGGTTTATCATCATCATCTAATACTATTACATCACTTTTATTAGAATCATCACTCGCACTACTAGAAGTATCAGACTCAGAACCATCAACTATAAAATCTTCTAAAGAACCCGCAGAGTCACTTGCTGCTTCACGTTTTTTCATCATTATTCTTTCATGATTTTCCGCATGAAGTTTCATTACATAGGGATGAGTCCATATTCGATGAAGACCTTGAAAATCGACAAACAATGATCCACCAGCACGAGCTGTTTGTTTACGAGCAAAATTATCAAGGTAATACTGATACATTTGACGTTGTACATCAGTTAATTTAACTAAAATAACATATTCCTGCTTTGGCGGAAGGAACGGCGTTAAAACGGAATAATCAAAACGTTGAACACTTCCTTCTAACATTTTGTGTAATACATGAGCTCTTTTTTTCATTATTTTTACATCATATTCAGTTGAATCATCAAATTGTCCATTTTGAATAGGATTAACAAATCTATTTGAAAATTCTTTTTTTGTACCTAATAAATTAGGTTTAACAAACTGAACCATACAATGATATTCAATTAAATTATTTTGAAGCGGTGTTCCAGTTAATACAATTCTTCTTAAAGTTCGTACTTTTCGAATCGCTTTACTAATTGCTGAATCTTCATTTTTTAGTAAATGACCTTCATCACAAACAATTAAGTCTGGACCTGGATCAATGATACATTTTGAAATTGCGTCTTGAACACTTTTTCTAACTTTTCCTTTAATACTGGATAAATTTCGAAACATTTCATAGCCGATAATTAAAATACCACCTGTTCGTTGCCAATTATCTAACTGACATTTTCGTTCAAACAATGTTCTAGCTTTTGTCAGTTCATACAACTCGATATCATCACCATTTTCGACTTCAGTTAGCCAAATTTTAAACTCATTTATCCAATTTAATACTGTACTTAATGGGGGCGACTATAAGAATTGTATTGACACCAGTTTTTTCACTATGGGTTAATAAAGTATGAGCTAAAGTTACGACTTGAAAAGATTTTCCTAAACCCATACAGTGAGCTAAAATGCACCCAGAACCTGAAGTATTTTTAATTCTTTCTAAAGACTCAAAACAAGCATCCCACATAAATTTTATTCCCTTAGCTTGATGTGGTTTAAGTCTTTTGACAAGATTTTTATCAACATCTAATAGAATTTCTTTTGATTCTTCATCAAAATCTAATATTAATTTGTCAACTTTCTCTTCATTTGCTAATCGAGTTTCATACATTTCATTAAAAAGTTTCTGACGTTCTGCCATTCTTTTTAATCTTTCTTCTTCTTGTTTAGCTGCTTCTTGAGTATCTAGCGCTACTTGTTTATCTTTCAATACTTTTCTAATATTTTTACGTCCACTTCCTTTATTGACTGATGTCTGGGAACTATTATGCTCATTATCACTACTATCACTGTCATTCACAACTGCACGTATTCGTTTTCTTTTCGTTTTAACAGTTATTTCTTTAACGGCATCTGAATCAGAATCAGATTTTCTTCGTCTTTTTGTATTCTTTTTATCATTCTTTTGTTTACATTTATCATTTTTTTCTGTTTCAGAGTCAGAATTTGAAGAACTGGAAATTTTAATATCAGAATCATCAGATGTAACTATTCGTCTTCTTTTCGTTTTTTTCTTCTTACTTATAACTTCATTGTCTGATTTATCACTATCAGAATCATCTCTTTTACTATTTGTCCTAGCTAATTTCTTTTGTGCTCGTTCATTCTCTTCTTCAGAATCTGTCTCCAAGAATTTAGCTGTTAAAACTTTACTCTTCTTCCAATCACTTTTATCTGTTTTTTCCGATTGATTATCGTTTTGTTCACTGTTTTTATCTTCTTCATCATTATCTTCTGTGGTACGTGATGATTTTTTGCTAGTGTTGATTTTCTTTTTACGTTTATCATCAGAAGAATCACCCAATTCATGTTCCCCTACGATTTCTACATCTGAGTCGGAACTTTCAAGAAGTTTAGCTTTAGAGAATGCATCACTTTCTTTCATAAAATCTTCAGAGAATGATAAATTATTCATTTTTTTCGATGTGACTTCTGTGTCAGAGTTATCTGAATGGGAATTTTGATCTTTATTCTCTTTTGAATCGACTTTACCAAGATGATCCAACAACGTTTCTTCTGGTAAATTGAATTGTTTCTTTTTTATTTTCAACTGAGTAGTATCTTCTTCATCGCTGAGTACAAAATTGCCTCTCTGATGGTGTTTTTTTTCCAGTTGATCCAACGATATGAGACTGAAAGTAAAATAAATAAATAATAATAAAATGAATAATAATTAATTATTGTGAAAAAGTAGAAAAATTATTCATTTTTTAATGATCATTAAATATTCAATATATATTTATTATTTTGCAAATATGACGTTAACAAAAATAGATAAGTAATCAGTAATAGTTATAAAAATTTATTACACTGGTGTTGTAATTGCCAGTAAATCATTATACCTGTGAAATTGTTTAGTTTCCAAATATTCTCTAGATGATTGTAGTGTATGCGAATGCTGGGATAAAATATTTTCACTGAGGCGTTGAATTTTAACAAAACATTTTGTTCTTAATTTTTGATCATGCTTGTAATATTTATTTTTTGTTATTGTAAATCTACTCTTTAATTTTTTATTATCACTGTTTTTACTAATTACTGTATTTTCATCTTCTGCAGAATCATCTGAAATTAATTCTTTCTTTTGTTCAGAAAGATTATTTATATTTTCTTTATTACTATCTGCGTTACTGTTATCAGTTTCACTGTCAATATCAGATATTTCGATATTTTTTTGTTTTAATTCATTGAGTCTAGATTTTTCTATACCGTTATTAGACAAACGTCGATCAATTTTTGTTTGTTCATTATTTTTTGTTGCTTGAGTATCGCTAATTCCTTTTTCAGTGTTTTCTTTGTTTGCTTGTTTTTCAGAGTTTTCATCACTTACATTTAAAATATGAGTTTCATTATTTTTTTTCTGTCCTTTGTTATTGGTAGTATTTTTTTCTTCCTCACGATCTGAATCAGACGACGAATTTAACAATTTGTTCTTGACTTCGTCTTCATCAGATGTATTAGTATCAGATTCAGATGTAATAAGCATTGAACGTTCACTGTTTTCTTCATTCGTTGATTTTTTTTCAGTTATATTTAATAATGGGTCAGATGTTTTTGGGTTACTATTTTTCGTTTGTTCTTGTGTAGAATTTATTGATGATTGTAATGAATTTTTAGATTGATTGTCTGTTGAAATATTATCATTAGAATCTGATGATGAATCTAAGAGCTTCTTTTTTATATTGGTATCGTCATCCTCTAACTCATTTCTATCTGAGTCTGATGATGAATCTAGTAGTTTCTTTTTTATATTGGTATCGTCATCCTCTAACTCATTTCTATCTGAGTCTGATGATGAATCTAGTAGTTTCTTTTTTATATTAGTATCTTCATCTTTTAACTCATTTTTATCTGAGTCTGATGATGAATCTAGTAGCTTTTTTTTTATATTAGTATCTTCATCTTTTAACTCATTTTGATCAGAATCAGATGATGAATCTAATAACTTATTTTTAATATTATTATCTTTCTTTTTTAACTTTTTTTCAGCCGAATCAGGTGAGGAATTAAGTTGTTTCTTTTTTGTATTGATATTTTCATCTTCTAACTCATTTCGATCAGAATCTGATGATGAATTCAACAACCTTTCTTTAACTTGCTTTTCAATATTATCTTCTTCTTCAGAAGATGAATCTAATTTGTTTTTATTAGATGTTATATCGTTTCTTGGATCTTGTACATCATTTTTATCGGAATTAGATTTTCTGTTCGTAACTGAACTTTCTGAATGGAAGCTGTGATTGACTATTTTACTTTTATCTTCACTAGATACTGGATTCTCTTTGTCATCTTCATCTGAATCTGTAAATAAATCTCCAGATTGATTCAATTCACTCTCACCAGTAGTTTTAGCAGTCTTTTCAACTGTTTGATTATTTGAGGTAACAGAAGTAGTCACTTCTTGTTCAAACACGGTCGCATCACTATCGCTCCTACTAATCTCATCCTCTTTTTCTTTCTCTTTGTTCTTGATATAAGTCGATTGTTTCTCTATACTTTGTTTAATTTTCGGATCAATTAAAATTTCATCAAGATTCACTGCATCAGTTTCTTTTTCCATTTCATCAGCAGAAAAAATCTCTTGCCCATCACAATCGGAAACTTCAGTTGGGGACTTTCGTCCATTATTTGAAGAACTTTTTTCCACATTCTTAGTTAATTTTTCTTTTTTTGCTTCTGATTCTTCTTCAGAATCATTGTTTGATGATGACGAAGATATCACTTTTTTTGTACCGTTTATAGTTGGAGTTTTCCATCTTTTAGGGGTATCAGGTCCATCATTGTTAATAAAAATATTTATGTTATTAGTTTTTTTACACCAATTGTTATATCGATCTACCAGTAATTTTTCACAACTACTAGTTTTTTCCTTTAAATTTCTTAGAATATTTTTACATTCAATTATTGCTTTCGTCGCATCAGAAAATCGCAGTTGTTCTTTATAATAATATGTTTTTCGTGTGTGTTCAATTTCATAAATTAATTTCGTTGATATATTTTGTAAATCTTGAAATAATTTTTGTAAATTATTTTTTAATAGAAATGCTTCATTTTTCGTTAAATTTTTATCTTCATCGAATTTATTTTCATTAGCTGCTGGAGTTCTATCTTTTTCTATGTTACTAATTCGTTGTAAGCAAACATAACTTTCAATTATTTTATGTTTAGAAAATTCTTTTTCAGAAGATGTAGAATCTCCACGTGTTATCGCATTTTGCTTTGTTGATAGATTATTTTTTTGACTATTTCGAACCGTTTGCTTTTTTTGGGACTTTTTCGGTCTTATATTTGGTTTCTGCTTTTCTTGTGAATCTGATGATGATTCATCATCAGAACTAATATTATGTTTTTCATCAGTTTTATTAATTTTAAATTTATGCTTGGTATTAGTTTTAGATTGACTTTTAGTATTTTTGGGAGAAAAATTACTATCAGAATCTGATGATAAGTCAATTATCTCCTTTTTCGTTTTTTTGTTTTTATTTTCGTTTGGTTGAGTGCGAATTTTTTTTACTTCTTGAGAATTCTTATTATTTTCTGTTTGGCGTTCTTTCATTTTTGTGGTAGTTTTTCTGAAACATAATTTCTTCAGATCCATATTGTGTTGTTTTCAAGATATTTTACTTTTTATTTAATACTAAAATCGTTCTTCATTCCGATGACATGAATTTTTCAAACTTCCGTTCTTGTTACGTTTCTTCTTTCATCAAAAATACCTTCATTATTCTTGAAAATCATTATCCCATAAGTTCATCTTAGTGAATATTTTATGAGAAACTAAGTATAATTTTAATAATAATGGTTGCATGAATTAAAAAGTTATTGAGCTCGTGTAATATAATAAACTTAAGCCTAAAACGGAAATTTGAAATTTCTATGTCTTACTACAGTGATAAACAATAAAACTTGATCTATGTTTTCATGAAATAAATTTTATCGCGAACATCAATACAATGTTGTATAAAAGTAATAAAAATAACTAATTACACTTTTTCAAAATATTATTGTTAGTTGTTATTTCGAAAAAATAATTAAACATTCATAATCTAAATAACTACCAGAAATCTAATGTAACAATTGGCTCAATCATCTACAAACATTATGACATTTACAGGGCATGTTATTAAATAGACAATAATTCGTGCTGAATAACAATAAGTATATTTACTCGGTTGCAGAAGACATCATGTAAATATATCAGTCGAGATGATTTTTTGGTAATAATTTATTATAATAATAAATTGATGATGTTTGGATGGTAAACTATTTTCACATTTCCCTCAAGGTATTTGTTACAAGTCCTTTGATAATTGTTTAACGCTACAAAAGCATATTTTATTAATTATTAATCTACAGAATTCTATTATGTTGTAATGTTATAACAATAATTGTTATAAAATGTATAAAAGTGAAATTTCTAATTTTACCTATGTTTTGAAAATATTTTTTTTTTGACACGTAATGAATTTCATTTATTTTTTTCGATAATATCGGTCACAAATTGAGAAAACTCAAATTCTTTGTATATACTAATTTAATAATAAATTGTCGAACAATTAAAAATCACACTTATGTAGATTAAGTTGTTTTGATATTTGATGTTAAAATCCTCGTTAACATTTTTCTGCGCGGTCGTTTTTATGCTTAATGGCGGCTAAACTATCTATAGCAAAGTTTTTTTTATATAGATACACTATAGGATGGTAAATTTAATACCGTCAGTTGATAACAATTTATAGAAATTAAATTACTGCACCCTCTATTTAAAATAAATTGTTTAAACTAATTATGCTGTATATTTTTTAAATTATTACTTGGGAAATTTTCTTTAATTTCATAAAAAGTTAATAATATAAATGTAAATTTTTAATTAGTATAAATAATGAAAAAATATTCATTTAACGCTATGACAATTATCTTTATTGTTCAAATTCATTAAGTAATTTTTAACATTAGATTTAAATTTTTCTATAGAATGATGAATAAAAATACAAAAAAGATTTCAATCTTTAAATCGAAACATAGAGTAATACTAATAATTATAAGACATAATTATTAATTACGATCAATCCAATATTAATGCTTATGATACAATGTTGATTTGAAAAAACAAAACAGATAATTTATATGACGAAGCGTACATACAATTTACCGATATCAAATATACATAATTATTCATTCCCTCATACCACTCATATAAATAGCTACATAAAAATTAGATACTTAAAAATATATAATATAAAAACATAAAAAATGTTTCCATAATTTACAGTTAAAACGTGAAATAAATATTGAATAATAATGATTATATTATCAAGTCTTTTGCTTTCATTTTTTTCTAATACTTTTCAACGTTATTTTCAGCTTACGTTAAATAAAAATCAATATTTAGATCATCAATTAAATTAGTGATAATTTGGAACAAATACTACTAACACGCACACAATTATGTAAAAAAAAAATTATTGCATGATGATTTGTTCTCTTTTACTATTTTTAATAGTATAACAAGAGTTAACTGGAGCATTAGAAAATGGCCTTAGGCCATTTATGGAAGTATTTTTTAGTTTATCGTTTTTTGTATTTCTATGAAGAGATCATTGATATTTGAATAATTTTTTCCTCGAAATATCTAGAAATATTTTTTAAAAGTAACTACATTATAATCGTATATAATAGTTATTGATGAATGATTGTTAATTATAAAATTATTAATTATTAATCAATTTAACTGGCAGTTATTATTGAATAAATGTCGCGTACAACTTGAAAAATCGAACACCTTTATATTTTCATATATTATACTATTAATTAGTTAAGCTGATGAAATTATTGATAAAAAGTCAATCGTGAGACTCTTCTTTAACGATTGTCATTGATAGCAATGACCGGTTCTCGTTGCTTTCATTGTAATTATCGATATTAATATTACAATTGGCTTTAATATCAGTCTTTAGTGTTCCTCGGGTTGTCATATTATTCTGCAATATCTCATCGACGAATTGAATGTTACTGTCATCTTCAGTCTTACCATTTGTGCTTTCTAATAGCGAACAAGTTATGCTAGAATTCTTTGTATTTGTATGAGCATCATTAAAATGTTTATAGAGTTGAACACTTGTGCGAAACTCCATGTCACAATTAGTGATTTTACATCTGTTAATAAAAAATTAAATTTGTATATCAAAATTTTCGTTGATTGACATAATCAATCCATCATGACGTTATTACCGAAATAGTTGATTATTTTTTGGTGATTGCATTATAGCTTTTGAATTAGCATGATTATCTTGGTAGTGTTTCCATAGACTGGTAACATTATCAACTTGTGCTCCACAACCAGGTATTTTACATCTGAAAACGTATTTACAAGTTAAAGACTACAATCATTTTGAATCATTATCATCGAAATAAAACTTACAAAAAAAAACTGACAGTTGATGCTTTATTTTGTTTAGCTTTATTTACTTTTGTGGATTTAGTTTCTTTATTCTCTTGAATCTGTATTTTGTGACTATCTTGGTGATGTCTATAGTGAGATATGTACTTATACATTTTTCCACAACCGTTAATTTCACATTTATACGGTTCTTGTTTGTTACATCTTGACATTCTTTGTTTTTTCGGAGTATATTCTTCATCATCACTGGCAATTGCACTTATTTCTACATTATTTGATTCAATTTTCATGGATTCTCCTTCGAATCCACTCCTGAATACTTTTTCAAGATTCCCCAAATCAATTCTATGTTCTTGTACTTTTTCATTTTTTTCAACTTTATATTCTCCACTTGTACATATTGATTCTTCATTTTTTAAATCAAATTTATTATTAAAAAATTCGTCAGTCATTTCATTCTCTATATTTTTGCCATCATTATTTTCTGAAGTCAGTCTTTCGTTTTTACTTGATGAATAAGTATCAGATGTTGATGAAAAGTTTTTGTTAATAAGAAAATCATTTTTCTTCAGATCATTCGATAAATTATGAAATTGTATCATTTTTTTATCATTGTCCTGATTTTCATCCTCTTCATCAGCATCATCTTCATTACGTGGATTTCCTTCTTCATCAAGGCAAGTACTTCCAGGGCCTTCGAAACAAATTATTTCAGGTTCTGTAGCAAATGTAGGTGGTTGTCTATGACAACTTTCAATATGTTCTTCTAAAATTTCACTAGTATTATGCAATGATCCACAGCTTGTATATGGACAAATAAAAACATTTGTTTCATTATTATGACATTCTTGATAGTGACGCCACATAGAACCTGGGTCCGATAATTCTTTGCCGCAGCCTGGCTCTCGACAACTGTCCAGAATTAAATTGAATTTTTTTCATTATTTTTCTATAATTATACTAAAAAAATATCTTATTTAAATAATCTTACATAAACCGTATTTTCAATTCTTCCAAAGCTTCATGTGTTTTAAATTCATCGTGATTAGTAAATATTTTTCCACATCCTTTTTGTTTACACGTGTAAATTTCCTAAAAGAAGTTAAATACCCAAATAAAATGAGAGATACTAATGATATTAAAATTTGAGCTATTATATTCAAATTTTTTACTATAGCAATTAGAAATTCAAGAATATTCTAAAACGCATTTGTTTTGTCTAAGAAGTCATTGACTTCTACAATCATCAATGGCGTCGTCTAATAAAAAAAAATATAAGATTGTGTAAAGCCCAGCGAACCTTTTTAGGAGCAATTTCTTCAATGGTCCGATTTCGTGATACAAATCTAATCACACTAACTTCGGTTGGACGATCACCACATTCAGTTCCTTGACCCATCTTTATTTCCTATAATTATTTAAATGCACAATAAAATGAATAACTAAGTAAACATTAACCAATGATATAAAAAATGACTAATACGTAGTATATTTATCGATGCATTCACATAACCTGGCTCACAGTTATGTCATATCAAGACAACAAATGAATGAAAAATTCTATATTATATTATTTGTAAATATTAATATAATATTTTGAAATGTTTACCCTTGAAATATATCCGATGACATTGACTAAAAAAATTCACTAATCTCTGTTACATTATTGTAAAATTAATAAAAACAATTATGTACTTGTTGTCATGTCAGTGGACTCGTTTCTGTGAACTATTTCTTACTAAAGACAGCATTGGTAGAATTTTTCTACTACAGATAAATGAGAATCACTGATGGGCTAGGGCGTCCAATGGCCCCTTTAGTAATGTTCTAGGGTGAATCCTGTGCTTCTCACCACACTCTGGATCCTAAACTACATATATATAACTGTGTATTCATGCGCTGTAATCAAACAATGTTTCCACATACACACACATTTTTACTGTAAAGTGTCGCCATCTTAGGATCATTACGCATGCGCCAGAAATTGCCGACCGAAAGCCCAAGCGATGCGCTTTCACGGCTTCTTCAATTTCTGTACAGGTTTGAGAGAGCGTGTTTTGCTTCTCTTTTCCTTTATCTTTTATACTTTCATATAAATTTACTTTATTATCTTCAAAAATACTTGAATAACAGTTTTCAAGAGTTGATAACAGTGACATAAGTTTAAAAGATTGACAGAATTAAAAGGTGAGTTTTTTTTATTTTAAACAAATATTGTGTTTGTCAGAGATATAATAATTACTTTCGACTGTATACACAATTTTATGAGAACTAGTTCAAAAACAAATGATACACAATTTTTCATTATTCTCATAAGTATGTATTTATAACAATTACAACAATAATAGAAGCTGTGTATTTAGATATTTATATCCATTTTGAAGTATTGATCTAACAGCAGTAAGAGAAAGGATTTACATTAAAATCATACAAGACTACTATTCCAGGATGTACTTACTTTATTATATGCTCTTAGGTCTTGAAAGAAGGAGAAAACAAAAAAATAGGTAGGAGGGGTCATAGACTGGTACCGACTTTGTATTGCCTGTTCAACCTAGGTTCAGTTTATTCTGTTAGGGTTGATGTGTGTAGTCATATTCAATCGGATTTTTATAAAACAATAAGACACATACTGAGAGGTATTATTCAAAAGTAAAACAATACACCATAAAAGAAGAATAATAATACTTATTAAATATTTAATTAATATATTGCAAATTTTTAATTAAATATTCATTTTAAATGAAAGTATAATTAGTTTTCTGTGAGTAAGAAATTATTTAAATAATAATAGGAGATACATTAATCACGTAAGGTTTTCAATTTTTCCTCTATAGAAAATAAATATTGGCATGAAATACTGAAATTGTCTTTTTTTATCAGATAAAAGTCTACACGTTTATTAATATTTGAAAAGGAGTTATCAAAGCGTCGCGACGCTGGCATTGGCATATGAACTCGATTGGCGCCATGACCCTTGTCGTGTACAATCTTGAATCTCACACGCTTGTTATGTTATTCTTTTTCTATTCTCCCCTTTTTTCACTTTTCATGTCAGTTATCTATGCTTTTACAGACAAATTCGGAGGAATTAAAATTAAAATACTTAAAAATACTCTTTCACATTTAATCTTCTGCTTTTAAGCATATTGAGTTTTTTCTATTGTATAGAAATAAAAATGAATTTCTCCCTCACTGAATATTTTTTCTATGAATTATTCAAGTTGAAATTATAATTGAATATAAAAGAGAAAATATGGAAAATGATTAAGTGTAAAATGTACGTGTGAGTTTGAAGTTTCTGCACCCTAGATTGTCGTCAAAACAATCTAGGAAAACACGTGCTTAGCATCTGCCGTGTTTTATTTCAATACTAAATCATTTTGGATGTTATTCAATTTTTTTTTTTTATTAGACTTTTAAATTCGAATCACACATCATTTCAATTATAAAAACCAGGCCAAACTTTTTTAAAATTGAATTAATGAAATGAATATTTATATTCATATTATTTCAAGTATGTCTGACTTATGTTCAACAAAGTTGACTTCGTTATTTGACATTTTTGAATGTTTTGCAGGTTATATTGGGAAAAATGAGTCAGACAGACCAGGAAAAAGACACTAGTATGGACAAAAAAGAGATTGCAGAAGAAGAAAGGGAGAAGATGTTGAATGAAGAGAATACGAAACATACGGGACCAGCGCCAGCTCCAGATCTTGAGTCTGAAGAGCAAAAACCAAAGAAGAAAATCCCAATTGGAGGGATAAAAATGCCTGGTTTCTGTCGAACAAAGAGTAAAGAACCTTGCAAGGTATTTACTTTTGTCTATATCTCTTATTAATCTGCTATTTATAATCATTTTCTAAAGTATCATGTAAATTATCTGTTTAATTTTTCAAGCAATGAATGAATCATTTAATCTAATCACTTCCCAGATCACCACAAACGCTTATTATTTTACGGAAACTTCACACAAAATATTTTTTTTAATCCTTTAAGCTGGTTCTCAATTATATCTTATTATTTGTAAAGGATTTTAATTTGAGCCAAAATAACAGGAATTTTTTTTCTGAGTGTAAAACGGTGAGTTCCGGCATAAAATACAATCACGCAAAAAATGAATTTTTAAGTATAAAATTTTTTGCAAGTTTTTGTGGTAATTTTACCCTGTCCTGGGTTGAAGAAATCTATCACACAAGCAATAAAATATGTACAAAAGAAAATGTGCGTGTTAGCTCACGCGTCGTATTCAAACCGGATCGATCGCCAGGTGCCAAGTGTGACGTCAGTTGGGTTTTTTTGCCCTTGTAAAGGGCAGGGGGAATCGTCCCCACATTACGAAAACGATTTAGGAGCCATGAGAATACACAAATAAAATATTGCCCATACATTTTTCGTCATTTTTGTCGTCTTCCCATCTTCTTTACAAATTAATGTAAGGATGAAAGACTTCAAGGAAGTCAAAAATAAAGAAACATTGAAAAATCTGGAATGGTACATTTTTCAAAATTGAGACTTTCCAAAGTTGATAAATGCCATTGCCCTTACGTTTTTATTATCTTTCTGCTTAATTGGCTTGATCTGTCTTATTATGTGCTTAATTGACGAAGAAAGTGGCAATAATGAACGTGTTCGCGCACACTCAAGAAGTTTCTATTATATTTCATGATCTTATATATTCGTTAAAAAAAGATTAATTTAATCCACTGACTACAGCCACATGTTATAGCATATAAGCTCATACTCGTCAGTTTATACAGTGTTCGTAGGCATAAGAAAATGTCACACGGTTTTCTATTGTAAAATATCACATTGCCGGTCCGTTATATGTTTTATTATAATATCATATTCCTTACAAATAATTTCTAGAAGTATTTTTTAAATTATTTTACAGTGAGATAATATTAAAAGATTTTTTGATTAATATTTTAAAAGCTAAGAATCCACATCTTTAATTGTTCAACATTTTTTAATTTCATCTTTTCTCATCATTAAAAAAAATATCTTCTGAAAATTACTCCATAATTATATTTTCCTAAAAAATAATTTTAATAAAAAAAAAAACTTCTACTCAGAAAATCTAATTTCAATGATTTTAAATGAACTTTTAATGCTGAATCATGTTTTTTAATTTTTGGGAGTTCTAGCCTGTATATAATGAGGGTTATTTATAGCCGTTATTCTCTTTAATAACTCCATAACTTTTTTATGAATTTTGTTTCATCTGATCTACGATTTTATTCATTATTTTGTTGGTAGTATTTTGGGCTCACACCTCAATTAAACTTCATATAATAATGATACTATCTGATGGAATTTAAACAACATTAAAATTTCTTTAAAACCCTCGATCAAATTTTTCTTTGAATGGCTGAAATTCATTAGAGCATAAAATAATCTTCTTCCTTTTTTTGACTCACTTCCTGTCGGACATATATCCGAAATGTCGATTACCTGCTTCAGATAATTATATGAAAAAATGTACAAATCATCACATACCTAATAACCATCATAAAAGCGCTATTTCATTTGTTATAGTTTTGTGTTCGGTACTGGTAATTTATTATTTCAGGACGATGTCACTAAACCTTCAGAAACTGGGGGAGAAACGGAGGGAACTGTTGGGGGTACAAAAGAGGAAAATGCAGCAGAGAAGCCAACTACGCCCTCAAAGGATACTAAGGACAAGGACGGACGACGAGGAATTCTGAATGCTATTAGATTACCACTAACTTCCGTTTTTCCTAAGAGGAAAACAAAGGTATTTTTATCTTTCAAATACTACTAAAGAATGTTTTTATGATTTAAATTCTTTATTTTACCGTTCAACATAAAAGTATTTTTTTACCAAAAAAAAGAAAACAGTTAGTTATACTAGAACTTTTTTTTTCTCATAGTTATGCTATACAATATATTTATTTAAAAACTTAAATAAATTAAAGTAATTATATGGCTTAATAAATAATCTTCCTCTATTACACGTTTATATTATTGAAAAAAAAGGTAAATTTAATTATGAATAAATTAAATAAGCGTGAAAAGGCACAGGGCAAGTTGAGAACAGTTTTAAGTATTGATCCGCTTACCTCTAACGTCGGAAGCTTGTGGTTTGGTAGTATGACAGAACTGAATAAGGCAGTAAATGAAGTGAACATTGATTGGATTGTGTGACAGGAAACCGATGTAGAACTTGGCGCAACAGCGGGATTAGCAAGTGTGGAGACCTTAGAAGATGGAGGAGAAAAAGGAGAAGCTGTTGGTGAAGACGGAATGGAAACCGTTAGACTTGATAGTGGAGATGGAGTTGATGATCAAGGGCCCCCTAAGGACCATCATCCACTACAAGACTGGATAGCTGCAGCAAAACGAAATCGATTAGTCACTGGTAAATTAATTTTCATTTTTTAACCAGCTAGAAATTATATAATTGATGACATGAAGGAAAATTCTAAAGAATTAATGATACTAAGATCAGGGGGTTTGGTAGAATGATTTAGATATTTTTAAATTCCTTTTTATATGGTAATTTTTTCTTAGTTAAAAACTTAAAAAATTTGACTTTATTATTGAAAAGTTATTTATTAAAATATTTAAAACATGTTTATTCGAAACCTTAACTTCAATTTTATGTATGATAAACGAATTTTTCTTTTCTTAAAAAAATTCTAAAAATACATTCAAATTTCTAGTAATCTCTTACGATATTCTATAAAAGTATGTTCAAGGAAGAAATATATTTTCTCTAGCTCCTCTAAATTTTAAGCATACTTTCCACTACCCGCTAAATCTTTTTCTTCCCTCAATTATCCAAAAATAAATATTCTCTCTAATTTAGTATCCCTTTTTTCAGCTGCAGTCGTTGCGATTCTACTCATAGTCATAATTATCGTTGCGGTAGCGTGTGCTGGACCACGTAGACTTTATACTCCACCTATTAAAGATGGAAAATACATAGATGCTACTACATCATGTGGTCCAGTACAAGGAGTTCTAGAAGATGGTGGTTTTGCATTCCGTGGAATTCCTTATGCTCTTCCACCGGTCAATAATCTTCGATGGAAAAATGCAGAACCACTTCAACGAATTGAATATTGTTGGAATGGAACTTTGCCTGCATATAATAGTTCTTCTGTTTGTTGGCAACGAGATGCCAATGGTCAATCAGAAGGATCTGAAGATTGTCTTTATTTAGATGTTTTTACTCCTCAAGTCAGTTATCAATCACCGTTACCTGTTGTGGTAATGATTAGTGCAGATACCCTTGATGCAGGATCTCCTGGCATTATGCAACCATCAGCAAAATTAGCTCGAGTTCGTGATATGGTTTTTGTACGGCCTAATTTTAGATTAGGGATCTTTGGTTTTTTAGCAGCCGAACCTCTCTCTCGAGCTGCACATCCTAGGAGCTCAGGAAATTACGGTCTCTCAGATATTATTGCTGTGTTGAAATGGGTTCAATTGAATATTCAACATTTTGGTGGAGACCGAGATTCTGTAACAGTTTGGGGTCATCGTGCAGGAGGAACTTTGGTTTCTACTTTATTAGCAACTCATGCAATTCAAGAAAAAGGCAAAAATCTTTTTGCAAGAGCATGGATATCGAGTCCTAGCGTCGCATTCCCTAATAAACCATTAAATGAATCAGAAAAAGCATCAGAAACGTTCTTAAACGTTATTCAATGTAGAGATGTTGCATGTTTGAGGAGTAAAAGTGCTGAAAATATCATGGATTCTATTCCTGGAAATTGGTATCATAGTAATTATGAACTTCCTGAGTCAAGAGAAGCTTCCAGTCCTAACAAAGATCATGAATGGATAGTTATTGATGGTATAATTGTTCGAGAAGATCCTCTTCGAGTTTTACAGCGTGATGGACCTCCTGTTAAAGTTATTATGGGAACTACAGCTCATTCAATGATTCCTGACCGATTCAAAGATCCTAATACTACTCTAGAAACAACGCAAGTACAAGAAATTGTCAAAGAATCTTTATTAGGGACATATGGTCTTGCCGAAGAAGCTTTGAGGTTTGTATTTATTTATATTTAAAATTTTTTTTATAAAATATTTATTTGATGAAAAATAATGAAATTTTTTTTTAGTCGTTACAACGCTACACTTAAAGGACTGGTATCAATGATCTCAGATATACGAGTTGTTTGTCCTCTTTTCAATTTAACATCATCATTACGAACTGAAGATCGTGATGTACCCTTTTATTTATCAACACAAGCTCCTGGACCTCTTGCAGATGCAGACAGTGATGTAGCAGCAATTCTAGGATCTTACACAGCAAAAACACCGGAAGAAAAACGTCATGTATCAGCCATCCAACAACTTTTTAATCAATTCGTATGGCATGGAAGAATAATCGAAGCTGCTAGCAAACCAGCAAACAGGAAAGTCATCATCGTTGGACAAGACATTCTTCCTGAACGTGAGCATCCTAATTGCGACTTTTGGATAAAGAAGAATATTGTTCCACGGTATGCAAGGCTTGATTAAAAAAATTAATTAAGTGAAAGTTATTTCTAAGGAAATTTACATAAATGATTTGCATCAGAGTAATTTAATTCATGCGATAACATCAGAATTATAATCATAGAACACTATTTGTTGTTCAAGAAAAAAACAAATGACGAACACTTTAATGCTTCAACAAGATATGTTGTGTATGTGTAAATGCTTGTATAAATGTTTTATGAATTGTACTATTAAAATGGCGTAAATGGAAGAAAATAAGACCTAAGATTAAATAAAAAAATATTACGAAAAGGAATAGTATAGAATAACATTAGACAAAAAAAAATATGATGATATGATAGATCATAACTTGAAAAGCTCATTTTTTAAGAACTAAGTTTTTTACGAAATGTTTTTAGAAGTTTTTTTTTACTTTTATACATTATTATCCATACTTTTATAACAACGACGATTAATACTCAGATCTTAGATCAACCAAGAAATCCTTTTAAATATATAAAAGGATAATTAGACTGATTGTAAATGATTCAAACAGTATTTTTTATCCTATCGATAACTCTCTGTTTTATACAAAAAACGACTTTTATATTTCGATAATCATTTCCATACTAATAATATATAAACATACATTTGAAAAATATATTCTCAGATGAAATTACAACTGTTATACATTTGATCTTGCGAAAAATTTACAATAATAAATATTTTGGTGATGCAATATTAATCACTATCAATGTAGTTTATAATAAGAATGACACAGAAAATTTTTTAATGAAATTTTTATTACAAAAAAAAAAATGTGTAATTTTACATAAACTATGTACTATTCCTTAATTATAATCCATGCGCTGCCATTTTTATTGCATACTTATAATAATACTCAATAATACTTAAGATTTTTATTTTATTTATTTTTTCACAAAATTGTGATAATGTAGAATTTACAAATAATATTATGAATCATTAATTATAGCAATTATTTTAAAGCCACTTGAATTTAGGGATGTAGCTATTATAGCAACAATAAATAAAATAATTATAATAAGAAATTATATGAAAGAGAAAATGATTAGGAAAGTTTGCGATAAATCGATTATATATATTGTTATTATAACAATTTAATAATTCAGAATAGTAATTTAATTCATTTCCCTTATAAAAAAATAAATTATTTATTCATACTATTAAAATATGAGTATATGTGAATGAATTAATAAATTGATTTCATTTTTATAATGTGTGTACTAAGCACTTTGTATTACTGTATTAATATTTCTTCAATAAAACTATCAATCTATTGTCCCACAAATAATCCCTCTTTAAATGTTTTGAATTATTAGACAATATAGATAATTTCTATAAGTATTATCATTATTAAAATAATAGCTATTAATTAAAAATTAACATTTTTTTCATTATTCTCTATTCTATGATAATTTGAATAATTATTGATCATCTTAACCCTTTGATTTACAAATTGTGCATTGAAAAAATAAGTTCACCAGCGAAATTAAGAATCAGAGGGAGCTACAGTATTATTTCTGTTTGTTGTTTGCACAATAATAAAATGACGGTTGACGCGGTTCAATATCAATTTTTGGCCACTTAAACTATATATGTATGCATATACTGCCGCCAAATTGTGTATTTCTGATAATGTCTGTTATAATTGTTTTTCATTGTAATTAATTCGAGTTTTTTATAACATACAAAAGTACATTCAGTTAAATTAATAAATAATAATTACATTTATTTTTAACACTTAATCATGCCACCACAATATTGTTTAATTTGCGCTTCGGATGAGGGTATTCTTCTCGACATTTTCTCGAATAACAATTTCCGTGATAACATTGAAACATGTTTATCTTTGAAGGTAAATTTTTTAAATTCAGTATAACATTAATTTTAATACATTCATTTACACAGGATAATATACATATATATGTTTTATGTATAAACATGTGTACAAATAAATATATATACATCAGTATCTTCTATAAAATTGGAGTATTTACTCCAAAATTTTTCTATGATAGTTATTGCGGTGATCCAGTTTATCTACTCATCATACCGTAGAGGTTACTCGTCTATACATATATATTATATACATGTATATATATAAAGATTCAGTGTTTTCTATTTGTTTGAATCTAAAGAAGAACCATTGTTTTTACCAATTAATTCCACTAATGTGATGAGAAGTGAATAAAAAATAATTAATAATTTAATTTATGATTGTAGACAAAAAAATCAGATCTTCCTTCAACAAAAATATGTCACAAGTGTGCGTACGAGTTAGATCAATGTAGTAAATTTGTAAAAAAATATAAAAAGACGCAAGTAGAAAATGGTATGCTTTACAAAAAACATGGATACTGCAGCTTATGTATGGAACCTGGTCGAAAAGGTTTAATATTTGACTTGATCAACGAAAATCCATTAAATAATCCACAGGAAAAAATTCATCGTCTATTTCACATTGATGTAAGATAATTTTTTTCTAATTAAATTTATGTTTTATTATTTAACTAATTGTGATATTTATTAGTTTGTACAAGGAAATTTTTCAAATTTATCAATCTGCTTGGATTGTCGTTATAATTTGGATGTATTGTTTGATTTAAAATGCATTTTAACTGACCATTCTGATCATTTAAAAAAAGTTCTCAGCGGCGAAATTAAATCACCAAACATGGAAAAAGTAAGTAAGAAATGTATGATTGATTACTATTGGAAATACTTATCGACAATGCATTTTAATTTTTTTGAATTCTTTTATAATAATAGATAAGAACTAATGTAGTACGGCGAAAAACTACGTCAGTAAAATCATCACCAACTAAATTCACAAAAGATACTTTATCAGATATGGACAGTGATACAAGCTCAATATCAGAAAATACTCCAAGAAGATTACGATCTAACGGCTCTAGTTCATTTCCTTACGAACGACAATGTGAAGAATGTCACGCAAAAATTCCAATTGGTGATGATATGTTTCGTTATCATACCTCAGGCCTCACAGTTTGTAGACAATGTTGGTTAAAAATGGATCCGAGTGATAGTAATCATGGAAAGAGACGCAAAATTAGCACTGAGACAAAACTTTGTTGTGTTTTTCTTAAAGATATTTTTACATCTTCTGATAACAAACCATCAACTATAGAGAAAGATGATAATTCTGATTCTATATATACAATATCTGATGATAGTACAATGGAAGAAAGCAAACCGGGACCGAAAAAATCTAAAACGATATCAAAATCTAAACGAAAAAATAATCAAAATGATTGTAAACCATTAAAAAAACCAAAAAAGGATTTAAATTTGAAAAAATCTACTCGAACTAGAGCAAGCAGTGTCCAGATTGAACAAATAGAGAGAAAATGTTTACGTTCTAGTCGAGCTAAAAGTGTCGAAGTAGTTCGAGTTGTTGCAAGTCGTCAATTGCCTGAGAAAAAAAATTCATCTGAAACAAACAAGTCTAAGTCTCAGAAAAAAACTAATGAAGTGTCAAAACTTAATTCATCATCAGAGAAAATAAATAAAAAAAATATATCAAATGCTACGAATCGTGGCCGAAAACGAACTAGAAATAAGTCAAACTCTTCGATTTCAAGTATTGAAGAAAGTAGGTCATCAAAGACAAATAAAAAAATGAATAAACTAAGCCATCGCAAAGTTGAAAGTGATAGTGAAAATAGTCGTCCATATACTTGCAATATTTGTCATAATGATTTTGATAATCGAGTTGATGGCTTAACTCATGAGTTAACTCATTCAAAAAGCCTTGAAGTTATTTTAAAGAAGGTTTCAATAACTGACAATACTGAAAATAAATTAAAGAACAATGAAACAGAACGAAATGATGAAATTTCAGATGTTATAAATGATGTAAATAATGAAAAAGAGGTTGATCCACTTGATACCGAGCTATCAGAAGAACCTTCGGCAGACAAGTCATGCAATAAAGATGTTGAAAATGAAATTCATAATAAAACACAAACGGCTGACAATATTTCAAAAGAATGTGAAAATAATAAAACTAGTAGCAGTAGTGAAAATATTGAAACAATAAACGATGAAAAAAATGATAATAACCGTAATGAAGACAATGACGAAAAATGTAATAATAATGATAGTAAACAAAATAATGGTAGTAATAGTATTAAAAGCATCAGTAAAGATGAAGAAAAAGCTGATGATAATGAGAAACATGAAGCTAAAGAAGATCAAAATGAACAAAAAGATAGTCTTATAGCTGTTGATACTTCTAGTGACAATGGTAATATAAGTCAAGAAGATCACAAGAAAGATAATACAGATAACCATCATTTTACGTCTACTGACAGTAATGTAGATGATAGTATATGTGAATTTAAAGAAAAAACAGATAAAAATAATGAAAATGTTGATGAGAAAACATCAGAAAAAAATACAGAAAGTACGTCTGATATATCATATGATAATAAGAATTTAGTGGATCCCGATAAGTGTGAAGAGAATGAAAAAAAAGAGGAAACTAATAAAATAGAATCAGTTATTAATAACATGGATGAAAACAGCCACATAAAAATAAATGATAATAATGAGAACGATGATAGTGTAAAGGAAGGAGAGAAAAAAGATAAGAAAGAAAAAGAACAAAGTGAAGAAGAAAGAGAACAAAGTGAGGAAAAAGAAGAAAAAAGTGAGGGAGGAAAGGCACATAATGAGGAAGTAAAGGAGAAAAGTAAAGAAGAAAAGGAAATAAGTGAGGGAGAAAAGAAAAATGGACAACTTGAAGATATTAAAGAATCATCACAATGTTTTGCATGATGAGACAATTAATGATTCTTTAGCAAATAATAAAGATGAGACTTCACTCAATGATGAAAATGTTGATGATGAAAATGAAAATGAAGAACAGTTAGCTGACAAAACGGTAAAAAATGATAAAAATTGCAGCAATGAAACTTTGAAAAAAAATATATCCGATAATGAAGACGAAGGAGCATTAATAGAACAAGAAATGGAAAAAATAAGAACTCACATCAATGATTCAAAACAAATCGAGCAAGCAGATCTTGAAAATATTGAGAATAGTGTGGAATTAAAGATAATAAGTAATGATGATAAATCTTTAAGTGAATTAAATGTAACGAATAGTGAAAATGGTGAAGAACCATAAATATCATTAGTAATTTTATATATTAATTTTGTCATTGAAAACTTTTAAATCACACGTCATGATATAACATATGAGCAGACAAGTTTTTATATCATTAAAAATTACTATTGTTGAATGGATTCTTTATTTATTGTTAATAATTTTAAATAATATCATAAAGTACTGTTTATACAATTGTACTCGATAAAAAAACGTGATTTAAATTATTTTGTTTTATTCTTAAACCGGGCGGTAATAAAATTTTTAAAAAATTATAAATAACTTGATTTGAATTTGATTTTTTTTCATGTCGATGAAATATTCGAATGTATTGTTTTCCGTTGAATGCAATTAATTCATTTTAAAGTGTAAATAAATACGTGAAGAATCTAATTACGAAATTTAAAAATCGTAGCAAAAGTAAAAATGAATAAGTTTATGATAGATCGACTATGATTCCAAAAAATTTTAATTCCAATGTCTTATTGCGTTAAAACTTTACAGTAAATAGAGAATTGATTTGTTTGAAATTGGTCGAAATCAAACAAAGTAATTTTCTTTCCAACAATAAATTGCACGATAAATGAGAATGAATTCATAACAGTTTATAATGATTATTATATTATTACGTAATACTATACTCGATAGTATAATTTAGAACATTTAAATAATATTGCATAATATTTTCTTAAGGAGTGGACACATATGTGAGTGAATTGAATTTGCGTGTGAAGCACTTATTTCCAAAATCTTTATATGTACATAAATTGTATTTAACTATATATAAGAAATATAAATATTAATAATTAATGAATAATGATTAAATTTAAAAAATACCTACGTTACTATTATTTTTAACACTTTAATTGTTTAGCATGATTTAAAACTTTTATTTCCGCAATTAGTAGAGCATAATATAAAAAAAGAAATAATACCATCACTTTACTATAGACGATCTGTTATTTATTGTTAAGCCGTAAATACCATTGCTTAAAACAAAAATACAATACAGTAACGTCACTTAAAATAATTAATTATTAAACAAAAAAATTAATTTGTAACACAAAATTACTGAAAAAATAAAATTAATAATTTTTTTTACAACATTTACAAAACTTTGTAAATTATTTAAGCTTTAACGCCACGAGTTCTTGGTTCAAGTCGAACTTTGAATCCTTCTGCTCTCTTAAGAATAATATCAGCTTGTAGTCTGAAGTCAGATTCTTTGATGTCTGATCTAACACGGTAGTTTCTCAAGATTGTTGCAAGAAGAATTTTCAGTTTAAGCATGGCATATTTACGTCCTACACAAGATCTTGGTCCTGCAGAGAATGGAATGAATGCATAGTAGTGACGATTGGCTGTCTTTTCAGGTAAGAAGTTATCTGGATTGAAAGTATCCGGATTGGGATAGATATGGGGTTGACGGTGCATCTTAAATGTACCAATAACGACTGTACAGCCAGCTGGTATGACATAATCACCGGTTACTGAAAAAAAATTCAATATCAAATGAGTTGTATGTCATGGTATAGAAACATTTTGTGCGCCAATAAAAAAATTTTTTTTTACCGAGTTTAAGGTCAGTATTGATTTGACGAGCAATGATGGGTACAGGTGGATACAATCGAAGAGTTTCCATCAAGCATCTTTCAAGGTATTTCATTTCCAATGTATCTTGGAATGTAACTGGTCTGTCACTATCACCGAATATTTCATCTAATTCTTGAATTACTTTTTCTTGAATGTCTGGATGACAGCCCATCATTGACAAGAAGAAACTAGAGCCAGCAGCAGTTGTGTCATGACCCTGAAAAAAAATTATTATAAATCTAATGACAAGTAAATATAAAGATTTAGCTTAGTAATAAAATTATTATTACCTCGAACATAATAGTATCAACTTGCTCTTTAACTTCTTGTTCAGATAAAACGTTTCCGTTTTGTCCAGCTTCCATAAGAAGATCCAAGAATGCCAACCTCTTCTTTTCGCCAACATCATTATCATCAACATCAAGATCATCCTTCAATCCTGCTGATTGACCGAAAGAAAGTCCTTCAACGCTAGTAGCCTTAAAAATAAAAATTTTTTAAAGATATTTATATGCCGCAAAATATTTAATTTAGTTAATTTATTCTTTTATTTACTTTAGTTTCTTTGGAGTCCGATGTGCTGATAAAGTTACGTTTTCCGGCTTTAAAGTCTTCCTTTTTCTTTTGGATTACTTTTTTTGTGAGACTGTGAATGATGTCTAATAATTGGATTTGATCTTTTCCATATTTCGTAAGATTGAAAAGCCAGTCCGGTCTCAACCAAACGCGAGTGTGACGCAAATGAAGGATTTCACTCATTCTAATTGTAATAATTGCAAATGAGTAAAGTTAAATAAAAATTGCATAGTAAATAATAAAATTAGATCTTACTTCATTACAGCCATGGCATATTCAAATCCGCTTCGATCTTGTGTAGTTTTTGACACACCCATTGCAGTTTCTAATAAAATTTCGACTGTTGTCTCAGACATGTAATCATGACAATCGAATTCTTTGCCTTCTTCTTTGCGCATTTTTTCAACAACGGCTCGGGAATTAGCATTGAATAAATCAATGAAACTCTTTAATACATTCAAATGGAAAGTTGGAGCAATCAATTTACGATGAGCTCTCCATTTTGGTCCTATAAATGAAAAATCAACGATTTATTTTGCTTCATTTGTTAAAACTATTTTTATATGGTAGCTTAATAATGCATAGTAATTTTTGGATTTAAAAAATACTACTCTTGAAAAATGTTAAATAATATAAAAAACTCATAAGGAAGAATTAGAGGACTAGAGTTTAAGATTAAGTAACCAATTGGCCGAGATATAAGAGAAAGCATGTTCCAAGATTGCAGTCAAGATTTCTTCCTGGTTAAGCCGCATTTCACTCTCTATTAGAATGATGGCAATATACATACTTACGACGAGTATATTTATGTTACATATCACACTACTTTTCCCTTATTTATACATTTTACATCATAGAGATAAATGAATACGTAAAGTCTTTACCAGTTGAAATAAGGAGTCCATTACCAAGCCATGGCTGGAAAAATCGGTACTCTGCTGATTTATCTATGTAAACGTGACTAGAAAGAATGACTTCAACATCACGTGGATCAACTAAGAACACCAACAATTTTGGTCCAATCCATAGTCTTACAACTTGATCAAATTCAAATGAACGCCTCATGATGTTACGGAAGATGCCTACAGTAAGTTAAAGGATCAGCATTTCCAGTCATTTAAAGGTCATTTGGGAAAAATGATTTAAAAAGGATAACTTACTGTCAGGACTTCCCATGAATTCGGCTGCATTACCAATAAGTGGAAGTCCAGGAGGACCAGGAAGTTTATTTCCTAATTCAATTAAGTGTCGTCGAGATATTCTGTAGTAAACAAACCACAAAACAAGTGCTGGAACAAGAAGTGTTAAAAACACCGAAGATGCTGACATGCCAGTGGCGGCTGTTGTTGCCACTGTGCCAGCAACTATTTCCGGACCGGCTGCAGACATTTTATGACTTTAATTTCCCTTTACAATATCTGCAAACATATACACACGTTTAAACTAAATTATTAATAGTATTTTTAATCGTTTGATAAAACACTTATTGTAAAATTTTCACTAACAAGTGTAAATTAATCAATTAAAACTTCAAAACTTTTTCAATTCTTTAATAGTGGCTGTAAAACTTTAAAATTTGAGAATCACCCACCTACAATAAAGTAATCCAAAAGAATTGGACGAATTTCAATAGACAAACAACCACCGAACTACTTACTGCCACGCACTTTGAGGCTTTTATAAGCATGTTCCTCACCTATTCACGTTTTCTCCCTCTCCCTCTAATTTTTCACCTAGGCCAGAGGTTGCTCATTGTGATTAATAGATATGCAATCACGTCAATTGCAACCAATGTACATAAAATTTTTAATAGAATACAGCTACTTCTATTATTAATTTTCTATTTTTTTAAATTATTCATAACTATTTTGTCAAATTCATGCTCATCAATCATACAAATAATTCATCAACATGACAATTTTTTGCAATGGCTCCATCGATTTTGTATTAACAATTATTGTTATTTAATCAACTATGCTTTTTTAATATTTAAAAAAAAAGTAGTTTAATTAAAACATAATTGCAAATTAAAGGAGATTCATTTAAAGAAAATATCTGATTCATGCTTTAAATATTATTTGGTGTATAAATCATATTTAAATGTTTAAATTTTTGTGTGAAATGCTGACGAATCATTAATACTTGAATTTTGTATGATTTAATCATCAGAATAAGATTATTAGCACACAATAATATTTTACGTTTGCATTTTAACCGACAATGTAAATACATCTAAATATTTTCAAGTTTATACTCGAATGCATCTCATACGTATTGAATACTACTTTATTCCTTATTCATGAATCCTTCTTTAATAATTCCGATGACACATAATAAATTGTAATCAAAAACCAACATGACTACGATATCTGTTTCATAAACATAAATTTAAAAATTCATCCAAGAACAATAACTTTTTTTCCTCTATTAGCTTAAGTTTACTTCTGAACACATTATGAGTCGTCTAAAAAACCATCAGCATATTGTGGATGGAAATTTTTTTGGAGTTCAATAAGCTGAAAATAAATAGAGTTCATTAATTATAGATTATTTATATTATATAATATTTATTATTATAATTATGTAGAAAGTTTCAAAAAAACTCTAAATAGTTTGATAATAACTCATATAATTTACAGTGTGAGCAAGCGGTTTCCATAGCAACAAAGTTCACTATTCAGCAACTTTGTGTATTAGGATAGCATGTAAAGCCATTACTAGGTCAAAGGGCTCCTTCACGTATGATATCGTTAATATACGTATGTGTTTCATCATACCCAACTATTTCCGATGTATGCAGAATAAGGCATTGAAAGTGAGAGTAAAGGATTTGAGTGACATCAAAATTTTTACTTTTTATTGAAAAACAACCCTCATAAAAGCCTTCTGGTAGATATTTATATAAAACAGACGGCTGATTTTGTGACTCCCTCTACATATGCGATTGTCCAAGTATCAGGCAAACACGAAGTGCTACAGGGTAAAAATTTCCCTTTTACAGTACATGAGAAAGTCATCATAAGTATGAAGAATGATATCTGGAAGTTGGATGGAATTTTTTTAATAATGGAAATGAAAAAAAAAAAAAATTTTAATTAAAAATACCTGCAAAATTATTGAGGAAAGACTGAAATATTTGAATGATCATATATGTTCATAATGAAATGCAATTATTTCGTTGTATGTACGTGAGCATACACGTGGGAATTTCGTTTATAACATTAAAACGCATTAAAATGATTACAATCACCGGATATCCAGGTTATAAGACACTATTGACCCTCAACTCATCGTTGTTGTGCTCAAAGTGATATCGTCGTTTCAGAGAAACCTGATAACTCCGTTCAAGTTGTTCTCAAATAAACGCAGATATAGTTGAAAAAGAATAAAAATAATTTCGTTGTAAAAACGTATTAAAATTGTACGTTCTATTTCAACCTATGTTTACATATTATATTATGAGTATCTTATATAATTATATTTATTTTGTTTTTTTTTTTTTCATAATAATAAATTTACTAATTCATACACTAGTATAAACTGGTCATTATATTCTTGAGTTGACTTTTACGAAATCGATATTTTATAAATCAACTTAAGTTGATGAAAAGCGTATGAGTATTCATTTTCAAACGTATAATATATTTTATTAATCTGAGGTTAATTACGATATTTACTCAATTAATGTATAAAGTGATGAAAGATGATTTATTTGTGTAAGAAAAATGAAAGAAATTATTTTATATTGTTTTCCAATTACTATAACTTTGCTTTATAATTATTTTATTATTATTTCAACTGTTATTTGATTTTGGGAATACTGTTAAAGTGATTGTTGATAAAGAAGGTTACATTTTATTAATAATGTTTTTTTTTCATTGTAGAGGGCGTCTTGGTGTTCTGTCTAAATCAGTATGGCGTTGCAAAATGGCTTCTGACGATGGTAGTTTTTCTACATTTTAGTTCAGTTTAGCATTTTCGTTCAGTTTACTGTAAAATTTGCAGTAAAAATTAATATAAAATTATAAAATTTATAATATTAGTGTTGCTTAATTATAAAAGTGGTAAAAATTAACATAAGGTATACGTTTGATTTCTCTTTATGTTTTAGTGTAGATAATCAAGACTAAAGAACAAATGTTTGTTCAACCATTTGTCTATTGTTGAGCTTTCATTTTAACATTTATATGTATATTTTGATTAATCGATCAAAAATTAATTATAATTACTATTTATACACAATTAAGTGAACAGTCAGTAAGACAAAATTTTCTTATATATAATAAATCAATAATTCATGGTTAAACCCTATCAGCTACAGGAATGATTTGTCAATGTCATTTTTGTCTGATGTTTGGGGTAGCCTGGTGAATAGTACTCTAAAAAACAAAAGAAGTCATAAACTACCAAACAAATAACCATTACTTAAAGATATAAATCACAGTAAATATTTGCAAACGAATAAATAATCACCGTATTAACGATGATATGTGAGAGGCTCCGAACTGCTAACATCAATGCAAATGTCCAATTTTCATTGCCATTCTTGTGATATGAATGGTTTCAATTTGATTGGACTTTGGACTCATTGGTGAAAGCGACGTAGCCATACGACACGCTTCTTCACATCTTCATTTATTTCATGATTCTCATAAACAAAAAAATAAAACTAATTATTACTATAAACACTAAACGTAGTATATTTAGCTATTTGCCATAGGCAATAATGCCTATAATATTTATTAATCCTATTGTTGTGTAGGTAATGATCACCTAATAATTGAGTATTTTTAGCAGAAAATGAATCCCCACGAAGAAGAAAATACTGAACCTTCAATGAAGAAACGAAAGATATCTGAATGTCCATTCAAAAATGGCAACGTTCCGGTAGAGTTATCACAAGGTATTTTCATGAAGACTAATTGTCTAAATAAGAACAATGAAGAATCAACATCCGAAGATGTTTACGATGATCAACAGTACCGAAATAAAATTAATGGAAGTATAGAAAGCAATATAGAATATAATGATTGTAATAATCTTAGCAAAAATGAAGAATCACCTAGTTCAGAAATGGATGAAGGTCCTTCTAATGATGATTTACGACAATTTGATGTACTCGATGATCTTGATCATCATTCAGATCAAGAAGGATCGAGGTGTGATTCGGACAGTAATGATAGCATCGACTCTGATGTTCCTGATGAAGAAATTGAAGCCATGTTAGATGAAGGTATGATAGTGAAATTTTTATTAATGATTTTCAGATAATTTAATTGGTATGATCTACTATTTCAGGACTTCCGGATGAATTTAAAAATAAACGAAAAGATCGTGGTGATTGCATGCCGTATGAAGAGAAAGAGAAATTAGTTTTAGATGGTAAGAAAATTGATTTGTTACATAGGTCCGTTTTAATAAGAAATAAATATGTATATATGATTTTTTATAGAAATTGGTCACAATCATTTCGATGTTTTACCAGAAGGTTGGGTTCAAGTAACACATAATAGTGGGATGCCTCTGTATTTACATAAACAAAGTAGAGTTTGTACATTAGCAAAACCTTATTTTCTTGGACCAGGAAGTGTTCGTAAGCATGAAGTACCAGTAAGTGCAGTACCTTGTCTACAATATAGACGAGCATTGCAAGAAGAAGAAGAAGAAAAACAAAAACAAAAAGAACGAGAGTCAAGTGGTGTTGATACATGTAGCTTTACCTAGTGCTAAAATTGAAACTATTCAAGAAAATTTAGCAGCCCATTCACTTGACAGCGAACGATTACGTAATTACTGCCAATCACTTTTTAGGTTTAAAACAATTAAAGTCATGAGATTTCAGTAAGTTTACTTTCAATTGAATTTTTCAAAAAATGATAATTTCAATGTTGTAAATATTAAATGAAATTTCTTAGGTCATGGTCGGCACGAAGAAAATTCACTAAAAATAAGAAAAATCGTAAACAATTGGAAAGACCAACGTTACCTGATGGTACAAAATTGATAACATTCCCTATCGGTAGCGGCACAGGTTCAACAAACGGAAGTCCAGGTACCGGTGACGATAATGTTGGTCAAAGACCTCCAAAACATTGGATCATGAATCCATCGGGAAAAAGTTATGTTTGTATTTTACATGAGTATGTACAACATGCTCTAAAAAAGCAGCCAACATATAAATTCAAAGAGTTAGAAAATGCTGCCACGCCATATTCAGCTATTGTTTGTATAAATGACATGGAGTACGGAAGTGGTTTTGGGAGTAGTAAAAAACAAGCTAAAGCTAATGCTGCCAGAAAAACTTTGGAGATTTTGATTCCACAAATGAGAGACAAAATCTCAGGTGAAGTGGCCGAAGATTCAATGAATTCCGGTCGAACAATAAAAGCATCAAGGAGTAATTCTGATGCAGATTTATCATTTTTTGATGAAATTTCAATCACTGACCCACGAGTGGCTGAGTTTTGTGCAAAAACAACAGAACCTTCTCCGCATGCTATTTTAATCACATGTTTACAACGAAACTTTGGTCTTGGTGACATGCACATAAATTATTCTGTTAATACTTTGAAACATCAAAGAAATGAATTTACCATGAGGGTAGGAAAACATGAAGCGACTGTGGTACGTTAATTTGAATCTCAAATATTCCATTGAAGTTTAAATATTCTAATGAAGTGTGATTAAATAAAACAATTTATTGATTCTGTTTAGGTATGTAGAAATAAAAAAGATGGTAAACAACGGGCTGCACAAGCAATCCTACAACGTTTGCATCCTCATATTCAATCGTGGGGATCTCTTTTACGTCTTTATGGATCTCGAAGTGTTAAATCTTTTAAAGAGAAGAAACAATTGGAACAAGAAATCACATTATTGCAAGGAAAAGCTGCCGTAAATCAACCAAATCATGCAATTTTAGAAAAATTACGTCAAGAAATGAAGAAATTATCAGAGCAACGTCAAGCAATACAGCCAATTGGTAAATTTATATCACCCGATCTTCCAACTGGATCTGCTGCCAATTTAAATAATGTTGACTTGTAGTGTAACTAGTCAAAGCCATCTAATATAGATGTTTAAGTTATTTTTTATTTATAAATAATATAATTCATTAAAATTATTAAGAATTCTATCTAGTACGTGAAAACCGTGAGACTTACAAAGTTGTGTAGCTGCCAATAATAGCTAATACTAGCCTGTTAATGTTAACAAAGTTTACTTGGGGTGAAAAAAAAACACAACTCAATTTCATTTAGTTTAATGATAATGTCAAATGTTATAGTTTTTACATTAATATAATTTTTTGTCTAAGCATTGGTTAACATTTAATTAATTAATTGTAAAATTGGTAGATATTTCATTTTTTGAAACACTTTACATTTCAGTATTTCTTTTTTTTTTAAAGAGCTGATAGTTTTTAAATATTTCTTTTACAATGTGTAATGGGATTTAATTTATTACATAATTAAAAAATCAATGATGTTATCATAGTGAATTTCATTTTAGATAAAATTTATTTAAAATTAACAACTTTTAACTCATTTTATACTTGGTTCACAATAATAAATCAGTTTATTGTTTATTTAATGATTCTGTAATTAATTGTTTATCAATAAAGTGAAATTTTTTAAAATTGAGTATTACAAATAAATTCTCATAAAAAATAATTGAGATATGTATTTTTCATTTTTTCCTACGAAAGTAGATCTATTTTTTATCATTACTATTTTAAAAATAAATGTTAAATGATAATATGAATATTAAGGTTCACTTATTCTGTACGATAAAATTAATTGTAATGTTTTTAGAGTAATTTAGTAGTTTATTTGGCCTAAAAAATTTATTGGAATGTAAACAAAACAAGATTCTATTGTTATCTTTTTTCAATACTTGATCGGTAATTTTGAAGTTGAAGACAATTCATAAAATAAATTTCCCTATTTTACTTACTTTTGTTCTACTGTTTTCAGTACGTATACGTTAGTTTAAGATCTATATGTCAAATTTTGTTTACGTAATTCTTACGGTCATTGAGAAGTAGAATATATTTTGGCTAAAATTTTAATCAACACTTTTTCGATAATAAAGAGATAAATAAATAATTTAACTATTTATGACCGAAAAACGCGACAAAAATTCTAGGTTTAATCATATTATTATTTGTTCTCAATAGACTAGATCTAATGTTATATTATTATAATGTCTGATCTATTTAATCAATTTTACTCTTCATACCATGGTAATTGTTAAACATAAAATGTATATAAGAACAACATAAAGCTAATAAAAATTTATCACTCAAAACATGTAATTTATATTGACGTATCATTGGCACCGTTGCCCGAAAGGGCCATTTTTGATAGACTAGAGAGACTTCTTCGAGGGCTGCTGCCTCCTAAGAGATTACCAGATGTCTCAGAAAATATTTTCCGAAAGCTGAAATAAATATTTTTGTTTTCTTATTTGAATCAGAATAGTAAATAGCTATTTGTAATAATTATCTAAATATTTCAATATACAATTTGCGAATTCCAGATTCAGATGATTTTTTCCATGGAGCATCGTCTGGTTCATATGGTAATGGTCCTTGTACAGGAGCCTCTTTATCATCCTCTGGCCTATAAATAATGAATTTATGAATATATTAAATCTTAAATTTGAATATTATAGCAAAAAAATGCATAATTTAACTATGCAATTCCCAAGCGTGGTTAGTATTTGTTTTTGTTAGTTTAATATCAAAATCTTCAATTAATGATTTTTATTTTTTGCGAAAATGGATATCAAATAAAAATTATATATGTATAGTTAAAGCATATACAAATCTTACGTATAAAAATTATTTCTGCGAACATTTCGCACAAAATTGAATAAGATGGCTGGTTGACTGCTGTTTGATTTCGCAGCACAATGAACATCAGGAAATATTGAGAATATCACGAGAATCAAGCCACCATGTGGTGATAAAATATATAAAAATTAAAATTAAAAAATTTCGAAAATTAATCGTTGATTAATTAAAATGAATAAAAAAATAAATATAACATTGAAATATTTGTTTTATAATCATTATATTTAAGATAAGTTTTTAATTAAATAGCTTTGATTTTTGTCATTCTTTGATATTTTTTTAGAAAAAAATACTACTTACGTTTCAGGTTTTGGACGATATATCTCAAGTTCATCTTCAAGATCTGATACCCGAGCTTTTAATTCATTTCGTTCATGCAAAATTTCTTTAAGCTCAGCAGTAGTGAATCTTGGTCGATCTGGATCATCTAGATCATAGATTACTTTATTTGTAAGGTCCGGACATCCTTGAGATTTTGATAAATCTTCATTTTCTTTGCGTGCTAATCCAAGTCGAGCTCTCAAATTAATTAATTCTCGATTTTGATCTTGTAATTGGGCTAAAAAGTCAGCACGTTCTTCAACAAGACCTCGTGCTTGCATTTGTGCTTGACGTTGTTTACGTTTCAGTTCTCTGCTGACTGTACTTAGCTTTTCTACTTGAACTGTTAGCTAAAAAAATATTAATGTAATTAAATGAATTATTCTTATTGATCATTGAGAAAAAAGAGGATAATTAATAAAATAAATGTAATGAATTTGGTTACATTTTCAATTTCCATATTTTTTTGTGATAATTCACGATCTCGAGCGCGAATTTGATCTCGTTGTTTATCGATCATACTTCTTAATCGTTGTAAGACAGCAATATCAACTTCTTGACTTGCTGTAAAGGCTATAAAAAATTTGTAAAAAAATAACATCTATATGTAAATATACATGTGGGTAATTTTTTATAGTTTAATTATAACAAGTTTTCTTGTTTTTGCAAAAATACTTAATCGCTACAAGCGTATACTCCAAAAGCGTAAAATCACCCACATGTTAATTTGATTGTAAAATATATTTACATACATACATAATTTTTAATAGTTGTTAATATGATTGATAACATGAATATTTGTTCACTAGTAAACTTGATTGAATTGGACTATGATCTTCCACAAAATACACAAAAGAACTACTTGTACAAATTTAACATAAAATTAAAATAAATTTGTTTCAAATGTTTTTATCATGCTATCAAGATTAATTTTTGATGTTAAATAATCATTTCTCAATATATATTTTCGAGAAATGAAATTGTTAGTACTTTGTTTACCGCTGTCCTGATGATTATCACTTCGAGATTCTTGTAGAGCTTCTGCAAGTCGTCGATTTTCTTCTTGCAATCTTGTAACCATTCCAACAAGATCTCTGGATTCTTGTCTCCAATGTTCCTCTGTTTGTTCAACTTCCTATCAAACACATACACTTTTAACATCATTTATTTCAGGATGATTTCAACGGATTAATTAATCATACTTACTTTTTCGAACCTTTGTCGATCTTCCGCTTTTCCAATTTTGTCATTCTCTAGTTGTGAAATTTTCGCTGTTAATTCTTGCACAGTTGTTATTTCCCGTTCATTTTTAGTTGCAAAATTTTCCAGTAGCTCCAAAGCATTAATTACCTTTGGCATGAGACCGGTTACAGCCTCAGCACCAAAGGTATCAATTAGTTTCTCACATTCTTTGCCAATTTCCGATGCAATATCATATACATCTACAACAGATATGTCTGAAACTGCTGAATACTCCTCCATTTCACTTGTTCGATGTGTTCTCAAATAAAGAGGCATTTAATGGCAATTTTAAAACATCAGCTGTTTAACTGGGCTACGTTACTGTTTTCACCTATAATTAACACACCTAGCAGTTATTCTTTTGAAATAAAAAATTTTATGATTACGACTTATATTTTATAATCTGTTATGCCGGTGACTCATTATAACAAAAAATGTATGTAATTCATGTTATGAGTAATGATTGTATCATGTATAAAAAAAATTCAATGAAAAAACTAGAGAAAAGGTTCAATCAATGTTATTATTCAAGCATATACGTTCTCAAATCTTTTAATTGATTTAAAGTTATTGAATATCTGGTAGAGTATATAAATGCTGAATTAAATAAAGTGACAAAAAGTTCCAAATATAGAATTCAATAAGGAATCATATCTACCTTTAACCGGTTAATTGAATCAAATAATAATGTACATGTATTTATTGTTGTAAAATGATCACTCTAGATCGTTGAAATATTGATGGAATTTAAATTGACTCCGATACTTTTGAGCACAAATTAGTTATTAAATATAGACCATGTTAAGTGACATAAAACCGTTTTTTTTTCTTATTATTTGTACAGCACAATTGTAGAGGATGGATAAAACTAAATTATGTATTTTAGAAATATTTCAAGTGTTACATATTGTGAATGCTAAGGTGTGTACTCCGAAATAAAATGTATGTTCTTATTGTGCAAATCAACTCATAGATGGAGCAAAATTAATATGAAAAAAAATTATTATCAATTATATTTTTGAATTGTTAATACGAATTAACAATATTTATAGTTCTAATTGTAATTTCACAATTTTTTTTAAATAAATAAATCAATAATAAATGTAATACAACAATACAATTAAATTTACAAACACAGTCTCAGCGGAGGGTAATTTATCGACACAACTTTCGAAGCACTTGTGTTTATTTACCGTTCAATATATGTGTGCGTAGTTGTGAACGTCTGTGACGCACTTATGTTCGAATTTCAGTTGTTTTTAAACAAATCAACCATTTTTATTATTTTCTGCAAGACATAAGTATTCTGATTGTAATTGATTTGACAAAAATAGTATATCCTTGATATTTCAAGATATCAATAGATGAATGGCATTTCAATATTTGTTAAATAAATAATGTATCATTTTGAATGTGAATGGAGTGATAACAGAGAGTTTGGACAAAAAAAGTTAAAAATAAAAGTTTATTGAACTCAAAGTTTTTTCAACAAATCTTCAGTAGGATAATCAATCAATTGATTTATTTCCTTGGGGTCATGAATAAATAAAAAAAGTACGTATACTAAACTTTCAATATATCAGATAATATAATTTATTGCACTAATCCTAAAAATATTTCGATCACCATTACGAGATAGACAGATAGATAGTACAGATAGACCTAGGAAGAGAGCATTTTTTTTATTTCAGCAATGAACACTTGGATTCTTTGATCTAAGAAGTTTTTTCTTGATGACATGAAACATCATCAATTGATATTTAAGTAATGATGATTTTATATACATAATATAGTAACTATAGGAAGCCTTGCAATCAGTTGTTTGCAAGAATGGAAAGCTTGCTGAAATTAAAACATTTAAAATAATAGTGAGAATAATATCACTGCATACAATTTATCGATTCACTCATTCTCTATTAATTGTTTTTTCATTCATTTAAATTCATTCATTATTTAATACACCCTATTAATTTTTTAATCAATAATAATGATAATAATTAATTATAATAATAATAAATTTTAATGCATCTATCTATCAATAAAAAATACACTTATGTTTAATATTTCAGAACAATAATTCATTTAGGTTTAAATTTTTTGAGTAAAAATATAATACGATAATAAATCCAATTATTTGTTTCATAAAAAAAATTATAAAAAATCATGTAATAGGCAATAGTTTATACATATTTACAAATTGCGACCGTTGATAAACTTCAATTATATAATTAACTTTTCATTATTAAAAAAATTTCTTTCTAAATTCAATTCAAGTACTCCAAAGTATTAATGGTTTATTAAAATTTACATTAATATCTAAAATAACAAAATTTTTATGAAATATAAGAGTACATTTCTATTCAGATAATTATTTGAGCTATTAATTTAAACAACAAAACAGATATTGCTCGAGTACTACTATTTATACTAGAAGATATTCAAGTTGTAGTAACTTTTAAATAAAAATATGCCTTACAACTTGTAATAAGATTTTTAATCTTATTGAAGTTATTTTTAATTGATATAACTAGAAGAATCTGTTTTAACAAAATATCTTAAAAATAAAATTTTATAATATAATAAAAAATACACATCTAACTTGAAAAAAAATCAGTCGCTGATATGCACTCAGGGAATTTTTTTGTTGCTGAAATAACAGACTTTGGGTTCGTTTCTACTCAGTTAAGTACATGCCATTTATATCCTAACTACTAGGATGTTGAACTGTACCAGCCGTTAGCATTAGTTTTATTACTAGGATGATAAAGATGAAATCCTGCACCAGTTGCTGGATGATGATAAAATTGGGCTTGTTCTCCAAGACTTGCTGATGCATAAGCCGCTGCAGCATCAAGCGGGCTTGGATGAACAGCAGCAGAGTAAACCTGAGGTTTGAGAGGAAGCGGTTGCGCAGGTTCATACTGATGACGTAACACAGGATCTCCATAAACAGAAGCTTCATAACTTGCTACACTAGATGAATGAAGTTGTTGTTGTTGTTGCTGCTGTTGATGATGGTGTTGTTTTTCACGAGGAGATACGGATGATGGTGGAGTCATTGCTGAATGATATTCTACACCATAACCACCAGCAGACGAGTAAGAGGACACGAGACTGGTAAAAGCTGGCTCTGTTCCACTTACTGCTGATGATGATTTTTGATTGTGACCTAAAACGAATTGATGCTCGCCATATGTTGATGATCCTTCTGAACCTGGAGGTGTTGGTAGAGGACCTTGAGGTACTTCCCCAGCATAGTAGCCACTACCTGTCGATGATGTTCTATTCGAACTTGATGTAATTCCATGTACATTAGCTCTAATTACACTTTCTCTATTCGCATAAAGCTGACGAAGCAGAGCAGATGCTGGCAGGGACGTTGTGCTAGACTGTTGAGGACTTAAATGCCCAAGATGATGTGCTCCAATCCATTGAATTGTTGATCTTTGCTGTTGTTGTTTTAATAAAGTATCTGTGCTAAAATCTGTTGGTTGATGTAGAACAGGAGAATCAGGTTTATTCAAAGATGCTCCGGGAAGATGTTTTGACATTGCCTGTTCCAAGTCTTTAACTGATGTTCCTGCAGATACTTCTGGTTCTCGAGTTTCAGACCTTCTTACTTTAGGACTTGGTGGTCTCAAAACCTGTTCATTAGCAGGAATCGAATGATTGGATGATGCTGGACTTAATGCATGATTACGGGGAGTTTTCACAGCCTCTTCTTCATCTTCTTCTTCTCCTGAAGAGCTTTCGTCTTCTTGAGCATATTTTCGTTTATGTCGAGTTAAGGATTTAACAGATAAACTACCAATTGTTGAAACTCCTGCTTGTGGTTCTTGTTGCATTTGTGAAGTATTATCGTGATGTCGACCACCACGAGTTTCTCCTTCCGATGTACGACTATCTTCCCGATCCTCTGGTGGAGAATGGTGTGGATTTTCAGGATGTTGATTTGTTGGTCCTCCACTACTTCTTCCTTCTAAAATATCATTGAAATATATTATTATTATTATTATTATTCCAAAATGTATTAAAGAAATTTTTTTATCTAAACTACAGTTGTTTAAATCGTTCCCAATTATTATAATTACCAACAAGAATTCAATTCATTGACAAAAAAAATTCGTTTGAAAATCTAAATAAAGAATATTCAAATATTCCGTTTGACGTTTAGGTACATTCATGTAAAGAAAAAGAATTGTTTGATAAATTACAAGTTTTTTTTAGTGTGTGTCTACTTGCTAATGAAAATGTTTCTAACAAAAATCTCAATATTGTGTATCGAATATGAAGCTTCCTAAGTATTGAATGAAGTGTTTCGGCCTGACATCTTAATTTAAAAGTACCTTCAGACCACCTATACAAGTTTGTAACTGAGTAGAGCAATGAGTGATGAATAAGATAAGTTAATGCCAGAAAAAAGAAAAAAAATTTAATTTGAATATGTTGATATAAATTTACAATTCTGTCATCTAATGCCGCTACTTCATGGTACGTTACTATGCTTTAGAAACATTTGTATTACATTAGAAAAGTGTATTCTTTATTGGCCGTGACATTTTTGAGAGCGTATCCAAATAGGAATCTTCTTAAATTTACATCTATTTCAAGAAGTTTTATGTCATTGTTATTGTTATGATGATAACATCATTGTTATTACTAAAAATTAATTCAATTTTCTATGATGATAATTTACCTCCTCGATCTGCATCAGGAGATCCATTTTCGGGATCATTGCCCGTAGCATCTTCTCTCTTTACACCTGAAACTCCGTCTTCAAGTTGACAGCAATCCATTATTAAATTTTCATATTCTCGCCCACTAAAATTTAAAATAATTATTTGAATAATTTTAAACAATGATGTATTCTACAATTCAATAGATTTATATATTTTGATGTTTTACCTGATAACATAATTTACGCATATGATATTTTGTTCTTCGGCATTTTTGGAATTACAAACTACTGTCGCACAAGTCTGAAGCCATGTGTATCCTCCACTTTTATTCATCAATCTATAGTAATGCGTTAAAACTTGCCCTTTATGAATTACTGAAAACATTTTATGATAAGTATCATTTGTACTATGTGTACATAAACAATTAATAAAAAGTAAATAATAAATTTAAAAAAATACAGTAAAACAAGAAAAATTCGTTGAAGAAGTCGCATCCGGTGTATACAGTAAAAACATCATCGTTTGTTGAATACTAAATAACCATTTCTGGTAGTTTTGAATTATAGTGGATAAAAGATAACATCTGAACTCAAAAATTATGTACTAAGAGTTGAAATATTCATTAAATAAAATTTTTTAAAATAGTATTAAAAATATACTTCTATCATGGATTAAGAAAAAGAAATTCATGAAATTTAAAGAATTTTTCCAATACTTACAATCAACATGTGACTTCCGTAGGCGATTTGCATCTTCTCCATGACATAATGCGTAAAGACTTTTCCCTGTTAATTCCTCAGGCGTGTAATCGAGTAAATCCGAAACTCTAAACATAATGAATAGCATTAAAAATGCATTGCGGAAGATAGAAATAGGAATTATGCCAACTTTGTACACAATGGTTATAAAAATTAATTCTAAAGAACTTTAGACTTACTTTGGCTCACAATGTGCTATCCGAAAGTCAAAATTAATTCTAGTTACAAACATATCAGCTTCAAGCCTAATCTCATGGACACTTGGTGGTGGTAATGCAATAGCTAATCCCACCATACCCATGAGTGTTGGTGAAGACTTCCTGGCAGGATGAAAAGGATACTGTGGTCTTAGACGACATAACAATAAGACTACCTGATAATTAAACATAAAAATATGAGGATGAATTAATTATTTATCTAGATGAGTTTATCAATAATAATACATGACTAAAACTTACTCGATATCCGGAAGACTTGAAATGACATCCTCTCTTCGTCAACGTTGATTTCATTCTTACACAAAAAGCTCGATCATAACCCTTGTAAAGTCCCGTTGATGTCAAAGCCATCACAGATGAAACTGTTCATCAAAATGAATAAAATTTAATTAATACATTTGATATTTTTTTAAAAATACATTTATAATATGTCAGTTTTTGTTCTTTTTAGTATTTGATTTTCTAAATTGTGTTGTTTTTATTTTTATTGTTAAAAATTTTGTGATAAAAAAGAAAGGGTTCTGGTTAGTCTCTTTCAATATCATCAAGTTGAACGAATATATTCTAGTATATCTAGTATAGTGTCAAAGTGCCCTTCTTTTGTTGATTCAAAGTTCAAGTGTCTTAGCATTCAGGTCTACACATATACATATACACTCGACACGTCGAAGTGACGTGTCTAGACAAGCGTATAGTAATGCAGTTCAGGATGATCGTGGACAATAAGTTTCAGGGTCGTCGTCCGAGTGCACAGTGTTAAGGTATCCGGACTCTGCCATCTTCTCTACACGTTTCTAACTCTCTTGAGTAAGAGAGAAAGAGAGAAAGAGGGAAAATTATACGTGCAACGTAGTAGCCGTCGTGGAATAACAATTGGGCAAATCGAGGGATGCATATACATAGATATATATGCGAAACGAAAGAGGAACAGAGAAAGAGCCCAGAAGTGAGTCCAGGACTTCTCTTTCCATGTCGCAATAATGGAACAGACGACCGTGAACCGTCGACGTGGGTCTAAGCCAAAGAGGTTATGCGTGACGCGCCCTCCACATTCTCTAGCCTCTTTTCAACCCTGTCACGACTGGCCTCGTCTATCTCTTCCGCCGTGATCTCACGTGGCGACGTCGACGAGCACGTCCGCACGCCCGACGGTTTCTCGTCCAGTTCACGTGCTCATACCGACACACTAGAGAAGCTTGACGTCGAACTTGGTCATCTGATCGTTCCTCAATGCTACATTTTCTCTATTTTTATTTAACTTTGCTTTACTAATCCGAATATTTGACTAACAATTTTTGATGGTACAAACTCATTCAAGTTTCATCTAAAAATGTTCAAGCGTATACTGTTGAATTGATTCCACAAGAGAGATTAGATTTGATCACTACATGAGCATATTCATATTGATAATTATGATGAAAAAATCCAAGTTATGGAGATATGGTAATAGTTCATACTGATGCCAAAGTTGGTGGTGATTGAATTGTCACTGTCCAACCGATAATGTATTGAAATTCATCATTGGTTAAAGATGGTTGATTAAAATATCGTCTTTTCTACTTTCAAATCCATGTCGGCTATAAATAGAATTCCCCAAAACCATTTTAAGCCATCAAATTAGCATTCATTTACAATTGATCTGAAGTTAAACGAGTTATACTAATGTGAATCGATTGGAACAGTCTTTAGTAATAATGATGATTAATTGTTGATCAATAAAAAGATCGTTTATAATTACCATCAGGATTAGCTGTAGAATTGGATCCATGCTCCTCTGAAGCTGCGCTACTAGGTGAAGCTAGTCCTGAGCTTGATGATTGTGGGCCTGATGAAGAATTTGTTGAACAAGTTAATCCTAAACCTAATTGTTCAGCTACTTCAGCATGATCTTGCTGATGGACATAGTCGAATACACTTGAACCAGTCATTTCTACCTGTATAACAAATAGAAAAGATTTTCATGAAAAATATCATTAACAAGAATAATTAAAATAAAATTTTTAAGTTTTCAAATTATATGTATAGAAGCTAAAAGTGCTATAATATATTCTCTGACATAGGATTCTTCAACTGTATTACATGTACAAACATGTTCATGAAGGCCTTCTTTAAAATGATGATGACTCGTCTTAGTTTTCCTTCTCCTGATGTATTGACAGATATATGTATATTATTATATATTCTTATATTCAGAATGTAAGGTAACAATCGACCCAGAAGCTCAAGTCAATTGCTGCATACTTATCATGGTCCCAATTAGAAAAACGTAGTATGTTCATGAATAGAATACAATATGACTTATCCAAACCTATATGTATTGAATGTCGAGAAAGTAACCTGGACTTGTGTCAAAGAAACTTGGTAGTAATAATAATAATAACAGCGATAACAGTTTTTATGGTCTCTTCATGTGCGTATAATATTGAAATAATTAATTTCAACATCTCTGTCTTGTTTCTAACTGTTGTGTAACGTTCAGCGTATCATTTTTGATTCTTCAACATGTACAAGTATTTTATGTAAAGAAGAAGTGAGACAGTGGTTTGTGCAAATCAAGTTTTTCATGACACGTCTTCGTCTTTCACGAATAAATTAACCTGCAAGTGTGTGGGTGGGGTTTATAGATTCGGTATCAAAGTAGTACGTGTCATGGATACCACGACTGATTCAACAGACGGATACACTTAAGTCATTTCGTATTGTTCTCGCGTTCGATGGGTGACGCCAAGACTTGGAAGAATCGATAAGCAGAATTAGTCGACGAGTTATAATAATAACTATTATAAATGTTTAGTTTTCTATAATATTGCTCGTATACTGATTTTATACACCTTTCATTTACATTTATATTCCATTATCATATTTATTGCTATTACAAAAAAAAATACCTTTAAATAGAATTTTTACACTATATTTCTACAAACATTTATATCAAATGATTATTTTATGACAATTCCCACAGTTGGTCGATAGCTTTTTAGTTATCAATTAAATATTGAAATGAGACCATTCAAATAAAGTGAATTAAGCCAGTGTAATTGCGAGCTTATATTTTTCTTTAATTTATTCAGCCAATAGCACCAATATGAAATAATGAATTTTCATGAATTTAAAAAAAAAATATATAAATACACAGATAAATGTTCATGCTTCATGTACACAGAGATATGTATAAAGCTAACAAATACGAATCCCTAGAACATCCTATTGATTGCTCCAGGGTTCTGCCTTGCTTCAGTCGAGAGACTGGTACCTCAGTCCCCTTTTCTGGAGCAGAACTAAACCTCACCCCTTCCTTAAATGTTCTCTCTTTCCTTCACCTTCGTATAGTCCTTCTATCCATCCATCCGTTTCTCCCGGCTTCATACTCTCCCCGGACTCTCTTCCTCCCGTCCACCTTCACTGAAAGCATTAGGAATGGCGAACACGCCGCCGTGCAGAGGCTACGTGAGCCGCATGCTACCACCCCCGCCTCCTAACTACGTTCGTGCTTGCTTGGTGCCAGCCAGCATGGCCGCCAACCTTCTCTCCTTCTCCTCCTTTTCCTCTCTCCCTTGACCTCACCTCCAACTCTTCCTCATCACTTTGTTCAACTCTTTCCTCTCTTTCCTACTATCATCGCTTCATTTCTCGGCCCTTTTTCTTCTTCTAACTTTAACTAGACAACTTTAGCTGAATCTTCATCAACTTCATTTATAGATAGTACACTGTCTCCATTAAATTATCATTGATATCATCAAACTCGCTCTATTTCTGATGCTTTCGTAATTAAACTACATGCGCCATGGAAGAAATTTCTGTTGACTTTAGATAAAAGTTGTCATGTTGACAACAACTAATTTTCTATCAGTTATTATTTCTTTCATTCATTAGATTAAAAAATCCATCAACCCGTCGAGATTTTTTATTCCTAATATTAAATGAGTTTTTGTACTTACTTGAGATAGTCCAAGGTATATTGATACTGTTTCGGAAATGTAGAGAAATCGTCCATCAGCAGCCACAGCCATTGCAAATCCATCTAAAGACTAACAGAAAAAAGTTAAATTTATTGATATTTCTATTTTATTGAAAGTTAGATTTTTTTTAATGAATTTATTTACCTGAAGAATGTGAGTGCCTTGATGTTGCTCAAATATATCTTCAGCACAAGGTGTGCTTGATAACCTAGCTCTTTTGGTACCTAGAATGAGATGGTTTTTTTTTCAATTAAACATTGAATAGATTGAAGGGATGGTAATCAGTTAAGATATTCAGTAGTTTTGTGCTGATATTTTGATTGATTTAATAATAAGACAATGAATTATCTATTCCCTTATTGGGTATGAATCACATAAACCCTTTCTCTACATCCTCAGGCTTCATCCCTTCGTTTAGCAAACAAACCCGGTTCCTTACTGTAATAATAATCCTCCCCTTCTGTCACTTGATTTCAAGCTTTTCCCTCTCATTTTCTTATTTCTTTCTCCACTTCATCCTTTAATGAAAGACTTATAGAAGAGTTGATAAAACTCATACGGTCAGAAGTTTGGTTAATCTGGTAAAATCCATTGGGATAAGTTGAACTAACCAACTCCATCCCTCACATAATCTAGAAATGACCATGCCCCCCTTCGCCTTTTTCTATATACTCTTTTACTCTCTCATTATCTTTCTCGTTCGGTCAAACAAGTTTATTCTACTGATATTTCTAACGCATCCCCGAAATAATCTTGTATTAATCCTATATCTTGGGTCACTATGAATATCCTGACGAACCTTTTGTTCCTTTTGATCAATCAAAGAAAATTCACCCTCTGTTGGAATATCCTAAATTTAACTTTTTTCTGTCCAGATGTTAATGATAATATTTCTTTATGTTATATATTCTATTATACATAATATGATGCTGATGAACGTCATTGTTAGGTTCTCTCAATTCTGATTGGCAAACTGGAATTACTGTATGATTCATTGGGCATTTAAAACATTATTTATTGATAGCTAAAGCAAAATGATTTTTTTAATACAAAAAACGATGAAGGAAAAATTATTATCATGATGGGGGATAATACTAGACTATCAATGATAATCCTAACTTCTTCTAACATTGATGTCATTGGTGCTTTTAATTCTAGCAAACATTTTCTATTGATTTTTTACTTTGAATTTCACATTACTAGTAAATGATACAAGAAATAATATTCCTAATGAATTATAAAGTGTTTAAAATATTTTTTCTTTACATAGACTGATGTTTTTCATTTCAACATCTAGAAGTTATTCTGATGAAATAAAGCAATTATTAGCCAGCAATATCCTGGATAAGTTTTAGCTGGTTTTCTAGAGTAAATTTGGACCATTTTGATCTTAATATATCAGAAAAGTATCAGAAATTAATGAACAATACAATAAATAATGATAAATTACAGTAAAGAACTGTAAAGACTATTGAATATACGAAACTTGAAGTTGTTCCTATGGGACAAGACCCGATATAACATTTCACTCGCGCGAACAGACGAAAAATAAGCGACGGAATATCCCAGCAACGAAGCGGGTATTATTTTTTCCAAAGGGCGTATTAGGGTAGTGCAATATTATTAGTCGTTGGGTCATTTTACGCCCTGTAACCCCCACGGGGCTACGACTTTTCTATATCTTCTTCATCCCTCGTTACCTTTTACTGTATATATATATCTATATCACCAACTTTGTGCCTTCTGGTATTTTTCAGAAACTGGAATGTCCATCGATGATCGTTTGAGATTAATGATGATCATATTTTTGGGGGAACTTCAATAGATATTATAATAATATACATGTACGTGTATGAGGAACTGTGAACATGTAACGTCTGCTATTCACTAAATACATTATAACTGCAACATTTATATTACAACTCCATAATTCATTGCAGCATAAGGTCTAGTGTGGGTGAATTAATTATAGAGCAAAATAGGCAGAACCAATGTACATTTCCAGCACACCATATAACCATTTAACTATTCTGAGTTTGATTAATATAGCCATTAGATAACCTTGACTCCAATATATTATTAGAATGTTGTAGCAATCAAATGACATACTTTATTTCTCATTATTACATTTTTCCCAACTATTATTTATATTTAAATATTGAACAATTTTATTAAATAATAATTCTAGTTCTTTTTACTTTAATAATATTATGATGAAAAAAAAATGACTTAAAATTGAAAGTTATTTGGCATTAGAATAAAAAATGAAAGCTCTATTCAGATGAATTGATCTCCAAGAATAAAGAAATTACATTTCAATTAATTTTTTGTTAGCAACAATTTAAAATCCGTTACAAAGACTTGAACGTGAAAATTTTTTTGATTATAATGGTAATAAATTTCATAATGTTAGAAAATGTCGTACAACTCAAAGAAAAAAATTGTCGGTCTTTTAATAGGAGTCTTACCCAGCTGCAAAGTGAGTATACAGGGGATAAATGGACAGAGGGTGTCAGTATATAGGTGTGCAACATATGAGGAATATAAGACAATATCGAAAATGTGGATCTTGGAACTCTTGGGACTGGGATTTAATGAAAAATAGGCGAATTTGTTGTCTCTTTATCTACGAGTCGACCGGAGGGGTGTGTTTTACTTTATGAGATACTGAATGATGATACGTTTTATACAACAATTGTTTTCACTACAGGTATTACACACATAGATATATTTTTTTATCTTTCATTTTCACTGTCATATTCCATTTAATATTATATGTATCATAATTCGAATTTTATTTATTTTTTTATTATTATTTTTCTACCATTTTTGTCGTAAAATTTATTGTATATTGCTTTTGAATGTTTGTTGTAAATTTTTGTTGGAAATTTTATGAATGCGATGAGAGGATTAAATAGTAGACTTGAAAAATAAAACTAAAAAATTACTATGAATTATGGCCATAAAGAGAGCACATAATAAAACACGCCTCATATGTATTTATCAAAATATTGTGATAACCGTGTGGGAGGAGTGAGAATAAGCTAACAGGGGAATAGAAGATTTACCGAATACGTGAAGAAGGTAAACCTTGGCATCTAGACAAGTACATGTGTTGTCTTAAGAATTATAGCGTATTATATACGAAACCTATATATTTCTTTAGAATTTATGATTTTCAAAAATTTCCTTTTCAAATTTATTCTTTCTAATTGTATTTAGAAAATATTTCATTTAAATAATTCAATAAATCGGTATAATTTGAGTTTATATAATTTCTTTTAAAAGGGGTAGATTGGTGCATTATATATGTAAACCAAAATAGGGATGAATTAGAAGGAGGTACAATGACATGTAATGCCACAAGTTCTAGCTCACCCCAAACTTCGACTTTACACTGGTTTACATTGATGGCCCATCAAACGGGCACTCGGGATCTCACTCAGTACTTTCTCTCTTTCACACACACTTCTGAGAGCTTATTTTCATCGATTCCAACCCAGCCTGTCATAGGGGCGTGGTACACGTTCAACAGCTACCTCAAAGTTAGTTAGCCTTGCTTTGCATACAGCATATGTCCCTATGGCTTCTATTCAGGTTGTGCCATTTTTTGCCTATTTTTCATGTGTCGATCTCATTTTGATTTTTTCTTCCTCCCTATTTCTAACTATTTTTCTTTTTTTCTTTATTCAACCTCGTGACAAAAATAATACATTTATTTATTTTGTTAGTTTATTTAAATTTTAATTCAACTATTTTCACAATGATTGTAGCATTTATTCTGTATTTTATGTTAATTAAAAAAAAAATTTATAGATCTAGGAATTAACTGAAGTAGATTGTTGTCATACCAATTCCTATGCCTACACTAATTATATGGATAGCTATTAGTCCAGTCTTGGTATAAGTAAAAATAGAGTGAATAAGTAATTTACATCTTTTAAATCAGAGACAGAATAGGATTGTCACAATTATCTTAATCGTATGAACAAGTAAAGTATTACTAAAATATCAACACTGTGAATATTAAAGGTTAGATAGCTAAAAGGTTTGGTATTGTCTCAATATTTGAATATTTTTTTCAGTGTTATTTTTTTACAAAATAGTTTAAAGCAAATTTTTGTTCGAGAGAAAAATGTACATGTAGAGACATGTTTCAAGGATTTCCAGCTTGTAGAATTTGTGTAAGGATTTTTTAGAGGGGTAGAGTGGAATGGGTGGATAAACTGAATTACAATTGGGGATAGTGTACATTGAGGTTTGATTATAAGGGGTATACGGATATATTTGTTTGATGCAAATAAGTTGATACTAACGACTCGTTGATTAGGGTATTGGTGATGCTGATTTAGTTAAGTGCTGCTTAATTAGTCAAGTGTGTTTAGTTAATCTTCTGTATTTCATTAGAATTTTCATTTCATTTTCAAAGTTACCAGGGGTTCTCTATCTACTAATCTATCAAGCTTTCATTTCTAAATTATTTTTAAAACTATTTATAACTCTACCAACTGGAAAAAAATCATAATTGCCCTTCTAATCACTGTTCCTATTTAAATAAACAAAGTTAAAAAATGATTTTATTTAAAATTGTTTTATTTAGTATAAAATAAAATGATAATATAGTTGATAAAAGGTTTGATAAGAATGATTAGATGATTGAGTTTTATATGAAGTGTACAGATTTAGTTGAAAGTATTTTCTGAAAGGAAGTGCATAAAAATATCGTTTAGTATAAGATTAAAATTTATTCCTGAGGGAGAAAATACGCGAGAACCTCTGAAGGGTAGCTCTTGTGTCTTGGCTGTCGTTAACTAGCCGCCAACTATGTTAAACACTGGTTTAAAGTCCCCTTTTTGTATCTCACCCTCTCTTTGTCTTCAACTTTTATATACGTCAGTTTCGTTTCATTCTCCTTTATCTTCATTACATTACTCCACGTTAAAAGAAAGAACAGAAGAGCATACAGTGTAGAGCATACAACAAATATATAAAAAAGAAAAAAAGAAATAGAGAATGACAGACGAAAATTCGACAGGCAAAGGGGATAAAACGAGAATTCAAGGGGGTGAGTTCTTAAGTTGGGGATGAGTTTAACACAATTTTGTTAGTTTAGTTACATTGGCGGTCTGGTAATGCGAGGATTGTGTACAGGGGCTGAACCGTGATTAGATTTACATATGGGTAGTGGTACTAAATGAACACAAAAAATTTACTCTTATATAAATTTGCTATTTTAAGAAAAAATCTACAATCTTATTTTCTTTGTTATTTAACGAAAATAATGTATGAGAAATAATTTGATTTTTCTTTTATCAAATTCACATAAACTTTCTCAGAATAATTACTCTGAAACCCAATTCATGATGGTATCAGTTCCATTATTGGTCCAGAATTTTTCATTACTATGTATCTCGCGGATCTCTTCTGGTCAACCGGGTTATAAAAGTATCAAGGATCGCCATCCTAAGATGATATTATATTTTTCTTATCCACCAATTTATGTGTATACATACATAAAAATCATTTTTACTCTCACACATTGACTACTTCAAAAATAAGTGATAGAATATCAAATAATAAACTAAAACATTTATTCTATTAATATTACTTTTTAAATCAACACAATTTTTCACACCTATATAAAGATAAATTATTTGAATGACAAAAATCATTTTGCAATAGCAAAATTATTTCTTGAACACACAAAATTTTTTACATTGCATAGAAAAAATTTTTTTATCCCCTTGATCAAATTATGAGTGTCCCAAAAGTCATGCGACTCTTTCATGCGATAGTTGACACGTGTCTACAACAGACTTTATTCTTGGGGTGGAATACATTAAAGGAGGAGCAGCTTTTTCACCGATTAACTTTCAAAAATTCTAGACACTTTCTATATATTCTGCCTTCATACCAATAAGCCCCTGGTTAATAGATATACAACAATGCCCTGATAATCAATCATAGACAAAATCATTGGCAGTTAACTAAATTCCATCGAAATGACATTTTAATCACTTGGATGATCATATCACAACCAGGTGGATAAAAATATATCAACTGCATTCAAAAATATTGTAAGTGATACAATTTTATAAGAAAAGAAAATCTCAATAAATTCAAAGAATAATAAAAATTGTTTTAAATAAGATGAATAAATAAATGAATGTACTCACTTTTAACTATTTTATTAGATGGCGGTGAGTCCCGATTCCATGGAGGGTCCCCATGTGAAGAGAATTCCCGTAACTTAAGGTAAGAGATTGTCAGCCTTATAATAGAAGCCTTATCTAACTGTGAAGTGATAGCAGCCGGTAGGGGCAGCATTTTTGCTAGTTCATAAAATTCAAAATTTTCTTTCCCTCTTCGTGATCTTGCTGCATCTCTACTTTTTTCTTTTCGCATCTCCAACAAACTGTAATCAAATAAATACCTCATTAGATCACAATTCATATCAATACCAAGTAGCCTAGTGTATTGAATTTATTTTAATACACACAGTCTAGTTGATCAAATATCCAGCACTTCAACATTTGAATTTATTTGTTCAAAATAACCATGTGTTTTTGGAGACTAGAATTATTGTCCAGGTGCTGGAGATATTTTTAAACTAGACTGTTCATGTGTACGTTATGTATGGGACATGTATTATATTTATGATAGTTTATGAATGGTTGAGTAGAGCAATGGTTATAGACATAACTATTTTCCTAGCAAATATGAATTATGAAACCATCCACAATGTGAATAATGTGAGTAAACCAGAATTGAGCTACAAATGCTTTAATGACATGCATTATTCAGGTGGACTATCAAGTCCACTGTTTACTCAGAGGTGGTAAATGCATTCAGGAACTCCGCCCTCGCGGTTGCAACCCTCAATAATGTTTCCACCTTTTCAACTGGTTGGTACAACAATGCACGTGCTCACTACTTTGCCCAATCAGCAATCACCCGCATTTCTGCTGCGGGTATTTTAATTGATATAACTTACTTACTTTGTGATAAAAGTTTACAACTAAATTCAAAGAATTATTGGATAATAATGACGATGATTTATCCATGCTATAATATTAACATGAGACTGAATAAATAAAATGGCTAAGAATGAACGATTAAATGTGACAGTTAGATCGAGAGGGTTAAAAAGCTGTCTTTTTATTACACAGTAGTTACGCTTAACGACTGTAAAACGACTGTTTCCCGGTTTTCTCACTAGGGACTTTCAAATGTTTTCAAAGTCAGCGGATGTTTTTAGTCTTTAGGGTAACCTGTACCTTCCTTACACTAGGGAGCATTAGGGGTAAGCTTTTGTGAGTGTCTCCGGCTATAAAGAGTTTCTCAAAGAAGACTCTTTCGCTCTTTTCTCAAATAATCGTTTCAAAACTATTTTCGCTATCTTCTTACATATATACTGGTTGGATTTTATTTAATAAATAATCCCATGGTACCGATAATCAAATAAACTCAAGATAGTTTGTTTGCTTGGGTCTGAACTTGGACATTTATTTAAAAGCAAAAGAATATATATATAAAAAAAATACTAATGCAGGAGATTTAAATGGTGAGGTTTTAAAAAGTAAAATGATGTTGAAATAATTCAAGTATAAAGCCAATCGGAGTTTGATTTTTTTCTTAGCATTTAAAAAAAAATTGCGAGGCTGTTTGTCTGAGATTGAAACACTTCCCATGGGACATGACAGGGGTAGTGAATGCGTTCGAATGTAACGCAAAATCTTGGGGTAATAAAAAAGCTTGTGGGTGAAAAAGTTGAACCTTTAATCGGATCAAATCGTTTGCCCCATCGATTTACAATTTTTTCTGTTCTCTTTGGGTTCTGGAATTTTTTATCATAAAATTTCAAATTTGTTGAAAGTAAATAATTTTTTTTTTTATAACAAAGAGAAAACATTTGGCAGACATAATTAGATGATGCATTGAATTGATGTTGATTATATAGATATGCACACACTCACACGTGGATATTTAGAAATAGAATTTGTGAGGGAATGCCAACGATCCTTCGTCAATTGACGAGGGCAGTGAGCAAAGTCTCTTGGCATCCGCAAATGCGTGAAAATAAAATTAAGCGGAACTTTGGGTGAAATTGGTTGAAATTGGGCGAGAGGCCGTCGGCTCTTTCGTCCGGGTATATTCTCATGGGGATCCAAAAACAGAGTCAGGTGCCCCCTTGACGTTTATACATGTGTATAAGCGATGTGTACACTGAAAATACATGGTGTGTGAAGGGGAAAATAAAAGTGGTGGAAAGTGTGAAAAAAAAAGAAGGGCTCGGACCAAAGTGCTGAGCATCAATAATTCAGAAGGACTATGACGAAGTTATCGAGGACCAATGGGATTTTTTTAGGTACTTCTAACACAGTAGTATATATTTTGGTGGGTTCATGCTTCATGAAATTTCTCCATTTCCTTTCAAGTTATTTTTCGTCATTAAGTCACTAAATAGCATCAAATAATCATCATTACTTAGTGATCATTTGTGGGCAGAGTTTCAATCAATCACTTCTTTCAATTTGAATTCCATTTGAAAACTTTACCACAATTTTTTTGTTTAAATAAATGTATATTTTTTGATGAAATAAAACTAGCCAAGTAGAAACTGTATTCCTAAGAGTTAAAAAGAGCTAAGTTCTGTTTTCTTACATTCTACTTGGCCAGTACAATTCCCCTTGCCTTGCTCCAGTATTCCCCAGGGACTCATATCCTTACGTTACAATACAATGCTTCTAATGTTACCGTTACAGCTTTGACATAATTTTCCCTTCGCCTCACCGTACACCTTTTACTGAATCCAGTAAAATTCGAAAACCAAACCCATCTCAATTAAGATTTATATAAAATTTTCTTATTATTTTCAAGTGCGAATTAAAAATTAGCAGTTTTTTAAAGCAAAAAAGAAGAGCTATAAATGTAATAATTATGGAGATATATTATTTTTATTTATTATATTTATGAAGTTGGTAATATGACAAAGCAAGAGAAAATAAGAGACACAAAAGGAGGAGATGAGGAGTGGGTGGTAAAACGAGAGAGAAAAAATTCGAGACAGCTCATGATGACGCGTAGATAAGGGTGGGCTCAAAGTCTACGTGATGAGCTTCCTGATGTGTCCACGAGGAGCCTGAGAACTTTTAGGGAAACAGGCTCCCTTGAAGTCTAACCTTTATATTATCCTTCTGCCAAGGATATTAGATCATTTTTTTTGCTCCTTTTTAATTGACATTTTTCTACTTTTTAATTTTCTTTAAATGCTGGAAAAATTATTGGGTCAAAATTATTTGATGTTGGTGGTAGACTAGGGGTAAATTAAAACTGATAAAATCTAACTTGAGATAAAAATCACTTCTGAAAAACTAAATCTAATTTAAATGAATTTAAAGTCATTTTTATTTTGATCAAAAGCAATTTTGATCACTGATCTGACTTGCCTACAGTTTATTTATAGCATGAAACACTTTGTCTACTAGCATAATACATAAATATTATTTTTAAAGTTGAAATAAATTTTTCAAAGATTTTTTGTGAATAAAATGTCATCAATAATTTATGATTAATGATATAGACTCTATACTAGATATAAAATTCATTGACATCAATATGTACAGGTTTGATGTCTTTTATTTATCCACTGTCTATTGATATACACCTTCAACTTCCGGGAACGTGCAGTATTGGCTATAATAAAATGACACTTTGAGATCGTTGACCGAAAGTCAAATAATTGACTCTACTAGGAAACATATAATTTCAATAATAATACAGAAAGATTATTTTATAAAAATGATTATAAAAAAAAATCACAGTGATACTAAACCCAACAAACATCTTAAAAATTGAGCAAAAAAAATTACATAACAATACAAGGAATAAAGAGACAATAAAATAACCGTAAATATTTAAAATCATCTGAATAAATTTTGTTTGACTTCATTTATGCTAAATGATAGGTATAATTGTAGTTATAAATTTTTCTCAGTATGTAATTTATAAGAAACCAACTGTAACCACTTGCTATTTCATTATACGAATGAATAATATATGAGTAACAAATACAATAAAAAATGTGTAGATAATGTAAAGAAGAATATAACAATAAGTAGCATGTAGGTAAAAATGAATAAGTTTTTTGGGTACGTAAGTCTCAAGGGAGCTCTGTCATGGCAAGTCATGGTAATGGTGGGGTAGTGATGGTGATGGGTAGATAGTGTTAAAACATTGGCCTGGTGCAGATGAGTATGTCACGCCACGGTAGTAAACTCGATGCGATCACAGGATCGCTGATGCTGACAGAGCATCTTAGGGAGCCGTCAACACCTCCTTCTATCACTCGTTTGGTTCTTTAGGTGCTAGCTTTTTCCATGGCTCACGCCTTCTTTATGTGACTATATACTTCTTTCACATCATTCTATTGCCAGGTCAAGGAAGTTATATATTATGTTCAATTCACAGGTCATGTGACCCTTTTCATTATCTTGTAACTTTTACAACTGCTGTTTACCATCATGTGGCTTTTTTTCTTCTTTACCACAATCTAATTCACTAAACTAGACTAGAACAAACAAGATGACAAGCTGATAGTGGGATACTGTGGTCAAAGGGTTCAGAAAATGTTACCTCAAATCTCAACTTCTAGCTCATTCACATTTCCATCTAATTCTTAAAACAACTTAACACCCAAAGCTAAAGCTGCATCAACATACTACCTTTTTTATTTATACCTTTTTCTAGATCATAAGTTTTAAGTTAATACTATTTTGTCATTTTATTTTTTTTCTTTTTCGGTCAAAATCTGAGACTGTTTACGAGATGTCGTTTTATCAGACTCTAAAATCAAGAAACTTGGTCTGGATTTTAAAACAATCAGGTCTTCTCTATGTCTGCTGACGAGTACCTGCTATGATGAAAGATCATGGTTTGGTGATTTATAATGCGGTTTTTCTACAATATTGTGTGTGTTTAACTTAACTAGAAACTATTAGTAGAGTCTAAAATAAGAACTTGAATTTATATTTAGAAGATTGTAGAGAATAGTTTGGTGTATTGTAGAGATCGAATGAACTCGTCATTTCTTTCTTTTTTTTTGAAAGTTGAATAATTGAATACATGAATCATTATAAGACTAATTTAAGGAAACTACACTGCATACGTGCTTGGATAGATTCTAAGCGACGATGAACCTCAATAGCATTAAAGTCTCCAACAAAAAACTCACCACTTTACAATAGAATACCAAATAATTATTATTACTCATTTTTATTCTTCATTTTAATTTTATAAAATCAAAGCTCATTGATGATTTATTCCTAGATTATTGTTTCAGGATTAGAATAACTATTTTTTAAAAATCTCATTATTTATCCAACTGTAAATTATTTACTTATCATCAACCTTTTT